CATCTTTGTATTATCAGGTTTGGAAAAGTCAACAAAACCAACTAGCACAAAGTTGAAAAATGGAAGGGTCAGTGGCTAGCAAACTGGAGGAGACACCTCTGAAAATCTGAAGATCAAATCCCTCTCATATATATATATATATTCAGAGATTTTTTCTACTTTACAGAAAAGGTGATTCTCCCAAGAGATAAGCAAGCTACAATTTCAGAAAGAGATAAGTAGGAAAGCAGGGAGTTGTTCAAACTGAAGAAATCAAAACTAACCATCACGGATGAAATCTCACAAGGGGCAGTTAAAATTGGGAAAAGAGATTAGGTTCTTTTTCCAAAAAAAATAGGGAAGTGATCTTAAGAACTGACTATTGAGAGCTCATCTACTAGAAATTGATCAAAACCCCCTTTCTTTACAATTAAAAATGAAAGATTTTTTTTAAGAAATTGCCGCCCATTATTTAAAAAGAATTGCCCTACTCCAGATAATATCTCTTATAAATACAAGTAGGAGTGAACAGGGCAAAAGGACTCTCAATTTCAACAACAAAAAATCCAACATTCAAGTCATCAATCAAACAAACAACTCAAAATCAACCAGAAGCTTACTTGAATTCCAAGTGAAAACCAGCTTTAGATTAGAATTCCCAAGGCTCAGACTTAGAAAATAAGTTATTCAAAATGAGATTTCTCTCGTTACAAATTTGGTTTAGCAAAAACCAAGACAGGTGGAGCTTGAGCTTTTCCCAAACATGAAAACCTCAACAAATTTTACAGTGCAGTCTCTAGCCCACTGAAGTCCTCAAGAACAGCCACTTTTGCCCTTACACACTGAAGAAGCCGCAGTTCTGCCCACTTAGAAGCCTCACAAAAGCTTGAAGTGTATTAAAACTCTGCCAAAATTAACCTTTGGTATCGATCTACAGCTGAAGCTTAGCAGCTGAAGTTGTTAACAGTCCAGTCCAACCCAGATATTTCCAATCCAGCCCGGATCAGAACCTCCTACCCAGGCAGAAATGGAGTTCCAGCTGTCCTTTCATCTTTCTAGCTTGGATATTTATGTTTATAGTTTTGTAAAAAGCAGTTCTGCCTAAGGCAGCTTAAATTCCATCAACCATTCTGGCCAGAACAACCTCTTTATACTGAGATAAATTGTTAAAGTCCTCACCAGTCTGAGGCAAGAAAAGAACTTACTTGGGAGATATTCCTCACCCAAATTCACAATCGCTTGTTTATGGAAATCAGTAACTTGGGGCGCAAGTTATCTATTCTAGAATAAGTCTGCTAGAATCTTCATTGCTAGTAGTGGCATGTTCATACACCAAAGAAAGCTGACTTGCTGACCAGTCAATGGTTTTCAAGGCAGTGGGGAACTTTGCTCTTCCATCACAGGAGTTATCACAAAACGGGTGAACAACTACCCATTATCATTTTTAATTCTAAAATAAATTTAAATTTTTAAAAAAGCCTCTCACAGACGCGGAGGCGCGTGCGGAGAGGCTAGTGTGTATATATATTAACCTCCAAAAAGCTCCTTGGGCTACAAATAGGGTAGTTCCACCCATGCACTGATGATTGAGGAAGTAGAGAAGGGAACCAATTGAGAATTGTACCTTGAGAGCAAAGGGACAATATTTGTAATTGCATAAAGCTCCAACTGGTAGAAGAATAAGAGAAAGCGGATTCTAGTTAAGTAAAGGAGCGACAAAACAAGAGTAGGCAGATGCAATTGAAACTGTTCAAGTACTGGTGTATTGAAAATTGCTCAATTTCATCAATTTATAAAGTATCTTCTTGCTATAAAAAAAATAAAATTGAAGTATCATCTGTACTGCATTCTGTTTCAATATATAGCCATATGATGACCAGTCCAACTATTTATATATTCTCCTGAAAGTCTAAAGCAAGTTGCAGTGGCATATAATCAAATAAGCGGAGCACATAGCAAGCTCCCAATCCAATAACCGTCTCCTACGTACACAAGTTTACTATCATCCAAGGTTTAAAATATCGAGGTTTTCGAAAATATTGGTGGTCCAAAAACATGGAAATATTAGAAAAATATCCATATCAGTAAAAATTGTATAAAAAAACCACAGAAATTATGAGGAAGAGTTACTCATACGCTTTATGCAGAGAAGATGAATTATTAACCAAAAACAATATATTTGAATACTTTATGCAAATATAACTTATTTACTTTGTGTGCATGTGTGTTTTTTCTTCTTCTGGACCAGAATAAAACCAACGCACATAGTGCAAAGAAGAAAGTTTCCAAGACGTACGTACCTCTAATATAAGTTAACCAGAGATTCTACAGCAAATATCAACTATTAGGAGAAATGTTGAATGAAAAATCAAGACGACTGAGGCAATCAATGAGAATACGCAAATGGTGAAAGCTAATATGGAGAAAGTTATATAGAGAAGGGATAAAGATCGAGCATGTATTTTTTAAAAGAATAATGAATAAATAATTACTTAAAAGCAAACCTTTATTTCCTTATAATTTCCACAAACCAAAATAGTTACACTATCCTTAAGCCAAATCACTACTAAGATTTATATATGTGCTGGAAATGCTAATAATTAAGTCCAAGATGTATCTAGAAATTAGACAAATTCAAATTCTGAAATTTTTTTTTGACTAATTTGGATAATCAAAATGCCGGTCCTTTATATTTTAATTATAATTTCCAAAAGATGACAAGGGACTTGTTGTAACTCAAATGGTTAAGAGCAATTACCCCAACATTGAGGCCCTACGTTTGATTTCTCCTTCTCCCAATATTGCTAATGTTAAAATAAAATTTAAAAAAAAAGCAAGAATGGTACCAAGTGTGCCTGTATGGCAAGGCAATGGAAAGTGATGGAGAACTTGACACAAAGTACAAAGTGAGAGAGAATTAGATGCATTAATTGCTTACAAACCTCTACTAGGTTCGAATCGGAGTTTTAATGAAAACTATGGTTAGCGGAGGTACAGGACATTTTTGGTATTTTAAAAAAAGAATTATTTAAATAGCACGCCCTTCTTCTTTTTCCTCTCTCTCTTGCTCTCTAATGCTCTTTAGCTGCAACCAAGGACGGACTCACCCTTTGTCTTTTTATGCCTAAACTAATATACCCAACCCACCCGATGGACGACCCTACACCGTACAAACATTCGCTGCTTCTTTTATTTTTTGGTCGAAAACAACCCCACTTATTTTCTTTGTTTGGTAGTTTATAATCATTCTACACTTCACACACCCCTGCACGTAGAAAATAGAAAAGTGATATGTAATAGATGTGTTTTGAGGGGTAAAACTCATTATGTCAATCTGATTAGGTGTATTTTTTTGTTATTAATGAAATTTACTCGTACTGTCGAGTTTAAAACGTGTGTGCATAAGGTAAATTTAGCTCACTCCAGTTTGAAATCTTGGGTCTATCCTTCAATAACTATTTATGACTGTTTGATTTCCTGGAGATCAAATGTTGTCGTCCGGCCACCTCCTTGCTTCCTGCACAAAACGTCTTCTCCATCCTCCCCTCCATCAATGCCCCCACAAAATCAGAACCTATAACATCCTACATCGTATGCAAATTCGATGTGGTGAGTCACTTGGCTATGCACTTAAAATCGTGTCCATGGTATTAACAATACATTTATTCCTTGATTGCAAGTAATGAATTCTTGAGTGCTGAACTTTCAACTTATAGAATGTGTCATCAAATTTCAAAATTAAAAATTGAATACCATGGGGGCATAATGTATTCATTTTGGTCCTATCTCTTTCTAATTGTTTTATATCTTTGCATTTAAAACCTATATTTGCTTTCGTGCAGCTTCTCGTGAATCAATTGGAACCCTTAACTGAGCAGAAATTAATTGGTGGGTATTTACAACTTCCAACAATCATCCCAGTAGGTTTAAGATGCTCTATCACAAGGGATGGCAGGATTGCAGCAATCCCTGGCTGAGACATTGGCCATGTTGAAGATTTTAAGAAACATAACAATTTGGAAAAAGGCGACCGGTCGCTTCAGGGAATGACCAATTGGTTTTAGGCAAAGCCTCCTACAAAGCCTAAAGTGGCTCTCGCGAAACTTACTACCAAATTGGGACCTGTCAGTAGGTTCGTGTTGGGGTGCAGTTTCAAAGCACCTTTTGAGTGCTTAGATATGTCTCTTGATGACTAAGTGTTTGAATTACATATATAAACGTTAGAAACACTTCATATACATGATTTAAACATAAAAACACACTCTTACATGAAGAGATGTATCCTCATTGAAGTGATACCTTTTGATTAAGAGGTGCAATTCAGAAAAGACACAAACTCCCCTGTAAATAGAGAAGGATTATTGCGAAAGAATACATATTCAAACCGAGACCCGCGAGCTCAGAGCGAGACCAAAGAAAAAAAGATGAGCGAGCTCAGTGCGAGACCAGAGAGAGCGATACCGTCTTCTCCGACGAGCGTCGTCCTCTTCGTCTCTGTCGTTTCGATTTCTAAGTTTTCTCCCAATATCATATGAGCTTTCTATTTCTCTTTGCTTTCAATGTTAGTTTCGATTTCATTTGAGTTAGATTTGAGTACGATTGTGATTCTCTATTCCCGATTTCTAAGCAAAACTTTGTGTCCTTAAATCAGTTAGGTTTTCTTTTGGTACTCAGGCAGAGCTTGATTTTAGGTTCAATTTTGATTTCAATTCTGATTATTGCATTTTTTTTAATCTGCTGCTTCTTGTGAATTTCAATTTGCAGTGGACATGTTCTGATATAAACAATGCATGTCTTGATTAGACTGTTATATATTGTGTTGAATTTCACAATCCATTGATTTTCTGACCGATTTTGTTTGCTTTAGGCTAGACCTGTAATGCAGTTGACCATGAATTTAAACAGCTGGAAATGTGGTCCTTTGAACTGAATGTTCTTCTATCTGGTCTTCTTCCAAACCCAAAGTTGGAAACCTCAGTGCTACATTATCATCCCATGGGGGTACCTCCCAGAGGAGACCTTCAGCAGATGCCAATCTCCAGGCAGAACTGGAGAGCCTCCGCGCCAGTGTCACCAGGATGTCTGAGAAATATGACCATCTTCATGCTAAGAACGTCGAGCTCGAGCATGACTACCGCACACTGAAGCGTAACTGGGAGATGAATCAGACCCAAGGCTCCCAACGCAGCCCTACCCAGGAACCTGAGCGTACACAGCCAAACCAGCCGGAGCACTCCCACCACAATGTCCCAACCCAGCCTAGGCCTAGCAAGGGTAAAGGCCCCCTCTATCCGGAAACGACCAAGTCGCAGCTTCTCCGCATCTCCCCGCCAAAGAACCGGCCCCATGAACCAACAAAGGTATACAGGGATTGCAGGGACCGTATCCTGGACCGTCAAACGGAACCCCCTCTTATCTCTGTTAATCTCCAAGACCCATGCGTCAAAACACTACAACACAACTAGTCTTAAGGGATGGGGCTAAGGACCTATCGACTGGAAGTGGGTTGGAATGTGTCTGGAGACGGTCTTCCCTGGAGGACACTCCCAATCACCATAGGCCAAGCACCATCTGTTCCGCCAAGACTTCTGCGTACTCGGCTTATGCCCAATAAAATAACCTCTCTCCTTTGCCTTCCGGCAATTGGCTTGTACCCAGCCAAAGGTTCCCTGTTGCTTGGAGATCGAATACAAGTACATAAACTGCTCAAATGTTGGCTCCCCCAACCCAACCAACCACCAAGCAATGTAAACTCCATGCAGAAGTAGCCAAAAGTTGGGATTGTATTGCCCCGGCGCATACCCCAACTTGGCCAGCATCATCTGTACCCAAGGATGAAACGGTAGTCTGAGACCATGCTGGTACATATCGGTGAATATCATCACTGAACCCTCCGGAGGATATCTCACCACATCCGCAGCACTAGGTAACCTCAGGCCCACATAGGATGGCACACTATAATCTGTCCGAAGCTCAACCAACTTGGCTTCTGTGAGTGTATTCCGCTTCCCCAACGGGACACCAACCCGAATGTCCACCCCCTCTGAAGCTGAAACCATGGCTATACCCACAGACTCTGATGGTGATGTCTGATTGCTCGAGCCCACCTCCGGTGTATGTGCCAAAGCTAGAACCCGATCAACACTGGCTTCTAACACTTTATACTTCTTCTGCATCTCCCTATATGCCTCTGACCCAGACTCTACTGATGGCCCAGCCATCTCACCCTCATGAACTACCATCTTAGCTTCTATAAGCCCTTCTACAAAACCCTCTGTCTGGGAACTCTCATCTTTAGAACAAACATACTCACTGGCCTCTTCACTCTCAGACATCTACAACATGCAGAAACAAGAAAAAGGAACTAATGCACATGCAAAGAGGATCCAAGCACAAAAACACAAAATTGGACGGCCTCTACATGCTTTTTGATCTAGATGCATACATTCAACATGTTCATACTCATGCTCAAGGTGCTCATCATACTCTTCAATATGTTCATACCAAAGGTTGAATTTCAATTCAAAAATTCAAGGGAAATGAGGTCTAACCTTGGTTACACCACCACGGAAATTCGCCGGAAATCTCCTTGGCCCTAGCACCACCACCAAAATCTCACCGGAAATCTTTTTCTCCTTCTCACTTTCTGGAACTCTTTCTCAAAAAATCTCCAAGTGTGATGCCTACGTCACTCCAAGTTCCTATTTATAGGGTCCCAAGGGCACACAAGAAACCCTAGCACCCTTTCAGTTTCCCTCTCAACTCCTTGTACCTACACACAATTGGAAATTCAAATTCCAAGTTATTCAAATTTAAAAAAGAAAGAAAGGAAGTTTGAAGGGACCTTGCCGAACGGCAAGGCCCGTGGAAAGAGAAAAGTAAGAGGCGTAAAAATCTCCGAGGGCTCAACCCTTCTAGCCCCAAGACATCTATTCTTTTCAGATCAGCTCATACTACTCAATTTCAAGGACCCCAGCTCCAACCCACGAGCCTAGCTCCAATTTGGGGGCCTGGACCTGTTGCAAAAATTACAGACCCAACATCTATAAAATTCGGGTCCAACATGGGGCCTGCCGAAGGTCCGGCTACACCAACACCCGGCCCTAAATTTTGTCTTGCCGAAGCAAGCTAACTCCAAGAAGTCCCAACTCTAAACCTTGGGCCTAGCTCTATTTTAGGAACCCCAGCCTCCTATCTTTAATTTCAGGGGCCCAGTCACCTAGGCTATCGTCACAAGAGCCCAACTCCTCGCAAGAACTAAGGACCCAAGTCCTTCCCACGAAGACAACACACTTCCAGATGCCTCCAAAATGTTTCAATTCACAATCTGCTAAACACGAAAGGCCTTGAAAAATTTGCTCATGCCACCCTTGCAGAACGGCAAGGGTTGACCAGAAAAATTAGGAGGGCTCACAGTACTCACCAAACACTCCCTTGCCGAAGCTCCAAATGACCCAGCTCTTCAGCTCATTGGCCAATACTTAAGACCTGCCAAAAGGTTAAAGAAAAAACAACAAAAAATTCAAAAACATTTACAAGCACCCTTGCTGAACGGCAAGGGTTATGTAGCAACAAAATGGAGGCCTCCATGAACAAAATCTCACATCAAAAACTGCTCAAGGCACCCGCTAGCCAAATCTGCCCAACAGCCCAGCTCTTGCTCAAACTCACGGTAATCAGCTCAAGTGGCCAGCCCCTCAAGTCTCTGCAAAAACCCACCTGCTGAATGTGATCTAGACACCCACAACAGAAAAGTTCAGCGAATCAAGCTCTCAAGGGCCCGGACCCAAGTAGGGGCCGAAACTAGCACCCTTGCCGAAGCTGGAACCAGCCCAGCTCAATTGCCGAACGGCAACCTCCGTGGAAGAACTTTGGGAGAAGCTTCAATCACTAGTGATGCCCAAGGACCACAGCAGCCCTTCTCACTTCAACCCCTTGCCGCAAAACTGCCGAAGACCAGAGACTCGAAGAGATCCAGCTCGTGTAGCCTCAACTTGCCAAAGGCCCAGCTCCGATCTTTTCCTTCCAAGAATCAACTCCGAACCCAGCTTCACTCTTGCCGAAGCTAGAAGGCCAAGTCTCACCTGCCGAAATGGTTGAGACAGCCAAACCTTGCCGAAACTCCGGCACCCGGTTCTGGACCAGCTCCAACTCTTAGCCAAACCGCCCCAATGGCAAAGAGAATCCAGCTCCAAATTTGATCAAGGCACCCGGCTCTTTTCTACCACAGACCCGGCTCTACATTTCGGCTCCAAAAGTCACGGCAAATCTGCCAAAGAAAACACCAACAGCTCAGCCTATTTCTACAAGGATTCAAAAACTAAAAACAAGTTCAAAAAAAAAAAAAAAAAAAAAAAAATCCAACACTGGACCTCTAGCACCTAGCCTCCCGAGCCCAGCCCCGCTCTAGAACTAGCCCTCACAGCTCCACTTCCAAAAGCTTGAACACACCCTTGCGGAACCGATCTATGGAGCCAAGGTCACCAAAGTACGGAGGGCCCAGCTCCAATCTCTCTCCCAGGTCACGGCTCCAGCTCACCGCACAACAAGATCTCAGCCCCTCACCGAGCTCTTGTACTCACAGAAGCTTGACAATCTACAGAAGGTGATGACAACTCAACTGGTTGCCGAACGGCAGGCTCCGTTCAAATCCTAAGAGGACCAGGAATCTGCCTTGCCGAGGGACCAGGTGCAGAAGATCTCTCCCTTGCCGAAGGGAGCTCATGAATCTCCTTTCAAACCTCTTGCCGAAGGCCTAGTCTCAAGGGAACCTCCCTCAAAAATCCCAATGAACCCTTGCCGAACGGCAAGGGTCGAGCTTCAGCTAATTAGGGGCAAAACCAAAAAATCTTGCCAAATGTTCCTAGCTTCTCAAAACCAAAAACCCTGCCGAAGACCCAGCTACCTTGCCAAAACAAGAGTCCTAGCTATTGCTTGCTGAACGGCAGGTTTCATAAAAACCAAAAAAGGGACGCACTACTCCCCTCAATACCCTAGCAACTACCTAAGTCATACCTAGGCTAAAACTGACGGCCCAGCCCCAACAATTAGCTAGGTCAATGACAAAGGGACCCCATGCCATTTTTTTCCCTTTTTTTTCCCTTAAACAACCTTGCCAAAACTGATCAGACCTAGCTCCACCATTCAATTTCGCCAGGCCCTTTGCCTAGGCCAAACCAAAGGCCTTTCTCTTGGGCCCTTGTTCTTTAAAAGCCCATACCGCATGGCCAATAACCAAAAAAAAAACAAAAAGAGAGCGAGCCCAGCTCCTATTTTGGGCACTAGCGAAATGGGATCCCAAGGGATTCTCTTTACCAAAATCCCATGCCCAGCTCAAAAAATATGTGTTAACCCAAGCCCATTACCACTTCGAAAACAAACAAAAAAAAAGAAAAACAAAAGGCCCCGAATGGCAAGGGGGCTAGGAAAATGGAAAAATGGAAGCCCATATTCTTTTCTCCTTCAAGCTTCAGCCCAATCTTTTGGGACCCAGGCCTTTTCTACTCAAAACCATCACTTGGTTATCAAACAGCAAGACCTGAGTCAACAATCATTGAGGCCCACAGATTTCCTTGCTGAAGCTTCAAAAACCCAAGTCTACTTTTCTTTTAAAGGTACCCAGCTACCAACAATCACTGAGGCTAACACAGCTTTTATCATACCTTCCAAGTGTTAACGCAACTTCTAGCTTGACAACTTGGGGGACTAGGGACTGCCCTACGGCTCCCACTAAACCTGGAATGCTCGGTCATGATCACACAAAAGCTTACAAGTTCCCAACCCAGAAGTCACTTCTTGACCGCGAACTTGGGGGGACTACTGTTTACACCATAATCAACCGAGCATATCCAGTCTTAAAACAACTAGCACCAAGGCAGACACGCCTTCTCTCCTGCCGAAGGAAGACACTCTTCCGAGGTGCCAAGCACCTGCCGAAACTCCCGACTGCCAAAGCTCACAAACTGTTAAACCTAATTCTCATGACACGTGTCACCACCGCGGCGACTTGCACAGAGTCCCACATCGGAAATCTACACCAACCTCCCACTTTCACTTCCCTATAAAAAGGGAACAGTACCCTAGTAAGAGGGGTAACTACTTTTCTGCCTTTTACTATTACTCTGCAAAAGTTACCCTTCTTAGCTGACTTAAGCATCGGAGAGCCTTCGGGCGGCACCACACCGGTGCCCGGAGCTTGACGACTGCTTCCCCTATTTTTGTCTTCTGCAGGCTAGCCTTTATTGAAGGCCCAGACCCTTTCCCTGCTGAAGGCAAATCCCTTTTTCTCTAAGTTGACCCTCTCCGAAAAAGAGCATCAACAACTTCAAAGCTGTATGTTCATTATCTATTACTACATTCAACTTGAGATATACAACAGATAACCTGTCTGTTACTGAAAATTCAAATTATAAGTTCAGTTACCTTGTTGCATTTATACAGATAACCTGTCCAAACGATGGATTCAACCCGTTTCTGTCACCAACGATCGCCATCGTCAGATTGGTTGCTCAGCTTCTTCTCATTCTCGCCACCCTCCTCCGCCGCCACCAAGGAGGAGCTCAACGAGGCCAAGATCTTTGTCGTCGTCAAGGCCCATCCCTTCGATTCCGAGATCTTCACAGTCGCATCCCATGCAGACTTCGAGAAAGTTCGAGAGCTTGGCTTTGATGAAGGTTCCCATGCTGTCTCATGCGGTAGAGAAGCATTGGAGAAACGAAGACCTTGCTGATGTCGTTAATGATGATGATAATGATGGAGACGACGAGATGTTGTCGCTGCATGAGCTGGTGGGAAGAAGAAGAAGAATCCATGAGCTCCAAGAGGTTGTTGGGGTCTAGCTACATCATCATATCTGGAAAGAGGGAGGTTGGCTGAGGATGGGAATAAGGTGGGCGCGGTGTGGGGCTGGGTTTTGTGTTTTTCGGGCGAAGGGGTGGGGCTGGACCTAGGGGTGGGAATGGGTGTCGGGTTTGGAGGGAGATGGGTTGGGAATGGATATCTGTGAGGGCATTTTCCCTTCTATTTGGTCAGAGAAGAAAGTTTATGGATGGTGGGCGATGTCTAGGTGCTAGTTGGTGGACAGTAGTTTTTGGCGATGGCTAGGTGGTGGTCTGTGGATGATGGTTTTTGGGGATGGTTGGGTTGGGGTGACGGTGAAGGGGTGGGGCTGGCAGGGGAGGGGGTTAGCTTTTAATTTTTATATATTTGATTTTAATGTTTTAAAATTATTTTTAAAGAAAATAATAATTTGTGGACAGAATTGCACCTCTATAATTAACAGAAGTTACAAAAATTTGACAGAAATTGAGGATTGTCCTTGAATTGCTTCAAATTGAAACTACAGGGACAAAATTGACCAAATTGAAATGACAGGGACCAAAGTGGTAAAAGTGGAAAACTACAGGGACCAAAAGTGACTTTTTGCCTATTATATACACTTGTTTTTGCATTGATTAGAGAAAGAATGAAGGTTATCGTTTTGACCATGTCTCTCATTTCTAACAAAAAAATTAGGGTTTCTGTTCATCAGGTTGTCATAGGCTAACTTCAAAAATTCTTTCATCCTGGCTTCCATAGTAAATTCAAATGACTACCATATCAGCTCCTTTAGTTCACCATCAAAACCCTGCATGCATATTCACCTCTGAAATATCATTGCTACATTCAACAATATATGAAGACTTAATTCCGTTTTCTATTCGGTGGTGCTGATCTTGTGATTCTCCTTGTCTCGGCCTAGGCATAGATAAACCAAGATTGCACAGTGAAAGAATGAAAATGAAACAAATTTAAAGCTTGAAAGTGAAAAATAACTTAAAGTTATTGTTAGTTTTAGTTTTCATTTACTAAAGTAGTCCATACACGTTGTTCCACCTCCCTCCTACCATCGTTCCCCTACCGTCCTTCATCGCTCCTTTTTTTCAAATATTTCCTGTGTCTTTATCTCTATTAAGAAAAAAAAGAGAAAAACTTACCATCTCAACATCTGTATCCTTAGGAAAATCTTCGCAAAGTTCAAATGAGATGAAAATATCTCCAATCATGGCCGTTGGCACTCTTTTCTGCTTTGCTTGAACTTAATTGTGCTACATGTGACTAGAAATGCAAATCGATTATGTGAGAGTGACTGGTCAAGGCCCTAAGCCACCAGAACAACCTATGAGAGAAAGATTTGATGTTTCGGACCTCAAATCTTTGAGAGAGAAAATTTTCTTATGTACCAATCAGACCAATAAGTCACTAAAAAACCTAGGGCTGTTTACGGTTCGATAACAGTGTCTTGGAGGAGTTTCCGACCACCGAACCGGAGGTTATCAGCGCACCTATTTTGGAGATCGCCGTCGCGCCGAGTTGATGCAAGACCGACTACAATCCGCACGCCGAGAAGTCGGTGTGGTTTGGTTTGGTTCGGTGAGCATCGATGGCAGCGGATTGAACTAAGATTGAGGACCACTTCTTGGTTGAGGGTATGGGGAGGAAGAAGAAGAAGAAAAAAGAAGAAGATGGAGAGAAGAGGGAAAGAAGAAGAATAAGATGCAGCAACAGCTTGAGGACCACTTCGTGGTTGAGTGTATGGGGAGGAAGAAGAAGGAAAGAAGAAGATGGAGAGAAAGACGAAGAAGATGCAGCTATTTACCAAAAAAAAATAATAATAAAGAAGATGCAGTGGCGGGAGGAAGAGGAAAGAAAAAAAAGATGGAGAGAGAGAGAGAGAGAGAGAGAGGAGAAGAAAGAAGGGGATGTCGGCTGGGATGGGAGAAAAGAAAAAGAAAAGGAGAGTGTGTGGGGCAGGAAAAACCTTAACTTTTTTAAAAAAATATTTAGATTGTAATAAATAATACAATTACACACATTGCACAAGAAGGCACATTAGTCCAGTGGTATTTGGGCTTTGTGTGTGAACTCTGACCAGAGTTCGATTCCTCATGAGTGCATATAGTCTGAATTTTTAGGCAATTTGTATGGAATCAGTCCGGTTTGGGTTTCGCCGGTTTAAAAAAATTCAAACAGGTTCAAAATCGGTTCACTACCGGTTCGGTTCGAGTTTATGCTGATTTTAATAATTTTAATTAAAAAATCGGACCAAACCGCCAAAACCGGTCCAGTTCGGTCTGTTTTCAGTTTAAATGTGCAGCCCTAAAAAAAACCTGAGAAATTAGCAACATCTCTATATAAATTATGTGAATCATTATTTTCACTTGCTACAAGTGGCACCTTTTTTTATATGGAGGTGGAAAGTACTGATGAAATGCTTATCTGTGAAGTACTCCTAGATATTTTCACGAAGAGAAAGAGATAGTGAGAGAGTTAACCCTCCACTCCCTTGATTTCGATCCTTTGGTATATACCATGCTGGTGTTGTGATTGGTTGCTGTTTTCTTCTTGGTGTACAAGCGGACTCAGGTGTGAAGCAGAAAGTGACTTTTGGAGGAATGTTCTTGTGTTGATGTGCTTATGTTTTTTGGGAAAATTTTGTTCTTGGCGTAAGATCTGTGGGTCTCTATGTGCAGCTATGCTGACTTGTGTGGAGGATGTGAATACCCTCCTTTGTGGCCTTGGTGCGGTCTCCAGTACCTTTGTGGCAACGGTGGCTTGGTTTTATATTTTTCTTTGATTTTGTGTGGGGAAGATTTGTTATACTAGACTGTACTGGTTCTTAGTTTAATCTTCCCTGTGCTTATGGTACTTTGTTTCTACATTTGGCTTTTTCGACCTTGTATTCTCTGTTTGTTTTCCTCCCATTTTTGGGGTCTTAATGAACTTTGATTGACCAAAAAAAAGAAAAAGAGAGAAGACATCAAATGCACATGGTCTGAGAATGGAGAAATGCTCTAGATTTATAGGGAAGAGAGGGTCTGATTTTGTTTTTGGTAGAAAATACAATCTTCCATAAAAAATTTGCACACAAGAAAAGGGAGGTGTATGGAAATATAACTAAATGAAAGCTTTCAATTTTTTTCCATATTTTAAAAAATGCTGTCACACATTAAAGGAAAGTGAAAACAATATATGATTTTAATTTTCAATTTACACATTTTTATTGAGTAACTGTTTTTATTGTCCCAAATCCAATTATCATAAGGTTGCCCTGTACACAGTATTTGCTATTTTATTCTCACTTGGCTTCCAAATCAATCCATCCATAAACCTACGAACCTTTGAAATAAAAGTGTTTTGGAAGATGTGTGATTCGGAACGTTAAATCCTCCAAAATCACTAGATAATCAATTTCCTAGACATATACTCATCACTCTATAAATCTATGTGTAAAACCCAATTTCAAATTTAAATGACCAGTAGGATATAAGAGGTCATAATATTCCTATGGTTTTACATCGTTGCCACTAGACTTCATATTTCATTTATAATTTATTTCAAACATTTCATTAACTACTATAATTGTAATTAATACTCCCTATTAATAGCATATCAATCACCCCATTTCTTTTGGTTGTCATTCCCTCTCACATATCACCTCCTAAAATTGCAACCAAAAAAAAACAAAAAAGGGAAATAGAGCTTAATGCCACTTTTAATTTAACTGGAAATACCACATTTCCCCACAAATTTTGCAAGTATCACCTATGAATACATACTTATTGCCCACTTATCGGCCATATAACACTTTTAGTCAGTTTTTGGTTTCTCTCTCTCTCTCTCTAGCTAACTACGCCTCTTCTCATGAAAAAGAAGATCAAGAACAACCTACAAAACCCACAACTTTGCCTTCAAAACCCGGTTCTTCCTCTTCCTCTATGTTTTCTTCTCTATCCAAATCCAAACCCCAACTTCGTCTCTCTTCGAATCCCTTATGCAAAACCATCTTTTCTGAATATGACAGCATGTCTTGGCATTAGGTGGCTATTGTTTGAGAATTTTGGTCCAATTTTGGGGCGGTTTTGAAGTCAGGGTTTACATGCCCTCTTCAAGAATAGCTTCTCCAGAAAATGAACTGATTCACCAAGAGTACCTAGTCTTTTAGATTACAAAAAAAAAGTTCTTTTTCTCCAAACAAAAATATCTGAAAACAAAGGAAAGAAGAAAATGGAGTAACAATTTCACAGCAATCTTTTAAAAAAGCAATGAGATTGACAATGATTATGGTTCCAAAACAATACCAGACATTAAATTAACACATAAATGTTGAGAAAAATACGAAAAGCAGAGAGAGAGAGATCGTAAATAATACTTCAGCCAAGAATATTCTCAACTCCTACACAAATCACAAGCAGATAAAGAAAAATGATATCAACATATATTCCTATTAAATTATAGTAACATATCAATAAAACACCAAAAAAATCAATATAACAAAAATACCATAGCAATACAAAAGCAAACCACTACAACACAATCACAATAAATCACAATACAATTGCAATAGCAAATCAACAATGCTACCTCACTATGATATAATCATAACAAGTTCATAGAAAATCCCAATACCAAATGCAAGAATCAATTGACAAAGAACAAACACATTTGTTGTTTCCGACAAATAAAATCAATCCCAATACTTCACTTTCTACACAAAATATAGACGAAATCAATCACAATTCCAATTTCAGTAATCAAATTCAATTTAACATCAAAAATTACATATTCCCAGCAATTCATTATCTAGAGAAGTTGTTTTGAAGAGGGCATGTAAACCCTGACTTCAAAACCCCCCAAAATTGGACCAAAATGCTCAAACAATGGCCACCTAATGCCAAGACATGCTGTCATATTCAGAAAAGATGGTTTTGTTTGGGTTTGTTTAGGTTGCATAAGGGATTCGAAGAGAGACGAAGTTGGAGTTTGGATTTGGGTAGAGAAGAAAACAGAGAGGAAGAGGAAGAACTAGGTTTTGAGGGCAAAGCTGTGGGTTTTGCAAGTTGTTATTGCTCTTCTTCTTCGTGAGAAGAGGCATACTTAACTAGATGGAGAGAGAGAGAGAGAGAGAGAGAGAGAGAGAGGAGAGAGAGAGAGAGAAACCAAAAACTAACCAAAAGTGTTATCTAGTCGATAAGTGGGCAATAAGTATGTATTTATAGGTGATATTTGCAAATTTGTGGGGAAATGTGGTATTTCCAGTTAAAATTAAAAAAATGGTGGCATTAAGCACCATTTCCCAAAAAAATATATATATGTAAATTACATATCCAATAATGTACCTATGAAAAATAAAAATAAAAATATATACGTATAAAAATATAAATATATTATTTAAATAAAATATAGGTATATTATTTACCAAAAAAATTAAAAAACAATTAAGTCAGTTACTTTGTAATTGAAATTTCCGTACACTTTTCCTAAATTAAAAATAGGTACACAATAATTTATAGAAAATATAGGTACATTATTTACTCATAGGTAAATTATTTTACAATATACCTATAAATGTGTATAGGTGCATTATTTGGAGCGGGAAAATAGGTTCAATTAAAAAACAAAATTGGTACACTGTTTTACTAGTTACGTTATTAGAGAAAAAATAAGGTACATTATTTGGAGAGAGAAAATAGGTTTATTAACAAAAATATATAGGAACACTGTTTTACTAGGTACATTATTAGAGAAGTAAAAAAGGTACATTATTTAGAGAGAGAAAATAGGTTCATTTAAAAAAAATTGTTTTTCATAAAACAAACAATAAAAATATGATCAAATTATTTTTCATAAAACAAATAAAAGGTACTTTATTCAGAGAAAAAGGGGGTACATTATTGGAAGAAAAAATAGGTGCATTATTTAGAGAAAAAATAGGTTCATTTTAAAAAAATATTTTTTTTCATAAAACAAACAATAAATAGATTATCAAAATATTTTTCAACATAATTAGAATGTACACTATTATTCATAAAACTATAATAAAATAGATTACTAGTAGTATATTTCATAAAAGGAAAACAACATAATTTTTTTATTAAATAAACCAAAACGTTAATCACATGTAGATTACTAATACGTTAATGTTGAATTTAATTTCAAATAAGTTTCTAAATTAATTCCTACATCCATTACAACCATTTGAAGATCTTTCCAAATTCAATGTGTGTCATTAGTTACACCCCCACATAACACGTTAACTTGTAAATAGGGGTAGTTTTGGAATCCGAAAAATAGAATAAATCATATTTTAAGCTAGATTAGATAACTTGCTTACTTGAATCCTAGTCATTGGGTTTTATTTGAAAAAATTGGGTATTTTAAATAGAAAAATAAAGGAAAGGGTTGTAAGTGATTGAAAATGAATTTTATGGGTCTAAGCTCAATTTACTATAAAAAATATATATATTAAGCCGTTCTACTATTAATAGTACCGATACCGAATCTTTGTGACAAAACTCCATACATACTGGGTGTGGGCTGCTAGTCTCTCTCTGAAATCTTGAAACCAAGTGATCAACCAAAGTTTTTAATATGTTAATTTTGGTGACATTGAAAAATTATTAATCCCATTGATGGGAAATTGAAGAACGAAAAATTAACCCCATTGATGGGAAATTTGTCATCAATGCTTCTGAATTTGGTATTAGTTGAATCCTGTTTTATTCATTGAATTTGAACTAGGCTTCATTAGGCAAAATTCCAGTAAGAAAATCTTCAAGATTTTTGTAGTAATGAAGGAAATGCAATGTTAACAATTGTAGTAGAGAAAGCTTTTTGCCGCAAGTCTTTATGTCTGCAACAACACTGGAATTCTGTGTTATTATTTGATTAGTAACTTTGAGTAGTAATGAAAGATATGTAGGAGAGGTTATGAAGTTTTGATGTTGTATTCGGCTAACAAAGTAGAAAAAATTGAAGCAGAGGGATCTTCAAGAACTACTTATTTGAAGAGACAATTTAACATCAATCCTTGATAACTCTAAAAAATACATGAACTTATGCTTTAACCATCAAATCTGCTCAAACATTCGAATGATACACAAATGAAATCCAGTACATGAATTATAATACACTTCAACACACTTGGAATTGAAATGGGATTGTTTCTCAAGAATTGATGAGGTTTGAGATGTGGAATTGCAACTTGCTATTCCAAACTTGAAGAACTAACTCTGTATGCACATCCTCATAAAATTCTTCAGAACAGAACTCAACCTCCTCATCAATGTGCTGAAAATAGGGAAACAATATTAAACTAGAAAAATAATACTCATCAGCTTATACTAAAATGGAAAGTGACAAATGGTGGCCAGTCTCAATACGAAATTTTGTCAACTGGAAAAAAAAAGGCAATATACAAAACACTCTAGAGCTAAAGAGAAGGATGCATGAACTTCTAAACACAATAAGTTACACCACATCCAGTATTCCAATGCGGTAAATGTGAGAATCCTATCAGTAAAGAATGTGACCATGCTGACCAGTATTCCTATCAGTATAATTTAACAAAACAAAAACATGATCATATCACTAAAAACAGAAAAGTTCCTTCAATTCCTATATATCATCAGATGGAGATACAAAATACATTAAAGAAACCTATCAGAAACCCAATTAACGTAAATCCTAGCCATCTAGAAATCCCGTCTTAATGATTTCCTTTGTGTGATTTGACTTGCAAGAAGAAGTATTTTGTTCAACAAGAGAGAGGGGGTGAAGAGAACGATGTAGAAATATAAGTGTACATTTCTCTCTAATATTTTAGAGCACCCAGGGGTCTCCTTATTTTAGGATCAAGACAGGAGCATTTTTGGAGTTGGGTTCCTGACATTCACTCTAAATTTTAACTTAGAATCTCATTTAGGGAGGAGCCCATTGGAGATTCTCTAATGAGATACCACATCAAAATTAGGCTGTTTGTTTTGTTTTCGTCTACTATATCGCAATGATAGAACACTTGAATTAACATAACCTCAAACACAAATGAAATACATTGTAAATTCTTGTCAAATCGAAGCTTAAACAATCTTCACACGTAATTTTCTTTGTTTATATCATTAGAATCTAATTTGATCATGCTAACTCAATTTAATTCTTTCCTTAATATGACATAGTATGGCATATTGTTTTTAGTAATAAGATTTACTTAATATAGAAGTTGGAGATGGCAACATATATATACTCACCTCTGCACTTCTCTGTGTTAACATCATATCTCTACTATCTCATTAGAATTCGGTCTCCTATTCAAAAGAAAAGAATGTGTATCATTGAGATGCAATCAGGTTTGAAAAAGAAACACTTTAATTGTTATATTATTGACTAAACACCAGTGAGCATTCAGGAGCATACCTTTTTTCGTGAATGTTCCCTATAGTGCTATTGAGGTCCCCCATCCACTCAGACTTTCCCAACTCTTTGTGTACTTGGATTACAGAATGTGTGTTGACAACCTTAGAAGCAAATGTTCTTAAATATGGACATCTTTTAACCTTCAATTCCATCAAAGATGGCAACTTCAAAGTATAAGCTTCAGTAGAGAAAAAAATGAGGTTTGGTAGATCTTTAAGCGTCATGGAATTCAGTCGAGGAAATGTAATTTCCTGATCAGCACATTTAGTGTCTGCTTTTGCAATAACTTGTTCAATCTTCTCACAATTCCTAACTTTTAAGTCCTTTAAACTGATAAGGAGATTGGCTACAGTTGACAAGAACAAATATCGCAAACTGCCACAGTGGGATACACTTAAGAATGTCAAGTTTCCGAAGCCTGTGAAATGTTGTGAACCGCCGGTTTCCCATACGTGCATTAAACTTGGCAATTTGTTTAACAACAAGTAACACAACTTATTGAATGCTTGAACATTGTGGCTTTCCACAGCCTTTGGTCCCTTGAGTTGGAAAACAACTTCCAATGACTCACAATACTACAGAAAGACGTTCTAGATTATCGTAATCATTTGAGTCTTGATCAAGATTTGTTGGTGCGACCTAGAAAATCAAACATCAATTGAGCAATTGTATATAATTTATATAATTTCAATATGGCAATGTCATTTTCATTCTCAATTGTAGCTTACCTCTTGATTGACTGGACGTGGCAATATTTGAACAATATTTCTTCTTGAAGTAGGTTTGGTCATTGGGACACATGAATAAGGTGTACATCCACATGATCCTGATGAAATACCTTCGTCTTCGTCTTCATGATGAGCTATTGAATCTTTTTCCAACTGTTTTATTTGTGGAATTACTGAAGCCAATGTCTTCAGTTTGTCGCATCCTCCCACAAACATAATTTTGGCGGCTGACCATAAAGAAGTAGAAGCATCAGGACAAAGACTCTCAAGACTCGGAAGCCGTTGTAGATCAAAACTATTTAGTTTGGGAAACAAAGTCATGCCCGTCTGATCCTCTTTTTCATTTTCATCAGCGGATCTGACTATAGTTTCCATTTTAAAGCATCCCGCTATGTTGAGCTCTTCAAAGATTCACAAGTAGCCTGGCAATTGGAGATCACGACCATATTCTATTCTTAAACATCTTAAGTTTTGGAAGCCCTGGAATCCACGCGAAATGTTCTTCCAAAGGTGTTGACATGAAGAAAACCGTATGGACAAATTTTGCAAATGAGAAAATGCTGGAACTACCTGCCCATCCCTAACCATATGGCCTTTCAGATCAAAGAACACATCTACATTGGCCTCTTGTAGTTCCACTTCTTCAAAATTTAGTTCCACTTCTTCTAGATTTGTAACCATAAAATGCACTTTGGTGGAAATACTGCTCTTTCAAAGCTTCTAGAAGATTGATGCTCATCATATGAAGTTCCTACCACATTTTGATCCTTAGGTGTTGTTACCTAAAAAGGTTCATTAATTAATAAATATTTAAAGAAACATTTTGTATATTCAAAAATGAAATTAATAACAAGCTCAATTATTATTATTTAAATTACTTCAATATGACTTCATATTAAAATATTAATAAAACCAAGTTTTAATCGGAGGACTAGTCAGTTTCTAGATTCTTTAGACAAAACCTCTCCTCTGCTTTGCAGAATAATAATCACATAAAAGCTAGACTTTGTGATCCAACGTGGCAAGAATTTTCCAGTAAATAATTTGGAGCGTGGCAATTAAGTGTTGGTGCTGTTTATAGCTTTGAATAAATACAAGCAATTGAAAAAAAAAAAAAAAAAGTTTTAACCAACTTAAATTCGTTGCTTCTTTAGATAGTTCGAGATTTCTAAATATATTATGTAATGAGACCATTAACAAAAATGAGTCCAAAATTTCTACAAATAAATATATGAAATGGACTAAATTATTTATTTATTTATTTGTGGTCTGCACATGCTCAATTATTTATTTATTTATTTGTGGTCTGCACATACTTTAAATTCTTAATCCTTTTCAAGAATAAATCTTCACATTTCTTAAATAAGAGTCGAACACTTTGAATCTCCATGAATTCTGTTGCATCACTTTGAAAAATCTCCAACTTATTTTCGAATGCATAAATTGTTGATGGTCCAAATTTAACATTCCATGGTACATAGTCTCTATTGGATATGTGGAATCTTATCGTTGTCAAGTAAAAGTCTTTCGGAAAGAAGTTGAAATCGGGTATATCTATGACTAAAGCCTTCAAATGATTAGACAAAGACATCAACTCAACAAGGCTTGCCATCCTCTTATCTTCGCTTTCTGCTGCTGATTGTTCCCATTTGAGAAAACTATTTTCCATATACAACTCTTCAAGACTAGATAAGCTCGATAAGAGACCATGTGGAATCTTCTTCAGACGATAACAATCCGTGATATCTAACAACCTTAAATGTTTAAGAAGTCCAATTTCCCTCGGCAACTCTAAGATTTCAAAGCATTCACGAAAGCTGAGGATCTCTAAATTTTCCAATCTTCCAATAACATCAGATATATCTGTTAAATACGGACAACCATTTAGGGACAAGGTTCGAAGGCCCTTTAGTACTCCTAGTGAACTTGGCAAGGCTGATATCCCACACACGTCTACCAATGCTAAAACCTTCAGCTCTTTCATCCCTTTACACATGATGTCCATGCTATTTTCCGAATAACATTCGCCTTCTAAGTGTAGAAGCTCAAGTTTTGGGACAATCCAGACCAACTGGGATCTCATCAATATTAATTGGTATCAGTGAGATTGTTGTGTAATGGTCGTATATCTTTGGCCACCCTTTCTTTTCAGCATCACATCTTATTAGAAATCTATGTGGTTCTCTTGAGGCAATTTGTATGGCAACATCACGAACTATGTCATGCATCTTGATATGCTCTTCCGATTTGCCATCTAGCAACAAAAACCTTCTTTGAAGTTTGTCAACCAAAGAATACACTCTATTTCTTGCTTCTTCCACTGAATCCGTGTTACTAAAATACCCTCGACCCCACCCATATCTAACCAAATACTCAATTGGAATATCATAATCTTCAGGAAATAAACAACAAAGCAAAAGGCATGATTTCTCTTCATCACTCTCCAATCTATCATAACTACATTGTATGCTTGAATAAACTTTGTCATTCATCGAAGAGATGCTTCCGGGGGCTGAACTTTGTAGCTGTTTGAGGGCATCATCCCATACATGCTTCCTCTTATTTTCTAGTGCTTTCGCAACAGTTAAAATTGCAATAGGTAAACCTGCACACTCATTCGTGACTCGTTTTGCCAAATCAGGATAGTCCAAGGGTTTACCTACAATTTCACGGAAGAGTTCCCATGATTCCTCTGGTGTTAAAACGGGGATTGTAAAAATTTCTTGACTTCCCATTGCATTGCATACTTCCAAGTTTCGCGAGGTCAACAAAACTTTGCACCCTTTATGAGAAGGAATTCCTATACCCTCAAAATCGAGCTCTGTCCACACATCATCTAATACAATCAGGATCCTTTTTATTTCCATGAGTCTTCCATGGAGCCTTCGCGCTCTTCCACTTTCGGTATTCTCATCATATTTAAAACTCAACTCCTCTGCAATTTCTAATTGAATCTTCTGAATGTTTGGGCTTTGGGACACAACTGCCATCACAACATTATCAAATACTTTCAATCCTGCCAATCTTTTGATGATTTCTTTCACCATTGTGGTTTTACCCACACCCCCCCATACCACAAATCCCAATCATTCTAACTTCTTCATTCTTCAAAACCTCTGTCACCCTATTCACATGTGTCATTCTGGATTTAAAATCCTTAAAACCTTCTTTGAATGTTGACCATATCATCGGTGGAGGTGCAGGATGGGCAACATTATTGAATGTTCCTTCTTTTTGGAGATAAAGAACATCTTGTGTAATCTTAGTGGCTTTCCTACTTATGTTCCACCGGTACAAGCATCGCCTTTTCATGCTGACTTCTTCCTCAAAATGCAACACTTTCTGAATTAACTTGTCAACACTTGTTTGCCAACTTTGAACATCATAGTTGATAACTTCACCATTCCTTTTGGCAGCTTTAACCGATTCTTGCACCCTATCTTTCATCTCAAAAAGCTGTTTAAGTTCATCCTTTAGATCTTTCATGTTGGTATCATAGTAAATCAAATAGCCAAATTCTCTGCCTATTGGTGTCACCAAGGACTCTGCAATTTTGGACGCAATTGAAATAACAATATCCATTTCCTTGTGAGATCAAAGACACGTAGATGAAACGCTTATCTCTGTATCTTGTCTCCCAATCTGTACAAAATCCAATGAAAATAGGGATGGCTGTTTTTTAATATTTTATATTTATTTTATATCACTTTGTACGATTTTACCACTATCAATGACTTTAAAAAAAAAAAAAAAAAAAAAAAAAAAAGTAAAGCCATCTGACAATTGTTTACTAAGATTTCGTACGCCTTTTTTTGTTATTAGCTGGCCAAAAGGATTAAGTCTTACTAAGATTTAGTTGAATTTCTAGTTTTATTGGTTTTTAATTTCCTTTGCCAATTAGGTTTTCTTAAGAAACCCAAGGGATAAGATTGTTGGGCTGCTTTACTCTAATATAAATAGACTATTAAGAGACTCATGTATTCAATTTTTTACGCATATAATTCCAGAGTTTAGTCGCTACAGTTTCTTTTAGGATATTTGACCTAGAACTCAATTATCGTCATTCTAACTTCTATTCTATAGCTTTATCATTTTATTATATGTATTTTGGGACTGTTTGGTTCACTAGACAACAACTTATAGACGCTACCCTGCATCAAATTGGTACCAGAGGCTAGGAAAATCCTTCCTTCTCACCATGGTTGGTCATGGTAGAGGTTGTGGACAAGGGAACTAAGCCCAAAACACATAGATGACTGAGATGCGACGTATAATGGAAGATATGCCGAGAGCGGTGCAAGCCCTCCAATGACAGAAATTACAGATGCCTATATGGAGACTCGGGAATGCAACCATGGTGATGGTGATTGAGGTGGATCGGAAGAGCAGTTGGTTCATGCATTAGGTTTGAATGGTGGAGGAATTAAAATTGAAGTTACTGATTTTTATGGAAATGTGCATGTAGAAGATTATTTAGATTCAGAGGCAAGTCTAGAGAATGGAAACCTATGGTAGAAGCGTAAGACATTACATTGTCTTAAACCATATTAGAATGGTCTTCTAATAACATAGGAGTTGTAGTTTAGTATTAATCAAGAAACAGAACTCGAGCATATCTGCAGTTCTAGTTTAAAGTGAAGTTTAATTAGAAAACTAGAGCTTTGAGGATTCCTAGTCCTACATGGATTAAAACATTCTATCCTAGTGCAATCAGGATTTGTTAAGTGCTCTTTGATAGGCAAAATACTTAAGCAATGGATATATATAGAGGTCCCTTCCCTAGTAGTCAAGACACACTTATATTGATATCTAACCCCATCCAGAGAAAGTTGAAGGACTTCATAGGAGAAGAAGATTTCTATACCTTCACCACAGCCATGTCTGACCAAGATTAGTGTTAGGTTAGTCTAGGGAGAAGCTTTGAAAACAAAAAATTATATATTCAATAGAGTACCTACTAAAAGTTTAAATGCTAACCCTTATGAAGTTTGCGTTAAAAGAAAACCAAGTTTGAATCACCTCAGAGTGTGGGGCTGTAAAGTTGAAGCAAAATCATACAATCCTATGGAAAAGAAGTTGGATTCAAGAACAGTCAGTGGCTATTTTGTCGGCTATCTAGAAAGAACTAAAGGCTACAGATTTTACTACCCTCAAAATACAACCAGATTGTAGAAACTCAAAGAGCAGTATTCATAGATTCTAAAATGAGGCAACAGAAGAATAAAATTTCGATTTTAATGAAGTTATAATAGAAAATGGAGATACAGTGAATTCTAATGCAGATAACAGAACTCTAGTGTTACCTAGCTTTGACTTGAGTAGCACACAATCTGTACAGGAAGATGAAATAGTGAAATAGTTGGAGATCCAATGATACTTGAACAAGAAACTCAAGAACAGCAAGTTCTGCCACCATAAAACACAAATGAAAATCAACCAGCAGAACAAAACCATGAACAAATGGACACATAGAGTTGAGAATATCACAAAGACCAAGGAAAAGAGCACTACCTAATGACTACTACGTATATTTACAAGAATCTGAGCATGATGTGAATGCAATTAAAGATCCCATGAACTATATGAAAGCAATGTCCAATGAGAAAAATGAAAATTGGTGGGGAGCTATGAAATCAGAATTAAGCTCTACGGAGAAAAATGGTGTGTGGGAGCTAGTGAACCTGCCACAAATTGCAAACTTATAGGTTGCAAATGGGTTTTCAAAACCAAGAGAACCCTAAGGGACAAATTGATAGATATAAGGCAAGACTAGTTGTCAAAGGATACACGCGGCAAGAAAGGATAGATTACAATGAAATCTATTCACTAGTTTCAACTAAGACTCATTTAGAGTATCATGGCATTGGTAGCACATTTCAATTTACACTTACATCAAATGGATGTAAAGACTGCATTCTTGACTGGAAATCTAGAAGAGGAATATATATGAAACAACCAAAAGGTTTCATTCAAGAGAAGGGAGAAATCTAGTATGTAAACTGTGTAAATCGATTTATGGTCTTAAGCAAGCTTCTAGATAGTGATATATCAAATTTGATGAATTTGTTAAGCAATATGGTTTTTACAAAAAAAAATTCATTGGATGAATTCATTTACATGAAGAAGAGTGGGAGAAATTTCATCATATTGGTATTATATGTGGATGACATCTTATTGGCATGCACAGATTTATCAATGTTACATAGCTGTAAAGAATTCCTGTCAAAACATTTGAAATAACAGATCTTGGTGAAACATCTTATGTTTGGGAATTGAAATTAGAATGGATTATCACAGAAGAATTATATAGAAAATATATTGCAAAGATCAATATGCAAGGATGTGGTGGAACATATATGCCTATTTCAAAAGCAAACAAGTTGAGCAAGAACAGGCACCAAGGACATACTTTAAATTCTTAATCCTTTTCAAGAATAAATCTTCACATTTCTTAAATAGAGTCGAACAGTTTGAATCTCCATGAATTCCGTTGCATCACTTTGAAAAATCTCCAACTTATTTTCAAATGCATAACAACCAGTATTTTTGAATGAATCTCCAAAAAGCTTCAACCTTTTAAACAATCTGTTGGATATGTGGAATCTTATTGTTGCCCGGCTTGTCAAGTAAAAGTCTTTTGGAAAGAAGTTGAAATCGGGTATCTCTATGACTAAAACCTTCAAATGATTAGACAAAGACATCACCTCAACAAGGCTTGCCATCCTCTTATCTTCGCTTTCTGTAGCTGATTGTTCCCATTTGCGAAAACTATTTTCCATATACAACTCTTCAAGACTAGATAAGCTCGATAAGAGACCATGTGGAATCTTCTCAAGACGATCACAATTCGTGATATCTAACAACCTTAAATGTTTAAGAAGTCCAATTTCCTTCGGCAACTCTAAGATACTAGAGCATTTACGAAAGCTGAGGATCTCTAAATTTTCCAATCTTCCAATAACATCAGATATCTGTTAAATAACGACAACCATTTAGGGACAAGGTTCGAAGGTCGTATATCTTTGGCCACCCTTTCTTTTCAGCATCACTCTTATTAGAAATCTATGTGGATCTCTTGAGGCAATTTATATGGTAACATCACGAACTATGTCATGCATCTTGGTATGGTCTTTCAATTTGCTCTCTAGCAACAAAAACCTTCTTTGAAGTTTGTCAACCAAAGAAGCACTCTATTTCTTGCTTCTTCCACTGAATCAATGTTACTAAAATACCCCTCGACCCCATCCATATCTAACCAAATATTCACTGGAATATCATAATCTTCAGGAAATAAACAACAAAGCAAAAGGCATGACTTCGCTTCATCACTCTCCAATCTATCATAACTCCATTGTATGCTTGAATAAACTTTGTCATTCATTGAAGAGATGCTTCCAGAAGCTGAACTTTGTAGCTGTTTGAGGGCATCATCCCATTCATACTTCCTCTTATTTTCTAGTGCTTTCGCAACGTTAAAATAGCAATAGGTAAACCTGCACACTCATTTGTGACTCGTTTAGCCAAATCAGGATAGTCCAAGGGTTTACCTATGATTTCACGGAAGAGTTCCCATGATTCCTCTGGTGTTAAAACTGGGATTGTAAAAATTTCTTGACTTCCCATTGCATTGCACACTTCCGAGTTTCGCGAGGTCAACAGAACTTTGCACCCTTTATGAGGTCCATAAGGAAGTCCATAGCCTCAAAATCGAGCTCTGTCCACACATCATCTAATACAATCGGGATCTTATTTATTTGCTTGAGTCTTCTGTAGAGCTTAGTGCTCTTCCACTTTCGCTATCCTCCCCATCATATGTAAATCCCAGCTCGTCTGCAATTTCTGATTGAATCTTCCGAATGCTTGGGCTTTGGGACACAACTGCCATCACAACATTATCGAATACTTTCAATCCTGTCAATCTTTTGATGATTTCTTTCACCATTGTGGTTTTACCCACACCCCCCATACCACAAATCCCAATCATTCTAACTTTTTCATTCTTCAGAAACCTCTATCGCGCTATTCACATATGTCATTCTGGATTTAAAATCCTTAAAACCTTCTTTGAATGTTGACCATATCATCGGTGGAGGTGCAGGATGGGCAACATTATTATTGAATGTTCTTCTTTTTGGAGATGACGATGAACATCTTGTGTAATCTTAGTGGCTTTCCTACTTATGTTCCACCGTACAAGCATCGCCTTTCATGCTGACTTCTTCCTCAAAACGTGACACTTTCAATTAACTCGTTAACACTTTTGTAGCCAACTTTGAACATCAGAGTTTGATAACTTCACCATTCCTTTTGGCAGCATTAACTGATTCTTGCACCCCATCTTTCATCTCAAAAAGTTGTTTAAGTCATCCTTTAGATCTTTCATGTTGGTATCATAGTAAATCAAATAGCCAAATTCTCTGCCTCTTGGTGTCACCAAGGACTCTACATTTTGGACGCAATTGAAATAACAATCTCATTTCCTTGTGAGATCAAGACACGTGGATGAAATGCTTATCTCTGTATATTGTCTCCCAATCTGTACAAAGTCCAATATGTACACTTTGTACGATTTTACCATTACCAACGAAATTTTTATTTGCCTTAATGTCACATCTTCTGACAATTGTTTACTTTGACACCTTTCCGAAGATTATGTTTTCTTTAAAGGGATAAAATTTTTATTTATATTTGACTATGCCTTTATTATTTATTATTAACTGGCCCCATTGGACCAAAGGAATAAGTTTATATAGAGGACTCATCAGCAAATAGTTGTGTCTTAGCTATATTAAATTACAGTTAATTTGTTAATCGTTTTCCTATTCTTACTAAGATTTGGTTGAGTTTCTAGTTTCATTGATTTTTAATTTCCTGTGCCAATTAGTTTTTATTAAACACCAGGATAAGATTGCTAGGCTGCTTTACTCTTGTATAAATAGGCTATAAGAGACTCATGTATTCATTTTTTATAAATATAATTCTAGACTTTATCCCTACAGTTTCTTTTAGGATATTTACCTAGAACTCAATTATTTTCGTTCAACTTCTATTTCATAGATTTTTCCTTTTATTCTATGTATTTGGGACTGTTTGGTTAACTGGACAACTACTGATAGACTCTACCCTTGGCACCACAAACATTCTATTCTAGTGCAATTAGGATTTGTTTAAGTGTTCTTCGATGGGCAAATACTTAAGCAATGCCTAATATAGAGGTCCTTTTTCCTAGCAGTCAAGATAGGACTCATATTGATATCCCCCCCCATCTAGAGGAGTTATGGACTACATAGGAGAAGAGATTTCTATCACTTCACCACAACCATGTTAGACCAAGGTAGTGTCGGGTTAGTCTGGGAGAAGCATTGAAAACGGAAAATTGTATATTGAATAAGTACCTACTAAAAGTGTAAATGCTATCCCTTATGAGTTTGGGTTAAAAGAAAACCGAGTTTTGAATCATCTCATAGTGTGGGGCCATAGAGCTGAGCAAATTATACAATCCTACGGAAAAAAAGGTCGATTCAAGAATAGGCAGTGGCTATTTTGTTGGCTATCCAAATGAACTAAAGGCATAGATTTACCTACCCTCAAAATACAACCAGATTTGTAGAAACTCAAACAGCAGTGTTTATATATATAAAAATGATGCAACAAAAGAAGAAAATTTCAATTTTGATGAAGTTATAATAGAAAATGGGAGACATAATGAATTATAATGTTACCTAGCTTTGACTTGCGTAGCACCCAATCTGTACAGGAAGATGAAATAGTTGGAGATCCAATGATACTTGAACAAGAATTCAAGAACAACAAGTTCTGCCACCAGAAACACAAATAAAAATCACCAGCAGAACAAAACCATAAACAAATGGACATAGAGTTGAGAGATCACAAGACAAAGGAAAAGAGCACTACATGATGACTACTACATATATTTACAAGAATTTGAGCATGATGTGAATGTAATTGAAGATCCCCATGAACTATAAGCAAGAACTGTCCACTGAGAAAATGAAAAATGTTGGGAGCTATGAAATCAGAATTCAGCTCTACAAAGAAAAGGTTGTAGAACTATGAACCTGCCACAAAATTGCAAACCTATAGGTTCAAATGGGTTTTCAAAACCAAGAGAAACCCTAAGGGACAAAATAATAGATATAAGGCAAGACAGTTGCCAAGGGATACACATAGTAAGAAGGATGAGTACATTTAAAACTTCTTCACCAGTTTCAACCAAAGACTCATTTAGAGTAATCATGGCAATGGGATCACTTTTTCTATTTACACTTCTCAAATGGATGTAAGACTGCATTCTTGACTAAATCTAGAAGAGGAAATATATATGAAACAAGGGAGAACTGTATGTAAACTGTGTAATCGATTTATGGTCTTAATCACGTTCTAGACATGGTATTCAAATTTTGATGAAGTTGTAACATTATGGTTTTTTGCATAATATTCTTGGATGAACGCATTTACATGAGAAGAGTTGGGAGGAATTTCATCATATGGTATTAATTGGATACATCTTTATTGGCACAGATTTATCAATGTAACATAGCTGTAAAGAATCATGCAAAATTTGAATGACAGATCTTGGTGAAGCATCCTATGTTTCGATTGAAATTAGCAAGAATCAATAGAAAGGGTTCTTGGATTATCACAGAGAATTATATAGAAAAGGTACCTGCAGAGATTCAATATCAAGGATGTGGTGGAACTGAAATGCCTATTTCAAAAGCGATAAGTTTGATAAGGACCGGCACAAAAGGACTGAACAAGAGAAAATTTAGATACTACAAACCTTATGCCTCCTTAGTAGGCAATCTATGTATGCACAAGTCTACACAGACTTGACATAGCCTTTCCTACGAGAAGGTGTGGAGAGATTTACAGAGACTAAGATACAAATTGGTTTAAGAAGAACAACATTTGAGAATTAGAAGCTTTGCGTATGCTAATTTTGACGACAGGATCTGCAACAATAACCAGAAGAAAACTAAAGATTACAAATTGGTTTCAAGACCACTACTAACACACAATACCAGATCTGCAGTCAACACCAAACTTTAACCTGCAATCATTTTAACCTAGAAAAAATACTAAGTGACAACTCATCACTCAGAGGATCCGTCATCTAGAACTCCACAATGCTAGCAACAACTATAGTGAGTAAATGTGTGCATTCATTCATTATCATCAGCAGCGGTATATACCAAATAGAGACTTCACGACATTGAAGAATACAGCAACATCGTTAACACCAATAAATTTTCATCCCATAAACCCGACTAGTTGGAAAAACTGGGGGGATGTATCACCTCGACCAGGCACTCCACAACCACAAGAGATTCGTACAGAGATACTCCACCAGCTCAAAGATATCCTTAATCTAGTTAAGGCGCAACCTACCCTATGCAAGCTACAAGCTCACCTCAGCAACTTTATTGCTCGTTTTCATGGAAGTGGCAGTTCTCAACTTGCTTTTCACTTCTCTGTATAAAGCGAGACTCGTCACAACAGCAGCGTTACTGTGTGGTTTTGTAGGTTCAAATGGCTTGGAGACGATTTTTTCCAGTTATCAACATCTTGGAAACCTCTTTGAATTCTGAACCAAAGCTAAATGTATGCATATAATAAAATAGATTTAGATTTAGTTGAAAAACCTAAGCACATTTCAAAAGCACGATTGAATCTCGTTTTCGAAAAAACTTCTCGCGTCTCCCTTACAAAGTGTAGGTAACCACCCTCCCAAAAATCAAACATGAAAAAGGCAAGTGCATACTGTCACCACCCGTTTTTAGACCTTTGGCCCAAACACAAGACAACAACACTCGTTTATTAAAATTAGCGGCTAAATCTGATCAAATACCATGGAAGATCAACACTTGTTGTGTCCAAATTTAGCTACCCCAAAATTGATTGCGTTGCGTCCGCACTTTGGGATACTCAGCAATACCGAGCTGTTCGGATTGTATAGCTATGTAAGTGTGTGTCGATCCCAAATGTTGATGATAGATTGATTCAGTTGGATTCTTGACAAACCAGAAAATGGACCATTTTTACAGATGATATAGAAGAGCAAGATGAACAGACTTAAAAATTAAACAACTGATTTTGGGGTGAAAACAGTTGAACATAGGGAACAACCCAATTCTAAGTCTCAAGAAATCAATTAAAATTCGTTCAAGTAAAAAAGATAGATTCTCCTCCTAATGTATAATCTAGCCAGGTGTTGGCTAAACCTGGTATTCTTAATTCCCTACTTAGATAACAAAAAAAAAAAAAAAAAAAAAAAAAAAAAAAAAAAAAAAAAAAAAAAAAAAAAAAAAAAAAAAAAAAAAAAAAAAAAAAAAAAAAAAAAAAAAAAAAAAAAAAAAAAAAAAAAAAAAAAAAAAAAAAAAAAAAAAAAAAAAAAAAAAAAAAAAAAAAAAAAAAAAAAAAAAAAAAAAAAAAAAAAAAAAAAAAAAAAAAAAAAAAAAAAAAAAAAAAAAAAAAAAAAAAAAAAAAAAAAAAAAAAAAAAAAAAAAAAAAAAAAAAAAAAAAAAAAAAAAAAAAAAAAAAAAAAAAAAAAAAAAAAAAAAAAAAAAAAAAAAAAAAAAAAAAAAAAAAAAAAAAAAAAAAAAAAAAAAAAAAAAAAAAAAAAAAAAAAAAAAAAAAAAAAAACCTTCCTTCTCACCATGTGTGTCAATGGTAGAGGTGTGGACAAGGGAACTAAGGCCTCAAAACACAGAGAGGACTGAGATCGACGTATAGGGGAAGAATGACAGAAGGCGCTTTGCAAGCACTCCACTGACAGAAATTCAGATGCTTATGGAGACTCGGGAATGCAACCATGGTGATGGTGATTGAGGTGGATCGGAAAGAGCAGTAGTAGGTTCATGCATTAGGTTTGAAGGTGGAGGAATTAAAATTGAAGGTTACTGATTTTATGGAAATGTGATGAGAAGATGTTTTAGAATTCAAGAGCAAGTCTAGAGAACTGGAAACATATGGTGGACAGCCGCTAACAGACCCATTACACAGGTTGTCTTAAAACCATATTAGGGAATGGTCTTCTAAGAACATAAGAGTTGTAGGGTAGTATTAATCCAAGAAAGAACAGAACTCGAGCATATCGGCAAGTCTGTTTAAATGAAGTTTATTAGAAAACTAGGCGCTTTGAGGATTCCTAGTCCTTTTTTTACATGGATTAAAAAAATTTAGCTAGTGCAATCAGGATTGTTACGGCTCTTGATAGGCAAAATACTAAGCAATGGCTATATATAGAGGTTCCTTCCCTAGTAGTCAAGACAAACTTCTATTGATATCTAACCACTCCAGAGAAATTGAAGGACTTCATAGGAGAAGCAGATTTCTATACCTTCACCACCGCCAGTAGACAAGATTAGGGTAGTTCGTCTAGAGAGCTTTTGAAAACAAAAAAAGTATAGATTCAATAGAGTACTACTAAAAGTTTAAGCTAACCCTTATGAAGTTTGCGTTAAAAGCACACCAAGTTTGAATCACCTCGAGTTGTGGGGCTGTACAGTTGAAGCAAAGCATACATCCTATGGAAAAGAAGTGGGATTCACAGAAAAGTCAGAGGCTATTTTGGCGGCTATCTAGAAAGAATAAAGGCTACAGAGATTTACTACACGTCAAAATACAACCAGATTGAGAAACTCAAAGCGCAGTTATTCATAGATTCTAAAAATGACAAACAGGAGGAACAGAAGAATAAAAATTTCGATTTTACTGAAGGATAATAGAAAATGGAGATACAGTGAATTCTAATGCAAGATAAACAGAAACTCTAGTGTTACTAGTTTGACTTGAGTCGCACACAATCTGTACGGAGAGGAACTTGAGTGAAATAGTTGGAGACCAATGATATTGAACAAGAAACTCAAGAAACAGCAAGTCCTGCCACCATAAAAACACAAATGAAAATCAAACAGCAGAAACAAAAACCATGAACAAATGGACCATCGAGTTGAGGCATATCACACCGACCCAGGAAAAGCGCACTTACCAATGGACGACTACGTGATGTAGTTACACGAAATCTGAGCATGAGGTGGATGCAATAAAGATACCCCGAGACTGCTATATCGAAAGCAATGTCCACAATGCGGGAAAAATGACAACTGTGGGAGCCTATGAACTCCGAAGAATTAAGCTCTACGGAGAGAACGAAAAAAAAATGGTGTCCACCACGTGTGTGGGAGATAGTGGAACTGCCACAAAATTGCAAATGTTATAGGTTGCAAAGGGTTTTCAAAACACCCCAAGAGGACACTAAAAGGGACAAATTGATAGATATAAGGCAACTAGTTGTCAAAGGATACATAGTAAGAAGGGAGAGTACATTAAAAACTTTTCACAGTTCAACCAAAGACCTTTAGAGAATCCGGCATTGGTAGCACTCAATTTTACATTTACATCATCAAAAAATTTTTTAAGCAAAATGGGGGCCCCAAGAGGCTTCGTGTATTGAAGAATCTGAGAGGAAAATATATGAAACCAAAAGCGCGAGAAGGAAAAATCTCGTTATGTAAATTGTGGTAAATTGATTTTGGCCTAATCACGTTCTAGACAGAGGTATATCAAATTTGATGAATTTGTTAAGCAATCTGGTTTTTACAAAAATCTTGGTATGACTTCATTTACATGAAGAAGAGTGGGGGAAGAAATTCATCATATTGGTATTATGTGGATGACATCTTTGGCATGCACGATTATCAATGTGACATAGTGTAAAGAAATTCCTGTCAAAATTTGAAATAACAGATCTTGGTGAAAGCTTAGTTTGGGAATTGACCTTTGAGCATGGGTTATCACGAAGAATTACTAGAAACTCTATTGCAAGATCCATGCCAAGGTGTGGTGGAACATATATGCCTATTCACAAGCACCGTTGCGCAAGGAAAGGCACCCAAGGACCTCCCGTAACTCTTCTCTCTTTTCACATCCATCTCACATTTCTTAAAAAGAGCGACGTGTGAACATCTCCATGAAGTCCCGGTTGCATCAACTTGAAAAACTCAAACTTATTTTCAAATGCATAAACCCGTATTTGACTGCAGTCCCACAGTTCACCCCTTGTTTAACCCCCTCGTTGGTCATGTGGACTCTTCTTGTTGCCCCTCCTGGGGACCAGTAACAAGTCTTTTGGAACGCAGTTGCCCATCGGGTCTCTCTATGACTAAAACCTTCAAATGATAGACAACGGACATACCTCAACCACGGTTGCCCTTCCCTCTCTCTTCGCTTTCTGAGTTGAGTTTCCCATTTGCGAAAACTATTTTCATCTACAATCTTCCACGATAGATCGGCTCGATACGAGCCATGTGGACTTTTCAAAGACGAGCACAATTCGGCTATCTACAAAACTTAAAGTTACTAGTTAGTTACACGTTACACGAAGTCCATTTCCTTTCGGCAACTCTCAGATACAGGCATTTTTACGCAAAGCGAGGATCTCTCAATTTACAAATCTTTCCATAACATCAGAAAATCTGGTAATAACGACAACCATTCGAGGGGACAAGTGCGAAGTTCGTTTATCTTGGACCTTTTTCCGCAATACATTTATGAAATTATGTGGAGGTCTCTTGAGGCACTTATAGTATGGAACATCACGACCTATGCAGCCATCTGGCTGATGGTCTTCAATTGCTCTCTCGCAACAAACCTTCTTTGAAGTGGTCACCCAAAGAAGAATCTATTTCTTGCTTTCCATGAATCAATGTTACTAAATACCCTGCCCCATCCAGTCGAACCCAAACTCTTAAGGAAGTCCATAATCTTCAGGAATAAACAACAAAGGCAAAAGGCCAGGACTTCGCTCATCACGCTCACGTCATCATAATCCATGTATGCTTGAATAAACTTTGTCATTCATTGAGAGATGTCCAGAGAGGGAACTGTGTCGCTATTTGAGGGAATATATCTCCATTCATACTTCCGCTATTTCTAGGCTTTCGGCAACGGTTAAAATAGCAATAGGTAAACTCACATCATTGTGACTCGTTTAGGCCAAATCAGGATAGTCAAGGGTTTACCTATGATTCACGGAAGAGTCCATGAGTCCTCTGGTGTTAAAAACTGGGATTGTAAAAATTCTTGACTCCTATTGCATGCACACTTCCGAGTTTCGTGAGGTCAACAGAACTTTGCACCCTTTATGAGGTCCATAAGGAGTCCAATAGCCTCAAAATCGAGCTTGTCCACACATCATTAATACACGGATCTTATTTATTTGATTGAGGCTTCTGTTAGAGCTTTAGTGCTCTTCCCGTTTCGCTATCCTCCCCATATATGTAAATCCCAGCTCGTCTGCAATTTCTGAGACTCTTCCGAATGCTTGGGCTTTGGGCCCAACTGCCATCACAACATTACGATATTTCAATCCTGTCACTCTTTGATGATTTCTTTCCCCATTGTGTTTTACCCACACCCCCCATACCTACAAAATCCCAATCATTCTAACTGTTTCAGTCTTCAGAAACCTCTATCGCGCTCTTCACATTATGGTTATCTGGATTTAAAATCCTAAAACTTCTTGGAATGTGGACCATATCATCGGTGGAGGTACGGATGGGCAGCATTATGATGATGTTTTCCTTTGGATGAGACGATGAACATCGTGTTAATCTTAGTGGCTTTCTACTTAATTTCCAACCGTACCAGCATCGTCCTTCATGCTGACTTCTTCCTCAAACGTGGACACTTGCAGATTAACTCGTTAACACGGTTGTAGGGCAACTTTGAACCATCAGAGTTGATAACTTTCAACCATTCGTTTTGGGCAGACATTACTGATTCTTGCCCCATCTTTCATCTCAAAAAGTTGTTTAAAGTTCATCCTTTAGTCTTGCATTGTTGGTAGCATAGTAAATCAAATAGCCAAATTCTCTGCCTCTTGGTGGTCCACAAGGACTCTACATTTTGGAACGCAATTGAAATAACAATCTCCAGTTCCTTGGAGAAAGACCACGTGGATGAAATGCTTATCTCTGTATATGTCTCCCAATTGTACAAAGTCCACTATGACACTTCGTACGATTTTATCCATGATCACCGAATTTTTAGTGGCCTTAAATGGCACATCTTCTGACAATTGTTTCCTTTGAACCTTTCCGAAGATTATGTTTTCCTGTAAAGGGATAAAATTTTTATTTTATGTGACTATGCTTTAGTATATTTATTAACTGGCCTCCATTGGAAACCAAAAAGGAACGTGTTTTATAGAGGACTCAGCAGCCAAATAGGTGTGTCGTAGCTATCTTAATTAAACCCTTACGTTTTTGGTTAACGTTTTCCCTATCTTACAGAGTTGGTTGGTTTTTAGTTTTCATTGATTTTAATGTCCTTTGCCAATTCGGTTTATTAGAAAACCAACGGAATTAAGATGCTAGGCGGCTGTGACTCGTGTATAATAGGCTATTTAAAGAGACTCATGTATTCAATTTTTATAAATTAATTTAGACTTTAGCGCTACAGTTTCGTTTAGGATATTTTGACCCTGAACTCAATTAGTTTCGTTCGAACTTCGATCTCATAATTATCCTTTTTATTCGTATTTTGGGACTGTTGGCTTTAACGGCCACTACTGATAGACGCTACCTGGCACCAAACCATTCCTATTAGTGCCAATTGGATTTGTTAAGTGTTCTTCGATGGCAAAAATACTGACGCAATGCATATATATAGATCCTTTTTCCTAGCAGTCAAGATAGACTCTATTGATATCTCACCATCTGAGGGAAGTTTATGGACTAAATAGGAGAAGAAGTTTCCTATACCTTCACCACAAACCAGGTTAGACCAAGGTTAGTGTTTAGTTGGGGAGAAAGCATTGAAAACGGCAACTTGTATATGGAATAAGTACCTACTAAAATGTAACTGCTATCCCTTTGAAGTGGGGGTTAAAAGAAAAAGATTTGAATTGAATCATAAGCTTGGGTGGGCCATAGACTGAAAGCAAAATTATACCATCAATACAAAAAAAAAGTCGGATTCAAAGATAGGCATGGCTTATTTTGTTGGCTATCCAGAATGAACTAAAGGCTATAGATTTTACTACCTCAAAATACAACCAGATTGGTAGAAACTCAAACAGCAGTGTTTTATAATATAAAAAAATGATGCACAAAAGAAGAAAATTTCAATTTGGATGAGTTATAATAGAAAATGGAGACATAGTGAATAATGGTTACCTAGCTTTGACTTGCGTAGCACCCAATCTGTACGAAGATGAAATAGTTTGGAGATCCAATGATACTTGAACAAGAAATCAAGAACAACAAGTTCTGCCACCAGAAACACAAATAAAAATCAACCAGCAGAACAAACACATAACCAATGGACATAGAGTTGAGAGATCACAAAGACAAAGGAAAAGAGCACTACATGATGACTACTACATAATATTTACAAGAATTTGAGCATGATGTGAAGTAATTGAAGATCCCATGAACTATAGCAAGAACTGTCCAAATGAAAAAATGAAAAATGTTGGGAGCTATGAAATCAATTAAGCTCTACAAAGGAAAAGTGGTTGTAGGAAGTAGTGACCTGCCACAAAATTGCAAACCTATAGGTTGCAAATGGGTTTCAAAAACCAAGAGAACCCGAAGGGACAAAATAATAGATATAAGGCAAGACTAGTTGCAGGGATACACATAGTAGAAGGGAGAGATTTTACATTAAAACTCTTCACCAGTTCAACCAAAGACTTCATTAGAGTAATCATGGCATTGGTATCCGTTTTCGATTTACACTTCATCAAATGGATGTGAAAGACTGCATTCTTGACTAGAAATCTCAGAAGAGGAAATATATATGAAACAAGGGAGAAAATCTAGTATAAACTGTGTAAATCGATTATGTCTTAATCAAGTTCTAGACATGGTATATCAAATTTGATGAGTTGTAAGCATTATGTTTTTGCATAATATTCATTGGATGAACGCATTTACATGAAGAAGAGTTGGGAGGAATTTCATCATATTGGTATTATTGTGGATGACATCTTATTGGCACAGATTTATCAATGTAACATAGCTGTAAAGAATTCATGTCTAAAATTTGAAATGACAGATCTTGGTGAAGCATCCTATGTTTTGGAATTGAAATTAGCAAGAATCAATAGAAAGGGTTCTTGGATTATCAAAAATTATATAGAAAAGGTACCTGCAGAGATTCATATGCAAGGATTTGGTGGAACTGAAATGCCTATTTCAAAAGCAGATAAGTTGAGCAGGACCGGCACAAAGGACTGCACACGAGAAAATTTAGATACTGCAAACCTTATGCCTCCTTAGTAGGCAATCTTAGTAGGCACAGTCTACACTAGACGACAATAGCCTTTCCTACTAGAAGGTGTGGAGATATTACCAGAACTAAGAGTACAAATTTGTTTTTAAGAAGAAGCAACAATTTGAAATTAGAGCTTTTGCGTTATGCTAATTTTAGACGACCAGATCTGCAACAATAACCAAAGAAACTAAAGTTACAAATTGGTTTCAAGACCACTACTACACACAATACCAGATCTGCAGTCAACAAACAATTAACCTGCAATCAATTTAACCTAGAAAAAATACTAAGTGACACTCAGGCACTCAGAGGACCGTCATCTAGAACTCCACAATGCTAGCAAACTATAGTGGAGTAAAGTGTGTGCATTCATTCAATTATTATCACGCAGCGGTATACCAAATAGACTCAACAGAATATGAAGAATAAGCCTACATAGTTAACACCATAAAATTTTCACCCATAAACCTACTAGTGGACAAACTGGGGGTTATCACTCGACCAGGCAATCCCCAACACAAGAAGATTCTTACAGAGATTAATCCAACAAGCTCAAAGATATCCTTAGATCTAGTTTAAGGAAGCAACCTACCTCTATGCAATCTCAAGCTAGCTCAGCAACTTTATTAGCTGGTGTTCATGAAGTGGCAAGTTTCTCAACTTTAGCTTTTCACTTCATCGTATCAGAAGAGATCTCACAACAGCAGCTTTTAGTGTGGTGTTTGTAGGTCAAATGGAGTTGGATCGATTTTTTTCAGTTTATCAACATCTTGAAGAACCATCTTGAATCTGAACCACGAGCTAATGTATGAATATATGTAAGATAGATTTAGATTTATTAAAAACAAAGCAAATTTCAAAAGCACTATTGAAATCTCGTTTCGAAAACTGTACCTCTCACTTAGCAAAGTGTAGAGTAACTCAACACTCCCAAAAATGCAAAACATGAAAAGTGACAATTGCATATGTTCACACGTTTTGACATTTTGGCCCAACACATACAACACCACTCTTTTATTAAAATTAGCAGCTAGAAATCTGATCCAAACCATGGAGATCAAAAACTTGTTTGCCAAATTTAGCTACCCAAAATTGATTGAGTTGCGTCTCAACTTGGGATACTCGCAATTACCCGAGCTGTTCGGTTGGTTAGAGCATATGTAAGTGTGGTCATCCCACAAGGATTGATGAAGATTGATTCATTGGATTCCTTGTACAAAACAGAAATGGAAACCAAGGTTTAAAATGATATAGAAGAGCACAAGAATTGAAAACATAAAATTAAACAAACTGATTTGGGTTTGAAAACGTTTTGGAACACTAGGGAACACCCAATTCTAAGTCTCAACATCAAATTAACCAGTTTCAGTTCAAGTAAAAAGATAGATTCTCTCTAATGTATATTAGCCATGGTGTCTGTCTAAACCTGTATTCTTAATTCCCTAATTAGATCCTTGTTGTCTAACCTAAATTAAGCATAGGAGAACATTTTAAACAATGAAGCATGTATCCAATCCCTGTTGTCAAATGTCCATACTACTCTTCCTATTCATATTCAATTCTAATTAAGGCATATGGTGTCTACTCTTAATTCTAACCAAGATAGCTAACATACAAGTTTAAATAGTGATCAAACATTCAAACAAGAATATCAACTAAGAACATAATGAATAAGAACAAGAACAAAATGAAACTTGGAAACCAATCAACTTCAAAAACTTAAAATCATTATGTCTAAACAATAACATAAATTACAAGGTGTTTATTAAATAGAAAGACAAAGTGAAGCTAAAGGAATACAGAAGAAATAAAAGGCAAAGGGAGGAGAAGAAGATAGGGACAGCATGCTAGATGGAAAAGCTTCATCTCCATGGTTGCCAGGAGGCTCAAGCCTCCAACTGCTGCCTTCTCTCTTCTCTCCCTTTGTGACTCTCAACTCTCCTCTCTTTGTGTACAATGTGATGGAATATGAATGAATGATGAATGAATCCCCAGCTCTCTTTGCGTACAATGTGACAATAACATGTGATTAACAAAGATGACTAGTATTAAGGAAGAATTCAATTTAGTAAGCTGACTAGTCATCTGCACTGGGTACCCAAATGAAGAAACACTATGCAATGCATTCATGAATGAGTTACCTTTAATAAGCATTAATTTCATATTGCTATGTTAAATTTTGATCTCAGTTGAAGAAACCAACCTAAACACTAACCTAGCAAATGAGCTTGTTTAGGTTCATGAGAGATTAAAATCATAATTACAAGTTTGTCAAGGAAAGCTAAAAACATAGCTAAATAAAATTCTAATAGACTTGTTAACGAGAAGATTGATGATAGGTATGAAACTATTATGAAATGAAAGTTTGGGTACGAAAGTGAGACGAAAAAAACTTCGTGTACGTATAGTTGAAAGTCGGTAAACTTCAGAGTAGTAAGTGAAATTTACCCTATAAATATTCAGTTTAACTCCTATATTTGTGCTTGATTATGAGAATAGTTAGGACTCCTAAATAGCCTATGAACTGTTCTTATTACATACAAGAATCCATATGATTCATTGATTATGCTATGTAATTTTTGAGGCAATAAAGGTAAATTATGAGTTACCTATATTATTATTATTTTGATGAAATTATTATATATTAAAAGAGATCATATGAATTATTGTAGGAATTGTTTATAATCACATATATAGTGAAGGCTTTGTGATAATAGCCTAGATACTTTTGGTACTAGTCTAACTTCTGCATGTGTACAATTGATTACCCCCAAATTATATCCTCCAATGATAATTTTCCAACAAATTCTACACACGCATTAGATAGCCCACTCCACAAAAGAAAGATGTGATATCAATATATTTATGCTGACGTGACTAAAGAATTTAAGTGTGTTGTTATCAGGGGCAGAATACAAAAAATTTATACATACGGGACACATGCACGATAGAACACTCAAACTACAATGGTGCTTGCTTAATTTGAAGAGCTCAAGATGTAAAAAACTGAAACCTTATCAGATTTCTATGAAAAGTTGAACAACTTAACAAATGAGGTCATGAGTCTAGGAAAACCAATAGAGTAATACATCATTGATCAGAAAATCTTCAAGAGGTTGCCTCCTGGGTTTTGTCCCAAGAAAGGCCATCATGGAAGTTCAAAATCTAATAAGATCTGACTTGGCAAGCTTATAAGGAAGTAAAAACATATGGGATGGATAGAATATGGAAGATATAATGCCAAAAAATCTAAAAATGTTGCATTTCAAGGAGTGCAAGAATCTTCACAACAAGAATGTGAAAATCCTTAGCTCCTGAGATGAAATAGCTTTGTTTGTGAATAAATTTAGCATAATTCTCAAAGAGAAAGGAAATTTCATAGAAGGAATGGTCAAGCTAATGAGACCAAATTCAAACCTCCACAACAATGATCAAATGAGAGAGAGAAAGAGGGAAACCTTATCCTAGGTAGTCTAGAGGTTCTAAAAATATTCTTGAGTGCTACATATGTGGTGTCACTGGTCATTATGTTGCTGATTGTGAAAACAATTGGAAAAAGTACTAAAAAGGTAAGGATAGGTGATATAGCCATATTTCATAAATTTTATCCTCTTTCCCTTAGATTCTTACTATGTTCTTGAATGGATTTAGTCTACTTTCATTAGTTTTATGTTTCACTAAAGATGGAAAAGCAAGAATAATGAGCAATTTTGGGATTGAAAGATGTTTCACCATCCTGGGAGCAAGAATGTCTAGTGCATGTTAGCCAACTTGACGGAATATATTGTACTTCCTCATAGCGAATCAAATATGAGACTTATACCATTGGAAAGATATAGAAGTTAGATTTCTGCAAAAATATGCGGTTCATGATTCGAACGTATGTGGAGAGAGTTGTAGCCATTTTAGTACAGACATTTTGGGCAGAAAATGTGTTCTGCGGGTTTGCAAAGTGATATTTTAAGTTCAATCCTTCGAGTCCAATTTATGTTAATCGCATTCAAGAAGTGTCTACAAGGATGTGGGATTGTTTTCTAAGGTCAATTGCATTTCAATTTTCAATTTCATGAAATGATGAATTGTAGTGTTATGACTCTTCTTCTAATGATGATGACAACCAGATTGCTTTTGTTGCATTTGTTCAAGAAATCCATGTTGAAAGAAGTTGAGGAGATTGAGTCTGACCTAGATGACCAATCATATGATGCATTGTGCATTAAGTATGATGAATTATTCAGTGAGACATATATCATGAAGGAGGAGAAAATTATGTCAGACCTATATCACATGTCATCCTAAGCAATAACCTTGGGAAGCCATCGAACAAGCACATCAATACCAGCAGCAATCAATCGAAATAGTCGGACAACCTTGGTCTTCCTATCTCTCTACACTCTTGTTCTCTCTATATGGGGTAGGAATATGAGTCTGTTTTGGTGTATGAGAGTGAGGACCGAAGCCTTAGTTTTATAGGGTGAGAGCCTCAAGGTTCCTTGCCCATAAAGGAACTCCCAAGCTTGTCCTTGTGACCTAGTATCCATGACCTAGTGTAATAGGTATTTCTACAAGTGAAATAAGCTCCAACTCTATCAAACCTACTCTACCTAGTATCGTTGATCATTTAAGAGCCCTAATAGATGTGAACTCAATAAGGACTTCTAACAAACTAAGCTGGAGAGTAATCGTAGAGAACTTAAAAAGGAAACCTTGACTCTCAAAGAAACCAAACGTGAGTTAAATGAAAAAAATTGAGAGTGAGCTTGATGCCTTTGTGATACTCAAGGCAAATCTTGAGACTCAAGTGAATGTTCTAAAAGCGAGCAACATTGTCTTTCAAAACTCAAACAACAAACTTCTCACTCAGTTAATGAGGCAAATAGCAAAGTCATAAACCTGACCATTGGTTCTGAGAAGTTGGACAAGATGTTGAACATTGGAAAAGTCTATGGTGACAAGAGTGATTTAGGATTCAATGGTAATGATCCTAGTGCTTCTAGTACCTCAACCAAGTTTATCAAGGCAACTATATCGGTTGTATCTTCATTTGGTTTGTAGAATTCAGTTAAGGGATCTAAGTTCATTCCCACTTACCATTAATGTGGTGTTGTTGGCCACATTTGTCCTAGGTGTCATTTGCTTAGGAAGGGCCTTAAGGGAAAGCCTAATCCATCACCTAAGGAGAACACTATGTCTTTGCAAGCTCAAATTGAGCAACTGTTAAATGAAGTCACCAAACTTATTGCAATCCCTCAAGCTCAAACCAACAAACCCAGGTAATGGAAACCTCAAACAAAGAGTTAAGTGGTTCTTATTGCCCTTCTTGCATCAAATACCAACACTTGGTATTGTTCACCCGTTTTAGATCTAGTCCTGTGAAGATAGGGTGAAGTTCCTTATTTACTTGAAAACCATTGACTGGTCAACAAGCCAACTCTCTTTTGTGTATAAGCGTGCCACTGCTAGCAATAAAAACCCTAGCAGACTTCTTAAAAATAAATAACTTGCACCCCAAGTTACTAATTTTGAACAAGTGATTGTGAATTTGGGTAAGGACTATCTCCCAAGTAAGTTCTTTTCCTGCCTCAGGCTGGTGATAACTTTCACAATTTTTCACAGTACAAAACTGGTAGTTCTGGAAGATAGTAAACTGTTTAGGCAGAACTGCCTATTACAAAATTTAGAAAGAGAAAAGGCCAACTCCAGAAAAGACAACAGAGCGTTGGACTTCAATTTCTGCCTGGGTAGCTGCTTCTGATTCGGACTGGACTGGGTGTGTTTGTGTTGGATTGGATCATCAACACCTTCGACTGACAAGTTTCAGCTATAAAAAGATACCAACATTTGAGTTTGGTAGAGCTTTAATCTATTTTAAGCCTTAGAAGGCTTTTTGAACTGGCGGAATTAGAGCCTCTTCAAACTGAAAGGGGCAGAAGTGGCTGGACTGATGGCTACTGAGATGGAGCTGCACTGTAGTACCTATTTTGCTTGATCAGGGCTTTCCATAAGTTTGTTGAGGTTTTCATATTGTGAGAACCCGGACTCTGCTTGTTTTGGCTTGTGCTAAACCAAATTTGTAACGAAAGAAATCTCACTTTGTAAAACTGTTTCTCGAAACTGAACTGAAATAAGAGATTTGAGTTATAGCTGACTTGTTTCTTGTGGCTCAATGAGCTTTGATTGTTTCAGTGATTGAAGGTTCTTGAGATCAATTTTTATCTTTTTTGAGTTTGTCAGTTATGACTTTGAGAGTTTTTGTCTTCATTGATTTTTTTGGTTGTCCTTTGATCTGTTCACCTCCTCTTGTATTTATAGGAAATGTTGGAGTGGGGTTTCTAATCTTTTTAATAATGGGAGGCAGATCTTTCAAAAAATATCTTTTATTTTAAATGCCACAAAAAAAAGAGAGGAAGTTTATCTAGTCTGCTTATCTCTTGGAAATAGCACCTGCTTTGGTGCAGAATTTCTCTGCATATAAAAAAGGGGATTTGATCTTTTCCTTGGCTAAAAAAGTAGAGAAATCCTCTTGTAAGACCTGCCTTCATTAACTCCCATCACCTCCTCTGTGTTAGTTGAAAGTTTTGACTTTTTCTAAGGTCAGAAAGTCATGTGGGGATTTCTTGAGAGAAAACTTTTTAGAAAGTTTTTTTGCTGACTTGCTTCCTCCTTGGGTAAAGTGAGTTTTCTAATAAAATGGTCAATGATGGTTATTTAGAATAGGGCTAAATTCACAATTTGCTAAAAGGGTCTAGGCTTATTTCTGCATTTTTGGTTTTTTATTCCTAATCCCTATAGATAAAAGCCCAAATGTTTTGTTCATGAGCCTCTTGACAAAAATGGGCTGGCCTGCAGAGTTTTGGCCAAAACACAAGGTAACTTTTGTGGCTATCAAAAATGGTATGGGCTTCTTCAATTTTGGGCTGATAATTAATTTCTTTAAACATGGAGCCTGAAATTGTTTATCATTGTGAGCCAATAGTTTTGGGTTGGGCAAGCAGAATTTAGGCCCAAACAGGTATTTTGATAATGGTTGTTCAAAGCACATGTCAGAAGATGAAGAAGTATTCTCCACTCTTACACGCCTTGATGGAGGAAGTGTGACTTTTGGACGTGGTCACAAGTCACGAGTTGTTGCTAAAGGAACTGTTTGTATTCGAGGTTTACCAAAGCTAAAAACTGTAAGGTATATCAAGGGACTCACTTCTAATCTTATTAGTGCCAGTCAATTGTGTGATGATAGGACTATGGAAGTCAAATTCTCAAAGTTTGGAAGTAAGATCATTAGCAAATGTGGAAATGATGTTGTGAGTATTGCAAGATTGAAAGGATACTTTCTACTGTATTGATGGGACATATTATGCTCCAAGGAAGCTGTATGCAAAGAAGATAAGCCCGTGTGTTATGTCTACACGGAAGAGCCAAAGAATTTGAAAGAAGCCTTGAACATGAAGAGTGGGTTCTTGCAATGCAAGAAGAGTTGAATTAGTTTGTTAGAAATGATGTTTGGTACCTTGTTCCTAAGGCTTCTAGTTAAAATGTAATTGGTACCAAGTGGATTTCTAAAAGCAAAGTTGATGAGCATGAAAATGTAGTGAGGAATAAGGCTAGATTAGTGGCACAAGGGTACACACAAATGGAAGGAATTGACTTTCATGAAACATTTGCTTTTGTAGATAGGTTGGAGTCAGTTAGATTATTGTTGGATGTTGCTTGCCATTTGAAGTTTAAGCTTTTTCAAATGGATGTCAAGACTACATTTTTGAATGGCATTTTCAATGAAGATGTGTATATTGAGAAACCTGAGGGTTTTGAGGATCGACATCATCCAATGATGTTTTCAAACTCAAGAAAGCACTCTATGGTTTTAAAACAAGCCTAGAGCTTGGTATGCGAGGTTATCCTCTCATCTTCTAGAAAATGGTCATGTTAGAGGCTCAGTTGATAAAACATTATTGTTTGTGAATAGTCTATGTGGATGAAATAGTGGTTGGTTCAACCTCAATTTCTCATGTGCAAGAGGTCATACAAGTCATGACAAGTGAGTTTGAAATGAGTATTGTTGGTGAAACCAATTACTTCTTAAGACTTTAAATTAAACAAGGGCATGATGGGATCTTTGTATCTCATTCAAAATATGCCAAAATTTTGGACAAGAAGTTTGGCTTGGGGTCCGCAAAAGCGCTGGAACTCTAATGAACACAAGTACTAAAAAGTGGCAAGAGTTTTGATCAAACACTCTATAGAAGTATGATTGGAAGTATGCTATATCTCACTTCTAGTCAACTTGACATAGCCTTTAGTGTAGGTGTTTGTGCTAGATTTCAAATTGATCCAAAAGAGTCTCAATTGTTTGCAATCAAAAGAATTATCAAGTATGTGAGTGGAACGGCAGACTTTGGTTTGTGGTATACCAACACTAATGCTGACTTGGTTGGTAGAATATGTGGCAGCTGGAAGTTGTTGCACACAAGTTCTATGGATGAAACAAATGTTGGATGATTATACCCTTCACCAACCTTCCTTTCTTAATTAATGTCATAACATAAGTGCCATAGATATCACCAAAACCCTTGTGTAACACTCAAGGACCCATATAGGTTGGGGATTCTGTTATGGAGGAGAAGCCATGTATCCTGTTGGAATTATTTAGAGTTTGGGTATTGTGGACGTATTCGAGCAGAGATGGAGGAATTACTCAGAGCTTGGTTGAATGACCAGAGGAAGTTGGATGGTTATGCCCTTATTCTCGGGAACACTGTTTTCTTCTCAAAGCAGTGGCATGTTTGCCTTTCCCTGGAATCTGATGTGGTACTGGTACTGCACTTTGAATTCGCTTTGGATTTCTTTATATTATTGGCGTCTAGTGAGTTGAGTTTAGTGCCAAGTAACTCGCATAAACACTAACTAATCGTTGCTTTTCTACATACCCATTTAACAGTTTTGCCTCCTTGAACATTTGGATGTTATAATTTGGTAAATTTTGTTGATTTTTAAAATAGTGGTTCTAATGGGATTTGTTTTGTTTGCTTATTCTTGCTTTAATTGATTGGTGAATTCCAACGAGTAGCTTGACGGAGGAAAGGAGACATGGAACTTACTTGGGATGATAAGGAGGTTTGTGGGCACTATCAGGATTGTTTTTGCTAAAATATGAGAAAATAATTGTTGGAATTTAGACCGCTAAGGAATAGGGTTGCATAGTGGCCTCTAGCAAAAGGCACCATAATCAGTATGCTTTGCTCTCAAAACCACACCATTAAAAATGGTGTGAGTTGAGCAGTAAGGAAGACAATTATGCTTCGTTGCACGTTAACCCATACTATTGGTTCATGATGCATATTTGTGCTAGAAAGTTATCAAACATTGAGGCATACGGTGGTTCATTATGAATAAAAAGTTTACATGCGCTGTACAGATTGAGCATTAGGAAATTCTTTATTTGTTCCCAAATTCTTTACTCCAGTCAATGTTTTTATTACTAACTTACTCTTTTATATGGTTCAATTAATGTTGAAACGAACGATAATGGGCACTGGAACATCAGCGAGTGAATCAGAGGACACTAACCAGGCAGTCAGTTATTTTTGTCCTATTGGTGTGTTTTTTTTATAAATATTTATATATTTTAGCAAGAAATGTGTATTGGGACAATATGGGTTTGTTTCTGGGTCTCACTCAGGCTGGTCATCCAGATTAGTTGTACAAAAGGGTCAGTGATAGGAAATGTAACTTATCAAACAGTATATTATTGTTTGATAAGCTAACTGAAAATAGAAATGATCATCAAGAACTCAACTGAAAATAGAAGAAAGAGTTAAAGGAATATCTTGTCAAATTTGGAGAATTTTGTGGAATGTGAGACCTTATTCCTTATGAGGTGTTTGCTAGAAGAAGAAAAAAGAAGTAAAAACTGTGTTTATCCCGGGGTATTGCCCCACGTGGTTTCTCCGGGAAGATTTTAATGAGACCGTCATTAACATGCTAGTTCTTATCATGTAATGTTCCTATGAATTTAATGAAATACTATCTTTTCCCGAAAAAATAATTGCGAGACTCTGTCTGTTGATGAAATTAGGGTTGAGGTCCCTCATTTCAAAAGAACTGGTCCCAAAATGGCATTCAAAACCTACTTTACTTTTGATTTTTTCTTTTTAGTACTAAGCTGCTTTGCTTTGTAAGTTCTTCCAACTTTTGTTATAGTGAAGAGTTTTATTAGTTTATCACTCGTATTGATAAAGTATTTTATTAGTGTATCAACACCAATAATATGTTGTTTCTTCTATACATCAAACACTAATGAACAAATTAAGTTGCGTTTTAAGAAGATATTTCAATACTTTTATACAAACGATATTATTCTACTTCAATCTAATCTAAACTACGGGAAGGGAGATTCGAACTCAGAGTATGAAGCACATCAACTCTAACCAACTTGGCTAAGCCCACGTCTGCAAGAAGATATTTCAATTTAAGAAGTCTAATATATAATGTTGAAGTAATGAGACATGGTAACCACTATTATTGAAAACAGAATTATTATAACTTTTAGCTGTACATGAGGTGCATCATAGTCACATAATGTTTAAATTCTTTTATTGTAATTTTTCATTTCCATAATACTCGGTGCTTCTAAACAACGTATTAAGAAAGTACATAGTAAGGCCACTTGAATTGGGAGGAAGGATCATTACTCTTGTTGTCCCAGTTGTGGTGGCTCTCATTGCTGTTGTGGTTCCATTCCATTCATCTGTTGAAAATCAACAATTTTATCCCTACATACAAATGAAGTAAAGCAAGCCATGAGAGAAAAACTAAGACAAAGAGGAAAAAAAAAAAGCTAAGACTACGCAACTGAAGGTGTTATATATGAAAATGTAATTTTGTAATTTGATTGATGAATTCCTAATAGAAAATATTTTATTGACCTTATATGAAAAGGGTTATTAATAGTACCACTTCCATCCACTAGTTCCTACTTGTTTGTGTAAGAGGGGAATTTTGAATCCACCTCAGAAATGCTGACATTGCTGCGAGTCCCGCGCCTAAATCTTGGGTCAAGCTCTTCCAAATCTCCCTCATACACCAGACGAGCCGCAGACTGCTTCACTATTACTCCATGGCCAACTCTGGCCGAAATTGAAAATGTAGCCTGACCAAATATACCTTGCCACCACTCTGTGCCAGAAGGCAATTCAATCTGATCGCTGATACCCTTCCACAACTGAGGAAAGTGACGAGGAAAAAAGACTACCCAAAGGTGATCAGACACAGCTTGCCCCGACTCTGCATTAAGGACCACAAATGGACACCTACGTGCCGTCATCTCCTTTCCATTGATGTCCACTTTGCAAGTAATAATATGTGTATAATTGTAATCAAAACTACGATACTCAAGAGGAGGGTCGCAATGAGGTGATCGTTCCTGGATTGCAAAAGCAAGGCACACCGTGAATCCCATCCATTTTTCAGTAAACCAACCTGGACGTAGCTCTACACTTAATGGATACTCCACACTTTGAGGATTGAACCACTCTTTCTGGTATATATATTCAGCAGATTTATGACTGAACCACTCGGGAATTTCATTTCCAGGAACAACAAATTGAGTAATAGGGACTTCCTGCATCATAAAAAAACAACGTCAAAACACTTAAGAAGACAACATATTATTGTGTGTATGAGATTGAAAGCGAGAGAGAGACCACATCATATTGTTCCAGTAATGTAAATACCAAACTCCTGAAATCGTGCGTCTCCGCAAATTTGAAGCAGTTGATACATTGTCTCGACCGTAGCCACTGGAACTTTTCTGTGGAACCTCCGGCAATTCTTTCTAATGAAATACAGTTATTAACAACTGCTATTACTCTTTGTGGAACCTCTGGCAATTCTTGAAGCCTCTCACAATACTCCAAGTTAAGAAATTGAAGTCTAGAAAGTAGAGAGATGCCGTTGGGTAGGCTAACAAACTGGTTTCTACTAAGATCTAGGTACGTTAATGAGGACAAGCAGCTAAGGTCATTAGGGACTTCCAAGAGATTGCAATCACTTAGAGTAAGTTTTTTTAAGGAAACCAAACCGGATAGAGAAGGCAGCAACAAAGGCGTGGGAACGCGACTTCTTATTAGAAATCGCTGAAAAAGGGAGAGAAATAGCTGAAAAAGGGAAAGCAAATTCCAAAATTTAGGTGATGATCCTTTACATCCACGAAAGTTTAATACTGTGAGGCTTTTCAACTGAACAATGGAGGAAGGCAGTTGTCTTACGGCAGTTCCACTCACATCAATCTCCTCCAAACACTCTGCATTGCCCAACTCATTGGGCAACTTGTCGAGCTTTGAGCAGCCAGAAAGATTAAGAACTTTGACAGATTTTAAGCCATACACACTTCTTGGAAGATGCACAAGACTTTTGCAATCCTTCAGGTTTATCTGAGTAATTCTTTCAAGCATTCCAAGGGATGGGTCAACCTTATACAACCGTATACAACCTTCCAGAATCAGATACTCAAGATTTGGAAGGCCTCTAAAGTCTGGGGTGTTGACAAGATTCAAAGAGTGGCTGAGCTTAATGATTTTCAAATTGTATAAAAGCTGTCAAAAGAACGCAAGCAAAAAAAATTAGCTTCAAATTCTGTGAAAGGCTGTCCAAAAAGATAAAGCAGTAATAACATACCTTAACACCCGTCCAAAAAGATTCAATGTGACTATGGCACATGTTAAGTTCTAGTAGGTTCTCTGGGTTGAAATGTAACGGGAAATATTTTGAAGGATACCCATCCCATTCAAGACTTCGTAAATTATCGGAGAGATATTCAAGATCATTAGAGAGGTTCACATTAGCAAGATTGAGAAGTCTCAGTTTCTTCATCCTTGAAAAGCATTAGCATCCGCATGCACCACTGGCCCAGTTTTGTCCATGGTTATACTTTCTACTGCGTCTGTTCCCTATCAAATATGCACGGATAAAGAATAGTGAAGCTCATATAACTAACATATGAAAAGAACTGAACTCATTCGTAAACTAAGAGTCCCCTTACTGTAGTTTTGCTCAAGACATGCTTGCCCTCTTCATGGCGCCACAACCTGCTGCGATTTCCTGGCTCATCAAGACACTCTCGATTGACTATTTCACGACCCATCTCTTGGAGCAACTGATGCATCCATAGAGTGCCATATGAATTAGTTAACAGAGATTTCTCAATGAGGACATCTATTCCAATACCTGCACAAAAGCCACAACTGTCTAGGATTTCTATAACTCGATCTTCTTTCTCCCCGTTAAAGAAACACGCAATGTCTAGGAATATTTTCTTCTCCCTGTCATCTAGATCATCGTAACTTATTTGAAGTGTCCCCAAAACTGTGTTACAAAGATCTCTTAGTTTACCCAACGCACTGTTCCAAGCACTTGCATGTCTTCCGCGCAAAAAACTCCCCAGAACTTTAAGAGCTAGTGGAAGACCATCGGCATAACTCACAACACAGCTAGACAAATCAATATAGTTTTTTTCAGGGTGGTCTTTTCCAAAGGCTTTCCAACTAAAAAGCTTAAGAGCGTCATCATGATTTAGACGTTTGACCTGAAATCTTCTCTCCACTTCATGTTCAATTAACAAATGCTCATTTCTAGTTGTAATAAGAACTCTACTCCCAGAACCAAACCACTCTTGCTTTCCAGCCAAATAATCTAAATGGTCTGAGTCGGTCACATCATCGAGAATGAGAAGAACCTTTTTGTGACGAAGTAATCTTCTAATCATTGTGGATCCTTCGTGAACATCAAATATGTCGATCGTTTTCATCGATATCCTTGAAAGAATTTCTCTTTGTTGGGATATTAGACCACCTTTTTGAACATTATCACTGACATTCTCAAGAAATATGCTGAATTCAAATTCAGGCGAGATTCTCTCACGAACAACTCTAGCAATAGTTGTTTTACCAATCCCACCCATACCCCATATCCCTATAAAGCGAACATCATCGACCCCTGCACCTAACAAAAAATCAATTAAGTTCATACTTGAGTCTAATCCAACTAAGTTCTCCACAGAAGTAAACGATGTAGGACGTAATCTTTTCCATATCACATCGATTATATCTTTGATGAGCAAGGTTTCGTACCTATAACATATTAACATCAATATCAGTCATGTTAATTGTGTGGACGTAAAGAATCAACATGCAGATATGTTTTCTCTAGATTTTTTACAAATACTCTTGATCACTGAAAAGAAAGGTTGTCTGACCATATATAAAAGGGTTTTTATCATAAATGGTCCTTTAGGTTTGAGAAATTATCACATTTAATCCTTTATTGTTTTTTCCGACATTATTGGTCTTTTATGTTACAGATCAATTTGATGCTATCATTAAGTTCCGTGAAAATTTCTATTCAATTGATGACATGGCATATATGTGGTGCCCACATATCCAATGAGATAATGCCACGCGAATCTAAATAAAAATTATTTAAAAAATAATAATTTCACATTTAAAATCTTAAAAAAAAAATTGTTTTGAAAGTTGCAGAGCCCCTCGTCTCTCTCCCCCCTGCTCTCTCTCTCTCTCTCTCTCTCTCTCTCTCTCTCTCTCTCTCTTTCTCTCTCCACCCTCTCTCCCCCGCTCTCTGTCTCTCCACCAAAATCCATCTCAATAAATAAAAATCCCACATACCCCCCTCATCCTCTCCTGAAGTAGTTTGTAATCCAACAAAACACTCCCATTCCCCATCATCCTCTGTGTCTCTCTCTCTGCCTGAAACCGTTGAAACAATCGCAACCCAAATGAGATTTAAATACAAATATTAAAACCCATCGAAAACCTTTATATTTTCTTGAAAATTTTGACACTGCTAGAAGCAGTCCACAGAGGAAAAAAAGAGAGAGAAGGTGGGGTTGGGCGTAGGTTGCGGGTGGAGATGGGGGCGATCGGGTGTGTGGGCAAAAAAAAAAACAGGAGACACGAGAGAGCACAGAGAGGGGGGGGGAGGGAGAGGGGCGGCAGGGAAGAGCTGTAACTTTAAAAAAACCAATTTTAAATATTTTTTTAGATTTTAAATGTGAAACTATTGTTTTAAAAAAAAATTATGTATTTAGATCCACGTAATAAAAACTCTATATAAAAATAATCTTGGCTTAAGGTCGATAAAGCAGCAGGTATATTATTCATTGCATGTGCCCAAATCCAATTATGCAACACGGCTACTCTTTTTAAACTTTTTAAGAAACTTTCCTTGGGAAAATAATAAAAGTGAATGTATACCAGTCCTTAGCCTTCCACCCAGAGAAATCTGCCACTTTTGCCAACGCATCTCTCCACTCTTGCACCCTCGTTTTGTCATCCAAACTAAATCTTTCTTCTAGTTGTGTAAAGGCTTTCTCAAAACACCCCGTTTGTTTTCGCACATGAGATGGATCAACATAATAGAAAATTGGTAGCACTGTTTCTCTTGCTTCCATAAATTTAAGAATGTGTACAAGTTCATCCAAGCACCATGTTGAGGATGCATAATTTTGTGAGAGGACAATAAGTGCAAACCTTGATTCTTCAATCGCAGCAATCAGTTCTCCAGAAATAGCTTTTCCCTTCGAAATTGTACGGTCATCCCTGAAAGTTATGATTCCTTGAGCTCTCAATGTTTCATATAAGTGGTTTGTAAAGCCCTTTCGAGTGTCATCACCTCTAAAACTGAGAAAGACATCATATTTCCATTGAGGTGTTGTAGATGGAGAAGATGAAGATGTTCTTCGTGTGTACATCACCACTAGAACGAACTTAATTACTTAGCTGTGGCAATTTACTAAAGAATGTGATCAAATCCAGTATGAGTAATCCCGAAAGTTTTGATCATTCATAAGTCCTTTTTTCAACTGCATAAAATATTTGAACAATTGTGTCTTGAATAATATAAAAAAATCTAGAATAATGAAGAATGAGCAAACCAACTTAGCAAAGTCGGTGAATCTGAAATATCATTATATCAAAGTATGCTTTATTATAAAATAATCAAAATGCTGTAATATAATAATAAACTAACCAACTAAGCTATGTTGGTTAGAACTCTCCTATGTATAGGCAGAGGCAGCGTTAAGCAGGAGCAAGGTGAGCAACAGATCAGGGTCTCACTTTGATGGGGGCCCCACAATTAATTTTAAGGGAGTTTCACTAAAACACCCAAAATGGAGGTTGAAATTATAAAAAAAACCCAACACCCAAAACACTTTATAAACACACCCAAAACCCTTCATTACACACACTCAAAATCCATTTATAAACACACCCAAAAAGTTGACTTTGGGGTTGATTTTGGGTGTGTTTCTATGTTTAAATAGTGCTTGGGTTTTTTTATAAATACATGTCTAGGATTGGGTTTATTTATAAATTTGTATAATTGTAATTTACATTTAAGGGTCTCCTAATAATAAAATTATTAGTTTAGTAAAATTAATATTGACGTTTTACTTTTGAGACAGACTTACAAAAGAAAAAGTGGGCTCCATATTTTATTGATATGAGATGTATTAATAATAATAATGTTAGTTTTCCTATTCCTATTTAATATTGGTTTTTTTAATTCCTATTTAATGATAATTAGTAATTTAATGATCACAAGATTTTGATTATAGACTTTGATCTTTTTTATAATTTTTCGTTCAAAACTTTATTTTAGGAAGCTCTCTTGTTGTTTTGGCACAAGCCCCCTAAAATTTCAGAGCCGCTGTTGTATATAGGCTTGTTGCCTTGACAAATATGTAAGCTGAAAACTACCAGCTATCCTATATCCCACTAAATCCTATATCTAAAGCTTTGTACCTTTCCTCCTCCATTCAAGTCAAACTACTTTGTTACTCTTTCAAAAGTTTTCTATTCCAAGTCAACCTATTGTCCTAATCACTAAACCAAGCATTTCCTAAATCCTTCTCCCCTAAACTTACAATGGTATCAGAGCTTGTTCCGATCAACCTTGGGCGTTGGTTCACTCTAGTCCTCCATCATGTCTACCACTAGCTAGAACTCTGCTCCTCTTCCTATTTTCACTAGAGAAAACTATGACTTCTGAAATATTAAAATGAAGACCTATTTTACGTCTCAAGAAAATTCAATCGTGCAACAGTTGAGGCAACTAAAGAAGGATCAACAAAAGGATGCAAAGGCCTTATTTTCCTTTCAACAAGCCTTGCATGATACGATCTTTCCAAGGATCATGGAAGCCACAACTGCAAAGAAAGCATGGAATACCTTGAAGGAGGAATTTCAAGGCTATGTCAAGGTACATGCAGTTAAACTACAAACTTTGAGAAAAGATTTTGAAAACATTAAACTAAAGGATTCTGAGACCACACAAAACTATTATGCTAAAATAAAAGAAATAGTCAATCAATTGAGAGCCTATGGAGCAAAATATTAATGATTCAATAATTGTAGAAAAAATACTTATCCATCTTCCTAACAAGTATGATCCTTTAGTTATTGCCATTAAACAAACAAAAGATTTAACTAGTCTATTAGTGACAAAAATAATGGGCTCTCTTGAAGCATATGAGAACAGATTGAGTAAGCAAAATGAAAATTTAGTTGAAAGCGCCTTTTAGTCAAAACTAAATTTAAGGTCTCATAAATCTTAAGAAGGGGAAAGGAGATTTGGAAAAAAATTCTAGAGAAGGAGATTATAAACCCAATAAGAATTGGGGAAATAAAAAAGAAATGGAGAGGATAAACTATCCTCCCTAGGGGGTGCGTACAAATACAAACCACCTAAAAAATTATTGTTGGTTCGTGGAAAGCCCAAATATCGAAACCAAAATGCTTGTTTGGCTAAGCTTTGAATTAACTATCCTCCCTAGGGGTACTAACTCACCAATTTTGCTTCTTTTTTTTTTGGTCGTTAAATCGAGAACCAAACTTGGCTGAGCTTTGAATGAATTTCAACAATAAGCAAAGATGCAAACTTGGGTGTTCGAAATTCCAAGTAAAAAAAAGCACCTCACACAAATTTTTGACTTGGGTTTCTCACCAATAGTCACCAAATAGATTCAAAGCAAAAACCACATGCCCTTGCCCAATTTGGGATTATTAGCCCAACATGAGAGATAACGGTGGTCCGGCAACGGTGATACACAGTATACAACCAAGGAATATTAGAAGAGGAAAGAGAGAATCACGAGTCTTATTGTTTTAGTGACGTGGACAAAAAGTAGCGGTGTTGTATTAAATCAGGTGTTGTATCAAGCAGCCGTTGGATGCATCTAAAGGTTGAAATTAGAGGTCTGGACTTGAACAAAAATCCGGATGACTGGATGTGAGAAAGATTAGAGGTTCCAAGGGCTCAAGATTAGAGGTTTCGTAGAGGATTTTAGATGTCCACTCCGTTTGTCCCTTAATGCATCTGCCCCATCCAAAAGTCCATTAAATGGCTGATGTTGTATACAGATCTGGGCTCACATATCCAATAATATCACGCCACATAGATTAAAGAAAAAAATATTTATTAAATTATTTAAAATTTGTAAACAATAAAAAATTTAAGAAAAAACCACCAATTCAACAATTTTTTTTATGAAGAATTCCATGATATATCTGATCAAATCGTTACGCCTTTAGTGCTGGTCAAAGCTTTGGCGACAAAAAATTTCGCTACCTTAGAACCCTTATAGTTATAGAAGCCATTTGTTACTGCAAAGCTAAAGCTCAATCGTTAGTCTAGATGATTATTGCTCGGATAACCGATAGCAGCAGCAAAACAATCAAAGTAAGTTTTCTTCATTTTGTATTTGAACAACAGAAAAAAGTTCTAGATGATGTTTAAAAAGAAGACAGGAGATTTACCCGATTGTAGCCGAGATTAGAGAGTTGATGAGGTACTTTGATGATCTGGGTTTGAGGCTAGTCACTTAATCAGGCTCAATACAAGCAAAGCTAGCCACTACTGACTTGAGTGCTGCTGTAACCTGTCCATAGGTCGAAAGGGTTGCTTAAGAGGAAACTGAGTTGAACCCTATCCCCCCCTCGTCTGTTTGAGGTTTGTATTTATAGGCTTTTTCTGTAGTCCTAATTTCATAGTCTTTTTAGTCTTATTCTTAATGGGAAAGCGGTGAAAATGGGTCTGGTGGGTTTGTCGTTTAGCCATGCAAAAAATCATAAAAATCTCATGTCAAAACCGCAGTGGCGGAGATTATTGAGTTGATGAGGTTTGTATTTATAGGCTTTTTCTGTGGTCCTAATTCCTTACTCTTTTTAGTCTATTTCTTAATGGGAAAGCCGCGGTGGCGGAGTCAGGATTTCGCATTAGAGGGGGTCTTTATAAAATTGTCTTCTGTTCATAAATTATCATAAATTTCATATTTTAAATTGATTAAATACTAATTTCATCATCTACACTATTAAAGACTTAAAAATTAATCATGTATATTCCAACAAAAAAAATGAAATGAAAAAAAAAGTTCATAAGGCACAATATTAATGTAACATCTCATATCGACTAACAGAGAGAGGGTGATAAAATTTAAATTCAAATTGATTACTCATATCAGAGGCTCCTAATTTCTTCGTGCTAGTTTTAGTCGAAGATTCGCGTACGCTTACATAGGTTCTACCCCAAACTTCAGGGACCACAACACAAAGACGAATGTTATAAGCATGATGATGCATAGTAGAATCGTCAAGACGCTTAAGAGATATTCACATCAGAATATAATGGTTCCCAAAACTGTACTAGTCGATCGAAATAAAATCTTTAGGGCATGTGTTGTAGCCGTGGATCAATGCAAAATTTACGCGTTGAATAAGATGTGTTAGAGGGGGTCTTCATAAAATTGTCTTCTCTTCATAAATTAATTATCATAAATTTCATATTTTAAATTGATTAAATACTAATTTCATCATCTACACTATTAAAGACTTCAAAATTAATCATGTATATTCCAACAAAAAAAAATGAAATGAAAAAAAAAGTTCATAGGGCACAATATTAATGTAACATCTCATATCGACCAACAGAGAGCGGGTGATAAAATTCAAATTCAAATTGATTACTCAAATCAGAGGCTACTAATTTCTTCATGCTAGTTTTAGTCGAAGATTCGCGTATGCTTATCAATACATAGGTTCTACCCCTAACTTCAGGGACCACAACACAAAGAAGAATGTTATAAGCATGATGACACATAGTAGAATCTTCAAGACGCTCAGAATATGATGGTTCCCAAAACTGTACTAGTCAATCGAAATAAAATCTTCAGGGCATGTGTTGTAGCTGTGTATCAATGAAAAATTTACGCGTTGAATAAGATGTGTTAGAGGGGATCTTCATAAAATTGTCTTCTCTTCATAAATTAATTATCATAAATTTCATATTTTAAATTGATTAAATACAAATTTCATCATCTACACTATTAAAGACTTCAAAATTAATCAAGTATATTCCAACAACAAAAATGAAATAGATAAAAAACAGTTCATAAGGCACAATATTAATGTAACATCCTATATCAACCAACAGAGAGGGGGTGATAAAATTCAAATTCAAATTGATTACTCATGAGGCTACTAATTTGTTAGTGCTAGTTTTAGTCAAAGATTCGCGTATGCTTATCAATACATAGGTTCTACCCCTACCTTCAGGGACCACAACACAAAGAAGAATGTTATAAGCATGATGACACATAGTAGAATCTTCAAGACACTCAGAATATGATGGTTCCCAAAACTGTACTAGTCAATCGAAATAAAATCTTCGGGGCATGTGTTGTAGCTGTGTATCAATGAAAAATTTACGCATTGAATAAGATGTGTTAGAGGGGATCTTCATAAAATTGTCTTCTCTTCATAAATTAATTATCATAAATTTCATATTTTAAATTGATTAAATACTAATTTCATCATCTACACTATTAAAGACTTCAAAATTAATCATGTATATTCCAACAAAAAAAAATGAAATGAAAAAAAAAGTTCATAGGGCACAATATTAATGTAACATCTCATATCGACCAACAGAGAGCGGGTGATAAAATTCAAATTCAAATTGATTAATCATATCAGAGGCTACTAATTTCTTCATGCTAGTTTTAGTCGAAGATTCGCATACGCTTATCAATACATAGGTTCTACCCAGGGATGACAACATAAAGACAAATGTTATAAGCATGATGACACATAGTAGAATCGTCAAGATGCTTAAGAGATATTCGCATCAGAATATGATGGTTTCCAAAATTGTACTAGTCAATCGAAATAAAATCTTCAGGGCATGTGTTGTAGCAGTGTATCAATGCAAAATTTATGTGTTGAATATGATGGGTGAACCAGACAAAGCTACTCCTTGGATATATGTGGGAATGGGACATGTGCACCTCCTTTTCATGTCGTGCAGCTAGCAAATGACGCTTTCCTTGCCATGGTAGTACTAGCCTGGCCACGCATAGGCTCGATGTCTCTCAAGCCCATCAAGATTGAATAAAGATGGTCCAGCATGGGCAACTCTTGGGTTAGCAAGAATTATATATATTTTTTTTATGGACACCCTTATAGGAACTCGGTTTGGATCAAGTGAGAATGCTTATGTGCAAACGTTACGTGAGAACACCGTTAGATCTAATCTAACGGCTGCATCAAAAGCAATTGTAAGTGTAAGTGTTGTATTATAACGAGGCCTTCTTCTCTCTCCTCCCTCCAAAACTTCGAGTCCAAAACAGACGTCCCCTCCAATCCAACTGTTCGGTTTGTTCAACTATGTGGCCAATTTTTTTATCAGCTTTGAATGAGCAAGGCCAATAACAATGAAGAGAGAGCACCCCTGTTATTCCTTATTCGATTCCAAGAAGAGTACAGAAGTATAATCCTCCTTTTCCTGGGTTTCTCATTCAGGCGAAAGAAAGTGTTCGTGTATTTTATATTATCATCTTTGTGGTTCGGTCTTTCTGGTCAGAACATTCGGTCTTTCTAGTCGGAACATTCATCAATCCTTGAGCAACGTCTTGAGTTGGAAAGAACATTCGTCAATCCTTGAGCAACGTCTTGAGTTGGAAATTGGTGACCGCGACCGTTGTACTGTTCTCTTGGTTTTGAAATCGTTGAGCACGATCGAAACAGGGGTTGAGGAAGAAGAAAAGTGTGTGGGGTTGATGTCCAGATAAACATGGGTTGAAAATGACTCAAGAGGTAAGTGATATACTGTATTTGTCAAGCTTATTATTGGGCATAAGCATGAGTTACATTAGTTTGTATGTAGGTCTTTAATATTTCACCAAAGAATCATTTTCATATGATATGTTAGTTAACGTATATATTTTAAAGCTCTTTATACTATATTTGTCAAGTTTATTATTGGGCATAAGCATGAGTTACATCATTTTGTATGTTGGTCTTTAATATTTCACCAGAGAGTCATTTTCATATCATATGTTAGTTGATATATATATTTTGAAGCTCTTTATACTGTATTTGTCAAGTTTATTATTGGGTATAAGCATGAGTTACATTAGTTTGTATGTAAGTCTTTAATATTTCACCAGGGAATCATTTTCATGTCATATGTTAGTTAATACATATATTTTAAAGCTCTTTGAAAGCATGTGCCAATGTTGGTATGATGGTGGTGAATTCAGGGTTAAATTGCAAGAACTGTGAAATGGATTGTGAAGGACAAGTGACACCGGAAGTAAGGTCGGAGTTGAAACCAAAATTGGGACTTGAATTTGATTGTTGTACAATGTGTTTAATTTCTATAATATGTATGCTGCGGAAGCCGGATTCGGCATTCGGTGTTCTACAACGAGGACGTGCACACTGACATGAGAGGTAACAAGGAAGGAATATGTATGTTGTAAACAGGGGTATGCGTTGACAAGCACTGTTAGTCATAAGAGAAGACAACGAGGTTGTACTCGAACTGGTTGCAAGGCTAAACTTGCGATATTGAAGGTGAAAGACAAGAATAAGTACATTGTTGTAGGATTCAATGAGGTACACAACCATGACATGACCACAGTTGATAAAGTTCATCTATTGAGATCTCACCGTAACTTAACAGAGTCTACAAAGGTCTATAGTGCAGATATGAGCAAAGTTAATATTCCGGTACATAAACAGTTAAGCCTTCTTGAGGTGCAAGTAGAGGGATTGGAAAATGTTGGGTTTGTTAAGAGAGATATCTATAATTATCTAAGGGACGTGTGTGGAGAGGTGATTGGCCATGATGCATGCTTAAGGAGCATTTTATGGTTATGCAAGAAAAGAATGAATCCTTTTATTTCAAGATGGAGGTAGATTCGGAAGGAAGGATGGGTAATGTTTTCTGGTCAAATGCAAGATCAAGACGAGCTTATAGGTTTTTTAGGAGATGTGGTGGTATTTGGTACGACGTTCAACACGAACCGCTATGAGATGGTCTTTGAGCCTTTGTTAGGCGTTAATAACCATCGGCAGACAGTGTTGTTTGGTTGTGCATTCCTAACTAGCGAAACCAAGGATTCATTTGTATGGTTGTTAGAGGAATTCAAGAAAGCCATGCTGGGTGAGCCACCCAAAATGATCATCATTGATCAAGATGCAGCCATGTCAAAGGCAATTGCTGTAACTCTCCCGACAACATTCTATAGATATTGCATATGGCATATCTTGAATAAGATTATAGAGAAACCCGGCATTGGAGAATGTTTTTCGAAAATGTGCAAATGCAAATGGGGTATGGACAAGGAAGAAGAATTTGATGCGAAATGGGAGGAAATCATCACAAACAATGGGCTGCAAGACCATGCGTGGCTGAGCTCAATTCATGCTATGCGGGAGAATTGGGTTCCATCATATGTAAAACATGTGTTTTCGGCTGGGATGTCAAGTAGTCAATGATCCGAAAGCTGTCATTCATTTTTCAAACAATATATTAACCGGAAAAACACATTGATGGAATTCATTGTACGTTTTGAGAGAGCTCTTGCTTCACAAAGACACAAGGAGTTAATGGTTGATCATGTTGATAACAATGAAAAACCTTCACTGCCATTTCAAACACCAATGCAACATCAAATGGGACGCATTTACACTCGGGAAATTCTGGAAATGTTTGAGAGGGAGGGAAGACTTCAAAAGTCTTTTATGTTTGTTCGAACTTGTAGAGCAAGATGAGACGCAGTGCAAATAAAAAAAGTGAGCGGGTAAATCTGGGGGTGACACAAATGAAGGAGCTTGTGCATGATAAAGATGTCGATAAAGCTTATTGCAGCTGCAAAGGATTTGAATTTTGGGGTATTCCGTGCCGGCACATCCTAGCATTCTTAAGAATGAAGCAGGTTGAATACTTGCCAAACAAGTACATATTGAAACGATGGCTTCAAAGTGTGAAAAGCGGTGTAATATATGATAAGAATCACAAAGAAGTTAAGAATTGCTTGATGGTTTGCTTTTGGTTAAGAGATCGAAAGTTTGCAAAGTTGCAAGTGATTTGATTGATTCGGCTTTGTTGTGTGATGAAGGTTTTGAGTTGCTGGAAAAATCTTTTGAGGACATTCATGGGAAGCTTACAAGGTTGGTGTCATCAAGAGCTCATGTCGAAGAACCCAATGGAGATGTCTGAACTAGTTATCCCCAACTCATAATCGAAGATCCACATCGAGTGAAAGTAAAAGGGCGTGCGAAAAGAGTTAAAGGAGAAAAAGAGAAGGCAGCGCAACGACATAAGCGTCGGTGCACTGAATGTAGGAAGACTGATCATGATAGACGGAGTTGTCCAAAACTTGTCAGCCCGTAAGTGAATATGTGTTATATTGTGCTTTGAAATTTATGTTGTTGATGTTTATTATTATTATTTTTTTCCGATGTGGCAGCTCTTCATCTATCGACACAGAACTTGGTGGTCCAGTTGGTGAGAATTTGCAACCCACTCAGAGCACGCAGGACAGTGAACCTACTATGATAGAGTCATTTATGCGAGAGTTTGATTTCATGTATGGTCCCAGAGTTTGAACACTTATTGATACTTATTTATATTGTTTTTGAAAGTATCTGGAAGCGTTAGTGAATCTTAGGTAAATGTCTTATGTCCATTGATACTGAACTATGGTTTATTAAACACATAACTATCTGGAAGAGTTTGATTTCATTTATGGTCCCGGAGTTTTAACATTTATTGATATCTATTTACATCTTTTTTGCCTTCTGTGACCAACTTTTATGTGGCGCTGAAAATTCCATCACATTTGGCTTGTATAAGTGAGAAAATTTTGCTAGTCATCACCTAAACGTCTTGAAGGGATGTAACAAAATTTTCGCTCCATGTTCGTCACATTATAATTTCGGTGTCATCACATATTAAATAGCGGGAAATCTTAGCGCCCAATTTTTTACTAAATGTGACGAATGATGCACATTCGTCACAGAGCATGAAAGTGGAGCTCAAAAATTTTATTGGGTGAAGATTGGCAGGGTCAATTATGGCCCAAAAGAAAAAGAAAAAGAAAAAAAAACAAAGAAAAAACCCAACGCTTCATTCAACCTAATCAAAGCTTCAGTCCCTTCATCGTCATCGCTAGCTGTGCTCTCATCCACAAACCATTGGAGACGACGACCACTCCTCTCCGGCGACGACGACCACTCATCTTCCTCTCTCTCTCTCTCTTTCTCTCGCTCTCTCTTTCTCCCTTTGTCTCCCTCTTCGGGTGGCCCATTGTCTCCCAGATTCAATCACCAACAAACTCTCATTTCAATATATTCCCTTGACAATGACCACATCTAATTAAGTCCACCTTCCACTTGTAATCTTTCATCCCCTTGACCCCCACTCTAAAAAACCCACAGGTAAATAGAAATTTCTTCATTGATTGTAAAATTGTTAATTGTTATTTCCCTGTTCAATTGTTGATTGTTATTTGATATATTTTCGTTGGCTTTTTCTATATATTTGAGGTAAAATAGAAATTTCTTCTGGGTGTTGCAGTGCTCTTGGTCAATTTTGCTAGTTTTCGTTCTGCTCGAGGTAAGTTTCTTTTACTTTCTGATTTGTGTTGTTTTGATTCATGCTTTAATTTGGAATCTGAACATGGCCAAATATGAGAAATTGTATTTTGACAATTTGACTAGATGAGGAATTGTAGAATAACTTATTTTGACAATAAGTTCACTCAAAGGATAGAGCATTTGATACAGTTTTAATTTCTTATTTATGTAAATAACTCTATAGATGCTCAATAATCGCCAATGATTTTATCAACTTGTAGATTTTGGTCTTTTTGTGTTCCAAATCACCCTATACCCATTTGTGGAAAGACTTCTTGGTCCTGTAATGATTGGAGGGGTAATTTTTTGAGCAATTGAAGGGGTAATTTTTCAGCTCCTGCTCCCTTTGCATTGTTGTAGCTTCTGCATTTTTTTCTTCATGATACATGTCTTTCGACGTAATGCCGACTGACCTATACTGTTCTTTACCTTTGTGGTTCTTTTTTTCCAGCACATGATTCCCATATGCAGATTATCACAATACCTCTGCTGTCAAGTTACCCATTTATGGCAATGTTATCGAGGTTCTCCCTCTACCTGATGTTAAATTTTGCATCTGTGCTGAAGAATGTCTTATCTGTAAGTGCAGACATGACTTTATATCTCATTTCAACTAACACACTTGTATGCATCCTTGCGTTACAAAGACTTGGTGAACTACTATTCCACCATCATCTTGATACAAATCTCATTAACAGCAAAACCAAACTACAACTCTGTCATCTTAACTAAAAAAATTAAAAAGAAAATGACTATATCTACTCCACAGCAGCTCACAGATTTGATAAAATAGGGAATTGTCCTGATTATATTGTTAGTGACCAATTTCTCATCTTGACAATTGACTGAATTAATTCTACAATTGACTAGGACTTTTGTCATTTGTATTTTGACAATTTGACTCTTCTATGAATCTAGGCAATTTTTTTTTGGTGCTTAATACTCTTATGTTCAATGACAGTGGTGTAGATTTTGGCTTATATATCCCAAGTATTCAATTTGATATATAATAATGTTGTCATATGTTCAGTTGGTTGTTGCCTTGCACTTTGCATTCACCATTTTTTGAATTAATTCTCTGTTTTTCTACTTAGAGAAATTAATAGTCAAGTTTATTAAAGTTCCATTTCAGATGCAATAATTTTGCTCCTTTCTTTCTTTTCTTAATTATAAACTTTCCCATGAAACAAATATATTCAATGTGACATGCACAAGTGGCAGAGTGCACTCTTGACATTATTATTATTCCTTCTCTTCTCTTTCCATGCCATGCTTGCACTATATGTATGTCCAATCCGATACTCATTAATAATATTTCTATTGCAGCATAATGCTCATGGAATTCAAAAATTTCCTACAATCTTTCTTGGACATTGGCTCTTTATCAAGGATACTGGACAGCATAATGAAACTTTGCCTTCAGTTTTGCTGGAACATTGAGAACCAAGAAAGCAATGCAAATACTTTTGAATTGGAACACATTATAGAGGTAAACATCATTGTTTTGCGAAAATATTCTCTCTTCTTGCAATTATTGGCAACAATAATTTCCACATATTATACTGCTGCAACTGTCCTGGGAATTTACTCCTTTGTTGATGCCAGAGTTGGTTTACCTGTCTGGTTGTCTCTGACAATTGACTAGCCCTGCATAATTCAAGGGTGTAGGTTATATTGTTTGGCTTTCACAAGACTCCCGTAACTACTTGTATTATTTAACATGTTTATTATAATGTTGCAATATGTGGACTTCATCTTCAATTAGATTTTGTTTTACTTTGTTTAGGAATTTAACAAGAAATCAAACTCGAATTTAACAAGAATTTAACAAGGAATTTAACAGGAATTTACGTTGTTATGAAATTTTCTTCCTTGTCTGAGATGTCTTTGAAATTGGTTTTCAGATGTAAACCTAAGTCCTAGCCTTGAGATGAACAGTTTTGCTTGTGGGAATTAGGTTAGTGCTTAGCATGGTAAATCTTATTTCCCAAGCAAAATTCATTAACATCAAAAAAGCAAGATTTCAGACAAGTCATACAAATTAAGTCTACTAAAAAATAAAAACTTAAGTGGGGGATTCTAGAGATTAAAATTCATATTTTTTTTTCATTTCAATGCAGGTTTGATTCTATACAAGTGCTATTAGATGCTGAGTTTGGAATCATGGGTGAGAAGCTCGGGGGTGTAGGTGTTTTTTCCTCGCATGGAGACCTCTAGCTCATCCACTCCTTCTTCAATGGCTTCAAGTTCTAAGTTGAGTGAAATTTATGATCATCTCAAGATGCTATCAACTAATTTCGTCACTTTGCAAAAGGAGAATGAAGATTTGAGAGCCCAATTAAGGTCTGTTTTGACTGCATCTCATGGCCAGACCAGCACCAGCTCAAGAGGTAGTAATGGTGTCCATTCTGATAATGACTATTATGATGAACTAGCAAACCACAATCTTGATGAGAACTGATTTAGGGATTATATCCATATGGAACATACACTTGCTCTCTAGACTTACTTTTGGTTGTGCAAAGTCTAGTATTAGTTTGGGATCTTTATTTTGGAACACACTTACTCTCTAGACTTACTTTTGGTTGTACAAAGTCTAGAATTAGTTTGGGATCTTTATTTTGGAACACACTTGCTCTAGACTTACTTTTGTTTGTACAAAGTCTAGACTTAATTTGGGATCTTTATTTTGGAACATACAATGTAATTACCTGCTTTTATTAATGGAAATGCGATTATATATATTTATATTATACATTGAAAAAGATAAGAATAGAGAATTGTGATTGGATTTGCACATATTATTCATAATTAGGTACCTTGGTATGGAATATGTGTGACACAGACCTCATCACAATCTGAAGAAATATGTGACGCTAACATCGTCACAGTTAAAAAGACATCTTATGTATACATCGTCACATACTACAAAATTATGTGACGTGTGCATCGTCAGACATTGAAAAAAAAATATGTGATGTGTGCGTCATCACACACTACATAAATATGTGACGCCTAAAGGGTCACGTATTGTATAGGAATGACCATTTTATACCCAATTTAGGAGAGGAATTGCTCCTCACATATGCCGCTAAACCGTGACCCAAATCACGCATCACTAATAACCGTAGGAAGTGACTAATGGACAACCACATAATCCAACATATAGTGACGCGGTATGTGTCACATATATTGTATATATGTGACGAAGAGAGAAAGCGTCACGTGGGAGAATAGGTGACGGGGTATAGGTGACGAAAGCTGTGATGCTAAAATTGCGTCACATGTACTCAACTGTGATGAAATTCCATGTTTCAGTGACGATTACCCCTCTTCACAAAAGGCATGTTTTCGTGTAGTGTTTGGTCGTGAACGGCACCATACTTTTAATGTGTAACCTTGAGTTGCTGGAAAAATCTTTTGTTGAAGGTGGATGTCCCAGATGTCCTCTGGGGCTTTGGGATTTTCAGAACCTGAAGCCCTTGTTTGAAGGAGAATGAGTTTGGGGGGAATCATGCAAGTGGTTTTCTACACAAATTTGCAATGGTTGCAATGAATATGAAAATATCCAAGGGAATGTTGAAACCATGACTATGTGTCAGTAAGAGAATCTTGAAACAATCACTATGTCTCTGTAAAGTATCAACCAACGAATATCTGTGTCAGAGAATCTTGAAACAAATTGTCTCCCCCACTGACAATGAATTAAACAAAAAATTGTGAGCACTATTATGAAATGAACGCTTCTAATCCGGAAGTTAGTGATCGAACTGTGATTGAACTCTAGGTTTGATAGCAGTGTAAAACGAAATAATAAGCTGCACGTAACCAAGATCGGGCATTAACATTAAAACAGTAACCCAGATCGGGCATTCACATTTAAGCACTAACCCAGATCGGGCATTAACAAAAACAAACAACTGCTAAGGGATTGCCTACATAGCGATATGGCTATCAGCAGTCATTATCGTTGCCTTTTGCTGGTTGGTGGCCTTGCTCTGTTGGGTGTGCACCACTGGAGATGATTCCTTTGCAGCAGACGGGGTTATGGCATCCCAGTCAATATCTTTGTACACATCTGCAGCGAACCGTAGGAATTTCTCAAAACCTTCGTTGAAAGCCACATACATTGTCTAGCCTTGGTTGTCTCCTCCTTTGTGGATGCTCAAAGATTCGTACGTAGCATCCTCCTCTGTCATATGCAAATCCTCTGTTGTGTGCTTTCTTCTTTGGGCACGAATTCTCTACTTCTCTTTTCTATAACGGGGTTTGTTAACTTGCCGAGTCAAATAAGCCAACTTTTGCTCAGCTCTGACACACTTTTGAGTCCAATAATGGACAAAGGAAGAGTTGTGTTCCAGTTTGTTCTTCATATCATATATTTCCACAGCGGGATCAGCGGAGTCCCCCACACTTGCGGAGGAGGTTGGAAGAGGCAGTGGTGGTGGAGGGGACCTTGGATAATCGGAGGCATATTCCCATGAGCCATCGGAGTCCCCCTAATTCGCTTTGGCGCTTGAACTGGCGGACATGTTGAAAAAATTGTCAGATTGGGGGATTCGGCTGAAGGTTTGTATGCAAAAAAGACGATTGGAAAGAAGAAAAGAGAGATGTAAGGCATGAGTATCCCATAGGCATAAAACAACGTTTATATATTATGTCCGAAAGTTTTCCATTTTGGTTTTTCTCCTTTTGTCCCATCACTTTAATTCTTTTTTATTTTTAAAGTAATTAGAGTAATTGATTTAGTTAATCACAGGAGCCTCACATGATTAGTAAAAATGTTAGCACGCACTTGAATTAAGATTTATCAAGTTTGAATGAGTTCGTAGCAATTTACGAATTTTTTCCCGATTTTTGTATATTTAGTTATGAATTTTGTAAGAAAATAGCAATATTCATTTAAATTCACACGGAAAGGAAGGATGTGGCAATGGCCTCTAGCGTACAAGTGTGCACCTACTGGAGGGGGATTCGGTTAGCTATCACCATGTGTGTTATTTCTTTATGTTTTAAATTTTGTAATGCAAAATTATTTAAAAAATGGTAATAAATACGATAAAAATCGGAAAATTGCTTCCAGCTCCTTGTGCCATTACAAAACTGGGGGAAGCTATAAATCATCCAAAGTGATTATGAAAACTCAATTTCGTACTTAATTTCATCTGATGTGACAATACAGAGTGAACACTCCATCGTTGGAATATGGTGATAACTTGTTTTCCTTTGAACCGTAACATTATATTTTGCAAAAATTAGAAGTATACTTCCTTAGTGTTCATTATCTAATTTATAAGAACACAAGTTTCAGTTTCATTTGCTTCATATATAATTGTTCGGAAAAATATTTCTATATTTTCTCCTTTCAATTGATAGACACAATATAGTTCTTGTTATTTCATTGCTAAAATTATATATTTGAAACCAATGAGCAAACCTCTAAAATGCCAAATTACGAACATAATTAGCTACCATATAAGTGATCAAATAAATGCTCAAACCTCAAAACTCACCCAATTACTTAAAAAATGGGGAAACAAAAACAGACTTCCAAATAAATTTATTCAACACTGTATTTACTAATATATTTTTCTGCATAGCTGCATTATTTTATTCAAATGACCCAAAATGGAAACACACAAGAGCATTTACCTCATATATAAATATGCTATGAACATACAAAGTATTGACTAAGTTTTATATTTTATATTAGTAGATTATATTGTATACAAATCTTAAGCCACAATACTTATTTATTTGTTAACTTCCAACATATATATATAAACAATGTTATATTGTCTTCTAAGTATGTATTCTATATATTCATTATGTTGTCTTACTACTCTTTTTTCTTTTCAACATAGTAGTTATATAATTGGTTTTTCTTCCCTAATGGGGCAGGCCATGGAAATGGCATACCCACCCCCGATTCAACCCATTGTCATCCCTAAACGAACGAGATAAAGCCAACCCTCCATTACTTGATTACTATGCAACATAAATACCTAGATTACCAACAAATCCACCTCTGTTGTTTCTATTCCATGTCTTTTAGGCGTTATAAAATAACACAAAGAAATATGTGATCAGAAAATAATCTAAACAAACTTCATAAAAGCACAACAATTTATGTAGACAAAAGTACGCTTAAAAAACTCAAAATAGTTTCCCCATTTGTTTACAGTTGTCCTTCACATCTTACAGTTGGATACATTACCTAAGAACTATGAACACTTCAAACCACAGTTTTTACACCTTCAGGAGCCCACACAAAATGCCAAAAAACGTACTCAAAATGAACCATACATTTGTTCCGAACAAAATATTGAAAACCCTAAAATGAACTTTATCCAAGGACAGTTTACTCCATGGCGATCCCGTCCCAGTTGTAGCTTGGGACAACACATCTTGCAAACTCGCGGAACAGGTCAAACCCTTTGCATGCTTCTGTTTCCCTCATCTGCACAGACTCATTTGAAGTACTGAACCTTCAAACAACTTTTCATTTCGCAAGCCAAACCCTCACTTTCATTATTTGGACTCATCTAAGGTGGAATTTCGCTTTCTTTTTCTCATTCCCCATTGTTTCTTGATACCATCTTAGACGTATCTTCAAGTGTTTGATTTCCATGATCAACGCATCATACCTCATCTTTCTGATCCAAGCTATATCATCGTGGTCCTTAGATGAAAAGTTTATGGATTTCGCAGCTTGATCAGCAACATCTTCAGCTTTATTATTCCTCTGTGACAAAGGTTTTGCATTTTTTTGCTGGAGTTGTTATAAATATGGGGGGGATTTTTGTAGGGGAACCCATTCTGAGTTTAGGCTTGTTTCGAGCAAGTGGAGGTGCAATGGGAGGTAAAATACTCTTACTTTGGTATTTATAGAGCAGTCCCCATTTTCATTTTACCCGCCAAAATGCCAATGTTGACTTCGAGTGGGGAGCTGCAACTTTAGTTACCTTGAGAACTGGTGATGTCATATTTGCATTATTTGTATCATATACGATATTTTAATTTTCTTTACCGTCGTATTTGTGAAGATAAAACTGTTGACTTGGTCATGTTCAAATGTAAGTTACCTTCACAACTTGTGATGTGATATTTGCATTATAAGTACCACAAGCACATTTTTTTGTTTCTTTACTGGTGATATGAGTTCATATTTAGTATCATATTTCAGAAGATGAAATTGTTTACTTGCTCATGTTAAATTCAAATTACCTTCATAACTGGTGATGTCATAAAACACTGTTTTCATTTTCTTTACTGTTAATGGTGCGTTCATATTCAGTATCATATTTCAGAAGATGAAATTGTTTACTTGCTCATGTTAAATTCAAATTACCTTCATAATTGGTGATGTCATAAAACACTGTTTTCTTTTCTTTACTGTTAATGGTGCGTTCATATTTAGTATCATATTTTAGAAGATGAAATTGTTTACTTGCTCATGTTAAATTCAGATTACCTTCATAACTAGTGATGTCATAAACACTGTTTTCATTTTATGTACTGTTAATGGTGCGTTGATATGATATTTTGTTTCATACTTGGCTGTTAAATTATTCACATGGTCATGTTCAAATGCAACGAATTTTACCTCTATAAGTAGCGATGTGATATTTGCATAGTCTTTATCATAAAAAGTATATTTAATTTTTTGACTGCTGACGTTGATTAGTAGTATCATAAATGCGAACACCCACAAGGTGTACCTAGACATGGAGCCGCGAGAAGACCAATTTGTCGCCAAAACCTGGATCATCGAGGTGTGTAAACTGTCCTTTCAATCACACCGGTTGGGAAACGAAGCCAATAATACATGATCTAAACCCAATGTTGTCTTCATCCATAGTTTAGGTGACGACGGTTCGTTCCAATATATACCTTTCTTCCTGATTTTTCCAGACACACCATTCATTATTCCTCCACATACCTTTTGCACTCCCTCTTCTCCAACAACCCAGATGGACATCCCAGACTGGGCATGGTTTAAGGTGCTGCTTTTTGTTACAAAGCACTCCTCTGAAGATCTGTACAGCATGGCGGGAACATGCAAGTTATTTGAACAAATGCTAAATGATCTTGAGGTTTGGTGAACCGTGTCTATAGAGAAGTGCCAGTGGCATCCTGAATGGTACGGGTTTTATCAAGAGAAACTTGTTGAGTTCTTGCAAAAGTGCAAGGAACACAACAATCCAGAAATCATTTACAGAGAAGCTGTAACTCAATTCTTCATATTCAAAGAAGATGAGGCTGTCAACAACTTCCGAGTGGCGGCTAAGGCGGGGCATATGGAATCCTCCTACATTGTTGGCTTGCTAGGGCTGGTGAACCCTACGGAGGGCAAAGAGGATGCAATGGAATTGTTGTGCCATCTAAGCAAAAAGAAGAAAATTGACATGCAAGCATGCAGGGCATCAATTATGAATTGATTGATGAGGTGTACCATTTCGGGCGTGGTGACTCCTCCAACTCTTGCAAAGTTTACTGCTGACAGAAATTTTTTTCTTACCTGCGTTAACTATAAGGGTAATCGGGAGTGGTATTTCTCATGGGACTTGGCAAGCGACTACTCTAACACGGTAGCTACCTAGAACTATTGTGAACCCTGCAAATGGAAGAGGGAGTTGTACTGCTTCCAGTGCAAACTCCGTAGAGAGACCTGTTGGATTTAATAAATTAAATATCCATGGTATGATATGGGTATTCAAGTGTGTTTTGGGTTTTGTTTGTTTTTATTCATAGGGGAAAATTACCTTATGTTTAATGTTTTTAATTCAAGGTCTGTTTATGGTAATGTTGTAGACGTTTGTGGTTTTAAGTCCTGTTTATGGTTTGAAGGTCTGCTTTTGTAATCGGTGCACTTTTCAGATCCAATTTAAGTACAGGTTTGTAGACGTTTGTGGTTTTAAGTCTTGTTTATAGTTTGAAGGTCTGTTTTTGTAATCAGTGCACTTTTAAGATCCAATTTAAGTACAGGTTTGTAGATGTTTGTGTTCCATAGACCTTTGTAGCTTGCGTGCATATCACTAATACAAAAGTGAAAAAGACGACCAGAAAAACACGACGGTCTAAGTGAAAACCATCGTTGTTTTTTAAAAGACGACGGTTTTATAAAACCGCCGTGTAATAACACATTAGACAACTAAAAAATGGAGTTTCAAATGGCTGTTCCTAAAACACGACGTACTTAATTAAAAAACCGACGTCTTATTGAAATAGGATTTTCAAGTGGTAAAATCATAGCCAACAAATAACGGCGGAAGTTATGAACCGACCGACGTAGAAAGTAAAGACGACGGTTTCAAAAAAAGCCGTCGTTTTTACCCAGAAATTAACACGACCAAGTTTTCGTATAAGGCGCCGTATAATTACAAATAAATCCACGGCGGTAAAATACAAAATACCGCCGTATTAAATTAATGTACAACTACGGCAAAGGTAAATATAACGACGTCTTTCTCGTATTTCTACGACGATATCTTTAAATCTTACCAAGTTGGGGTTTTCATTTAACGACGTATTATACAATTTAACGTCGTATTTGTCCACTTTATACGTCATACATTATATTTAAACCGTCGTCTGAATAAGAATTTTTTTTAACAATTTATTTCTTGGATTTTGTTATCCTACGTCGGTAGATCTACTTAATGACAAGAATTGAAATAACCACGACGGTTTATATAGAAAACCGCCGACATAATCAGATTATTCTGAGATCACAAGGGTTAGGAAATCTTACAAGATGGAACTCTGTTGCTCATCATAATCTTACCAGAAAGACAATATTTTAGAGGTTAATGATGTATGTGTATTTGTGTCTTTGAGATACACAAACGCACATACACATTAACATCCAAAAAATTGCTTCTGAAATTTGACGACGGCAGCCTCAGATTTGCAATCAGAGAGACAATTTTTTGGAAGTGAATGATGTATGTGTGTTTGTGTATCTACACAAACGCGCACACACATCCACATCCAAACAATTGCCTCCTAAAACTTCACGACGGCAGCCACAGATTTGCAATCAGAGAGACAATTTATTGAAAATTGGTGATTTGCAATGAGCCACAGATAACCAACATTCAAACAATTACCTCCCAAGAGATGAGGTGAGACAGAGAAAGGGGCAAGAAGAAGTTGAAACCCTATTCGAATACTAAAACTGAAAGAACCCGTGAAAAAAAACCCTATTTATAATTAAAAAACCAAATCCACGTCGGTTATATTACACATAATGACGTTTAACAAAAATAATCCTCGTCGGTAAAAAATACATTACGTCGTTTTATTCTTACTTAAGACGACAAGAAAAGACGACGGTATAACAAAAACAGTCGTTGTTTTATATTTTTATTTGATTTAAATCAGTCACCCAAAAAAGAAACTTTACAAATTCTAGAACATTAATTTCCTCGGGAAAAAAAAACTATATTTATAAGGCACTGTTTTTGAAAAATAAACTGAAAGAAAAAGGGAAAAAAAATTATATTTATAATAAAAAAAATAAAATCCACGTCGGTTATATTACACATAACGACGTTTAAAAACGAATCCACGTCGCGAAAAAAATAATACGTCGTTTTAGTTTAGTGTTATCCACGTCGGTATATTACAATAAAACGACGTATATTATAAAAATAAACGTCGTAAATTTAAAAAAAACCGTCGTGTTAAATATTTCTACCATGACGCGAGATATTGAGTTATCGACTTTTATTTAGGAGTTTACTACGGCGGTACCTACAACACTACTGTCGTATTTATGTACTACGTCATAAGTTCAAATTATCGTCGTAGTTTGTCTATTAATACGTCGTCGTTCTATGTAAACCGCCGTCTTATTACTATGAAACGGTTTGTATACATATACAACTTTTCGTCTACCTGACTTACACATGCACTGTTTCCAAACCCGAGAAAAAATTTCAATCTCCCAGAGAAAACTTTTCGTCTTTTTTCCTTGTCAGAGCACTGTCAGAGTATCTCATCGTCTTCCTCTCGTCTTCGTCGTCGCCTCTGAACTTAAACACCAAAATCCGAGAGAAAGCTTTCATTGCACGCAAAAGGTAAGCTTTCATTTCTCACTATTTTTGTTGCTATTTTGCATGCTCATACGGTTTTTGTTTTGAAAATCTTTTTACCTTTTTTCTGGCGAAAATCATTTTTATTCTTTCCAAGTTTGATAAAATACACAGACAGAGAGGGAAAGTTTCCAACTTTGAACACAACTAATTCAACTAAATAAGACGACGGTAGCTTCTTATTTACGTGGTTAAATATGTAGACCACGACGGTTCGTCAGTCGTCCTAGCGTCGTCTTAAAATTGATCTAAGTTGTTTTTAAAATGACGGTCAATTTTTTATTTGCTTGTTTAGTTGCAGGTTTGATTTCTCTGAACCATGGTTTTCGTTTTTCCTAATTTGATAAAATACAAAGACAAAGAAAGTAGGGTTTGGTATCTTATATAGACGACGGTATCTTATTATTGACGCCGTGTGAATGTTCATACCACGACGTTATACTAAGATACCGTCGTCTATAAAAAGATGCCAAAGCTTTCTTTCTTTTTCTTTGTATTTTATCAAATTAGGAAAAACAAAAACCATGTTTCAGAGAAATTAAACCTGCAATCAAACATTCACAGAGAAAGAAAAATGTTTTTGGTTTCTTATAAATACGACGGTAGCTTATTATTCATGTCGTGTGAATATCCATAACACGACGTTATATTAACATTTACGTCTTGTTAATATGAATATCACGACGTCGTGTAAAATAAGTTCTTATTACGTCTTATTTAATATTGTTTCGTCGTTGTTTAAACATTTATATTGTTTCGTCGTTGTTTAAACATTTATATTGTTTCTTCTTTAAACATTTATTACGTCTGATGTTATGTTATTACGTCGTGTAAAATCTTATCATACGTCGTATTTTATAAATAACCGTCGTTTGTGTTCTAATTTTTTTCCTGAAATATTTTCACTTGCAGGTTTGTTTTTTCTGTAACCATGGTTTCTCAAGACCAAAGTAAGGACTCTGGCTCCAAAAAAAATGGAGGTAAGGAGCTTGGAATGGTAACTCCTCAAGACAAGCCCTTGAAGAAGATGAAGTTTGTTTCATCTGCTGAGACAGAACCAAGCAGCACGACAACAATTTCTGAGGATTCAAAGTCAGGTCGAGGTATGAGCACAATGCCTCGTGTTGTGAAGAGAAAATTGCAGAAAATCAAGCCAGTTGTTGAGTACAATAAAAAGGGGAAAGGATGTGGCCCTGCACATACTGAGATGCAGTCCTACATTGGTGTGTTGGCACGCTCCAGAGTCCCACTTGTGGACAAGAAATGGGCTGAAATCCCCAAGGATATAAAGGAGCAGATTTGGGAAGCCGTTGACATGGCTTTTGTGGTAGGTCAAGGGGGCAAGACCTCGGTGTTATCTTCTGCTGCCAAGAAATGGAAGGATTTCAAGTCTACACTGACGAGGCATTATATCCTTCCATACATCAAGGAGAGGGAGAAATTAAGCCAACCCCCTGAAGTATATAAATTCATAGAGAAAGCAGAATGGGATGCCTTTGTAGCTTCAAGGTTATCCAAAGAATTTGAGTCTGTGCATTCTCAACATTCACAGATTAGGGAGAAACTTGAGTACAATCATCGATTGTCTCGAAAAGGATATGCTGGTTTGGAGGATCAATTGGAGGAAACCATGCCTGGGGTAGAAATTGATCGATCTACCTTATGGAAGAAAGCTAGACAGGACAAACATGGTAACATCCCGGATCCAAAGGTGGCAGAGAAAGCAAAATTAATTGTAAGCCTACACACTCTGTTTTAAATTTTTATTAAACTGTGTATAATTCTTATTACGTCTTATGTTATATTTTTCCGTCGTGTGAATGATTTTACTACGTCGAAATATTTTAAAAAACGTCGTGAAAGATCTAAATCTGGAATCACAACTCTGTTTTCTGTAATTATAGCATAAGACGTCGGTGGTTAATTTTTTTCGTCGTGTTAATGTTATTACTACGTCGAAATGTTTTCAAAAACGTCGTGAAAGATCTAAATCTGGAATCACAACTCTGTTTTCTGTAATTACAGCATAAGACGTCGGTGGTTTATTTATTGCGTCGTTTTAAACAACTAACCACGTCGTTTTTAATTAACGTCGTTATAAATATATTATAACGTCGATTTCTATATTGGTGCGTCGTGTGAAATTATATAATGCGTCGTTTGTTTATAAATAACCGTCGTGTGTTTTCTTGTGCTGACTTTTTTGTATGTCTTTGTTTTAGGATGAATTGCAAAAACAAGTGGCTGAAGGCAGTCTGAGTGTAACTGGCAGTAATGATGTGTTGACCTTGGTTGGGTCCCGAGCATCCAGGGAGAGTAAGAGGGGTAGGTGCTGGGATTTCCCCTAGGCAATTCTTCAATTTACCTAGACCACAGAGGGTAAAGTTTGCCGATCAATTGAAGGAAAGTGTAAGAATTGTCCTTCAAGAAGAGACTAAGAAGATGGAAGCTAGATCAAGGGAAGAGGCTTTAAGGATGGAGGCTAGAACCAAACAATTGGTAGAGGCTGAGAGGGAACATTTACTAAGTCAGCTTTCCCACCTCATCCCCAATTTTGATCCAAGCATGCTTAAACCGAAAACTAGCCCCTGTCAAAACCAAGGTCTAGAGCAAAGTCCCAAAATTCCAATGTCTGATAAAGCAAGCTGCTCTGGGGCTGATGTGAGATCCCTACATTTAGAGGATGATACTGCCAAAAATGGGGAACAGCAGGAAGAAACGGTAACATATCTGAACTTTGAATTCTCTGTTTTTTTTAAAAACATTAGACGTCGTTATTATGAAGAAACCCGTCGTTTTAAAACCATACCACGACGATTTTATAAATAAACCATCGTTTTTATTTAAATACCACATCGTATTTAGTTTACTTGTTTTACACGCCATTAGACATCGTATTTGTGGTTTTTAGACGACGGTTTTAGTCCTTAACGACGTAATAGACAATTACCACGACGTTTATTATTTACCATCGTTTAATAATTTTAAGACGTCCATAATTCTTACATACCGTCTTATGTTATGCCTTACCACGGCGTTTTGATTTAATTTTTTACTTTCTGTACAATCTGTCTTATATATATATATATTTCTTTATTATTTAAAACAGAAATCTGGGGCTTTAGATAATCAAGATGAAGAGAAGAAAGAAGAAAAAAAGATGAAGAGAAGATGGGAGAAAAAAAAGATGAAGGGAAGAAGGAAGAAAAAAAAGAGAAAAAAGATGAAGGCAAAAAGGAAGACACAAATGATGAAGAGAAGAAAGAAGAAAAACAAGATGAAGAAAAGCATGACGAGGAGGTATATTCTCATAACTTTGCCTTTTTAATTTGTTTTTCACATTTCAGACGTCGATATTTTTCTTTAAACCGTCGTTTGTTTTCAAATTAGACGTCGGAATTTATTTTCTATGACGTAATAAATTATCTAAAACGACGGTTTTTAATTACCGTCGTTTAAATTATAATCAGACGACGTTTTTTAATTTAAACCGTCGTTTTTATTGAATTACCACGTCATTTTATTTTGCTTTATTTCTTTAAACAGGGTAATGAAGTAGTTGATTATTCAAATGTGGAGGTGCCATCTTCCTTACAATCCCTTTGTCGTTATGTGGAAACTACACTAAAGCCACAGGGGAAGATCATGACCTTCAACATTGAGAAGGAGGTGTTTGGTGCAGATCGAGGTACCTTCGTCTTGCATGAAGATATTACACAGTTTGCAGGCATGGAAGAAATTGGGGCTACTGTGGTTGCAGTATATATGAGGTTTGTCCTTATCAAATATCAAACATTATATCATAAGACGTCGGTGGTTTAATTATTGCGTCGTTTTAAACCACTAACCACGTCGTTCTTTTTTTACCGTCGTGATAAATTAGTTATCACGTCTGTTTCTATTTCAGTTCGTCGTGTGAAATTGTATAATACGTCGTTTGTTTATAAATAACCGTCGTTTGTTTTATATATTTAGGTGCTTATATGATCTTTTGAGAGAAGCAAATATGTGCAGCATGGTTGGCTTTATCGACCCTGCTCAAGTTAGTGCCAACGCTGGGTCACTAACTGACAGATCACGAATTGTAGCCAGTCGACTTCAGAAAACAGATGGTGAACAGATTTTCATGATGCCTTACAATCCAGGGTTAGTCTCCTTAAAAGGATTTTGTTTGTATGATTTTCACTAACTGACCACTTATAAAACTGTTTAACTAATTCTGTGTCGTTTGAAACATCTAACCACGTCGGTTATTTATTTATTGAGTCGTTTGAAACAACTAACCACGTCGGTAGTTAATTACCGTCGTGATAAATTTATAATGACGTCGATGATTAAGTTATTACGTCGTGTGAAACTATATAATACGTCGGTTTTTATAAATAACCGTCGTTTGTTTTCTTGTGCTGACTTTTTATATTAACCGTCGTTTTTTATTTTATTTTTGTGCAGCCGTCATTGGGTCTTGCTGATTGTGAGAGCAAAGAGGGAAACCGTCTATTTTCTGGATCCTCTGCCTGGAAATCGTGTGGTTGATGAGGAGGGCAAAAACATCGTGAACAGTGCTTTAAAAATTTATAATTCCCACATAGGCAGACCAGGCCGTAAAGCACCAATTTGGAAAACTCTGCCAGGCACACCAAAGCAACCCAGCAGTGTCGAATGCGGGTATTATGTGATGCGCTTCATGAGGGACATCATCATGGATCCTTCCTTGGAGTTTGAGAAGAAGGTAAGAAGAAAATTTTCAGAAACATTTTATGTGGTTTTTTGTATTATCAACGACGGTCATTTAAAATTACTGTCGTTGAATCGATAGACTACGTCGGTTATGAAAAAAAACGTCGTTTGTGTCTGAATTTCTTTTTATTTTGTAAAGCTTAATAATCATTGTTTATGGATTGCAGTTTGCCAAGGGAAAAGATCAAGCGCCATACCCCCAAGCAGCCATTGATGAAGTCCGGAAAGAATGGGCAGAGTTTGTTTGCCTTCATATGGATTAGAGGATTTTTGGAACACTTGATATTTTTATATGTACTAATTTTGTCTATAATATATAATGTACAAATTTTGTCTATAATATACATCCTTTTTTTCCCTGAAAATTTGCTGAGGTTTTCATAATATAAAAGAAAAAACAAATTGCGTAACCGACGTGTAATAACTTTCCAACGACATAATTATGTAAAAAACCGACGTAAAATGATATTTAGACGTGATGGGACGTACATGGGACGTCGTTTTGATGAAAATTTCGCCATGGTTTCGCTTTTAAACGACGTCCTTTTGAACAAGTAAGTCGTTTATTAGGGTTTAGGTTAATACTTTTTAACGACGGTGATTCGGTCGTGGAATATGTATTTTACGTCAGATGGTGAAACATCCGCCATGGTTTCTCTTTTAAACGACGTCCTTTTTACATGTGAGTCGTTTATTATTATTTACAACGTCGTGGTTTGTTGTTGATATAAGAATATTTTATTATTTTTAATTCAAAATTTTAAAAATAAATTTAAAATAAATTCAAAAAATTCAACTTCAACTCCTATGAAGTCATTGATATATTTTCTTCCCCCTAAACCCCAAAAAAATGCAGTTTGTGTAATAAAAGTTTAAAATGACCAACCAAAATAAAATTGTTTTGATGAGTCATAGCATCACTTATATAGTTTGATGGTTTAGGGTTTAGGGTTTGGGGTTTAGGGTTGTTATTTATTAGGGTTTAGGGTTAAAGTATAATTTTTGGGGTTTAGGGTTTATGTTTGTTATTTATTAGGATGTAAAACCATAAACAATTTTATAAAATTAAATTTTACAAATATATAATTTATATTTTTAAAGTTTAGGGTATTACTTTTAACGACGGTGATTGAGTCGTGGAATATTGAGTTTACGTCGGATAGTGAAAAATCCGACGTGGTTTCTCTTTTAAACGACGTTTTTTTACCTGTTAGTCGTTTATTAACATTTACAACGTCGTTAGTTACTTAACCCCGCCGTGGTTTGTTGTTGATATAAGAATATTTTATTATTTTTAATTCAAAATTTTAAAAATAAATTTAAAATAAATTCAAAAAATTCAACTTCACCTCCTATGAAGTCATTGATATATTTTCTTCCCCCTAAACCCCAAAAAAATGCAGTTTGTGTAATAAAAGTTTAAAATGACCAACCAAAATAAAATTGTTTTGATGAGTCATAGCATCACTTATATAGTTTGATGGTTTAGGGTTTAGGGTTTGGGGTTTAGGGTTGTTATTTATTAGGGTTTAGGGTTAAAGTATTATTTTTGGGGTTTAGGGTTTATGTTTGTTATATATTAGGCTGTAAAACCATAAACAATTTTATAAAATTAAATTTTACAAATATATAATTTATGGTTTTAAAGTTTAGGGTATTACTTTTAACGACGGTGATTAAGTCGTGGAATATTGAGTTTACGTCGTATGGTGAAAAATCCGCCATGGTTTCTCTTTTAAACGACGTTTTGTTTACACGTGAGTCGTTTATTGTTATTTACAACGTCGTTAATTACTTAACTCCGACGTGGTTTTTCATAGTTTTAACGCCTTTTTTGATTTTGCGTCGTACATAGTTTTACCACGACGTCCTTAATGTAATAAGCGTCATGTTTAATGTTAAATTTTAACGACGCTTGTTTTTTCGGTCGATGTTTTAAAGAGCGCGCTTTCTTAAAATATTCGCGGGACCTAAAATTTTCAGATTTGGCTCTTATTTTTATACTTCTAACCCTGAACCCTAAAATTTTCAGATTTCGCGCAACATAACTTTTCGCTCTCTCACTTCATCTCTAATTCAAAGTTGGGCCAGGCTGTGTCAAATCCATTTGGTCATAATCTGTGAGCTCTGCCAACCTGTAAGTACAAACCCTCTCTTCCCCTTGTAAATTCATTGAATGATATATTACGTTGTTTTGTTAAAGGGTTTTAGGTATATGTTTTGCGATCTGTTAATAATGTTGTTGGAGGTATGGGTTCATGGATTTTCTGTTTAATGTTTTCTTGATCACTCTTTGTTATGTTGAATATGGAATGGATTTCATTTTGTCGGATCTTTTAATCACTCTCTGTTATGTTGAATTGGGAATGGATTTATTGTTTTCATGCTTAGTATATGTTGGTTTCATGTATATGTTGGTTTCTTCCTTGGTTTCATGTCTATGTTGTGTTCTTAATAGGGTTTTGGGATCTTGAAAATAAACTGGATAAAAACCGTCGTTTTTATTACTTATACACGATGGTGTTATTTAACTACCGTCGTGGTTATAATTAGACGACGTAAAATCCGTCGTCTATATATGTCAAATACGTCTGTTTTTGTTTAAAAACCGTCGTCTCTGTTGTATATTACTTGCTATTAGACTTTATATAATCTGCTATAGTGATGGTCATTGCTTGTCTTTTCACTTTATTATATATAATAGGGTATAGTGTCGGAGATGGATAAGTCATAGATGCACTCGGATAGAAGATCGAAGGCATATGAGTTAGGGGTGGAAGCATTTTTGAACTTTTATGTAGAAAATCTTCTAACTACCACACATATCCGTTGTCCATGTGTTAAATGTGTTAATTTGAAATTGTTTGGGGTTGGAATTATAAGGGATCACTTATACTTTAATGGAGTTGACCAAAGCTATAAGAATTGGACATTTCACTGAGAACCTTGGGAAGCAACTACTAATGCTAGTAGAAATGTTGAAGAAGATGATGACCATAGTAGGTACAGTTTTGTGTCTGAAGAAATAGAGATGGATGATAATGATTTTGGTGATTTTGGTGATTTTGGATCTGATCCTTATGAGTTTGCCAATGTTATCAGCATTAGTGAAGTTGTATAATTTGAAGGCAAAATATAGGATGAGTGATGTCTGTTTTACAGAATTATTGATACTTCAAGGCGATTTGCTTCCAGAAGGAAATACAATACTGGCCTCTATGTATGAGGCAAAAAAGACTTTGTGTGCATTGGGGCTGAGTTATGAGAAAATGCACGCATGCCCCAATGATTGCATCTTGTATAGGAAGGAGTATGAGGATTTAACTCATTGTCCTAATTGTGGTATCTCAAGGTGGAAGGAAGGCAAAGATTCAATCTTGAAAGAGGGTGTGCCAGCGAAGGTGGTGTGGTATTTTCCTCCAATTCCAAGGTTTAAAAGGATGTTTCGATCACATGAGACCGCTAAGAGTTTGACTTGGCATGCTGCTAGAAAATCAATTGACGGTTATATGTCTCATCCAGCGGATTCCCCGTCTTGGAAACTTCTTGATGATAAATGGCCCGAGTTTGGTAATGAGCCGAGAAACTTGAGATTGGCTCTTTCATCTGATGGATTCAATCCCCACAGTTCTCTAAGTAGCAGATATAGTTGCTGGCCAGTTATCTTAGTTACATATAATCTCCCTCCATGGCTGTGCATGAAACGAAAGTTCATGATGTTGACCTTATTGATTTCCGGTCCTAAACAGCCCGGAAATGATATAGACTTCTACTTGGAGCCTTTGATTGATGATTTAAAATCTTTGTGGGATGGGATTGGAGGAGTGTATGATGCACATAATGGAGAATACTTTACACTCAGAGTTGCATTAATGTGGACAATTAATGATTTCCCCGCCTATGGAAACTTATCTGGTTGTGTTGTTAAAGGATATAAAGCTTGTCCAATATGCGGCGATGATACACCTAGTCACAGGTTGAAAAATGGCCACAAAATTTGTTACATTGGGCATAGAAAATGGTTACCGATCAATCATCCATATAGGAGGCAACGTGCAGCTTTTAATGGGAAACCTGAATATGGCACGCCTCCTGAGCCATTAACCGGAGAAGAAGTGCTGCATATGGTTGAAGATGGTGACAAAGTTTGTTGGAAGAAGAAATCAATATTCTTTGATCTCGAGTATTGGAAATACCTTCCTGTGAGGCATGTCCTAGATGTTATGCACATTGAGAAGAATGTTTGCGATAGTATCATTGGTACATTGCTGGAGATCCCTGGAAAAAATAAAGATGGGATTGCTGCTCGATTAGATTTATTGAACATGGGGGTCAAAACTGATTTGCAACCCGAGTATGGAGAAAAACGTACTCGTTTGCCTCCCGGGCCTTGGAATTTGTCAAGAGCAGAGAAGAGAGAGGTTTGCAATTCTTTCTATGGTATGAAGGTCCCTAAAGGTTATTTTCAAATATAAAAAATCTTGTATCTTTACAAGATTCAAGACTTCTTGGCCTTAAATCACATGATTGTCATACCTTAATGCAACAATTGCTCCCTGTGGCAATTCGTTCTGTTTTGGAGAAGCCTGCAAGGTATGCAATAACTCGTTTGTGCTTCTTCTTCAATGCTATATGTGCAAAGACTGTTGATGTTTCCAAGCTAGATAAGTTGGAAGAAGATGTAGTAGTTACTTTGTGTTTGCTTGAGAAGTACTTTCCCCCTTCATTCTTTGATATCATGGTTCATCTAGTAGTACATCTTGTCAGAGAAGTTCGTCTATGTGGGCCAGTATATTTTAGATGGATGTATCCGTTTGAAAGATATATGAAAGTGCTAAAGGGGTATGTTCAGAATCGTACTTGTCCCGAAGGTTGCATTGCTGAGCGGTATATAGCTGAAGAAGCTGTAGAGTTTTGTACCGAGCATTTATCTGATGTTAGTACAGTTGGAGTGCCTTCAAGCCAAAAGATGGGAGTTTCAAAGCCATTATCAGGTTGCACAGTGAGCGTAGTTGATCGGGACCTGTTGAACCAAGCACATCTATATGTCTTGGAGAATACGGAGGAAGTCCTACCTTATATCGAGTACGTATGAGTTTTATTCTTTAAGTTTCCATTTTAAATTATTTCTTATGTTTATCTTATATGTTTGGGACCGTAATACTTGAATTTTGTGTGTCATGTAGGCAACATATGATCCACATCAAGACCGCTTATCCAAAATTTAGAAAGAGAACAAAGTGGCTGCAGGATAAGCACAATAGCACTTTCATTCAATGGCTACGCTTCAAGGTATATGTTATTGAATAACATATTGGACTTTTAATTTTCTTCTTTCTATGTTAGATTGAATTAAGTTATGATTAATTTGCAGGTTCAAAGTGAACTTAATGAGGAAGACAATCATGGCGTATCAGAAAATTTAAGGTGGCTAGCAGCTGGTCCAAACATGGCAGTGCCATTATATAGGAGCTATCTCATTAAAGGTATTAAATTCAACATCAAGGCACAAGATGATGTGCGGACAACTCAAAATAGTGGAGTTTATTTACTTGCACATACTATGCAAGTTGCTAGTGCCAAGGATAAAAACCCAATTCTCTCAAATATGGGTTTCTATGGTGTTATTCAAGAAATTTGGGACCTTGACTACCAAAAGTTTACAATCCCAGTCTTTAGGTGTGATTGGATTGATAATACTTCTGGTCTTGTAGTGGACGAACTTGGATTTACCCTTGTAGATTTGAGTAAAATTGGACATAGGAATGACCAATTGTGTTTTGGCTTCTCAAGTCAAACAAGTATTTTTTGTTGACGACCCGATGCATCGTGGTTGGTCGGTAGTGTTATCAATGCCTAATAGAGAATATAATGATGTTATTGGTGATGATGTCTTAGGTGATGTGAGAATTGAGTGTGAGCCATTTACTAGGGGGATGCCAAATGTTGACACATTTGATGAAGTGGTGGTTGAGTTAGGGAGTCAAAATATTCGAGATGGGTGTGAAGATATATGGGGTTGAATGATGCTTTATGTAATTGGCAGTGTATGACATTAATTTTGTAATATATTGTGTTAAAAAAAAAAAAAAAAAAAAAAAAAAAAAAAAAAAAAAAAAAAAAAAAAAAAAAAAAAAAAAAAAAAAAAAAAAAAAAAAAAAAAAAAAAAAAAAAAAAAAAAAAAAAAAAAAAAAAAAAAAAAAAAAAAAAAAAAAAAAAAAAAAAAAAAAAAAAAAAAAAAAAAAAAAAAAAAAAAAAAAAAAAAAAAAAAAAAAAAAAAAAAAAAAAAAAAAAAAAAAAAAAAAAAAAAAAAAAAAAAAAAAAAAAAAAAAAAAAAAAAAAAAAAAAAAAAAAAAAAAAAAAAAAAAAAAAAAAAAAAAAAAAAAAAAAAAAAAAAAAAAAAAAAAAAAAAAAAAAAAAAAAAAAAAAAAAAAAAAAAAAAAAAAAAAAAAAAAAAAAAAAAAAAATGGAAAATTTATTTTACGACGGTATTTGAAGTCCATTAAACTTGTCGACGTTAAGATATATGCATTAGACGACGTCAATTTTTTAAATGAAGACGTATAAATTATTAAACACGACGGTCTTTTTCATGGTACCGACGTTGTATATAGACGACAACGTCGTCCTTATAAATTACTGTGTCGTAATTAATGACCCCATCATTTTTTCCACGTCGTTTATTTTCAAAATATGACGTATAAATTCTGTAATACGGCTCTCATTTATTTGAAACCGACGTTATTTATCCAATTCAACGTCGTCTCTGTAAATACATGCGTCGTAAGTAATGACCTTGACATCTATTTCCACGTCATAATTCATAGAAAAATCGAAGTGGAAAATTTATTTTACGACGGTTGTGGGAAATGTTGTGACGTAGTAGGTGTCAATAACGTCGTCTATTATTATTGTAAAGACGTCGTATTTATATTTGTCGTTAAATATTTATTTAACGGCGTGAAGTTTAAGTTCTCGTCGTTGTATGTTTATCTTGCGGCCATGTTCTGTTAATATATGTCATCTGTTTCCTTTTTAACGACGTTTTTTTTGTTGGAGTTGGTCGTCTATTCTCATCCTCGACTGTTTTTTTATGTCTTTTTGCAGCACAAAGACGTCGGTTTTTATTTTTTGATGACGTTTTTTGTTTTAACAACGACGGTTATTCACCGTCGTGGTTTGGTTATGGAAAAGATGTCGGTGGATTCCACGACCATTTGAAAACAGAATACACGACGATGAATTCCCGTCGTGTTTTTCCTTTTTTGTAGTAGTGAAGGTAAATGGACAATCTACCCAATCCTTGCTGCTTTAAAGGAGAAGAGTAGACTGTTTGGCTCTTGCAACTGGAAGTGGATTCCAAGGAAAGCAAACAGAGCAGCGGATGCTGCAGCTTTAGAAGCGAAGAGGAAGATGTGCGATGAGGTCTGGATCAGTCGACCCCCATCCTCCCTGGTTTTCGTGCTCCTTAACGATGGTCTTCCTTGTCCTCCACAAGTGTAATGTTTTTTGTCTAGTTAGGATCTGACGCTTGCCTTCTGGGGTGGCGTCCTAGTGTTCTTTGTCCTAGCTGGAACTTAGTGTCTCTTTTTCTGGGTTGGCTAGTTTGGCCTGGTACTGCTTTGTTTAGTAGTTTTTCGAGAGTTAGTAGCTTCTGCTCCTGTTGTGGTTTTGCTTTGCTGTTGTTCTTTGGGTCGGTTGTTTGGCTGCTGTGTTTGGTTTGTCCTTTCCCTTTCTTTGAAAGTGTGTTAAATAAAAAAAAAAAAAAAAAAAAAAAATACTGGAGAATCTACCTATATTTATCCATAACAGCAACAACAAATAAGCAAGCAAACATGTATATACTATGCATACCTTCACAAAGGCAGACACATCAGAAACTGAATAAGGCTCAGACTGTTCTTCAGCTTCAATCTACAATATTAATCAACAATTGGAGATTAAAAACAAAACACCTTAAAAAAAAACCCAGTTAGAGATGAAAAGTGGGCAAAGACCTTGTCCATGTGCTTCCAAGCCTCGCACCTCAAGGGCCAAACCAAGCTTCCAAATTCTAAACCTTCCTAAACGCACAAAAACAAAGAGAGAGATGGAGGCAAAGAAAGAAAAGACAGACTATATATATAAAGGCATAATTTAGGGAAACTTTCAAAATACTAAGAAATGCCCTTTATTAATTAGACTTCTAAAACAAGATAACTTAATTAATATGCAATAAAATAATAGAAGCGAAATTTTAATATATAAAAAGTTAAGGGGGTGTATTCAATTGAGATTTTAATATATTTTAATTACATGATCTTAATGTAATGGATTTCAGCCGGATTTGTAATTATATGATTTTAATAAATTGCAATTACATGATTTTACTTATGATTTTAATAGATTGTAATTACAGGATTTTACTTATATTATTTCTATAAAAGCTTGAACTCTATCACCCACCATCATTCACATAAATACATAACCTAAAGGCATATACCATTACACTATATACAAGGAAATATCATGATTGTGGCATGAGAGCAAGTCAGAGCTGAATCAATAATGTAGACAGAAAATCATCATGAATATGTGAACTGGTCTAGAATGCCACCCAAGTAGTTATGCTTTTACACTAGTTGTTCTTGAACAATCACTTTGACAACTATTTGTTTCATCGTTTTAGATTTTGAAATAGTTCATGAGTTTAGATTTTGAAAAATTAATGTTATCTAATGACTTCTTAACATCTATGCTTTTGATAATTTCATCCCCAAAGAGTAGGAGATTCTAAAAAAGGTACCAAAAAGATAATTTTGCACCAAAGAAGCTTGTCTACTAGAAGAAAGGAAGAAGCCCATTGGAAACTGCCCATTAACTCTCATAAGAGCGCTTTCTTTCTTTTTTGTGTGTTTATTATCATCTCTCTCTCTTATGAAAAAAAGAAAAAAAAAAAAAGATTTTTTTTTTTTTTTTTTTTTTTTTTTTTTTTTTTTTTAGTAGAAATCATGAAAAAATAGTGGGAAAAAAACAAAGTATGAGAGCATATATGAGAATCAGGAGGGTGAGATTGGTTATGTTATTTGGTATTTATATCACGCACTCAAAGTCTCACACAATATACCATTTAATGAAATATATTAAAATCAGTAAGTTTTTGAATACGATGATACTTTTTCTTATCTTTTAAAAGTTTTAATTGAATACCACCGAACTTGTATTGATTATTTAAAAATCCTAATTGAATACCACTAGACAAACCCTCCTAAATAAATGTAGTAGGTATTTTGTTATAAATATTTACTATCTTTGTAGTTTTTTTTATAATTATTTTTATATTTCAAAATCATATTCCTTCCAAAAAAAGACTTTAATTCACAAATCAATATTCACCATCTTTATATATATATATATATATATACACCACTCCGGATTGTATTTCACTAATCCAAACCGTATATTTTGTAGATACACATTCAAAGATCCTCTCTACAAAAAATCACTTGAATCCAATATCATTTGACCATTCAATTGAGTTATTGAAATTTTAGTACTTTCTTGAAGCACCGTGTTCATTGATTTTGTAGAACACAATTGGATGTCAAAACGGTTTCCGATTTGTCTAATTTTTTGTAAGGATGATCTATGAATGAAGACCTAAAAAATAGATGGTTTGGATCATTGGAAAAAAAATTGTAGGATACCCTATAGGGCGTCCCTCAAATAAAATTGTTTGAGGGATCCCTCAATAGAAGGGGACTGTATATATATACAGAGAGCTTCCATTGAGAGATCCCTAGAATAAACTTATTTGAGGGACACCCTTTGTAGGGTCCACTCCGGATTGTATTTCACTAATCCAAACCATCTATTTTGTAGATACACATTTAAAGATCATCTTTACAAAAAATCACTTGAATCCGATATTATTTTACCATTCAATTGAGTTATTGAAATTTTAGTACTTTCTTGAAGCACCGTGTTCATTGATTTTGTATAACACAATTGGATATCAAAATGGTTTCCGATTTGTCTAATTTTTTGTAAGGATGATCTATGAATGATGACCTAAAAGATAGATGTTTGGATCATTGAAAAAAAAACTGTAGGGTACCCTAAAGGGTGTCCCTCAAATAAAATTATTTGAGGGATCCCTCATTAGAAGGTCATATATATTTGGGTTCTGAAGCAACAAGTTAAAACGAGCGGTTAACATTGTTGCTTTCGTCCCCTTGACGTTGGTCATATATCTTCTTTTTTGTTTTAAACGTGTTGCTTTTTTTCTCAATAAAGTTTTATCCCTATTCTTTAAAAAAAGATAATTAATAAAAAAAGGGGTAGGAGGAGTTGACACAAGAAGCACCTAAAACTGACTTCTTTTTTTTTGTCATTTGTTAGTAGGGGGGGGGGAGTATAACAATTTAGACATCCATGATTTAGAAATGCAACAAAATATAAACAATTTAGAAATGCAAGAAATAAAATGATTATGTAAGAAAAAAATAAATATGGAAGAAAATATAAACAATTTACAAATACAAGAAAAAAAAATGATTACAATTTACAAATATTGGAAGGAGAAGAGTTTGTATGAGGATTTGGTGTGAAAAGTGAATAAAATTGTTATGTATTTATAGGGAAAACATCCATTATTTTTTGGTTTCTTTTTTATTTATTTATTTTTTAAATTGATTTTTTTTTATTTTTTTCGCTCGCTGATGTCAATACCTTCGGGCTTGAGCCGAGGCAGGATTTGCCCTTGGGCTTGTCCGGGCTCTCTTTCCTGCGCTGGAGGTCAAAACTCAACTTGGGCGGGGGGGGCCTCTTGCCTTGGCAAATGGGCTGCGGTGGACATGCTCTTAAGATTGTCCCTTACATGAATTGAACCCTGATGCTACCCCATGTGCAAAACGATATTTCTTGAATAAATAATGAAAGAAATATATATATATATATATATGTGTGTTTTTATTTTGAATAATTATAAACTATTTATTTATATATTTAAATATAAATATATATATTTTCGAGTCGGGTTTGGGGACGGGGACACCAATACCATCTCTGCCCTATACTCGTTTTGCCCCAAAATCTCCCCCAGTTAGGGTTGGGGACCGGTCCTATAGGAAATTTCTGCTATCCCTAATGCGGGGGCATATGAGAATGTGAAGGTAAAAGTCTCACATTCTCACAATTCCACACATTGTGAAAATATGTTAGATTATGTGAAGGACTACGTACTTAACATCATATGAGAAAATAGTTAATGACATATGTTTGGGCCTAATTTGGCACACCTAGTCCAAAATCAAGAGCCCATGTCAATTTTGGACAACCGCCAACGCTCCCCTTATAAATAGGCCAAAATTACGCACTCAGCCCAATACTGGAGGCCCAGAAGGACGAGTTAAAATCAGACCCAGGCCGTATGAACTAGAATTGGAATTAAGAGCCCAAAGTCAAAAAGCCCAGACCCAAGTCAGACCCTTACCAAAGCCCAAATTGAAGAAACCCAAAAACAGTTTTACCAAAACTACCAGCTATCCACCCAAATTGAAGAATGGGCCAAAATACCACTTTAAAAAGTAAACGCATTCAGCCCTGGATTACAAGGTAACTCACGTGACTACCTAGCTTTGAAAAGTCAGCAATTTCAACTGGGTTGATAAGGAGTTAATAAGGGCAGGTATAAAAGAAAGACATCTCTGAAATCTTTGTCACCAGAAGATCAAATCCCTTTTATATATTCAGAGATATTTTGTGCTCCAAAGAAGGCACCATTTTCAAGAGATAAGCAGACTACGTTTTGGGAGATAAGTAGGGAGCAGGGAGTTGTTCAAACTAGAAAATCAAACTAACCATCACAATTTGAGCTCTTACAAAAAGCAGTTAAAGTAGAAGAAGGGTTAGGTTTTCTTTCAAGAAAAACAAGGAAGTAATTGCCTTAGGAATTGACTGTTGAGGGCTTATACGCCAGAATTGATAAACCCCCCTTTTCTTTCGCATTTAAAAATGAAAGATCTTTTGAGATTTTTGCCCCCATTATTAAAGAATTAGAAACCCCACTCCAAAACATTTCTTATAAATATAAGAGAGGGTGAACAGAGCAGAGGACAACCAAAAAATCAATCAAATACAAAAACTCAAAATGATCACTTGATCTCAGAGAAACTTCAAACGAACTGAAGCAACCAAAAGCTCATTGAGCCACAAGAAAGAAGCTAGCTACAAATCAAAACTTCCAGTTTCAGATTTAGAGAAATAAGTCATCCAAAACAAGATTTCTCTTGTTACAAATTTGGTTCAGCAAAATCCAAATCAAGCAGAGCTCGGGTTTTTACAAATATGAAAACCTCAACAAATTTATGGAGAGCCATGATCAATCAAAGCAGGTACCACAGTGCAGTTCCAGCCCAATAATCCTCAAGTCCAGCCACTTCTAGAGTTGGTTTTTCCCTTTTGAGTTTTGTAAAAGGCACTTCTGCCTAAAATAGTTTACTATCTTATCATTTATTCTGGCCATAACTACTAGTTTTGTACTGTGAAAAATTGTGAAGTCCTCACCAGTCTGAAGCAAGAAAAAAACTTACTTGGGAAATATTCCTCACCCAAATTCACAATCGCTTGTTTAGAAATTAGTAACTTGGGGTGCAAGTTATCTATTTTTAAGAAGTCTGCTAGGATTTTTTATTGCTAGTAGAGGCACGCTCGCACACTAAAGAAAGTTGACTTGTTGACTAGTCAATGGTTTTCAAGGCAATGGGGAACTTTACCCTACTATCACAAGAGCAAACATAAAATGGGTGAACAATTTGGCACGCCCAGTGGGACTTCTCAGTATACATACTCCTAGAAAAATCTTCTAAAAGTATATGAATATTGGCAGTTCTAGCTAGAACCCATGCTACGCCATGGAAAGAGATCAAGTAGCTCTCCAGGAAGGACTGGAGTCAGAAGAAAGTGATGCCAGGCAGTCAGCCCATGGCAGTACCGGGAGTCGACGTTCCAGGTCTGGCTCCAGAAGGCTGAACCAAATATAGGAGGCTGTGTTCTGGTAGGAGGCCACAGCACAAAGGAGCCAAGATACTCTGAACAACATGACAGCCATGATGCAATGGCAAGTCAAAAGGTAGTTTAGGAAAGATCGTGAGGCTGCTGTGGCCAAAATTACAAACTCGGATGTTGTGGTCCAGCAGTTAAACCTCCCTTATGGACCTCCAACATGGCTAGCATGGCCATACTCTTTCATCGCACAGATAGCTGGAATACCAGAGTATGGAGAAATCCAAGTTGGACAGAGGGGAAGAGCCCTTCCCATCTAAGAATAGGAGGGTCCAGTTTGGCTAGAAGGCCCTGCACCAGTTCAGGTCCTCCAGAATCAGCCAGAACCTCCACTTATTCCACAACCTGCGACCCCACGTCATCAACCCCTAGCACTTCTGCCTGAGGCACCGATTGTGTTGCCTTACAGACTTAGGAGAATGGATCCCAATCCATTGCCTCCACCAGCAAGAGGCAGATAGGGAATTAACCCCTTTGCCAACAATGACAGAAACAGACCGAGGGCAAATTGGAGGAATCATCCAGATTTTGAAGAAGAGGAATAACACAGGGAGGAAGTTTTGCATATGCCATACAGAATGGAGCACAGGATTGACCACATCCAGCCAGAACAGGGGCGAAATCCGCACCCTGTCAATGCTTTGAATGACATGGGGGCACTACAGAGAATGATTAGGGAGATGATGGAACTTGAAGCCAGAAGAGGAGAAAGGTCCACCTACAGAAAGCTGTATCTGGCTTACATTGATAAGATACCTCTATCCCCGGGTTTCAAGGTACCAAACTTTACCTTGTTCAACGGAGAAGACCATCATGCTTCATCAGTTGAGCATATAGGCAGATTCTCTGTCCAGTGCATAGCCATAGAAAATAACCCTATGTTAAAACTGGTATACTAGCCTACCATCCAACTCTGTTCAAGCTTGGGAGCAGATGGAAAATGTTTTCCATGACTACTATTTCAGGATCCAGCCAGAAGTCACAATAAGTGATCTTGCTGCCCTCAAACAGAGTGAAGATGAACCAGCTCAGGACTTCATAACCAGGTTCAAAAAGCTCAAGATGAAATGCCGGATCCCTATGGAAGAAAGGCACTTCATTTAGATGGCTCAAACCGCCCTTAAAATATTTCTGAGGAAGAGATTTGATGGGATGCTGTTTGGAGATCTGGCAGAACTGGGAGACAAAGCATCCAAATATGAGGAGCTGCTTAGGGAAGAATAACAAAAGAGGAACTCTTCTAAAGGCACATACTACAAGACCCCTTCTTCTTCAGTACATCTGGTTGAGGTGGAATAAGAGGAAGGCATAAAAGGTTCAGAGGAAAGAGAAATTGCAGTGGTAGAAATGGCAAAGTTGAAACATCCCATCAGTTGCAAGGCTCTTACAAAGCCATCAAAGGACCAGAAGCCGCCACCATTCACAGGAGGGTTTGTTCCAAACAAACCAACACAAAACAAGGTCTATTACTTCGATCTAACCAGGGTTGATGCTTTGTTTGATGAGATGCTGCTACAAAAGGCAATAGAGACTCCCCACAGGTTGCCCAAGCCAGAAAAACTCAAGGGTAGACAATATTGCAGATGACACAACTCTTGGAACCATTCTACCAACAATTGTGTTGTTTTCATAGACATCATACATGAAGGAATAACAGCAAGAATGTTAAAACTGGCGGAGAAACCTCCCTTAGTTACAACAGATCCTTTTCCCCAACCTCAAGTCAACATGGTCAACTTAAATTGGCTAGAACAGAAGAGAGACAAACTAGCAACGGAAGCTAGCTCCAGCAGAGGTAGAAGAGTCACAACGGAGACTAGTCAAAGGCCAAAGGTAACCATCTCGGCTGGGGTAGTGCTGTGCAGCAAGTGCAAGTGTGAAAGTGAGTTAGAAGTGACTCTGGACAGGTAGAATCAGTTCACACCTAGTGTTTTTGACAGGATTGGAACATTATACCAACAAGGCCCAGTTCTAGCTCTATTTAAATACAGAGCCAGACAGAAGGACTATCTAAGACCTGCCCAACGTAGCAAAAGAGTGACAGAGCAGCCGAAGAAGGAAATACCAATTAAGATGCTTAGAAATGACAAGCCCTTGGCAACTATCATAGAAGGCAGATGATATTCTATTAGAAAAAGCGGTAGACCAAATCTGGAGTTAACTAGAACTCAGAAGAGGAGAGGTCAGAGGTGTTTGGGACTAATAAATCACGGTCATGAACTGATTGAAGGGACTTCCCTTCGGCCCTGGCACCTATCGTTTCGTCGGGCATTTTGCCTTCCTAAGAGCAGAAGAAAAGTTGCAAAGGCAGAATCCCCTCGGCCTCGCAACCGCAGTTTTAAAGGCCGAGGCCGAAGGCTGTAAAAGACACGGTCTGAAAAGCTGTGGTTGAATCGCCACGTGGCCTCAGGGCCCCACGCTCCGTTTAATGAAGTAATGCCTCTGACTTCGCAGCAAAACCCATTAGTCACAAGAAGCATTCAATGCACGAGGGAAGTGATTGAAGTCAGGATTTGGTGATGGGAATCAGGGTGGTTAGGCGCAGACATTCTCACAAGTAATCTTACGACTTAGGGTCAGGTCACCAACCACCAGACCAGGGCATTAAATGCGTTCCCACGGCCAAGGGGGCAGAACCCACGATCAGGGCGGTGGCCGTGATTTGCCGAGATTTATGGGGGTCACACCACCATGCTTCTCAACCCCAGACCACTATGCTTCACGATCCCAAATGCCGATTTGACTACTCACTTGCCCCGGTCAGGCTCCACCACGTAGGTCTTGTCAGCCTCGAATGTCCCTCCAAGACTCCTATAAATACTAAGCTTAGGACTACATTCAAAGGGTTCAAACACCAAAACCAAAAGCCTCCCACAGAGCAAATTATATTTTCCTGTAATGCACTTTCAATACCTTTATTTGCTTTCTTAGGAGTAGTGGTAGACTGTAAGGAAAATCTATTCATCAATATATCATACGACCCTTGATTTTCAAGGCGCCGGAGCACCATCTCTGTTATCGCCTCACTCACCCCATATATCATACGACCGTCGCTCTCTGAGCAACGCGCCGGAGCACCGCCTAAAAACCACCACCAACACCACCACTAAACGGCCTTGTACCTCAGGCTGTGAACCTGACGGCCGAGATTCGTTCCTCACTCGGCCACAATCATTTGATTAGAAGTCGAACGCGAAACAGGCGCAACATTTAAACCATCTTCTACCCGAACCTCATCATCATCTCGACGCACGGTAGACCATGCTGGCACGCCCGCGCACAACCGCACTGCATCCAAAAGAAGGACGTCACGTGTTAACGTGCATCCCCTCGGCCCGGAACACCAGGCCGCGAGATTCGCGACGGACCAACAAGAGGTAATACTGCACCTTCCTCAAGAACAGCAATGACACATAGGTACTTCCAGAGACAAGTTCTGCCAGAAGAGGGAAGAATCCAGAAGTAGCTAATCATGCAGAACAAACAACATATCAGCCACAAGAACTGACAAAGACAGAATCTCCAGGCAAACCTTCCATACATCTTGCCTCATCCTCAGTCAATCAACTTGAACCTTCATAGACACAAGGTGAATCTGAACCTATTCCAGTAGAAGGACAAGAAAACTGGACTGAAGAGAATGAAGAGGAGCAGTTGGACTATGAACCATCTGCAGATGACCAGATTGGACTGGGCAGAAGAATATAGGGAAGAACAGATGGAGTATGATGGAGAACTGGATGAAGAAACTGAGGCTTTCAGAGATCTAGGCATTAATATGGTATTTATCTTACTAGAAAAGTTCAGGGCAGTAGAAGGGCAAGAAAGCACTTTGGAAGGAGATGTGTTTTCCCAGAAAAGTTTTGAGTGCAGATTGGCAGAGGTAGATGAGGCGCTAGAACAGAAACCACATACTGCCAAGACAGGCGAAACTGTCATGAAATTGGGGGTATTCCTATTCCCAAAGTGATGGTAGATGGAGGTATATCCATTAATCTTCTGCCTCACAGACTGCTGGTCAAGATGGGAAGAACATAGAAGGATCTAATTCCGACATGCTTAACCATCACTAACTTTGATGGGGGCATCACTAAGACTCATGGAATCTTAGATGTAGACGTCATAGTTGGAACCAAGGAGTTGAAGTGTAACACCCCGACTCCAAATTTATCCCCTGTTTTAATTAATTTGAGTGAAATTAAGAATTTACCCGTGGGATAGGGGTATTTTAGTCATTTTCTTACCCGGAAGGAATTTGGGAATTCTGGATGTACCGTTGCGTAGAGCACGGCGAGATGAGTTCGTAGACACGTAGTGGGCTTGAATCGGAGTTGTAACGAGAGAGATACGATCCAAATACCCTCAGTGGCAAAATCGTAAATATTTTGAAATGGATTTTTGGTTAAAAGGCGGAATTGCCCCCGTCTCTCTCACTCTCTCTCTCTCTCTCCCGCGCGTCCCTCTCTCTCTCTCCTCTGGTTCGCGACAGCTGAGACAGCCGGCCACGTTTTGGCCGGCCGTTCGCTCATCCGGCCACCAAAGTTGACGGGGCCAATACCAAAATGACCGGGCCGCCGTCCTCTTCCTACCCCGGCCAGGTCCCGCCGCCAGCCGCCGTGATTTCGCCGGAAAACGAGGAGAAAAGCTCCGGTTTTGACAGGAACTTCGCCGGCTTCGTTCTCCGTCGTCCGGCCATCGATTCCAGCAAGTGAGGTATGGTTTCTCACCTATTTTCTGAGCTCTAGCTGCCTGTTGGGTAGGAATTGATCAATTTGTAGCGTAAGTGGCTCGATCTACGAATTGAAATTCGGCCGGTTTCGGGATCGCAATTCCGGCCACTTTCGGTCAGTTTTTGGGGTATGCCCAAGAACAAAAGTGACTCCAAATAGGGTGTTTTACCTAGGGTAGGAGTCTTGAGTCGTGATTTGTGGTTTTTCCGGCGATGGGTTATCGCTTTGGACACCCACGCGCTGCCGGCGCGTGTGGCGGCGCGTGGGCACTGTAGTTGAGGGGCATTTTTGTCCCACTGTGATCCTCTCGATGTCACGAGCGCGTGGGTGTGCTCGGATCCCAATTTGGTTACTGTTAGAGTCCCGAACGGATATCGCATATCTCGTATTTTCTGGGTTCGCTAGGTTTGGACCTTTGGCTGGTCTTGAGATTGTAATATGTTGATCTAGGTATTACCAGGATCGTGTAGGATTCGACGGATCGTAAAACGGAGTCCCGGATACTTCGGAAATGCCAACCCTGAGGTTAGGGTTTTAGTAACCGTTCGATCCTGCGATTGTGAGCGATCCAACCGTCCGATCTGGACCAAACTTGCAGGACGTGCATCCTAAAGCTTGTAGAACCTATAGGAACTTTCAGATCGGAAATTGGAGGTCGTGGGCCCTGCGGCTCGTTTGACCAACGGTGGGTAGTTTGACCCTGGGTTGACTGTGAGACCTTTGGGATAGTTCTACCTTCCTAGGAAGATTAAAATGACCGTGGTGACAGGTCCTGATGTTATGGGGGTTATGGGGGATTATCGGACGCTAGTTGTTTGTTAAGGTGTTTATATTATGAGAATTTAATGTATAAAATTATGCATGGATTTTATAATTGAATGTTAGTTTGCAGTGCTATATGCACTACCCTATGTACCTCCTCGGATGTTGATAGACCCCATACGTGGCCGGGTGCGTCCCGACGTATGAGGGGAGATATGATTGTGTGAGGGATGGTGAGAATGTAGCCAGGCCCCCAGTGAGGTCGCACGCGTCTTTGGATTAGCCGGCGTGTTGACAGACCCCACACGTGGCCGGGTGCGTCCCAACGTATGAGGGGAGATATGATTGTGTGAGGTATGGTGAGAATGTAGCCAGGCCCCCAGTGAGGTCGCACGCTTTTTTGGATTAGCCGGCGTGTTGACAGACCCCATACGTGGCCCGTATGAGGGGAGATATGATTGTGTGATGGCTGGTGAGAATGAGGGCTGGTGAGAATGTAGCCAGGCCCAGTGTGAGGTCGCACGCGTCTTTGGATTAGCCGGCGTGTTGACAGACCCCATACGTGGCCGGGTGCGTCCCGGCGTATGAGGGGAGATATGATTGTATGAGGGATGGTGAGAATGTAGCCAGGCCCAGTGTGAGGTCGCACGCGTCTTTGGATTAGCCAGCGTGTTGACAGACCCCATACGTGGCTGGGTGCGTCCCGACGTATGAGGGAAGATATGATTGTGTGATGGTTGGTGAGAATGTAGCCAGGCCAGGGCTGGTGAGAATGTAGCCAGGCCCAGTGTGAGGTCGCACGCGTATTTGGATTAGCCGCGTGTAGACAGACCCCATACGAGGCCGGGTGCGTCCCGTCGTATGAGGGGAGCTATGTGATTGTGTTTGGTGTGTTGTGATGGATAAACCCTAGAATGTATGAATTTATATGGATGTAATGGCTTATTTGATATTAGGAGCCAAGATTGATAGGAAAGAGCTACGTGTGGCTTGATCCCTTAGTAGGGTACGTAGGCAGCCTGGGATAGCGCCTAGGTGCAGCCACGGCCTAGACACCACTTAGGTGGTTTTATCGAGTATGATGCGGACCTCGTGGTTGGTCCCGAAACTTGGTTGAATTGAGGCTTGTCCGATGGACTGAGTGAGTGAAGGTGTGTATGGATGGATTTTGAATTGGTTATATGCATGTGTGATGCATTAAGTTATTTTGAAAACAGTGTGGTCAGTTTGTTAGAATCATTTGAAGGCCGGAGGCCATTTAGGTAAACTGCGTGAGATTATATTATGCGTGCTGCTGGTTGGGTTATAAAATGTGTTTTATGCAGGTGGAAATTTTGGGGAATGTTCAATTTACAGGGGAGACTCTACCGAAATTTTGGCAGAAAGTCTAGTGCCCTAAATCCTCTCTGGTAAAAGAGGACATAGTTTTAAGGAGTGAACCCGGCGTGGGTGTGATGCCGGGGTCTCCGCAGGGTTCGTCTCGGGTTCCGGGAAATTCGGGGCGGGTCCTGTCATGAAGATTGCATTTTTTGTAGTAGACACCACTTCTACCACTTACAATGCATTGCTTGGCAGGGACTGGATCCACCAAAGTCTATGTGTTCCTTCCACTCTGCATCAGCCATTAGCCCTTTGGAATGAAGAAGGATTCATGGAGATAGTAGAGGCCGATCCACGGCCATTTCTGCCCTTTGCCATGTGTTTTGAGGCAAGGTATTACCATGATGACCTTGGTCCTTTCGCATTCTTTGGAGTCAACCAGAACGGCCGCCCCTATGATGTCACGGCCCAAAGACTCATTGAAGATGGTCTAGCCAGTTCTCTAGAGGACTGGAATAGACCTTTTGTTCTAAACCTCCAGAACTCTGATGTTTAGTCTCAATCAATAAGAAAAGGATCAAGCTGCAACAATCCGATCCGTTACAAAAATATTGTTGATATATTGGAAAGAAAGGAAGCTCTTTATGTAGGATTCATCTATCAATATGGCAGAATTCACCCATGAGAGCACTGAAGAACAGGAAGAAAGTTCATAGGATGAAGTACTAGATTTTGCACCGGCAGCACTGGATGACTCTTTACTAGAAGTGGAAGATCCATTGCAAGAGATAAACTTAGGGACAAAAGAGGATCCAAGACCTACTTTCATTAGTGCGATCTTGAAAGAACCACTCAAGAGCGAAATCATTGCACTTTTGCATGATTTAAGAGACTGTTTTGCTTGGCATTATCATGAGATGCTTGGATTAGACAGAAAACTGGTAGAACACAAGCTGCCAATCAAAGAAGGATACCTTCCAATCAAACAGGCCAGAAGAAGGATGTCTATGAAAACATAACTGAAAGTTAAGGAAGAGATAGAGAGATTGGTCAAGGCAGGATTCATCAGACCAGCCATTTATGCTAATTGTCTAGCCAATATTGTGCCAGTTCTGAAAAGAAAAACAGGGGCAATCAGGATCTGTGTTGATTATAGGAATATGAATGAAGCATCTCCCAAGGATGAATATCCTATGCCAATGGCAGATATGCTAGTAGATGGAGCTGCTCATAATCAAATGCTATCTTTTATGGATGCAACTGCAAAGGATTTGAATTTTGGGGTATTCCGTGCCGACACATCCTAGCATTCTTAAGAATGAAGCTCGTTGAGCACTTGCCAGACAAGTACATATTGAAACGATGGCTTGAAAGTGCGAAAAGCAGTGTAATATATGATAATAATCACAAAGAAGTTAACGATTGCGTTGATGGTTTTATTTTGGTTAAGAGTTCGAAAGTTTGCAACGGTGCAAGTGATTTGATTGATTTGGCTTTGTTATGTGATGAAGGTTTTGAGTTGCTGGAAAAATCTTTTGAGGACATTCGTGGGAAGCTTACAAGGTTGGTGTCATCAAGAGCTCATGTCGAAGAACCCAATGGAGAAGTCGGAACTAGTTATCCCCAACTCAGAATCAAAGATCCACATCGAGTGAAAGTAAAAGGGCATGCGAAAAGAGTTAAAGGAGAAAAGGAGAAGGCAGCGCAACGACATAAACGTCGGTGCACTGAATGTAGGAAGACTGATCATGATAGACGGAGTTGTCCAAAACTTGCTAGCCCGTAAGTGAATATGTGTTATATTGTGCTTTGAATTTTATGTTGTTGATGTTTATTATTATTTGTTTTCCGATGTGGCAGCTCTTCATCTTTCGACATAGAACTTGGTGGTCCAGTTGGTGAGAATTTGCAACCCACTCAGAGCACGCAGGACAGTGAACGTATTATGACAGAGTCATTTATGCAAGAGTTTGATTTCATTTATGGTCCCGGAGTTTGAACACTTATTGATACTTATTTACATCGTTTTTGAAAGTATCTGGAAGCGTTAGTGAATCTTATGTAAATGCCTCATGTCCATTGATACTGAATTATGGTTTATTAAACACATAACTATCTAGAAGAGTTTGATTTCATTTATAACATTTATTGATACCTATTTACATCTTTTTTGGTCGTGTACCGCACCATGCTTTCAATAATTAGGCGTAACTCGAAGTTTCGGATCCATCTTTGGTTGGAGGTGGATGTCCGGGATGTCCTTTGGGGCTTTGGGATTTTCAGAACCTGGAGCCCTTGTTTGAAGGAGAATGAGTTTGGGGGAATCATGCAAGGGGTTTTATACACAAATTTGCAATAGTTGCAATGAATATGAAAATATCCAAGGGAATCTTGAAACCATGACTATGTGTCAGTAAGAGAATCTTGAAACAATCACTATGTCTCTGTAAAGTCTCAACCAACGCATATCTGTGTCAGAGAATCTTGAAACAAATTGTCTCCCTACCGACAATGAATTAAACAAAAAATTGTGAGCACTATTACGAAATGAACGCTTCTAATCCGGAAGTTAGTGATCAAACTGTGATTGAACTCTAGCTTTGATAGCAGTGTAAAACAAAATACACTGCACGTAAGCAAGATCGGGCATTAACATTAAAACAGTAACCTAGGTCGGGCATTCACATTTAAACACTAACCCAGATCGGGCTTTAACATTTAAACACTAACCCAGATCGGGCATTTTCTTAAAAACAAACAACAGCTGATGGATTGCCTACGGATTGATATGGCTATCACCAGTCATTATCGTAGCCTTTTGCTAGTTGGTGGCCTTGCTCTATTGGGTGTGCACCGCAGGAGATGATTTCCTGTGCAGCAGACGGGGTTATGGCGTCCCAGTCAATGTCTTTGTGGACATCTGCAGCCAACCGTCAGAATTTCTCAAAACCTTCGTTGAAAGCCATAGAAATTGCCTGGCCTTGGTTGTTGCCTCCTTTGTGGATGCTCAAAGATTTGTACGTAGCATCCTCCTTTGTCATAAGCAAATCCTCTGCTGTGTGCTTTCTTCTTTGGGCACAAATTCTCTGCTTCTCTTTTCTGTAACGGGCTTTGTTAACTTGCCGAGTCAAATAAGCCAACTTTTGCTAAGCTCCAACACACTTTTGAGTCCAATAATGGACCAAGGAAGAGTTGTGTTCCAGTTTGTTCTTCATATCATTTATTTCCACAGCGGAATCATCGGAGTCCCCCTTGCTTGCGAAGGAGGTTGGAAGAGGCAGCGGTGGTGAAGGAGACCTTGGATAATCGGGGGCATATTCCCATGAGCCATCCCTGATTCGCTTTGGCGCTTGAACTGGCAGACATGTTGAAAAAATCGTCAAATTGGGGGATTTGGCTAAAGGTTTGTATGCAAAAAAGACGACTCGAAAGAAGAAAAGAGAGATGTAAGGCATGAGTATCCCATAGGCATAAAACAACGTTTATATATTATGTTCGGAAGTTTTCCAATTTGTTTTTTCTCCTTTTGTCCCATCACTTTAATTTTTTTATTTATTTATAAAAGTAATCAGAGTATTTGATTTAGTTAATCACAGGAGCCTCACATGCTTAGTAAAAATGTTAGCAAACACTTGAATTTTGATTTATCAAGTTTGAATGAGTTCATAGCAATTTGCGAAATGTTTTCCCGATTTTTGTATATTTAGTTACGAATTTTGTAAGAAAATAGCAATATTCATTTAAATTCACATGGAAAGGAAGTATGTGGCAATGGCCACTGGTGTACACGTGTGCACCTACTGAAGGGGGATGCGGTCAGCTGTCGCCATGTGTGTTATTTCTTTATGTTTTAAATTTTTTAATGCAAAATGATTTAAAAAATGGTAATAAATAGGAGAAAAATCGAAAAAATGACAGGAAAATTGCTTCCAGCTCCTTGTGCCTTTACAAAACTGGGGGGGGGGAGCTATAAATCATCCAAAGTGATTATGAAAACTCAATTTCATATGATGTGACAATACATAGTGAACACTCCCTTTTTGGAATATGGTGATAACTTGCTTTCCTTTGAACTGTAACAGTATATTTTGCAAAAATTAGAAGTATACTTCCTTAGTGTTCATTATCTAATTTATAAGAACACAAGTATCAGTTTAATTTGCTTCATATATAATTGTTCGGAAAAATATTTCTATATTTTCTCATTTCAATTGACAGACACAATATGGTTCTTGTTATTTCATTGCTAAAATTATATATTTGAAACCAATAAGCAAACCTCTAAAATGCCAAGTTACGAACATAATTAGCTACCATATAAGTGATCAAATACATGCTCAAACGTCAAAACTCACCCAATTACTTAAAAAAGGGGGAAACAAAAACAGACTTCCAAATAAATTTATTCAGCACTGTATTTTCTAATATATTTTTCTGCATAGCTGCATTATTTTATTCAAATGACCCAAAATGGAAACACACAAGAGGATTTACCTCATATATAAATATGCTATGAACATATAGAGTATCGACTAAGTTTTATATTTTATAGTAGTAGATTACATTGTATACAAATCTTAAGCCACACTACTTATTTATTTAGTTAACTTCCAACATATATATAAACATTGTTATATTGTCTTCTAAGTATGTATTTTATATATTCATTATGTTGGCTTACTAGTCTTTTTTCTTTTCAACATAGTAGTTATATAATTGTTTTTATCTTCCCTAATGGAGCGGGCCATGGAAATGGCATACCCACCCCCGATTCAACCCATTGCCATCCCTAAACGAACGAGATAAAGCCAACCCTCCATTACTTGATTACTACGCAACATAAATACCTGGATTATCAGCAAATCCACCTATGTTGTTTCTATTCCATGCCTTTTAGGTGTTATAAAATAACACAAAGAAATATGTGATCAGAAAATAATATAAACAAACTTCATAAAAGCACAACAATTTATGTAGACAAAAGTACGCTTAAAAAACCCAAAACAGTTTTCCCATTTGTTTGCAGTTGTCTTTCACATCTTATAGTTGGATATATTACCTATTAAGTATGAACACTTCAAACTAGAGTTTTTACACCTTCAGGAGCCCACACAAAATGCCAAAAAACGTACTCAAAATGAACCACACATTTGTTCCCAACAAATTACTGAAAACCCCCAAAAAGAACTTTCTCCAGCAACGGTTTACTCCATGGTGATCCCGTCCCAGTTGTAGCTTGGGACAACACATCTTGCAAACTCGCGAAACAGGTGAAACCCTTTGCATGCTTCTGCTTCCCTCATCTACATAGACTCATTCGAAGTACTAAACCTTCGAAAACCTTTTCCTTTCGCAAGCCTAACCCTCACTTTCATTATTTGGACTGATCGAAGGTGGAATTTCACTTTCTTTTTCTCCTTCCCCAATGTTTCTTGATACCATCTTAGACGTATCTTCTGGTGTTTGATTTTGCATGATCAATGCATCATATACCACATCTTGCCGATCTGAGCCGCATCATCATGGTCCTCAAATGAAAAGTTTATGGATTTTGCAGCTCCATCAGCAACATATTCAACTTTATTATTCCTTTGTGACAAAGGTTCTGCATTTTTTTACTAGAGTTGTTATAAGTATGGAGGGGATTTTTGTAGGGGAACCCATTCTGAGTTTAGGCTTGTTTGGAGCAAGTGGAGGTGCAATGGGAGGTAAAATACTCTTACATTGGTATTTATAGAGCAGTCCCCATTTTCATTTTACCCGCCAAAATGCCAATGTTAACTTCAAGTGGGGAGCTGCAACTTTAGTTACCTTGAGAACTGGTGATGTCTTATTTGCATTATTTGTATCATATACGATATTTTAATTTTCTTTATCGTTCGTATTTAGTATCATATTTGCGAAGATGAAACTGTTGACTTGGTCATGTTCAAATGTAAGTTACCTTCACAACTTGTGAGGTGATATTTGCATTATAAGTACCACAAGCACATTTTTCTGTTTCTTTACTGGTGATATGGGTTCATATTTAGTATCATATTTCAGAAGATGAAATTGTTTACTTAGTCATGTTAAATTCAGATTACCTTCATAACTAGTGATGTCATAAAACACAGTTTTTAGTTTCTTTACTGTTAATGGTGCGTTCATATTTAGTATCATATTTCAGAAGATAAAATTGTTTACTTGCTCATGTTAAATTCAGATTACCTTCATAACTGGTGATGTCATAAACACTATTTTCATTTTCTGTACTGTTAATAGTGCGTTGATATTTAGTTTCATACTTGGTTGTTAAATTATTCACATGGTCATGTTAAAATGCAACGAATTTTACCTCCATAAGTAGTGATGTGATATTTGCATAATCATTATCATAAAAGTTTATTTAATTTTTTGACTGCTGACGTTGATAAGTAGTATCATAAATACGAACACCCACGAGGTGTACCTAGGCATGGAGCCGCGAGAAGACCAATTTGCCGCCAAAAATTGGATCATCGAGGTGTGTGAACTATCCTTTCAGTCACACCGGTTGGGAAACGAAGCCACTAATACATGACCTAAACCCAATGTTGTCTTCGTCCATAGTTTAGGTGACGACAGTTTGTTCCAATATATACCTTTCTTCCTGATTTGTCCAGACACACCGTTCATTATTCCTCCACATACCTTTTGTACTCCCTCTTCTCCAACAACCCAGATGGACATCCCAGACTTGGCGTGGTTTCAGGTGTTGCTTTTGGTTGCAAAGCACTTCTCTAAAGATCTGTACAGCATGGCGGGGACATGCAAGTTATTTGAAGAAATGCTGAATGATCATGAGGTTTGGCGAACCATGTCTGTAGAGAAGTACCAGTGGCATCCGGAATGGTACGGGTTTTATCAAGAGAAACTTGTTGAGTTCTTGCCAAAGTGCAAGGAACACAACAATCCATGAATCATTTACAGAGAAGCTATAACTCAATTCTTCATATTCAAAGATGATGAGGATGTCAACTACTTCCTGGTGGTGGCTAAGGAAGGGCATATGGAATCTTCCTAATTGTTGGCTTGCTAGGGCTGGTGAACCCTACAGAGGGCGAAGAGGATGCGATGGAAATGTTGTGCCATCTAAGCAAAATGAAGAAAATTGACAGGCAAGCAAAATGAAGAAAATTGACATGCAAGCATGCGAAGAGAATCAATTGATGAGGTATACAATTTCGGGCGTGGTGACTCCTCCAACTCTTGCAAAGTTTACTGCTGACAGAAATTTTTTTCTTAACTGCGTTAACTGTGAGGGTAATCGGGAGTGGTATTTCAACTGGGACTTGGGGGGCAATTACTTTGACATGGTAGCTACCTGGAACTGCTGTGAACCCTGCAAATGGAAGAGAGAGCTGTACTGCTTCCAGCGCGCACTCTGTAGGCAGACCTCGTGTATTTAATAAATTAAATATCTGTGGTATGATATGAGTATTAAAGTGTGTTTTGGGTTTTGTTTGTTTTTATTTACAGGGGAAGTTTACCTTATGTTTAATGTTTTTAATTTAAGGTCTGTTTATGGTAATGTTGTATACGTTTGTGGTTTTAAGTCCTGTTTATGGTTTGAAGGTCTGTTTTTGTAATCGGTGCACTTTTAAGATAAAATTTAAGTACAGGTTGTAGACGTTTGTGTTCCATAGACCTTTGTAGCTTGCGTGCATCTGTTTTGGCTGGTTTTGGGTCCTATGGTTTGACTATGTGTTTTGAAATGGGGAATTGCTGGCTTTCGATTCCCGAAGCAGTCATTCGTTGAAGATGACAGACACCTAAATGCCAGGGAGGTTGCGTGTTGTCAAGGCATGAGGGATTATCCTTTCAGTTAGATCGGGTTTGAACCATCCTTGATCTTCTAAGATACTCTGGTGATCCTTTAATTATGTTTTCAATTTCCCCACATTTCCTGATTTGTCCTGCATTTGAAACTATATTTGAAAGATAAAAAATAGTTTAATAAATGATTTAAATATCAAATTTAAGGGGGGAAGTAAGTGTTGGGTTTTTCCCATATTGAATAGGACCCTGTACGAAATTTCCCCTTCACATTCGGAATTTGTCATGAAATGTTTACGATTGTTGCAATAACAAAAAAATTACAAAATTTCAATCCAATAATCCGGAAATCCCTTTTGACTAACAAAATGATTTAAATAGCGTATTTAACCAAAAACTCCTTGAGAAGTATAAGTCAAAACTCTTGATGAAGTATTCATCCCGATACGTACTTAGGAATTTTCCCCCATTTTTTTTTTCTGAATTTTCCTGTATTTTTTACGATTTTCTAAAAAAAAAGGAATAAAATACACACGGAATGCCAAGTGGCAGTGCTAGAGTGGGGAGCTGCAGACCTTAGCGACATACACACATTCCCATGCCGCCACATGCCCCTTTTCAAATTTTTTATTCATTTCCAATTAAATATTCATTTAAAAATCGAATTGAAGGGGGAAAAATTCCAGAAAAAATCCTTCGGACTCGTGACGACATTTCCTTCCATGAAATATCTGGAAAAAGGCTGCGTCATATAAATATCCATACAGAATTAATGTGATTGAAAAGTGTACTAGTGTTTTCATTTGCATCATCCAACACTAGGATTTGTTCCCTAATTTTATTTTTCACTCACACCAAAATCTGTTATTGGACTTTCAGTATGAAGTATTCATCCCGATACATACTTAGGAATTTTCCCCCATTTTTCTGAATTTTCCTGTATTTTTTACTATTTTCAGAAAAAAAGAAAAAAAGAAAAAACACACGGAATGCCAAGTGGCGGAGCTGGAGTGGGGAGCTGCAGACCTTAGCGACACGCGGCGCATTCCCATGCCTCCACACGCCCCTTTTCCTTTTAATTTTTGTCTTACTTATATTTCATTTGATAAACGCCTTTAAGGCTACGGTTTAGGGTTTACTGTGGAGTGCTTTGGGTAAAAAAATTATGAACACATTAACATACAGAAGTGATACCTACTCACAATATTATCTACACATCTTCATCACATTAAGATACATAATGAATACCTACAAACACTATTTTCAACACATTCACATACATAATGGTTACCTACTAACACTATTTTCAACATATTAAGATGCAAACTGATACATTATTTTCAACTCATTAACATACATAATTAATACCTACAAACACTATTTTCAAATATTCAAATACATAATGGATACCTACTAACACTATTTTCAACATATTAAGATGCAAAACTGATACACTATTTTCAACTCATTAAGATACATAATTTTCACCTACCAACATTATTTTCAACACATTAAGATACATAATTGATACCTACTACAAGATGCATTGATCCTTCTGCATCCCAAATAATCTCATATTCATAGTTAAGATTAAATTTTCTCTTCTGTGTTCTACTTCTAATGTACCTTATTCTTTGTTTTCCAAACCCCATTAAATCCCTAAAATGATGTCATACACTTACACCACTAGATGGGCAAAGCAGGATTACAATGACCAACACATGAAGGTTCCTGGAATTTTAAGAAAAGACAACAAGCAAGCACAAAAAAAAAAAAAAAAACAACCAAAAGCTGTGAATCTACACTTCAACAAATTACCACAAAAAATTGCGATAAAAAGACAACCCAACTTTTGGAAAAATTAAATAATATTTAAACCGCAGAAAAACTTTAAAAATTAGTTACTATGCTTCAACAAATTACTAGAAACTAGAAAAGAAGCCAAAAAATAAATAAATAAAAAATAAAATGAAGCCAATTTATATTTTTGCAAACACAACTACTACAGAGACAAACTACTCTTACCCAGAAAATCAAAGCCTAAAATCCTACACTAGAGACAGAGTACTCTTACCCAGAAAATCGATGCCGTAAAATCATAAACATTATTTAAACATTAATTGAATGCAATATGACATGCAAACTTTAATATGAATGAAAGAAAGGGAATTCGAGAGAAACGTACCTTCTCAAACGTTCAAACGAGAAATATTAGATGAGGGAGGAAGTGAAAGAGACAAAGTACACCAGAGAGTTTATGCGACAAGAGAAATACACAAATTTATGTCTGGTAGGTACTTTGGGTGTTTAGGGTTGATTCATAAATTCATAAATTTATAAATTTATTGACAAGAAAGGCGCGATTGGTGAAGTACGGTGCCACTATCAGGAAGAAGAAAGGCGCGTTTTTTCGAAACAGGCGCGACTTGACACTTGGGCTAAGGGGAACTGCAGCCTACCCGTTTTTACCGTAAGCTTGCTTTTTCTCTTTAGCTGTTCAGATAATTTGGATGGCTGGATTTGGTTCTCATAACACGTTCGCACATAAGCGTTGTCACTAGATAACCGCCCATATATTTAATGGGTGCCCAATAATTACCCATTAAATTTACAGAGGCCCAAATTTCCTGTCATATGGTTAATGGATTAATTTAAAAATCCTCATAGCCATATTTGGGTCCAAGTGCAAATCTCAACTTTAGAAAATTAGTGGGTTAATCAAAATTGCTCATTACTTTTCTGGGACATTGACAAAAAGAAAAATGGTACAAAACCATCTAATTTTTCCCATGGGTCATCTATCCATGAAAATTCCAATGAGATTAAATTTGAATCTCAAAACACAAACTCTCAATTAGTGGGCCACACTTGCCCATTAATATCCAATTTTTCCTATAGGTCTTTTACCTATGAAAATCCCCAAATTGTCTCAAAGACACAAAATTCTAAATTATTGGGCCACACTTACCCATTAATTTCTAATTTTTCCTATAGGTCACCTACCTATGAAAATCTTCAAATCATCTCAAAGACACCAACTCTAAATTATTGGGCTACACTTACCCATTAATTTCTAAATTTTGGAACTACGTCGGTTTGATCCCATCAAGGGTATGTAGGCAGTCTAGCATCCCAATAGAAGCAACCGCAACCAAATTCTCGCCAATCAAATCCCCACACAAATCAATTCCGAACTACGTTGGTTTGATCCCTTTGAAAGGGTACATAGGCAATCTAGAGATTCAATCTAGATGCAACCTTCTAGAGCACAATTCCATGTTGAATCCCTGGTTTATTCTTAACCAAATTCACCCTAAACACACATCAAAATCGAATCCCTGGTTCATTCAGCTAAATTCACTCAAACATTTTTTTCAATCAAATTCATTCAAATTCTCCCTTTTGCAATGAGTCATTTACTCATTGTGAATCTTTGAAACTACGTCGGTTTGATCCCATCAAGGATACGTAGGCAGTCTAGCATCCCACTAGACGCAACCGCAACCAAATTTGAATCCTTGGTTTATTCTTAACCAAATTCACCCTAAACACACATCAAAATCGAATTTTTGGTTCATTCAACTAAATTCACTCAAACATTTTTTTTCAATCAAATTCATTCAAATTCTCCCTTTTGCAATGAGTCATTTACTCATTGAGAATCTTTGAACTACGAGTGGCTTGATTCCCGTAAGGGATACGTAGGCATCCTGAGGTTGGATTTGGGAGCAACTGCAAAATCAAACACACACGTTCTGTTTTATGATTGAAGCAAGAGATTGTAATTAAGAGACTTGCGTCTCGAATGGGTCAAACCTAAAATAATAAAACCCCATTATTTAATTAGTGGTGGTGAAATTATGTTGTGAGGTTCACATTTTTCCTTCAACAGCATCTGGGGCAGGGATTGTTTTGGAAGAGCCACTAGGGATCAGACACTGTTATTCTTTTAAGCTAGACTTCCAATGCACCAACAACAGGCTGAATATGAAGCTTTAATCATTGGCCTTGAAATGTTGGTGGAGTTGGGAATCCAGTCTGTGGAAATCTTGGGAGATTCTATGCTTGTGTTGAAACAGATTGCTGAGAACACAAGTGTCTAAATCCTTCTGGTCCAATTCTGTTTTATGCTTTGCATAATCAGCCAAGTTGGCTTCATTAGTAGCCTTGCAAAACTCATAGCGGTTGTGGAGATTGAGCACATCTTTTGCTAAGCCAAGGCTGATTTCAAGAATGGGCTTTGGAGCCATGTTTTTCCTATGCAGCAAATCTAGGTCCTTTATCAGTTGGTCAACAGTTTCTTGGTTTTCATTCAAATCCAACTCAGTGGATTGCCAGATTTTCACTCTATCCATTACCTTGGATTTTGCCTTGCTAGGAGTAGAGCTAAGCGTCTCCAGTTTGTCCAGCTGAGCGTCTAAGTCCATGGCTTTAAACTTTGCCAATTCCGAATCAGCAAAGGAAGCAGTGGTATATGAACCTGGGAGAGAATGGATGGGCATCTGCAAAACAAACTCAAGTCAGTTTTCAGATAAAGTTAGAATAGGAAAAGAAAAGAGAACACAAAAAAAATCACAGACACGATGGGAGGCTTGAAAGGACTGGTCACCACAGCTAGAACCCCAGCAGTCTTGTTCTCTGATACTTGAAAAGACAAAATAACAAATTAGAGAATGTCAAGACAAACAGAACTAAGAAGGCAAGACAGAAAAGACTAAAAATACCTCAGGGACAGGAGCAGCAGCAACAGAGTATTCTGCTTCCACTTCAAGCTCTGGGGCAGCAACAGAATGTTCTGCCTCCACATGATCAAAAAGGGCCAATTCTGAGCTTGTGGGTTCTGCCCTCTGAGATTATTCTTGTTGTTTGGCTAAGGTAATGCTTTCTGCTATTACCTCATCAGGAATCTCCTCCTTCAGATAAACAGAAGTAAGAAGTTAGAAAGTTAGAAGAAGAGTAGTTGCAAAATAATCATGCGGCCAGAATGAAGTCTCACCTCTTCTTTAAACTCTTTTCTTTTTTCTTTTTCTTTTGTGGGAACATCTTTTTCTTTTTCTTGTGCCTTCTCCTGCTCAACAGCTTCGAAAGCCTATCGCAGCTCATCATCAACTCCAGAAGTCTCAGTTGGAACAGCTACAGGCTTTTCTATCTCATCAAATTCAACTCCAGTCCTCTTTCTAAGTTTTTTTGACCTAGTAGGAGGAGGAGGACTTTCAGCTGCACAGAACAAAATGAAGGTTAGAAGAATGGGCAGAACAGAACATATTCAAGAAAATAATTCGAAATGTCAGAATCTTACCAGAAACTTTAGGCAGGGCAGCACTGTCCTGAGCATGAGCAGTTTCTTTTCTTTTCCTTCTAGTAGAAGGAGTGGCCTCAACAGGTGGTTGTTCTGCCAGAGTTTCATCCTCCTCATCTCTAGAGGGAAGTTCCAAGTCTCTAGTAGCAATGACATAGGTGACTGCACAGGGAACAAACAAGTCAGAAGTCAATCCAGCAGGAAAATAATAGAAGGAACAGAATGATGGAAAGCTTACCAATCACCTCTCCACCTTGGATAGATTGTCCGCCTATATTCTTTGTCAGGGAGGGATCTGATGCAGACAAAACAAAATTATTAGACACCATCACAAGGGCAAAATGAGTAAAATACATACAAAATTTAGAGTTTACCTTGTATAACTTGAGCATTAATGTCTTTAATGGTCTACACCATGAATCTATGAGTCTCCTCTCCTGCAAGAACAACCCAGGAATCCCAGCCATAAAAAAGAAGTTTGAGCGCAGTACTGGAGGCAGGCAGACCTTGAAATCTAGCTTTCCACCAATCATCAAACTCAGTAGAACTACATGAATTAGGCTCTTAGGATGGATAAAGAGCGTCTGCGCTATTGTTTATCTTGTTCACCACACACCTGGTATCCTCATGTACTTCCAAATCATCCAGGTCCCTCCAGGAAGTGGCCCAATTACAGCTTCTGTAGGATTTCAGCGGAATAGGCTGAGAGTAGCCGAGTTGTCTTGCGCAGAAATTGGGGTGATACACTTCTGCCCCCAAATGATAATTTGGAGGTTTTCCACCTTCATGGGGCAGGTCTCTCGGCAGGGTTACGCTCAGGAACTTCTTTCTGAAGTCAATTCTGGCTGTTTCTTCCTCTGGTTCCTTCTCAAATAACCTGAATCTAGGCTGGAACCAGGGATAGGTCCTTCTGAGTACCACCTGCCATTGAGCAGCATATCTCTTGGTGCAATGCTTGAAGAACATCAGGTACTCTTCAATTGAGTGTTTGGGCACTTCTACTGACATTAGAGGATGAGCCAGAACTTGATCTTCAGGCAGAACTATGTCTGGAAATCTCAGTTTTGGGAAATACACCTGCAGCCAGATCTGGATCATCCAGAATACGCCAGGAGCAGACAAGTTCAGGGGATTCTCTAGGGTGGCAGTGTGCAAGTTCTTGAATAGATAGGCCAGAACTGAAGGTCCAAGCCCTACGTCAGTATGGTTGTGCAGAGCCTCTGCTAGATGCTTGTACTCAAGCAGAATTGCCAATGAGCGGTTTGGGAAAATGAATCTGTTCAGCCAATACAGGAGGAATAACATGTGCTGCTAATCCTTGTCCTTTTTAGTGCTTAATTTCTTCAAGTAATTCGAAATGGAGCAGTTCTGGTTTAGTCAAGTCTCCTTAATTATGATGGTTCACTTTACACCAAAGGAAGTTTGTGAATTCTTTTCTAATTAACTATAAATGGCTTAGACTCTGAAGTGGGATTGGTTGGAACTTTTGAAAAGATGTTTTGGTTTTTAACATTTTCTATGGATTGCAACTTGAATGGAAATTTTGTTTAGCTAGGTTTTTCTTAAGATTTTTAGTTTGTTAGTTTTTGTGTTTGTTTTGCTTGAGGACAAGCAAAGAGCTAAGTTTGGGGGTATTTTGATGAGTCGATTTTATATTATATATTTAACCCCATTCTTAGTACATTTTGATTAATATTTTGGAAGAATTTTGATACTTTGAATTATATTTCCAATATAGGACTTTCGACTTCCTCTGGAGAAAAACATAATCAAATCGATGAATTTTGGAGTAATTCCAGTTGGAGGATGTATGTGAGTCACTTAGCTTGATTGTATCGAAATTTCAGATTTTTCTACCAAGCGATTATTTTCTGGAAATAAAATAAAGGAGCAGTGCGCGGTGCTGGAATAGTGACGTTTTGGGATTTTATTGCATTTTTGGAGCCCAAGATGACCTCGGATGGGTTCGTGGCCTTCTGGAGAAGTGTTCAGAATATTTTTATCTTTAAAACAAACTATCTTGGGCTAGATTTGAGACCAAAACGTGGCTTATTAGATTGTAGACAGATTCTCCTAATCCAATTTGGATTTTATTTCCTAGTATTTTTTTATTTTAACTTAGTTTCCTTGTGGGGATTGGGCAGCTAGGTTTTAGGAGATGTTTAAGCTTCTTTTCACAGCAATTTTGTGACTTCTTTTTCACTTTTGAACGTGACATTGTGGAGAGCAATTGCTAGAGTTTTGGGTTTTGCAACTTTCAAGTGTTTTCATTCTTATTCTTCCGAATGATATTTTCTTGGATTTCAATTATGAATATGCGTAACTAATTCTCTTTTGCTAGGGTGAAACCTTGAACCTTAGCATGAATATGTGATTTTTATTTAATTTCTTATGATTGAGTGCATGCATACTTTGAATTATTAATCACTGTTTTAAACTATCTAATTGTCTTAATGCCTGATCACCATTAGGATCTTTAGAAAAGTAATTGGATGCAATTTCGGTCGGAAGGTTCCCTGAAATTGACGATGGCTTCTTGTGATTAATAATTGTAATTTCACTTAAGATGAACACCACGTCTTAAGGGTTGCATGGTTTTTCAAAGGGTTTTCACAGAACTCAATGAGTCTTTCATGTTAAGATTTAATCCGAATGTCCGGACGGGTTGCATGTTGGATATACGTTCTATGTTGGAGGTTCCAAGTAGAATATAAATTAGGAAAACCTACTCTTCAAAGTGGCATGTGCAAATCATAAGTAATTGGTAAAAATTCATAGGATTGCTAGGTGATGGTGAAAACCTAGTGCTTTTATAAATTGGTATTGAAAAATCTTTCCTTCAATCGTGTTTGTTCCTGTTTAAAATTTGTTTTTAGTATCCAACAAGTCATATTCATCTTTCTCTACTTTTAATTTTAGGTAGTAAATTGGAAATTGTTTTGCATAAATTGCTAAATAGTCCTTGTGGAGAACGACCTTGCATGAGCATCTATACTACAATAGCCTTGTATTCTTGCAAGTATTTTATGTGATTTTAACCCTGTTTGCACAAGTACTAAAAATCCTATCACTAACCCAATTATGGGATGCCAAGGCAGAAGAGCTCTGGAAACACAGGGGGGCTTTAGCGTCATCTTTGAACAGAGTAGCCATTTCAGCAGGGACAGAATCGAACCAGTGAGGGCTTAGCACCAAGGCGTTTTCGAAAAGATGAAGGACATTTTCGTCCAGATTCTTATGGGCTAACGGAAAAAAACTGGTGGGCACAAATTAATGACCAAATCATTAAGTCTGGAACCGTTCCAAAAACGATTCAGACTTAGTGGGCATTGTTTGGGCCTAATTTGGCACACCCAGTCCAAAATCAAAGAGCCCATGTCAATTTTGGACAACCACCAATGCTCCCCTTATAAATAGGCCAAAATTACGCACTCATCCCAATTCTAGAGGCCCAGAAGGACGAGGCAAAATCAGACCCAGGCTGTATGGACTAGAATTGGAATTGATAACCCAAAGTCAAAAAGCCCAGACCTAAGTCAGATCCTTACCGAAGCCCAAAATTGAAGAAACCCAAAAACAGTTCTTACCAAAACCACCAGCTATCCACCCAAACTGAAGAATGGGCCGAAATACCACTTTAAAAAGTAAACACATTCAGCCCTGGATTACAGGGAAACTCACGTGACTACCTAGCTTTGAAAAGTCAGCGTTTTCAACTGGGTTGATAAGCAGTTAATAAGGGTAGGTATAAAAGAAAGACATCTCTGAAATCTCTGCCACTAGAAGATCATATCCCTTTTATATATTCAGAGATATTTTGTGCTCCAAAGAAGGCACCATTTTCAAGAGATAAGCAGACTATGTTTTGGGAGATAAGTAGGAAGCAGGGAGTTGTTCAAACTAGAAAATCAAACTAACCATCACAATTTGATCTCTTACAAAAAGCAGTTAAAGTAGAAGAAGGGTTAGGTTTTCTTTTAAGAAAAACATGGAAGTGATTGCCTTAGGAACTGACTGTTGAGGGCTTATCTGCAGAATTGATAAACTCCCTTTTATTTTGCATTTAAAAATGAAAGATTTTTTGAGAATTTTTGCCCCCATTATTAAAGAATTAGAAACCCCACTCCAAAACATTTCTTATAAATATAAGATAGGGTGAATAGAGCAGAGGAAAACCAAAAAATCAATCAAAGACAAAAACTCAAAATGATCACTTTATCTCAAAGAAACTTCGAACGAACTGAAGCAACCAAAAGCTCATTGAGCCACAAGAAAGAAGACAGCTACAAATCAAAACTTCCAGTTTTAGATTTAGAGAAATAAGTCATCCAAAACAAGATTTCTCTCATTACAAATTTGGTTCAGCAAAAGCCAAATCAAGCAGAGCTCGGGTTTTTACAAATATGAAAACCACAACAAATTTATAGAGAGCCCTGATCAAGCAGAACAGGTACCACAGTGCAGTTTCAGCCCAGTAATCCTCAAGTCCAGCCACCTCTGCCCCTTCAGATTGAAGAGGCCGCAATTATGCCCGCTCAAAAGCCTTCCAGGGATTGAAATAGATTAAAGCTTTGCCAAACTTGAACATTGGTATCAATTTACAGCTGAAGTTGCTGACAGTCCAGTCCAGCACAGGCATACCCAGTCCAGCTTGGATCAGAAGCTTTTATCCAGGCAGAAATGGAAGTCCAGCCTTCTTTTTGTCTTTCTAGAGTTGGTTTTTCCTTTTTGAGTTTTGTAAAAAGGCACTTCTGCCTAAAACAGTTTACTATCTTATCATTTATTCTGGCCAGAACTACCAGTTTTGTACTGTGAAAAATTGTGAAGTCCTCACCAGTTTGAGGCAAGAAAAGAACTTACTTGGGAGGTATTCCTCACCCAAATTCACAATCGCTTGTTTAGAAATCAGTAACTTGGGGCACAAGTTATCTGTTTTTAAGAAGTCTACTAGGATTTTTTATTGCTAGCAGTGGCACGCTCACATACTAAAGAAAGTTGACTTGTTGACTAGTCAATGGTTTTCAAGGCAATGTGGAACTTTACCCTACCATCACAGGAGCAAACATAAAACGGGTGAACAGCATCCATGATGCACCAAAAATAACCCATAAGTATATTCATGATTGGAAAAAATTGACATAGTAATTATTTCAAGGATCTATTTTTATGGTTGGATTGGATGCGGATGGTCTTCCTCATGTATATAAAGTTGATTCTTCTGGACCAGTGAAAAAATCCAAATCCAAATGTTGCTATGGATTTGCGAGTGGAACCGGTGGTAGACAAGTTCGTGAATACTTCAAGAATTTCAATATGGAAGTCCAAAGTTCAAATGAATTGTTAGAAACTATGACAAGGGCTTTATTATATGCAGCCTTTTTATTTATTTATTTTTATATATTTATAAAGGGGCTAATTTAGCGTTTTCCGTTAGTAACAAGGGTGAATTTGTAATTTGAAATAAAATAATAGTCAAATATATAAAATAAAAATAAAATAATGTTATTTATAAGTATAAAAATTAAAAATGATTTAAAAAAAAACCCACCCTATTCCCCATAGCCCCATCTAGCCAATTGCCACAACCCACCTCTTCCTTCTCTACCCTCCCATCCCAGACCCATCACCCCTGCCACACCCATCTCAGCCACCCAATATCCTCCACCTCCATTGTTGTCGTACCTGGCCGCCTCAATCTAACAACTGAACAACATAATCAACACCTTAATCGGAGCCACCGACTTAGGGAACTGGGTCCTCACCTTCTTCGAGCTCTAGCTCTTCAAGCCCTGCCTGTCGATACCTCTACCGCACCCTAACCCAGCAACCACACCCACCTCAGCTGCTCCCACCTATGACACACTCACTCTGCCATTTCAAGCTTGTCTATTTGTTTGGGGGTTGTCAAAATTCACATAATTTGCCAAGGAGGAATTCCCAATGGCTCAATTCTTAGCAACCCAGAATTCCTAGTGGCCGAAAGAATTCCAAGCGGCCTAGAATTCCTAGCGGCTGAAAAATTCATAGCGACGGAATTCCTAGCAGCTGAAGAATTCCTAGCGGCGGGATTTTTAGTTGCCTAGAATTCTTAGTGGGCCAATTCCTAGCGGCCGAAGAATTCCTAGTGGCCGAAGAATTCCTAACGGCGGGATTTTTGGTGGCCCAGAATTCCTAGCAGGCCAATTCCTAGCGACTGAAGAATTCCTAGCGGCAGAGAATTCCAAGCGGCCGAGAATTCCTAGTGGCACAATTCCTAGAGGCCGAGAAATCTTAGCGGCCGAGAATTCCTATCAACCGAAGAATTCCTAACGATCGAGAATTCCTAGTGGCCGAAGAATTCCTAGCGGTCGAGGTGCTTTCTCAAAATGGTGGCCGATGTGTTTTCTTCAAAGGCCATGGTGCCGTCTCACAAATATGGTTGGGCACTTCTCTTTGCAAAAGTGGTTGGACGTATCCTTACAAAAGTGGCTGGGCATATCCTTACAAAATTGACCGAACGCTTTCTTTTGCAAAAGTGGCCGAGCAGTTCTCAAAACGTTGGGCCGAGCACTCCTTAAATACCTTGGTCGGCCACTCCTCTTGCAAAAAGTTGGCCCGGGGCGAATTTTCTCCTTTCGCATCCGGGCGCCCTCCTCACAACACTTGGGCAAGCAAAGTTGGGCCAAGGGAGTTGAAGTTCGGTGGGAGGTATTTCCTCCAAGGGCGTTGAAGTTTGGCGAGGGGTATGTCCACCGAGTTCACAATATTCAAATATTTTGAGAACTCAAACATAGTCCAACTTGGGGCCAAGCCCAACATCCAAATCTTTGGAGTTCCTATACCACCCACTTTGACGGATGGTCAGCCAACTCTAGAATTCTAAAATCTCGGATGGTCCACCATATGTCAAGATGACATCTCGGAGGTCCAAGCCCAAGCCACAAATTCACACCCAAGATTTTCGGAGGTCAGTGTGCACATGACGGAGGCCTCACAAGGAAAGAAATCAAGGAGTTTGATGACGATTCAAAATTTTCCAAAACGAGAGAAAATCAAGCAACCATAATATCTCGGCCGATATGATCCATGGATTTATGGGGCTTCAAAAGGAAAGAATTTTGAAAGAGTTGACATTTTGGCCATTCAATGGCTAGGCCATGGGCCAATGAGCGCCCTATATAAACATCACCAAACGAACGCAGAAGACACACAACATCAGACAGACAAACCTATCTTTCGTCTTGCACTTTTCTTTTCCTAGACTTAGGATTTTACTTTTCAAGCCCCTAGTGTAGCAAGTTCTTCCTTTTCCTAGTGTAAGTTTAAATTCTTGTTCAATTTATATTTTCTTGTCATTTAAATTCCTTTACCTTTCATTGTCATCACACTTTTATTAAGTTTAATTTCAAGTTTATTTTAGTTTATCGTTCTTATCGCTTTTATCTCGTTCTTACTTTATTTATCGCTTTGATTTATTTTATCGCACTTTAATTCTCATCTTTACATTTTATGCACTTTACTTTATGCATTTATCTTTAAATTATATTAAATTTAAGCACCTTTACTTTACGCACTTATTCTTCGTTTCATTACGTTTCACCTTCAATCTTCATTTCCACCCACTCCACATCATTTGGTTGCTCACATAAAGCCTTGGCACCAATGTAGTGAAAGAACCTAGGCTGTGAGGAGGTTCCTTGCTCAGCTGAACAATCGTTTGATTAAAGTTAGATCTCGGACGCAACATATCCATCTACTCATATTCCATTCAAGCCCAAATTTGTGGCTTGGTGGTGGCATGCCCGGCACTCAAAAGAAAAATGACCAAAAGTTCCTTCCATCTGCCGCCTCGGCTGAAAAGAAGGAAACACTATTTCATCAATGGCGGACCTAACCAAACCCGATTCTAGTTGGGACAATGCTACAATATTTGAGGGCTTGGACCACAGTAACAACATGTGATTCCAAGCTGTGTTTGATTAAGGGCTTTTTTATTTGTTTGTTTTCTCAATATTTTAGTTTTTAAATATAAGAATAAAAAATTCAAATAGTAAGTCACATTAAGGACACGTGAGTTGTTTTAAGGGAGATTCACTAATATACCCAATATGGGGGCCCAAATTATAAAAATACCCTATATGAAATGAACTTTATAAACACACCCAAAACCCATTTACAACATAACAAAGAGGCCTTAACTTCTTATAAATTACAAAACTACCATAAATTTCTTAAAACAAGCCCAACCTCAAAATCTCATAAAAATACCCAAAACACTCAATAGGGTATTAAAGTAATTTAATAATCAATATTAAATTCAATAAGGCCAGCTGTCATTTTTGGAGTTTTTTTTGGGTTTGTTTGTAGAAATTCAATGATGGAGGGTTTATTTATAATATTAGTGCTAAGAATGGGTATATCACTAAATATCTCCTGTTTTAATTAGTTTGAGTACTAAATTGACTGATTTTTTAGTTCAGGGGTTAATTTCCACAAAGGTCATAGTTTATGGGGTAAAACGGTTGAAAATCCTCTACAAAAATAAGAATTAAAATCGTGTAAGAAGACTTACACATTGCACTGACCAATTAAACTAGCTTGCACTGTATACTACTATTAAGATAAAAGTCTTTATAAAGGAGTTGTAGCTCAAGTAATTAATAGTAGTTATCCCTCCATTGGTCATGTGTTCAAATCTCTCGGTCCTTCTTAATATGGCGCATCAATTTTTTATTTTATATTTAAAAAAAAGTGTTATTTAACATGGCAAAAAACTACATTTAATGAAAATTGTACTAACTCATATGTTAAATTGTGATGTGAAACATGAAATGGTAACAATTTAACACGAGAAAGGTTGATTGAGTTGACAAAATAAAAATTAAATTTATTTCATTTGTAGTTTTTTTGGTATGAAGCAAGCAACTAGTCGAAACAGAAAGCACTTAAAAATGAGACTCATGGAATCTCTACTGTTATAAAGGGAGGTGCAAAATATTTAGGGTGTAACACCCTGACCCAATTCGATTGTTTTATTTAATTATTTTTGTGTGAAAGTACATTTTTGATCTTGAGGGTAGGGGTACTTTAGTCAATTTTTGTCTAGAAAGGAATTTGGGGAATTTAGTGGCATCGTTGCATAGAGCTCGTCGATACGAGTCCGTAGACAGGTGGCATGCTCAATTTTGATTTAAAACGAAGAAATTGTGATATACGGAAGTGTAGTGGCACAACTGTAATGTTTCCAAAGTAAAAAATCTATGCAACTCCTTCTCTCTCATTTTTCTCTCTCCTCTCCCGACTCTCTCTCTCGTTTCTCTCTCTTCGCAGGGACAACCGACCAAATTGGCCGATGATCTCCCAACTCCGGCCACGACGGTTGCCTCCACCACCCAAAACCTTCTCTTCTACCTAGCCCAAGGATTATTCAACATAAAAAACCTTGGATTGCTTTGATTCAACACAAAACAAGGTGGACGGTTTTTGAGCTTTTTCGGCGACTCCAGCCACCATTTCCGCCAATCTTGATATGGTTTTCATCCTTTTTCCGTGCTCTATATGTTTATGTACTTAGTTTGGGTCGGTTTTGGAGTTTGGAGAATCATTTTAGACATTGAAGTTGGCCGGCAATTTTGGTGGCAATTCACCCTTCTTCGGCCACTTTTTGGCCGGGGTCCAAGAGACTAAAATACTCCCCTAGGTCTGCTAGTTCTTTTGGTATAGATATTGTAAGGAGTTTTGAGAATTTCCTGTCGTCCAAAATTTCTCAAGACACCCATCGCTATCGACGATGAGTGGCGGTACGTGGGCCATCTTGTGGTGGCCTATTATGTTCTAAAAGGTTCCCCATGTCTTCCCAAGCACGACGGTATGCTCGAATTGTGCCTATTATGCGATATTCGGGTTCTATAGGTTTAAACCGGTCGATCGGTTCCAATTTCAATTATGTTGTTCCTTGTACCTCTACGATCGTGTAGGAACTCGCGGATTGAGAATCAGGGTCTCGAATACTCCGAGTCAATGATTCTAGAGTTAGGTGAATCGATCATCGTCCGATCTTGCGATTGGCTTAGATTTGACCGCTCGATCGAGACCATGACCATCAGGACTTGTTTAGTTGACTTTGTTGGACTTATAGGCACTTTTAGGTCGGAAATTGGAGGTTGTGGGCCATGCGCGCTCAGTTGTCCAATATGAAAAGTTTGACCACTAAGTTGACCATGAATCTTCCGAGATCGTCACATCCTTTGGGAAGTACTAGAATGACCCTATAAACCTTCTTAAAGGTTATGATCACTTTAAGATCTGGAAATTAGGATTTTGAGTTAAAGTTCATGGTTGGATACTTTTATTGATTAAGTCCTCATGTAAATAGGTACTCAGGCTTCATGTACTCAACCTACGGTTGTAGGTCAAGAAGCTTTGGACTTTTTGTGAGTGGATGTTTGCTTTAAATGATAATTTTCTTTTTCAAATATGAAATTGCATGCTACATGAATTTGATTGAGAACTTGGTTTATTTTGGGTTATTGGGAATGTGGAACTACATTATAGTTTTAACTATGATATTTGGGATGTCTTTGGATTTGAATATTGTGAATTTGAGAATTGGATCTTGGATATGATTATTGGAAATTAGATTTCGGATTTTGGTAGTTGTGTATATTGATGGCTATGGTATACTGGATTTTCAAATTGCGCCATGATATAAACCTTCCTTAGTTCAATACAAATGTCACACACATGTCCGTATTGTTGCAGGCGTGTGGGAGGATACCCAGGCACCCTTAACGGGGAATGTTGTAGAGCTTTTGAAGGGCCTGTTTGTGCCCATAAGAGTTGTTGCAACCGCATGTGCGATGTGTTGCCTGCTTGTGGGCTGGGAGCAATAGTCCTCGGTTGGACTACTCATCCCTAGTCATAGGGTAATGTGTTGCTACCCTGTGGTCTAGTCAAACCATCCCCCGGTTGGAGTATTTCTCTGGTACTTAATGATGGTGTAGAGTATGCTTCAGTAGAATATTTTATTAATCAAAACCGTCAATTTTGTAAATATTCATTCAAAGATCCTCTCTAAAAAAAAATAAAAATAAAAAACTTAAATCCGATATCATTTTACCACTTAATTTAATTATTGAAATTTTAGTACTTTCTTGAAGTACCGTGTCCATTGATTTTGTAGGACACAATTAGATGTCGAAACGGTTTCCGATTTGTCCAATTTTTTGCAAGGATGATCTCTGAATGTCGACTTAAAAATTAGATGGTTTAGATCGTTCAAAAAATTTCATAGAACACCCTAAAATGTGTCCCTCAATAGAAGGGGACTGTATGTATGTATGTGTATATTACTTGTATATTTATATGGAGTTTCTTTGCATATTGTGTTTTTTTAAACATGTGTCTCAGAAAGGGTATGGATATGGGAAGATGGTTCAGTTTGATTATTATATTATTTGCTATATATGGTTTATGGGATTACAATGATTTCAAATTCAAGTATACCATAACAAAGGATTTCATTGTAAGGCTTTACATCATTTTCATATAACGTTGGGGTTAGTATGTTCGATTAATACTATGATCAAACTTTTTTTTTTTTGGTCCACTCACAATTTATGTTTTGTGTCCCCCAGCTCGTAGCTTGATGTGACTCACGAAACCAAGCCAATTCTCTATCTCTTCCCCTGGTTTTGTAAACTAAAGACTTCTTAAATTGCTCTGATATTACCCATGTAGGGTTGAATTTGAGGTCGGATGCCTATGTTGTAAATTGTGTTCTTTAGCATTGTGCATGCTGTTGTTTGTGGTTATTTATTGCTTCGTTTGCAAGTGTTTGTAATTTAAGGAAAGTCTATTTTTCTAGGGAGACTGTCGAAATTCTTGCCCCTTTTTCTGTTGTTGAGGGAAAAGGGTTATGTTAGTAAGCGGGCCCGACATTGGTTAAATGTCAAACGAAAACAGGGTTCGTCACGAATTTAAAGGGGAAATCCAGGGCGGGTCCTGTCATGGGGTTATAGGCTTCACAAAAAAGAATTGGACAGAAACATCCCTGAAAAAAAAAACCAATGGTTGAGCAAATTTTTTTATTCATACTTTATGCGGGTATTTTAGTAAATACACAATATAATAAAAGCCAAACTAAACAAAAGTCGGCCCTATTATCCTGTGCAAGAAGATAAAAAAAAATAAAAAATTTTGGGTTTTTATTACAAATGGTCTCTGAGGTTTGCCAAATTATTAACTTTGGTCCCTTATGTTTTTTCCTGACATTATTGGTCCTTTATATTACACCTCACACATCAATTTGGTCCCGCTGTCAGGTTCCATCAAAATTTTCCTTTAGATTGCTGACGTGGATGCCATGTGGATTAAACAATGTTTTAAACATTTCGAGTTTTTTTTTGGGACGAATGTTAAACTTTTTTATTTTTAACATTTCTTGATTTAGATCCACTTGACATTTTCTCATTGCCTATGTGTGCACCATATGTGTGTCATGTCAGCAATTTAACCAAAAAAAATTACGAAATCTCACTGTGGGATCAAATTGATGTGTGACTTTTGTTATACACCTCACACAAATCTAACGAAATGTCAGAACATAAAAATATAAAAGACCAAAGGTGATAATTTCGCAAACCTTAGGGACTATTTGTTATGAAACCCAAAATATGTAAAACATTGCTTAATCCACATGGCATCCACGTCAGCAATCTAACGGAAAATTTTGATGGAACCTGACGGCGTGACTAAATTGATGTGTGAGGTGTAACATAAGGGACCAATAATGTCAGAAAAAACATAAAGGACCAAAAGTGATAATTTGGCAAACGTCAGGGACCATTTGTAATAAAAAAAAACCTAAAAATAAGAAAGCAACCCAAAAAACTCTGCCTCATTGCGTGAAAGGAGCAGTTCCTTTTGGTTTTCACTATTTTTTCTCATTTCTTTTGAATTTTTTTAATTTTTAATTTAATTTAATAATAATAATTTACTTTTACGAGTTGATTAGAAGAAGGATTAAGAAAACATGCAAGTGGCTGAAAATTGGGGCACAAACTCTTGGCATCGATCGCAATGGGGAAATTTGAGATTTTCTATAGGATTAATGTCAAGCCTCAAAAATTGGGAACGTAACAGTGCCACGCTCTATTGACAATTAATGCAATGTTACAATGTTAAACCCAATATCATAACACTGCGTTTTCAATAGAACATAAGGCATTTGAGTATAGGAAAATAAAATGCTAACAACAGTGTGGAAACGGAAATCATAAGAGTATGCCAAAATAATAGAAAAATGATTTTCATTTAATATGAGTCATAACACCACAAAATATGAGTTACACAAAACTAAACAAATTTTATTGTTGCGACTTCCATATCATCACTACACAACCTCTTGAGAATCACCTGAATAGAAAAATGCAGTTGTAGGAGCCAGCGACACTTACGACGTTGCCCCCCTATAAGGGTCGCCATGACTAAGTGAAAACCTCGAATTTGTACCTCACTTTAATTTGCCCCTATTTTAAAAAAAAATTAAGAATCCACACGATTTAATTTAGCTAATATCCCCTCATTGTACTTGCTCCACATTTCATCTAATTTTCCATCAAACAAGAGTCATGTGCATACCACTTGACTCTCTTGGATGGACTTGGACACTAATAAGGCAACAAGCAAGTGGCTAAAAATTGAGGCACAAACTCCTGACATCGAATATTGGCTGAGGGTATAGTCTAAAATATCGATAATATCGATGAAATATCAAGGATATTATCTTTTTTCTGGTCAAGGATATTTTGAAACGTATCCATACACATATTGTATAAATATTAATAATATCGGAAAATATCGATGTAGATAATTCCTCTCACATTTCAGCAATATTTAGCCAAAATATCGCTATAATATCGATAATATCGAGATGATGAAGACAATGAAAAATTTGAAAAGTTATTTACACTAACACCCCCTGAGGTTTCTTGTGTTTTCACAAAACCCCATTTTGTTGATTGTTTGTCCAAAAATTGATGATTTCATTGAAAAAACTTATGATAATGACAAAATTAACCTCAATGAAGTACATGCAATCTAATCTCAAAGGCCAACTTTGTCATTTGGAGAATTTTTTTTTGAATAAAATCACCATTTTTTGGATGAAAAATCAACGAAAAGGAATTTTGTGAAAACAATTTAAAACCTTAGGGGTGTTCTTGGATTGACTTAAAGTCAGATGAAAAATCATGGATTTTGAAAAATTAAGGTGACATTTTTCTTAAATTTTTCTTTAAGGTGACTGATGAAACCCTCTGCGCCTAGAACTACAACGATCCACGCGGTGGTTGTGGAAGATATAAATGAGGAGATTTTACTAGAATAGGAAGAAGAGTTGGCTAGGGTAAACTTGGTCGAGATTGTGGCCAATGGGCCATATGTGTGCAAGGCTTTATTTAAAGCCTTCAAGGATTAAAGGCCGACGACAGCCCAAATTATCAAGTTTAGTGGAACCTCCCAAAAGACCTCATCGATTGGAAGATCTTGAAGTTTCCAGAGAAAGCTACCATGGACATCGACTAGAACCCTTTCCCAAATGCCCAAGTCAATATGGTGAATGCCAATTTCTCAAGGCCAGACCAATCTAGGCAAAGTTTGGACTTGGGTGGCTCAGCGAAAACCGTGGTGGAAAGAAGAGCAAGGGAAATTCCGGCGGACCCTAAGGCAGAGGGCAAGGCCAAGATGCATCTAGATGTGGCCCAGGCTTCCGAGCAAAAAGAACCGACCAAAGAAAAACCTGCAAAAGCATCTGTGCTATGTAGTTGGTGCCAATACGAGGTAACTCTCAAGGTGGTTTCGCCAAAGACCAAGGAAACAACCAAGGAGCCAAGTAGGGAGCCAATCAAGGATGAAGTCCAAGTGGGCAGACCAAGGAGTTCTGGAAGAAATATGATCACAAGTTCGGCCGAGAATTACAACCCACATAGCCCTAAGGGCAGGATGGGAGTAAGGCTGAACAAAGGGCCATTACATGAATACCAAGATAGGCACGAAAGGCCACGATATCAGCCTAAGAGGAGAAATCAACATGTGCCATTGAGGTATGAAGAGATTGATCCGCTGAATCCCAGCCAAGATAGAAGCATGTGGATTCCGATGGGCAAGGGCAAAAATCGAGATGTGGCTTATGTATCAAGACCTCACCCAGCAGATGGTAATGGTGTTCCAACTTTCAAAATGTCAAACACTAAGGCAGGTGTTGAGGCCCAAAAAATTCACGCTTCGGCCCAAATAAATTATCGGCCCAATACGATACCTTATCAAGAAGAAACCCGATTTAGGCATGCGAAAGTTCGTCATATACGCTTTGCACACATGTCACGCCAAACGACACGCCACGCTAAGCAAGGAATTATCATTCCGCACCTAATCACGCCACAAGCCTAGGTGGCCCAAGCCACTCAAAAAAACCGGGGCTTGCTTGAGTGGGTTGTGGCATGGATGGTGATAAATCAACATGAGACCCATTGATGGACCGAGAAATGGAAAGTCTCGGGTTGCTTGGGAGCCTCGAGACTCAAGCCCATTTCTTAGGCCCAAACATATGGGTAAGCACAAGAGAGAAAAGCAGCCCAAAGGCCCAAGCAAAATAACCTAACCAAGAAATAACCCAACCAAAAAAATAACCCCAATCAAGAGGCCCAATGTTTCACAAAAAGCCCATTTGCTTAGAAAGCCATCTTGACCCTTAGAAAAACCCAAAATAGCCCACAAGAGCTTCAGCTCTTTTGAAAAACAGAGAACACGTGAAGGAGGAGGTTGGCAGACTCATCAAGCAAAGCTGCTGGGAGCAAGTTCCAAGCCAGAGACGCCCAAAGAACTAAGGAATGCTGGCCTGCACCCTGTCAAAAGCACCCCTTGGACCAGCATATATTTTCACTTCTTTTCCTTCATCAGATTCAGCCAAGGAAGAGGAAAGGAAAGAAGAAAAAACAGCAAACCAAGAGTGGAAGCTCCCACTGCACAGCTGCGGGAAAGGAGGATGTTGAGCCCCCAAATCCCCTGAATTCATGAAAATAGACAGAAGCAATCTTTGCCAAGAAGGGGAGGTCAGAGAAGGGGAGGAGAAAGGAAGAAAAGCTTAGCCAAAGTAAGTAGAAGCCATTAGGGTTTCTTGAAAAATGGTGATTTCCGGCAGCTATAAATTGAGCCTTCCCCTACCCAACAAAAACAACCCACAACTTGCAGAGAGCAAGCTTTTCTCTCTTGCAAAACTCAGACTCGTGCACTATTCATCTTCTTCTCCAATTTGTTTTTTCTGGCAGCTGCCAGAAGAACTCTGCCTTTCTTTTTCCTCTTTCCCTAGTCGAATTCCTCACAAAACACCTCATTCCTTACTTAAACACTTTCTTTTCCCATAAACCAAGCCTAATTTCTCTCTTAGTGCTAAACCCATGTTGATTTTGCTCCCATGCCACATGCCACTCATGCTGAGCTGAAAAGACTATCTGTAAGCATGCCAAAACTATCTGCAAGTTACCATTATTCTCGTTGGTGAAGATAACCAAAATACTTCCTAAGGCTCTACTGCCTTTTCGAGGTATTTTGGGGCTTAATTTTCGAACTCAGGCTCAAGGGGCAATTTCTTCCATTTTGCCCTTTACGGAAGTCAGGCCCGTAGTAGCTGCCGGAAGAAAAAAGCCCCTACAGCAGGCCAATGATATATGAGTAGGGGTCCAAAACTTCCTCTAGTACCGTTGAGCAAAACTCAAACAAGAAGAGTTTAGAGGCAATATGCCACCACCTACAATGCGGAGTAGGAATGGGTGAACAAGAGGTAAGCCCAACTTGACCAATTGGTCGAGCTTCGAGAGAAGCTTCGGTTGGTGTTGGAATTGGCCAAGGCCGATGTCGTGACATCTTTGGAGGCAGCAGTGGCCGAGGAGATAAAGTTGCATTGAGAATGGGTGAATGGCTAAGTTATGGTGATGGCACTAGAAGAACCGATTTTGGAGTTGGAAACACCTTTAATCGGGGCTTTTAAGGCAAACAATTCTAAGGCTGAAGTTAGTAGGCCAACCAAAATGGGGGGCAAAAGGAACCTTTGAAGGGTGAGAAAACAAGGGTTGCTTGACCGAAAACCAAACCTTTGGTCACCAAGACTTCAATAGTGACCAAGGGGTCTTAGCCCACCGAGGTTAAGAAGAAAGGAAAAAACAACCAGAACATGGTCGAAGAAACTAGGGGCGAGCCCCATATGAAAGAAAGTGGGCCAAAGGCGGAGGAAGACCAAGTCATGGTCGAGGCCGAGGCCAACAGGATAGAACAAGAGACTGAACGTACGGCTAAAGGAAGACAAGAAGCCGAATATACGGCTGAAGGAGAAGATAAAGAGGTATTGGAAAACCCCTAGCCCAATTTTGCATAAGTCGAAGGTTTGATGGCCGAAGATGAAGAATATGGGGATGATGAGTACTTAGAGGAATTTTCGGAGGAGGGTATAGAGCACCTCGAAAAGGAACGCAGGGAAGAGATGGCCAAGTTTAAGAGCGAGTTGAAGGTGGGCAAGACCAAAGTAAAGTTTGGGGACTTTGACGAAGTTAATGACATGGTAATCACACTTCCACTATTTTTCGAAGCTCGGCCAGACTGACCTAATTACATGGACAAAGATGTGTCCAAATGATGAGGCTAAAGAAATCGAGATAACCCAGGAAGTTCCAAAGGAAGAAAATTCCCAACCTTACACCGTGGTGCCCAAGACGGAGGAGAAATTGCCAAAACATGTGTGCTATGAAATGCTCATCGGACATGCCAAATTATGTTTCTCTCTTTTCGGCTGAGGCGGCAGACGGAATGAACTTTTAGTCATTCTTCTTTTTTGAGTGTCAGGCGTGCCACCACCAAGCCACAAATTTATCTTGAATGGAATGTGAGTGTATGTTGTATCCGAGATCTGACTTTAATTAAACGATTGTTCGGCCGAGCAAGGAACCTCCTCACGGCCTAGGCCCTTTCACTACCTCGGGGTCAAGGTTTTATGTGAGCAACCAAATGATGTGGAGTGGGTGAAGATGAAGATTGAAGGTGAACGTAAATGAAGAACAAGTGCATAAAGTAAATGTGCTTAAATTTAAATATAGTTTAAAGATAAATGCGTAAAATAAATAATGTAAAGACGAGAATTAAAGTACGACAAAATAGATCAAAGCGATAAATAAAGAAAAACAAAACAAGAACGATGTGAATGATAAGAAAGATAAACTAAATTAAACTTGAATTAAACTTAATGAAAGTGCGATAACAATGAAAAGTAAAGCAATTGAAATAAACTTGAATTTAAAAGACAAGGAATGTAAATTGAACAAGAATTTAAACTTACACTAGAAAAAAGGAAGAACTCGCTACAGTAGGTGCTTGAAAAGTAAAATCCTAAATCTAGGTAAAGAAAAGTGCGAGACGAAAAATAGGTTTATGTGTCTGATGATGTGTGTCTTCTGCCTTTGTTTGGTGAAGTTTATATAGGGCGTCCGTTAGCCCATGGGCTGGCCATTGAATGACCAAATGTCAACACTTTTAAAATTCTTTCCCTTCGAGGCCCCTAAATTCGTGGATCACGTCTACGAAGATATTATGGTTGCTTGATTTTCTCTCGTTTTGGAAATTTATGAAGCATTATCAGCCTCCTTGATTTCTTTCCTTGTGAGGCCTTCGTCACGTGCACACTGACCTTCTGAAATCTTGGGCGCGAATCCATGTCTTGGGCTTGGACCTTCGAGATTTCATCTTGACATCTGGTGGAACCTCGTGCCCAGCCCAACTTTTTGAGAAGTGCACTGCCACTTTTTAAAAAGGAAGCATTCGGCCGATTTTGCAAGGATACGCTTGGCCACTTTTGTAAGGATACGCCCGACCACTTTTGCAAAAGGAAGCACTCGACTATTTTTTTGAGAAGGTACCATGGCCTTTGAAGAAAACACCTCGGCTGCATTTTTGAGAAGGCACCATGGCTTTTGAAGAAAAGACCTCAGTCATCTTTTTGAGAAAGCACCTCGACCGCTAGGAATTCTCAGCTAGGAATTCTTCTGCTGCTAGGAATTCTCTGCCGTTAGGAATTCTCGGCCACTAGGAATTCTTTGGCTGCTAGGAATTCTCGGCCGCTAGGAATTGCGCCACTAGGAATTCTCGGCGCTAGGGAATTCTTGGCTGCTAGGAATTCCTCCTTGGCAAGTGCGGAAGCGCGTGCGGAGAGGTTAGTATATTTTTAATGATTTTAATGCAATTTTGTTTGATACAGCTACATGTAATTTAAAAAATTCCTATAATGAAGTCTTGTTTGTTATGGCCTTCTTGGCCCATCAAAATCTAAATTTAATTATTAAATAAAAAAAAAAAAAAAAAAAAAAAAAAACAAATAATCCTAACATACATGACCATATGTGAAATGTTGGATTGGAATTGGATGATCGGTTTTCATAATGGAAAAAATAATAATGAAATATGCAATATTTATCGTCAAATTTAATATAATCAAACATTTTAATAGATGTAAATATAAAATAGAAATGAAATGCTAGGGAAAATTATTTTGATTTATAATATATTAAACATAATTCCATCAAATTACTTAAAATATTCATAATTTTCTTAATGACAATTACCTAATGAGCAAATAAGCATGAAACTAACTAGATTGGATTGGATCCTCACAAGAAAATCCATCATCCGATCCAATCATGTCGGTTTCTAAACATCCAATTCAATATGCCAAATGAAACCGATAAAAATTGGATTGGATCGGTTGGTTTGAGTGGATTGGATTGGATATTGTGCTATAAATCAAAGCCCTTTTCATTAGGCTAGACCCCGTTGGCTGTTCCGCTAATAATTTATTTCTCAATTTGCTATACCATAAGAACTTTTAGGTTTGTACATAATTACTATATGAATTTAGACCTATCAATATTGTATAGGACATGTTCACATGATATGAAATCGCATGGAAAAAAAAGAAAAAAAAGGTTTTCGCGTTAACTTTAGAGATATGTGTACATGTACCATTTGAACTTTTAAATTTTGATTATTCACTACCTGGATTTTTAGGCAAGTGTATTTTAGTCCATTTATATATTATGGCTCACAAAAATGATTTCCCTCCCTACCCATACTTAATCAACCATTCAAATGCAAAAATGGGAGCCTAACAATAACCCAATTCCCTTGCAAATCAATTTCTCCCCATACTAAACCCTAAATCATTATGTAATGCAATCATCATCGAGGTCAAATAAATTAGGAGTCTACTTAAGTTATGGAATCCTAGTGGCATAATAATACTCACAGTTTGATATGAACTCAAGTTCTAGGTGTTATAAGGATTGTAATGGGAAGCAAGCACGCTTGCGCCTATATAAGTACCAAAGACAAAACCAATAGAGGTCCAAATTAATCTATGAATAATTAGTCTCCTTTTTTTTATATGTTGTTTGGCTTTTCCTCTCTTTTTTGGTTTTGCTTACTCACCAATAAATAAAAGGTAGTGGAAAAAAGAAAAAAAAAAAAAAAAAAAAAGCAAGAACAAGATGAAATAATACTTATGGCATGTGGTATGTATGTAGACAAGAAGAAACAATACTTACTCAGCATTAATATAATTATGACATGTAGAAGAAGAAAGAATAGAAATAAGATTCAGATTCAGAGAAAAGGTTTGCAAAGAAAAGTTTGAGTAGTGTAGGAGCTCTGCATGGCCATGCATCTCCAAACCCTTCCGCTGCGCAATAGTTGGATCATTGTATCATCTCTTATTTTCACATTTTGTAATACATATATTAACAAAACCACCTAACTCAGAACGGGTGAGTAATTAATTTGGAAACTCCAGCCTGGTTATTTAGTAAAGCTCCCTCCCTTCCTTTCTCTTATTTATTTTTACCAAAACTTATACCAGGGCTTCTTGCTCATGACTTCCATTGCACTCGAGCTGCTTGCTTCGCCTTTCCTCAAGCCATCGCCTGCTTCGTCTTTCCTCGAGCCACAGCCTGCTTTGCCTTTGCTGGGGGAAATTTGGGATTTTCTATAGTTAATGTCACATCTAAAAAACTAGGCACGTAATAGTGCCACGCCTTATTAACACTACGTTCACAATAGCAAGGTCTAAAATATTGAGGGTTTCGGAAATATCGGTGGTCCAAAACACGGATATATCGATAGAAAATCACCCCTGATTTTTTTAGAAAATTAAGCATCATGATGATTTAATTTAGTCAATATCCCCTCATCATCAACTTGCTCCACATTTCATCTAATTTTCCGTCAAACAAGAGTCACATGCATAACACTTGACTCTCTTGGATGGACTTGGACGCTAATAAGGCGGCTAAAAATTGAGGAACAAACTCTTGGCATCGAATATTAGCCAGGGGAAGAAAATTGCGCATTGCTTGGGACATTCTATAGGATTGAAGTTAACGTATAACGTATTCTTCAAGAGGAAACAGTTGATTGTACATCAAAACTTCTGACGTTCTGAAGTTCTGATGCCCTTGTCCAACATTGATTGGGTTGGGAACTGGTGGAGTTTGGAAATTAGGGCTTCAAACCGTATTGAGTATTTTCCTTTTTCATTTTGCCGGGCTGGGAAAGCCCACTTTGCAATGCATGACTGAGTTATTAGCAGTTTCCTTAACATGATTTATATATATATATATATTTTAATGCTTTTAATGCAATTCTATTTGATACAGTTTACATGTAATTTTAAAAACCCTAATTAACATGCATGGGCATGCGAAGGATGTGAACATGAAAGTCCGTTGTTTCTCAAAGTCCACAAGGTTGGAAGAATCCCTACTTCATGTTTTTTTTTCTTTTCTTTTTGGTCATTAAGATCCCCAGGTTAATTAGCAACAGATTAATTTCATAATATTCTTAGGTGGCACTATGAATTCCTAATATTCCTGGTATATAGATTAATTTCATACTGGCAGACAAAAGCACATCCCCAATTAATTATTTAATATTTTGTTTTTGAGCCTGTCAAAAAACACAAACAGGAACAGTGGAGAAAATAAGAATCTGTTAAACTCAAGTCACTGGCATGGTTTTACTCATGTCTGCCAACCATAATCATAAAATGTTAATACAAATTAATACAGAGGAGTTCGACAAGTAACATCAAACTCTTACAGTATACCTCCACTCATAACCACATAGGGCCAAAGAAATTCTGGAATAAATACCAAAAGCCTACTAAACCCAACCATCCATATATACTAGCAGTCTTGCAGTTGTATCTGATGTTGCCAAAGTTTTGTAACCCAACATTTGTAGATTTATATGCGCTAATTTTATTATTACAAATGTTGTGACTGATACCTTTGAGTTTGGCGAAGCCATTGTTTCCTTGACGGCCACCTTGGCCTCGGCCGGCATTGCTCCAGACATCTACGTTGTGAAAGGTGAACATCCCAACATGTGAGGCTCCATTCCTTGCTGTAATTGTATTTCTGTGAATATTGGCTTGGCTGGTGCTGCCGTCATCTTCTGTATTAGTTGTCTTCAAGTTGTATTCGATGTTGCCGAAGTTGTGAAACGCTTTCCTATCTCCATCTCCTTTAATGTTATTGCCACGAATGTTGTAACCATCACCTTTGGGTTTGGTTCCTCGACCGCCACCTTGGCCTTGGGCAGAGCTCGAGCCACCTGCTGCTTTGCCATGATCATCAATATATTTGCTGTTGCCAAAATTTTCTAACCCAACTTTTGCGGAACTATCTGCACTAATGTTATTATTATAAATGTTGTGACAAATACCTTTGGATTTGAGGCCCTTGTTTCCTTCACGTCCACCTTGACCTTGGCCGGCGTTGCTCCAGTAGACACCTACGTTGTGAAAGCTGAACATCCCAACATCTGACTCTCCATTGAGTGCGGTAATTTTATTATCACTAATATTGTATTTGATGTTGCCCAAGTTGTGACCGTCACCTTCCAGTTTCGTTCCTCCACTGGAACCTTGGCCTTCGGCAGTGTTGCTCCAGTGGACATCAGAGGTACGAGAGGCGAAGATCCCAGCATCAGCACCATTGGATTTGATGATTTCATTTCCAGGATATTTGCTGCTGCCGTCGTCTTCTTCCATATTACTGGCTGGAGCTTTGGAATGATGCTTTTTTTTTGCACGCAACATGTACACAAACAGGGTAAATTTGTATCATAATTCTTTTTCAATTCTACAAGATCAGAAACGATATACACATTTGAATTACAAACAAATTGTACAAAGCAGGAATCAGATTCAACAAGGACTCAAAGAAGTCAACTACAACTCAGCCAAAAACAAAACAGGTTGTAAGGCATACAATGCCACGTGTAATGATCCTAGTAGATAGCTAGATGTATGGCTGAGATCGTTTTGTGATGAGGGATCCAGCTAAGAGTGCTAACGGTAATATGCCTTGAGGTTATATAGATATGAAGAGAAAAAATTCCTCTGTGGTATTCTGCAGAGTAGTGAGAGAACAATCCATTCTCTCTGTATTTTCGTTTCCTTTCTTTTTCTTTCTTCATCATCTTTCTCATATACGATTTGAGATTCCATAGAAACCAGAAAACACAAGAGACACTTACATGGCCTTAGAGCCAGGTTCGATAATCTGAATCTGGGCGTTTGAACTGTGAAGAGGCATCTTGGAATTGGAAAGAGAATTCTAGGCAATATGTGGCATCACTTAATGGTGAAGGTCAAAGCAATGGTAGTCTCAGAATTAAAGGTGGTGAAAGTGAGGCTACTTCACCAACATCTCAGTCATCATCTCCACATGAAAGCAGTCATTCGACAAATGACTCAGGTTTCTTGACTACTTAAACATCATCATGAGAATCTTCAGATAACATAAGCAGAGATGAGAGAAATACTTAAGCTTATGATCCCTCACCATTGAAGTGGAGAAAACTAGATGATGTCCTTGCTCAATCTAATCTGTGTGGAGCCAGAGAAATATGTAGAGGTAGCCCAAGATGAATCTTGGTTGAAAGCAATGCAGGATGAGTTGTTCATGATTGAAAAGAATGACATGTGGGAGTTAGTAGATAGACCATTTGAGAAGCTAGTTATTAGAGTCAAGTGGGTATACAAAACCAAACTAAATCTTGATGGTTCAGTTCAAAAGAATAAAGCAAGGTTAGTTGTCAAAGGGTATGCTTAAAAACCTGGATTGGACTACGATGAGACTTATGCTCCAGTGGCTAGATTGGACACTATCAAAACTATCATTGCCTTGGCAGCATAAAAGAAATGGAAATTATACCAGCTCGATGTAAAGTCAGCATTCCTAAATGGGGTATTGCAGGAAGAGGTCTATGTAAATCAACCAGAAGGTTTTGTGATCAAAGGCAAGGAAGACAAGGTTTATAGGTTTCATAAGGCTCTTTACGAGTTGAAAAGGCCCTTAGAGCCTGGTATGGAGAAATAGATGCCTACTTCTCTCAATTTGGTTTTGAAAAGAGCTTAAGTGAAGCAACTCTATATATCAAGACAAGGGTAGACAAAGACATTCTAATTGTATCCATTTATGCGGATGACATTGTGTACACTAGCAGTAGCAAAGAAATGCTGGAAGAATTTAAAAAGGACATGATGATGAAGTATGAGATGACTGATTTGGGCCTTCTTCATCATTTCCTTGGAATGGGTGTAATTCAGACAAACTCAAGCATTTTCATTCATCAAAAGAAATATGCAAATTCCTTACTAAATAAGCTTGGTTTAAATGAGTGCAAGACTGTGACTACACCTCTTGTGGCAACTGAGAAGTTGACTAAAGATGATGGAAGTGGAGTTGCAAGTGAAGAACAATACAGAAGCATCGTGGGTAGTCTTATGTATCTCACAGCCACTAGACCTGATATTATGTATGCTTCTAGTCTTCTTGCTAGGTTCATGCATTGTCCTACTAGCAAGCACTATGGAACTGCCAAAAGAGTGCGTAGGTACATCAAGGGGACCCTGAACTATGGTTTAGCGTATGTGAGAGGCAAGAATGCAATGTTGATTGGTTTATGTGATAGTGATTGGGGAGGATCACTTGATGACAATAAAAGCACATCTAGATATGCATTCTCTTTCAGAAGTGGTGTCTTCTCTTGGGCTTTAGTCAAGCAAAACTATGTGGCACTATCTACTACAGACGCAGTGTACATAAGTGCATCTGAAGCCACTACACAAGCAATTTGGCTCAGGTTTGTCCTAGAAGATTTTGGAGAACTTCAAACTGAAGCAACTCCATTGCAGTGTGATAGCACCTCTACAATTGCAATCACCAAGAACCCTGTGTTTCATCATAAGACAAAGCACATTGATAAGAGGTATCATTTCATTAAAGATGCATTGCAGGAAGGTATTATTGATTTGGTGTATTGTCCTACAAATGAGTAGCTAGCGGACATTTTCACAAAGCCATTAGCTAAGGATCGATTCAACTACCTCAGAAATATGCTTGGGGAGTGTTAAATTATAAGTCTCTAGCTTATTAGGATTAGTTAAATAAGATTGTAAGGCATACAATGCCACGTGTAATGATCCTAGTAGATAGCTAGATGTATGGCTGAGATCGTTTTGTGATGTAAGGGATCCAGCTAAGAGTGCTAACGGTAATATGCCTTACACTATGCGTGTGAGGTTATATAGATATGAAGAGAAAAAAATTCCTTTGTGGTATTCTGCAGAGCAGTGAGAGAACAATCCATTCTCTCTGTAATTTTCGTTTCCTTTCTTTTTCTTTCTTCATCATCTTTCTCATATATGCTTTGAGATTCCATAGAAACCAGAAAACACAAGAAACACTAACAATATTTGGATTCAAAATGAACATGCCATCCTTGTTCTTTTGAAGATTATCAGACCCATCCATATGCCAAAAATTGATCACTTCAAGCAAAACCATACTTGGTTTGAGCAATTCAGAGTAGCCCGAACATGCCTATAGCTACAAACCACGTATGTAATCTAAAAAGAATCTACTCTAAAAAGAATCTGGCTGACGTTAGTATTGTTCTCTCACCCTCTCTTTAGATGCTGTGGTTCTAAATCCCCAAACCCTAAAAATTTTCAGTGACCACCGAAGCCCTAAATTTGTACAAAGTACACCGAAACCTTAAGTTTACAGTGAAAGCCATAATAAAACACAGAATAAAAATAACAAAAAAGAACAAGAAAAATCGACATATATAGGTAATAAACTCAAAAATGAAACAATTAATTAGAAGAAAATAATTGGAAAGGCATACCAACTGTGTGTAGTTTTGATTCGAGAATAACAAAGCAGAAAATGACTGTGAGGTGTTGGGTTTGAACTGAGAGAAGTTGATGACTGTGAGGTTGAATAAAGAGTGAGAGCAGATCTAGAGTAGACGATGAGATGATAGCAATAGAGGAAAAGTAGTTGATGACTGTTGGGTGGAGGTTTACTAAAGATAATAGAGGAAAAGTGGAAAGGGCAAAACAACCACAATTAATTAATGAAATTATGAATTTAAGCCTGCAAAAGTCTTGAAAGATAAAAGCGTTTTCAAGTAGTAGGCAGCGAGCCCATCACAATCATTGCTGGCAATTCTTCTCGGAAGATTATAATCTCCCATATTAAGAAAAGATCCTTGCATCTTAAATACATACACAAAACATGTTTGATGATTTGAACTGGATTAAATTATGTGGTAGAATTAGATTACATTGGATTATACTGAATTGAAGAAGGTAACACTATCATATGATGAATTTGGTACGTACTACACATGATTCAGCGGTTAGATTAATTCAAATGTACAATTACATGGCCTAGTAGAATTACATATAATCCAATCAACTCTATGGTAGAATTCATAATCTTACTACATTTAAGCCTAGTAGGATTAGGCATTATCCAATTCATATTGTTTTTAGGTCACCAAACACTTGAGTATAATTATGAATCCTATTCAACTATATAATCCAGCTCTTTAAACGTGTATAGTCATAGAAGAACGAATGTCCCAACATACTCGTATGGTCAACAAGAGCATTATTACATAAAAAAGAGGCCTACAAGCCTGGGTCATTGATGGGGATTATGTTTTAAGAAGGCTTAATCGGAGTGGCTCTGAAGTACCCTCAACCTTCATTATGGTGCCTCAGTTCAACTGAAGAAAATTCCATCAGAGTCAAATGAATGAAACTAATAAATAAATAATGAATGGCAATAACAACGGCTTTTATTTACCCACAATATATCCAACAAGAAGATGACCTACCCTGTTTCACAGATGCCCAGTTGGCTTTTAAACAAAGACCTCCTTTGTTTAATTTTTAGCCAGTCCATTGTTCATATATAAAATATAAAAATATGAACAATTTTATATTAACTTTCCATTTGATCTGTACACTTGCAACATTTTTATATTGAATGTCGTGACCACCACCTTGGCCATCTCCATGTTTTATCCTTTGTCTTCATATCTCATGTCAATCCACGATCCTAGTGACAATCCTTGTGTGATTCGTTATTTAGTGCTCTATTGATAATGGAGGTCTCTGTTTATTTAATTAGGGTCATTTTTATTATTATTATTATGTTGAATTTAGGACCTATTTCATCGTTGGAAGGAATACAACTGGACCTTAAGGTCATATTTACTAACCATGAATCGGAGTGACCTAGGGCTAATTTTTGGACAGATCAGATCGGAATAAGGGGATTCCAATTCCATTCCAAAAAATTTCGGAATGAAAATTCTTTTCCAATTATGTTCCAAAAATTTCATAATTTCAACATCCATTCAAATTCCGAACTTATATATTTCAAAATTCTTTTGGAAAATTTCAAAAAATCATTGGAAGTTTTAAACTTGTCTAATGATTTGAATAGTTAAAGTTGGCTCAAAATTAAAAAAATCATATGAAAAAGCTCAAAAAACAATTATATGATATAATTTATATGTCGTTATCCTTTATGAAATAGCTTGTCTGTCTATGTCTATTTTGGTCATTAAGTCATATCAAATTCAACATGAAACAAGTCATTATGTACAAGCTTGAACCCCTAATATCCTTCAGAATTCAGAAATGTTTGATTACTGAAATGCCCTTGAAGAAAGTATAGTTTATTTTATTTTTTCAAAACCTACTACTACAACTTTTCAAGTGGAAATAATTATTTCATTGATAATAAAAGTAAAGCCTAACCACCTTAATATTCTATAAAAATATTTTTTATACTTATATGATATGTATTAAAATAAAAATTCATTATTAAACTATTATAAGGCTGCATGGTGGGGGAAGCTGTGTGCTACAAGAAGATAAGAGTGGGTGAGGTGGTCGGCTAGTAAAATATGAGAGGGTGGGGAAGGTGGTAGAAGATGACAGAGTGGGTGAGGGTGGATCAGGTATTGCTACCCTACCATTATTAATTTATGATTTTTAAAATGTACACATTCTATAATTTGAGGAATTTTGAACTTCAGCAATGGTGATGCTCAGAAGAACCTTATTGCCTGGCATCATTGAATATATGCGTGCGATCAAGCAGTAAAATTAAGGGAATTAACTAAAGCTGAACTTGGGGAGGAGCATTAACATTAACCATCAACATAATATATAATTTATTTTCTTATCAAATTAATTTTACAACTTAAGTAAGATGGATGGAGGGGAGGCCCTAGCTAGCTACAGACCTCAGTGAGTCATCAGTTCTGCTTCGTCTTCATCAGTACTGGATGCCGAGTCAGTTTCTCCACCGGAGTCGACTAGTTTTTCTTTGCCGTGGCCTTTGTAGATGTGGGTGTTGCCAAACTCGAAAATTCCTACTCTCTCCAATTTTTTCCCCGTAATATTATTCCCAACGATGCTGAAGTCATTGCCTCTTCCGCCCTTGTCTTTTTTCTTGGGTTGGAGAGTTTTGGTGCTCACTGATGGGGATTTCGAGCTGTTGCTGTTTTGTTGGTCGGTGCTCGCCTTCGAAGGATCCTCAGAACCTTGTTTCTGATCACCAAGTGGAGGCTTCAGATATAGCCTGCCGGTAGACATTTTCACTGCCTGGGATCCTTTGTCTGGAGGTATCAATAATTGGCTGCGTTGTGCCAGAAAAAGTTACTATAGTTTCTAATCGTAAGGGAAGCCAAACAAAACTCTTTTTCTTTATATATATATAGACAATATGTGAGAAAATAATGAATCAAGCTCTCTTTCGGTTACAGTAGATACGTAAGATAAAAATTGGACAGAAATGTTTACCCAATGGGTTGGAGTTGTTAGGAGGTCAGACCGGTGGTTAGCTTAGCTGTCAGTTGTCAGCACAGTTACTTACTCATTAAGCAAAGAGAGAGAGATATATATTAGTGTTGAAATTAATGCATATTTGTAGAAAAATCTAGAAGCTTGAAGAAAGATCTATAAGCTTGAAGGGAATAAAAGATTGAAGAATGTTTCAGAAAAACCAAGAAAGCATGCAACAAGGAATTGTGGAGAAGTTTCTAGGCAAAGCCACATACATGTGGCTGGAGCAAATGCTCAAGTCGGTGGACAAGGGCTAAGTCGGCAAAGATGCCTATAAATAGGCATGCAAACAACAAAGAAAAGATGGAGTCTAACAAAGAACTCCCAAACCATTAGGGAGCCAAGGGCTACCTAATGCTAACTATGTTGAGAGCCAATAAGCTCATTAATCAAAGTGCAAGGGCCAAATAGCCCAAACTAATCTAAACCAAGTGTTGTGGCCAATAAGCCAATATGCTAAGTGAAGAAGGCCAATTAGCCTTACACTAAGCCATGTACTATTCACCTCCTCAATTAATAAAATCACTTTTTTCCCCCTTTCAATTCTAACAATTAGCCTCTTGGCATATGCGTTAGCTTTCTTGTATATTTTATATTTTCTTTTTAGAATTAAGAAAAGATAACATGGGTAGTTACGTTCCATAAAAGTAGGAACTATTATCTGATTTTGTTTTTAATATGAAAAAATGTGAATTTACCATATTATCCTCATTTAATTAATAATTTCAATTCTTAATGTTTGAATTAACCAATGGCATTTTCTGGTATTTTAAATGTTTCACCATTCTCTACCTTTTGCTTTATGTATATAGATATATATATATGTGTGTGTGTGTGTGTGTACATTGTATTGTTAAATAGTTAGTCATAAATATATACTAAAACATCATTCCGCTTCTCCTTTATTCTTTAGAAACTTCTAGCAAACTCTCTTCTTTCTTTGTCTTCATTACCACGGTTAGCATGGTATCAGAGCCCTTCGTGGTTTTGAGGATCTGATTTCTCACTTCCGCTACACTATTTTTCCCTCTTATTTATGCAATTTATGCAATTTCTGCAATTTCTTCGATTATGCAATTTCTTCACTTTTGTTGATTCTACAATTGATTTCTTCGCTTTCTTCAATTTCTTCGATTCCTCAATTTTCTTCGATTATGCAATTTCTCTTGCTTATGCAAATTCCTCTATTTCTTCGATTCGGCAATTGATTTCTTCAATTTCTTCGATTTCTTCGTTTTTGCAATTTCTTCGAGTTCTTTGATTTCTTTGATTCCTCTCTCTCTCTCTCTCTCTCTCTCTCTCTCTCTCTCTCTCTCTCTCTCTCTCTCTCTCTCTCTCTCTCACGCTTTCATGGCCACTTCACATCTTAAGATTGACGGTATTCTCGGCCTTATCATGATGCGGTTGAAAGATGATAACTTCTTGAAGTGGCGCTATCAATTCGAGCTTGTTCTGGAAGGCTACGATCTCTTTGGTCATTTTGATGGCTTGAGCATTGCACCGCTGAAATTCACAATCTTGGATGAGGAAGTTGTTACCTCTGTGCTCACTGCAGCCTACAGGGCCTGGGTGAAGATCGTCAAAGCACTTCTCAGCTTGTTGATCACCACGCTATCTAATGATGCGATCAAATTTGTCATCAGTTGCAAGAAGACACATGAAGCACGGATGAATTCAAAGGATCAATATGCCATGGTCTCTTGTGCTCGTATAAATCATCTCAAAACCGAGCTTCAGACTGCACAGAAAGGCTCTGATTCAATTGAGAATTTCTTGCTTCGCCTCAAACACATTCGCGATCACCTTGCTATTGCTGGTGTTTCTGTGTCCGACGATGATATGATGATTGTTGTTACACCCCGACTCCAAATTTAATTCCTATTTTAATTTATTTAAGTGAAATTACGAATTTACCCTTGTGGTAGGGGTATTTTGGTCATTTTCTTATTCGAAAAGAGTTTGGGGCAGTGACTAGTATTTTTGGGTAGGTCGTGTCGAGACGAATCCGTAGACATATGGTAGGCTTGAATCGGAGTTGTAACGAAGATTTGGCGATCAAAATAAGTTCGGTGGCAAAACCGTAATTATTTCAAAAAGGGTTAGAGTGAAAATCTGATTTTTCACTCTCTCTCTCTCTCTCTCTCCCCCGAGTCACCATCTGCGCACAAACCCCCTGTTACTGTTCACTGAGACGGAAACCACTGCACCGCTGCCACGTCCGGCTACCCCTTCCGACGAGACCGGTCCCGATCGACTCCTCTCGAAGCCCCGAACCCAAACCACCCAGTTTCCCGCCGGAAACCTTGAATCCTGACCACAATATCGATTGGTTCAAACCGGATTTTTCCCTACGTTGCGCCGCCATCTCCGCCGTCCATTTCTTGTGAAAAAGGTGGGGTTTCTCCCTCTTTTTATATGTTCTAGTTGTTTATGGGGTTTTTCCGTCGCTGGAAATTACTCTACACACCCACGCTTGTGGTGGCGCGTGGACAAGGGTGGTGAAGCTACATTTTGTCTTGATGAGATCATCAGGTTGTCACAAGTGCGTAGGATTTCGCGGATCTCAATTCGAACGTCGTTTGACTATCGAACGGATTTCGCATATTGTGCGTTATCCGGGTTTGATAGGTTCTGACCTTTGAATCGTTTTCAAATTAAAGTATGTTGATCTAGGTACTCTTAGAATTGTGTAGGATTTCGCGGATTGTGAATCGGAGCCCCGGATGTTCCGATTCAATAATTCCAAGTTTGTGGGTTAGCGACAATCGTACATTTGTGAGCAATTCCTAAACCTGTAACCAAACCTTAGGATATCCCGTTCTACGTACACGCATCGGGAACTTGGGGATTTAAGTATTTAATTTGTGTTTTCCGTTTCGAAGTGCTTTTATATTAATTAAGGGTTTGTACCTCGAAATAGGTGCTCCGGTTGACTGTACACAGCAGGCGGGACCTTCTCGGGGTTGGGCAGCTTGGGACTATCTGTGAGTGGACCTTGTTTTCAATCATACGCATGGTTTTATTGACGAAAGATTTATGCATATGTTTTAAATGGTTTATGGGATATATATATTTTCGATTGTTGAATTTGATGTTTTTATAAGTTTGGCTATATATTTTGGGTTTTGACATAGTTGAGTATTGAGAGTATGTATGTTTGGATTTTGGGAAATACTATCTATAGTATATATATATATATATATATGGTTTATGTGTGGAATATGTGAGTTGTTGAGGTGAGATTGTGAAAAGATTGAGTACGAGGGGTTGTTGAGAGAAAATGTATGATTACACTATGTGAGTACCATCCCCTTGTTACTAGACTTCCCACATGTGGCGTTGGTAGTTTCGGCATGTGGAAAGAACATGTGATTATTGATCTCACACGTGGCGTTGGTAGTTCCGGCGTGTGAGACACTTCCCATACATGGCGTTGGTAGTTTCAGCGTATGGGAAGAGTATGTATATTGCTTGGAATCATCACACATGGCGTTGGTAGTTCCAGTGTGTGATGATGTAGTCTGCGCTCATAGGACTTGGTACTTAGTATGTGAGCTACACATGGCGTTGGGTTCAATGGATTTCTTGTTTTTGAGCATTTGTTTATGAGTATGAAACTGCATTGTCTTGAACATTATTTTTACATGGTGGGGTTATTATGTTGTTTTAAATGTAGACCTTGTTTTGTCCACTCACATCTTTTCTGTTTTGCGCCCCCCAGACAGTAGTCGCTCTAGAAAGCGTGCAAGTGGTGTACGAGGCTCGAACTGTGAACTTCCCTAGTTAGGATCTGAGTAATTTCTTTCTACTCAACTGTTGTTGTAAACTAAATCTGTTAGATGCTCTGTTATTGCCCATGTTAGGTTGTTACTTGAGGCCGGAGGCCATTTTAGTTTGTATTGTTGTTTGTTGAAAGCATGCTGCTGGTTGGGATGATATTATGTATATTATGCAGGTTGAATTTTTTGTTGGGTTTGTGCATTTTACAGGGGAGACTCTACCAAAATTTTGGTAGAATGTCTCAGTTTTTAGTAAGTGGGCCCGGCATCGGGGTGATGTCGGTAACAAGACGGGATTCGCCTCGGTTTTCGAGGAAATCCGGGGCGGGTCTTGTCAATTGTAGCCTTGAATTAACTTTCTTCTGAGTATGATATGATCAAGATAGTCCTGGTTGCTCGTGACATTTCGCTTTCCTTCAAAGATTTTCACAATTAATTGCTTGCAGCTGAAGAAGCTGCTGAGGCACTCGTGCTTTCTTCTCATGCACCAATGGTTGGTATGCTAAGTCAATCCTCTCCCTCTGTTTCTTCCCATGCCTTCTCTGGTTCTAGTCATGGTGATGGTCTTCTTCCAACCTCAAATGCCTTATACTGGATATATATGAGTTTGCAGCCCTTTGGTCGATCTTCTTCTCATGCTTTTGGTGGTCGAGGCAAATTCTCTAGTTCTAAACCTTTTGGTTGTGGTTTCCTAAGTCTAGTGATGGTGTTGTTCCTGAGTGTCAAATCTGCAGCAAGCAAGGTCACACCACTATCAATTGCTATTTTCGCAATTCCAATAACTCTTCTCAATGGTCTTCTTCCACAATTGAATGTCAGATTTGTGGCAAAAAGGGCCATGGGGCTCTAAATTGTTTCCTTCGCTCCAACTATGTTTATCAAGGTTCTCCACCACATGCCTCCCTCATTTCCATGGCAGCTCAAACTTCTTTCTTTCTTGATGCAGTCTGGATTGCAAACAGTGGGGCAAGTCATCACATGGTGCCTCATATGACAACAACGGATTCTGCTTCACCTTGAACCTCTTCAAATCAAGTCAAAGTGGGAAATATAAGGTTTTTGAAGGAAAATCAATATTTCAGAGGAGTTTTAGTGCAAGGCAAATTGGAGAAGAAAGCTAAGACATTGAAGATCATAGTATCAAATTTTCATAATTTTCTACGAAGCCAATTAGTCCAGAACTGCAAGTCAAAACAGCAAAAACTGCACTCCCATCAAAACTGTGCTGCTATGGGAGATTGAACATTTGAAGACCTTCCCAATTTTTCTAAGTGACGTGTAATATATCCCTATAAATCTTAGAGACAAATCTACATTTTCCATATTTTTCCAAATATTTCTAGGAAGTGGAACGACCACAAAGATTTCGTGCAAGTCAATTGATATGTCTCCCAGTCAAAGAAGGATTATTTCCTAGTTTGTTTCCTTAATTTTTTATGGTTTTGATTTTGTTTTAAGAGAGTTTTTCCAAACCTTTTGAGATTAGGGTTTAGTTCTTTTTCACTATATAAGGTTGCCCTAGGTCTCTAGAGAAGGGGTGGAGATTAAAAGAGAAGAATATAGCTTTGGGCACGCCACCATGTTCTGCTTATTATTTTATTTTATGTCTTTTCTTATTTTTATAACTATGTGTAACTAAATTTGTTTCTAAGGTTTATGATGAAGCCATGACATGATTATTTGTGAAGTACTTCGTTGGTTTCTATTCAATTTCAATTATATGCCATGTTAAATTCTTAATCTTTGTGTGAAATTTATTCTAGATTTGAAATCATATTGCTTGATTACCACTAGGAACTTTGCATCTAGATAATTGGATAAATCTAGGAGAGAAATGTCATCCACTAGGTTTATTGGAACTAAGATTAAGAAGAGTAGATAGCTAGGAGAGAAACATCATCCATAAGTCCTAATTGATTGATTGAATTATTCTAATCTTAATAGGTTCTTATATGTTAAATTTTAACCCCTTGACAGGGTAGAGTTGCATATTGGGATACACGATTTATGACCTTGACAGGCTTACTTCATACTTTAGAAAGAACAACCTTTAACATTGGCATCATAATTGGATAGTAATTGGCTCTAAGAAAAGGAAATTTTCATTGGTGGATTCATAACCTTAGATCTTCATAATTTGATTTCTTTTAAACTCTATCTTTGTTGAGTGTTTTATTTTTCTTTCTTTTAATTCTTGCAATTTAAGCTTTCTTTAATTTATCACTCAAATCAATCAATCGTTCGTTTAATTGGGTTTAGTGCGATTTAATTAATTAAGTTGTTTTTATCAGTCCTTGTGGGTTAGACCTTGTACTTGCATATCTCTACACAACTAGATAAGTTCCCATAGGCAGGAAAATCATTAATTGTCCACAGTAATACACCTCTTAGTGTAAAGTATTCTCCTATGTGTGCATGACACACTCCTCTAATCTCATCCCATAGATTTAAATCATCAACCAAAGGCTCTTAGTAGACATCTATATCATTTTCAGGTTATTTAGGACCGGAAATCAATAAGGTCAACATCATGAACTTTCGTTTAATGCATAACCATGGTGGGAGATTATATGTAACTAAGATAACTGGCCAACAATTGTACCTGCTACTTAAAGAACTGTGAGGATTGAATCCATCAGATGAGAGAGCAAATTGCAAGTTTCTCGGCTCTTTACTAGACTCGGGCCATTTATCATCAACAAGTTTCCAATATGGGGAATCCATTGGATGAGACATGTGACCGTCAATTGTTTTTCAATCAACATGCCAAGTCAAATTCTTAGCTACCTTACGTGATTGAAACATCTTTTTAAACCTTCGAATTGGTAGAAAATATCACACCACCTTCGATGGCACACCCTCTTTCAAGATTGAATTTTGCCTTCCTTTCACCTTGAGATATCACAAGTAAGACAAGTAGTTGAATCTTCATAATCCTTCAAAGGACCGCGTTTTTGAAAGATGACGGAAAGGATAACAAAAATGTCTTTTAATATCACGATGGAGACGACGGTTATTCATGTATAGCACCGTTGTAAAGGTATACTACGTTGGTCGGTTACAGGAAACTCCATAGAAGACTGTTCATGGCACTCAAGATTAAATCAACGTCTTAAAAATTACATAATTAGATGGGCTTTGGTTTTCCTGGGATTCGAACGCGCGTTACCAGGGGCGTAATTGACCAAAAATAGTTAAGAGGAAATTGGTGTCGTTTCAATACACCTTAAACCCTAAACCCTAAATTTTACAAAAATTATAAAACAAAAATACACAAGTATGAGAAAAAAATAAATAAATAAAAACCCCAAAAATTGATATGGGCTCCTTACAACAATGTCTTCTATATTAGCAGGCTAAAATCAGGATTTCATATATTTGTATTTATGGTCACCAATGGATCACATAAACCTTAGGGTTATGTTATGAAAGTATATAGTACTATTGTGCTTTGTCTACAAACAATTTTGACTTTTTTTATCATTTGTAATTTTTATAACTAAAAATTACATTTTTCAAAGCTTTAAGGGGAAGACAATCTCTCAATGAGTACATAGTAGTTGTCGGTTTATTTGATTTTTTTTTTCAATTTATTATGAATATTAGGAATTAAATACAATAAAAAAATCTTATTAAAATGACATTTTTCAAAGCTTTAGGGGGAAGTCGATCTCTCAATGAGTGCATAGTAGTTGTTGGTTTATTTTTCAGATTTTTTAAAATTTATTATGAATATTAGGAATTAAATACAATAAAAAAGTCTCATTAATGGGAAATGACACATGCCAGGTGCTCATAGCTTACTCCAGCATTTCTGACGCATGTCGTGACAAGAGATTCAGAGACCGAGATGGCTGCATGCGATATTGAGAGATAACCACCGTTGTATGCCTTTACAATGGCGTTACATATATACCAAAGCTGTCCTAGACTCTTTGGACGTCGTCAACTGTGTGAGAACCGATGTTGTTTATGATTACAACATCGCTTTTTATGAAACCGTCATCGTCTTAAATCCTTAAAACGTGTAAGTGTTAAATTACCGACGTTGTTTGTAGTTACAACGTCCATTTCTAAGTATTTCTCGATGTGGTAGTCATCTAAGACGGTTTATAAGAGGGTAAATATCGATGTTGTTTAGGGTTACAACGTCAATTTTTATAAATTTACCATCGCTGTAGTCATTTAAGATGTCCATATGTGGGTAGGTACTGTCGTTGTTTATAGGTACAACATTTTTTAGTATTTTTAAACTGGATTATTGCTTTCCTTAAAAATATGTGGTAGACGTATTTATATATAAACCATCGGGTTTTTAATAACTACATGTCATTTTGTTGATTTGAAATCGATTTTTTTTTTCAACTGTCATAAGACGACAATGTTTTAAATAATTTTGTCATTTTCACTGCCATGAGACGTCGGTTTAGGGGCAATACTATACTATCATGTTCAAAGGTTAGTCAGTCATATACACATAAATCTCCTCAGTCATTGATTGTTCAACTAAAAAAAAAAAAAAAAAAAAAAAAAAAAAAAAAATTGTACATTGTAACATTGTTCACTAATTATTGTCTATTTGGAGGCTCACAAATTATGCTCATTCCTTCCTAACTTCATCAATGTCTACTTGGGCATGCTCAGCGGGTTCTTTTTTCTCCTCAAACTGCAAAAAATAAACAATGACAAAAACTGATGTGTTATAGCAATACAAACAACGGTTATTAATAAACCGTCATTTTATGAAAATACAAACTAAGGTTTTTCCAATTACAGTAGTCGTAGTTTACAAAAAAATAAAAAAATAAAAAATAAATTAAATTAAATCTTAAATTTAGTTTTTTACTTTCTTCTCAAATGCTAGGGTGGGATCCTTGATCATATCTCTCATAAAACGCATGACGTAGTAGCCACACTCTACATTGGTTGGTTGGCGAGGAATCCCTTGTAGATTTTTTCAAATGGCTGATTTCCGAGATCATTTGCCCAAGTGTGTGTTATATATTTTGATTGCATTGTTTCAAGACAACAAGGTGTTAATTAAAAATATTTTAACCTACGTACACACATTACAATGTAGTAAATCAACTTACATATTCACTATATTTTTGCATTCCTCGTCAATCGTGTGGTTTGATAATGAATCCATATAATATACCATCTCCTTTTCTAGTCTCACAATGATCAACACCCAATGACCCTACACAAAATGAGGAGAGGTTAAATAGTTTAGAGCTGCTGCCTAATTACAGAGAAAATCTTGTTAAGGGACTAACCCTAGATTATAAGGCACCAAGAAAATTTGTTCCCCATCTGCCTTTTCCAATCGATTTGCTAGATGCCGTGATCTTTGAGATAACAATCTAGATTGAGCGCTAATTGTGCAAGGTTGACAAGGCCAACAAGGTTTACCATATTTGCCATTTTTAAAAGGTCAAATAGGTAACTAAATATATGAAATCAAATGATTTTTTAAAATTTTAAAGAAAGAGAATTGTAAAATGAAAATTGGATTTTTAGGTTTACCTCATGTATACTGCAATCACAATGGCTCCTATCGCAACCATGGATGCAAGCTGAAAAATATCTTCATGCAAGATGAAGGTATCACGCTCAAACCCAAACACTTTCTCTGCCATTGTAATTCTCAAGGTTTGGCCCAAAGCCGTCAATGTCATCTCAACATATTGGCAAAGGTCTAACAAAGGAAGTGGCAAGTCTAGCTTTGAGAAATCTTGTTTCAAGAAATAAAGAAAGATATATAAGATGGCTTGCACAAAAGTAAAATAAACGACAGTAATTAAACCATCCAAACCGTCATGGTATTTAAATCCAAATAATGGTTCCTTGAAAAAATCGATGTAGTAAAGAATGGAGATGATGGTAAATAAAAAACAGTCGTTATGTACGAGTTCTAACATCGCAATGCAAAAAACAGTCGTCTAAATAAAATGCAAAATGCAGTGAAGATAGCTTGTAAGACAAGTAAAACAAAACTGTCATCTAACTCAACCATCAAAAGCAACGTGGTATTTCACTCACAACGACGGTTCTATGACAAAACCAACGTGTTATGAAATTTCAAACGGCAGTGAATATGTATCGTCGTTGTTTGACATTTCTAACGTCGGAGGCAAAAAATTGTGACATCTATTTAAAATTTAAAAAGCAAAAAAATGCAAATTTAAGAGAATTTACTGTTTCATCTTGCTATTCTTCAGCGACATCAAGCTTAGGATTTTCTTCCTCCAAAACAATGGATCTCACATTCATGGCATCTGAGCATCTTGCTTTGTTAGACATTGGATTTTTGGGACTTTGCTTTTGAGGCAGTATAGGAATTTGGGTAATTGGATGTTTGAGCATGCTGGGATCAAAATTGGGAATTAGTTGGTTGAATTGTATCAACATATATTACCTCTTAGCCTATAGCAATTCCTTGGTTCTAGCCTCCATCCTCAAGCTCTCTTCTCTGACAGCCTCCAGAACACTTTCCTTCAATTTGTCAGCAAATTTTATTCTGTGTTGTTTCAGCAAATTGAAGTATTGACTTGGGGAAACCTCAGCTCCTAAACCTCTGACTCTCCCACCATGCTTGGGGGTTCCGAAAGCCAAAGTCAATACATCATTACTCCTAGAGACAGTTAGAGTGCCATTGGAGACTTTTTTTTTAATTCATCCTAAGAGAGAGAGAGAGAGAGAGAGAGAGAGGAGAGAGAGAGAGGAGAGAGAGAGAGAGAGAGAGAGAGAGAGAGAGGAGAGAGAGAGAGAGGAGAGAGAGAGAGAGAGAGAAGATATATTGTAAAACAGATAAAATAAAACAACTCTCTCAAAAATATAAACCGTCACGGTATTTCACTCAAGATGATGGTTTCTTGCAAAACTAATGTAGTATGAAATTTCAAATGGCGGTAAATTAATACCGTTGTTGTGTTGAAATTATAACGTCAGTAGGCGAAAAAACCATCGTATAATTCAAATGCATAGATTAAAAAAGTTCACAAAAAATCAGCATTCTTTATCTGAAATAGAGTTAAAACCAACTGCATATATATATATATATAGAGAGAGAGAGAGAGAGAGAGAGAGAGAGAGAGAGAGTAAATTAAGATAACTTTTAAAACAGATAAAATAAAAACGACCCTAAATCAAATATCTAAACCGTCGTGGTATTTCACTGAAGACGATGTTTTCATGAGAAATTGACGCAGTATGAAATTTCAAACGGCGGTAAACTAATACTGTCGTTATGTAGGAATTCTAACGTCAATAGGCGATAAAATTGTTGTATAATTCAAATTCAGAGATTTAAAAAGTTCACAGAAAATAAGCATTCTTTACCAGAAATATAGTAAAAACCAATTGCAGAGAGAGAGAGAGAGAGTAAATAAAGATAGCTTGTAAAACTTTTAAAATAAAACGACTAACTCAAAAATATAACCTGTCGTGGTAATTCAATCCAAACGTCAATTTCTTGAAAAAAACCGACGTACTATGTATTTTCAAACAAAGATAAATAAAAAACGTCATTGTGTGTCATTTCTAACGACGTTTAGAAAAACAAATGGCATCAAATGAAATTAAAATTCTATGCTTTTCAAATTTAAAACAGAGTGAGTGAGGCTTATGATTAATTTTGCTTTCATTGCAACCTTTGGATTGGGGATGTTTTCCTGTTTATCTTTACTACCCTTCCTCCATAATAGAGAACGATCAATTTCTTCATTGGGCATGTTTTCTTCCAATTGGTCCTCCAAATCAACATACCCTTTTTGAGACAACCTATGGTTGTACTCACATTTTTCCCTTCTCTGTGATTGTTCAGTATGCACAGCTAGAAATTCTGGGGATAACCTTGACACTACAAAGGCATCCCAATCCGATTTCTCTATGAATTTATATAGCTGAGGGCGGTTCTTTTAACTTGGCATTGTCATTTGTTAAGGTAGACTTGAAATCCTTCCATTTCTTGGCGGCAAACGATAGCACCATCTTCTTGCTCCATTGCCCAACAACATAAGCCATTTGAACAACTTCCCAAATCAGTCCATTTCTTGTCCACAAGAGGGACTCTGGTGCGTGCCAAAACACCAATATACGATTGCATCTCAACAACAGCCTTGCCATGTGGTCTGCCTCTTTTATTGTACTCAACTACGGGTTTAATCTTTTGGATTTTCCTCTTCACAACACGGCTCATTGTGTTCATACCACGTGTTGACTTTGGCTCCTCATCAAATGTCGTTGAGCTATTAGGGTCTTTCTCGGCAGTTGAAGTAAATCTCATCTTCTTTGACGTTTTTCTTTGAACTGCTTTGTCTTCATTCATTTGAGCCTTTAAAACTGCAAGGTCCTTGCTTTGAGCTTTTGATACTTGAGCCTCCTTACTTTGAGATTTAGAAACCATGTTTAGATAGAAATATAACCTGCAAGTGAAAAAAATGATGGTTATTTAAAAAACACGACGTAATATTAGATTTTAGACATCGGTAGATAACAACTACCATCGTCCTATTTCTTTTCTCACGACCATAGTTAACCACCGTCGTGGTGTGATAAATAAAACGACGTAAACAAGAAAAAATAGTCGTCTTATTAAGAGTAAATACATAAGAAGAAAAAAAGGGTCAAATCTCTCTCTCCCACGATTGTTTTTGTGTTTTACTCGTAACAAGACGACGGTTTTGTCTTGTTCATGTCATTCTAATTTTCACACCATGACGGGGAGTAATTATCGTCGTTCTATTTGCAATAGCATGGAGTTAATTATCGTAGAAAGCCGAAAGGTACTACATGTAAGACTGCAAGCTTGTTCATATATCATACTCCGGTCCTCATCTCACCTGCATAAAGTACCCTAAAAACTTTGAGGTGCTCAGCAAGATCCACGATGACGAGTGCAGCAACCACTCCGGGGACAGGTCACTCATCAGGCTCTCAGTATAGGCTACTTCTGGCCTACCATGCACCACGATGCTACGAAGTATGTCAAAAGATGTGATTGATGCCAACGGTACAAGGTACAAGCTGATCCAAGTCTACCTACCGAAATGTACCATTAACAAAATAGCCCATGGCTATTCATGCAATAGGCCATCGACCTAGTAAGTCCTATGTCGCCGGCTCCTGCCAACAAGAAGATGACGGTTGTGGCCACCAACTACTTTAGTAAATCGATCGAGGCCGAAGCTCTATCCTCTACTAAAGAAGCCGACGTTGAGCGATTCATCTTAAAGAACATCAGCTACCGGTTTCACTGCCCACAGTCACTAGTCACTAATAATGGATCATAATTCATTGGCAAGCATATCACTAAATTATTTTTGCAAATATTGAAAGGTGCTAAGGGAAAATGGGTAGATGAGCTTCCCGGAATCCTATGGGCTTATCACACTAAGATGGGCAACAATGATTAGAATTCCAAGCATCAGAAGACCAACCTTGACATGCTCAATGAAGAATGGAAATAGGCCATCGTTCGAGTTGCGACTTATCAGCAGCAATTGATGTCCTACTAGAGCATCTTAATTCCTAATAGATGACTGAGTCCACTATACTTCTGTTCAAAGAAAGTTCAATTTTTCATTCAATGAAGTGTTTAAGAAAAATAACCCTCGACAAAAGAAGACACCCTTCAAGTAAGGGTGGGTAAAAATAACCCTTGGCAACGGAAGACACCATTTACGTAAGCGGTGGGCAAACATCCACAGCATCCTCCGGGAGACTTAGGCCAACCAGGCCATCGTCTATAAGAAGCGTCCTAAGGTAGACGCATGGAGACTGCCATAAAGCGTCCTAAGAGAGACACATGCTTTTATCTCAAAACGTCCTAAGACAGACACAGTCCAAAAAGCGTCCTAAGGGAAATGCATGATGACTGCCATAAGCGTCCTAAAGGATACGCATGCTTCTTTTTAAAAGCATCTTATAGGATACACAATCCAAAAGGCATCCTAAGGAAGACGTAGTACAACCGCCATAAGCGTCTTAAGGAAGATGCAGGCTTTTGTTTAAGAGAGTCCTAAGGGTGACGCATGACAACTAAAAAAGTGTCTTAAGGGAAACACAATCTAAAAAGCGTCTTAAGGGAGACGCAAGACGACTGCCATAATCGTCCCACGGGAGACACAAGCATCTGCCCAAAAAGTCCTAAGGGAGACATAGGACAACATTCAAAGCATCATAAGGGAAAAGCAAAAGAAGACCCCTTAGGTAGGTGGTGGGTAAATATTCAAGCAGAACACTCAAGCGATCCACAAGATACAATGCAAATTGAAATTAAAGAAATAATTGAAGTTCTCATAGCAGAAGTGACAGACTGGTCAAAGTTCAACAAAGAACTTGCGACCAATAGGTCCAGAAGTTCAAATATATTAGTGAGTAGTCGACATGTCCAAGTTCAGCAGATCAAATGAAGTGGTCAACCGGGACCAACGCTTAAAGCTACAAAACTATAAAGAAGAAAAAATCTTCACCTACTTTGAAACTTCAACAGGAGACATCCCCTTATTGATGTCCTCCTCAACTCTAGTCTCATCAGCAGCATTTCTCTTTGGCTCCTGTCTCATTGACCACCTGCTCATCAGATGCAGCCACTTGCTCATCAGCTGCAGCCACATGCTCATCCGCTTTGGTTACCTTCTCATCAGCTTTGGCTACTGGCTCCACATCATTAGCCTCTGTCTTATCAGCTGCACCCTCTTTGGCATCATCCCCCTTAATTGGAGGCTCATCAGCCAATGTCTCACTAACTACATGCTCTTCAGCCATATCTGTGTTCGTGACAGTATCTTGCTCACCTCAAGCAGAAGACTTATTCGAAAAACACTAATAGGGAACATGTTTCCTTTTTCCCGAGGCGCCAATTGATGACTCATTCCATTCATCGAGCTGATCATCTGAGTCGAGACCATAATGTATCCATTTCTCAACATCACCAGCTGGGGGCAGACCACCTTCCTGCTTTCATGGCCTAGCAAACTTTGACAATGTCCAATTTGAGATCTAGCCTTTTACTGATCTCTTCCAACTGCAAGCAGAAGACAGAAGTCAGTTGGTCACAAGAATTCACATATAACAAAGCTTTAGATATGTGAGTAAAGTATATCAACAGTTCGAGACATACCATAAAAATAAAAAAAAACATTGCGCCAGTCAACTAGCTCAATAGTTACCTGGTCCAAGATGACCTAAAACGCAGCATAGTTTCTCGGCCTATCCCATGATTGGCCCCTACACCAAGAGTTAATCAAAAGCCTCCTCTAGTCAGGAGCCCAAGTCGCGAAAGGAAGCCCAGATGCAGTTGGACAACCCAATAAATATTTCTCACCTCCTCCATGCCATGCAGAAGCTGGAGGCATTTGTGGGAGCAAATATCTTGGTGATCCAATCGCAAGGCTCCACGTGGATAAGAAGAATATCTCCTAGGTCAATAATCGGCCCCATTTATTTGGGGGATTATTTAGGCCAAAATTTGGATAATTATCATCAATTAGGGATTTGATTCAAATTGAAATCCCTAATTAACTCAATCTCTCCATTTAAGGGAAAGAATATTTTCCTTCCAAATAGGAAAATATTATTTGCAAATACCCTAGCACACAAGGAGCCTATAAATACATGGCTACACCAAACATTCAAGGTAATTCTAAAACCCAAGCCAAAGCTTCTTTCTCTCACGCCACTCTTGGCTCTCTCTCCCTCACGGCTCTGGCCACTCGGCTCTCCTCGTGAGAGAAGACCTCCACCCGCTTTAGCTATTGTCGTATCTTTATTGAGATCCAATCGAACTAACTTAGGCATCGGAGGGCCTTTGGCCAACACCCCCTCATGTGTGGTAGATTTACTCCAGTCTTTTTTGCAGGGATCGAGAAAGAGAGAAAAGGAAGCTCGAAAGGCAAAGAATTACACGTGAATATTCCCCGTGCGGAAATTTGTACAAACAGCCAGAACCACAAGATCATAGCGTGTCTTACTAGGAAAAGCAATTTGGTACGACGGTTGGCTTAGTTCTGTGGGGTGAGGCCGAAGAGGACTTGATAAATAAAGAAAATGTTCATGAGAATTGGGAAAATCCTTGGGAGCCTGCTCATCGGAGCAAAGCTGCATCCATGGGAGGAGGATGGGGCAACAGCACTTGGAAAAAGTGGTATGATAATTGCTTAAGTGATCAATGGAAGAATGGTTCAAAGAAGAAGTCTGATGTAAATGGCAGGGAGAAATATTATAATGGCCGTTGGAATATTATCAGAAAGCAGGAGGGTGGTGGAGGAAGGAGGAACATAGTTCACGCTGGTAATGAAAACCTGGCTTGATGAGGCAGTGCAACTTAGAAATTATGTAATGTCAGCAAATCTTAAGACTCCAATGGAGAAACCGTGTTGTTGTAGCATCAGCAAATTACTCACAAAGCTTTATTAGTTTTGTACAAGAAAATTGATCATTTACTATATTATACAATATCATTTAGGTTGACTCTTTCGTGTGTTATGTTTGTGTTTTTGGTTTTTCTATATAAGAATATGAGCAGTTGATACATAAATCTCTTTCCTGATTGGGCCTAAGTTTGATATATTATTATTCCGTTCCATTCTAATAAAGTCTAAGCTGAAATTAATTTAACGAACATGTTATGTAGTAATTGGCCTTAAAATGGAATTTAACGAACATGTTACGTAACAACTCTGATCTTGTTGATAATAACTGTTTGATTGCCTCTCATTTCATTTGTGTAAAATGTATGAACTTTGATATTAGCATTTACCTGTTAAAACATATCTTTTCTATGATAACTGCATTCTATCGCAGGAAATCACATTCTTAGAATCTTGCACCGAAGATCATACAAAGTCAAATCTTTTTATGGACCAAGTTGAGTTTGAGCCCGCTCAGCATTGGAGTGCAAACATTCTAAAAGCTGACGAACACCATTCCGACAAGAATTCTCAAACATGGTTATGGATTATGATACTAATTATTTTGGAATTTTGGTTCTTCCTTCTTCATATTCTTTTTTCCTGTTTTGTTTCTTTTGAGTTTTTATAAGTCTAAAACTGGTGTTATCACTCCTTTGAACTTTTGATGGCAGCGAGACATTTTAAGCCACCAATTCTCATCAAATCTGACGGTGGAATTCATAACTATCTTCTTGGCATATCTTTTGCAGACCAAGGTTGTTATTTATGGTCTTCAAACAGTGGTAATGCTTTAAGTTATTCAAATATTGCTTTAAGTGATGACATCTTATGTTGTCTCAAAATACATATGCCATTCACATTTTAGATAGTATCATTAGTCATAGATGCTCCTAGTGAAAAAATATAATCTCGGGTCAAGTAAGCATTTCTTATTGGGTTTATTTGGGTGATTTTCTGTGCACTTTCAGATCAGCTCAGATGGATTATATAGGTTTACTTGATGAAAGAAACAGTTAGAAACCATGAATTACACATTTGAACAAATTGTGAATTCCTATATATATGTCAGCATCTCAATTGCTTATCTAATTGATTTATGAATTTAAATTCATGCACAGGTTTTGCCGAGGGTTTAGGCGTTTGGTTCCACAGATTTCCGTCTGGTACGGAGAATACTTACACCAGCACATAATGGATTCAGGTTAAACTTTTGTTGTTGAAGTAATCATCACAATGGAGATGATGATTCATAATGATAATTTCAATATAGAGATGTCAGTACATGTATTGTTGTACTCAGATTAGTTTTCTAAGTTCAGCGACCTAAACTGGTCATCTCCATTCGCAGCATGAATTTAGACCTTTTGCCTAAACTCTCACTTTATTTCTGTTAGAGTTTTCAGATAAAGAGAGCGAGAGCTTGAGAAAGAAGCAAAAAGATTTCTCATTATCAATCACACACTCACTGTGCATATGTAAAACCGTTGAGAATAGCATATTCCCTCATTACATCATTTAGATCTAGCCATCTATTCATCTACCCTATAAGATAGTGACATGTGGCATAACCTATAGCTTACTCTAAGATTATATCTTAGCTGCACACCTGGACTGTAATCCAAGGGCTGACATTTAAACTAAAATCAAACCTTATTATTTCAGCATAGATACTTATAAACTAACACTCCCTTCTAAGTGTTGTGCTGAAATTACTCCTAGAGCTTTCCTCAGGAATTCAAAACGATCCCTTGCTAATGCTTTGGTGAAAATGTTTGCAACCTGCTCTTCAGTTTTGCAGTATAGCAGATCAATCTCACCATCTTGAAGTGCATCTCGGATGAAATGAAATCTTCAATTGATATGTCTGGTTTTGTGATGATGGACTAGATTCTTTGATATGGCAATGGCTGAAGTATTATCACACAGCAGCTAAGTTGGTTCTGCTTGCTCTTCCCCAAATCATAGAGCACAAATCTCAGCCAAATGGCTTGTGCAGTGGCTACTACTGCGCCAACGTATTCTGCCTCTATTGTTGAGAGAGCAACACTGCTTTGCTTGATTGAGGCCCAAGAAAACACCCCTAAACCAAGATTAAAAGCATAACCTGATGTACTTCTCATGTCATCTTCACTTCTACTCTAGTCACTGTCACAATAGCCTATTAACATTGCACATTTTCCTTTCTTATAGGCAATACTATAATTCATGGTGCCTTGTATGTATCTTAGAACTCTTTTAGCTATTCCCATATGTTTCTTGGTAGGATTATGCATGAACCTAGCCACATGGCTTGGGTTCATGTGAGTTTGGTAGGTGATTGACATAGAAAAAATGTATTATTGGTTTGGCATGGCATATACACTATTTATATATTTATTTAATAAATTAATTCCCAAAATACAGCTTGAATTAACGCATGACCAACATTATATGTTATATTGGGCTTTAAATATCTTTGGACTTCCCGTAACTTTTTTGGGCCTCAACAGGTTTAAAAGTTCAGTGCTCAATCATACTCTTTGAAAGAAGGGCATATTAACCAGAACAAGTCCAGCTCACCACTTCATGTTTCCTCCACATGACCGACATATTGGAAATGTTAATGCCAATAGTCACATAAATGCATCATACCCTACAACAACAACATGATCATCATCTTGTGCTAGGTGTACGTGTACGACCACGAACTCTTTTTTTCTTTTTAATACAAATAATGTATGGGGAGTAGGAAATTCAGTCTAGACCTCGGATGCAATGCTGGGATAAATACTATTAACCACTTGAGTCATAAGTCTCTTGCTGACCACCACTAACTTTCTTATAAGCTTCTCTCTCTTTTTTATGCTTGGTTTTTTTGGTGTGTGTGGCAATTTAAGTGGTGTCCTTTTCCTTAGGCCACATTGTATACAACTCACTGTATGTACACTTCAGTGGATTACTCGCACTGAGAAGAGTTGCTTCTTTCTTGGTGTCTTGCTTCTTTGATGAAATAAGAGACAATTTGGAAGCAATTTGATGAAATAGGAGACAATTTGGAAGCAATTTCTACTAAACCATGCAATCTTTTTCTTCAATTTGCTCAGTTGAGAAGCTAGCACAGTTCTTAGCCTTGTTCCCAATCCTGTACCTATCGGGCGGCACGTGTGCGGCTCTGATCGTCCTTTGAGGGTCAACAGCAAAGATGTTCTTCCAAATTGTGTGTGGACCAACATGCACTGTAAAGTCCCTAACAGCAGCAGAGTGGTACTTGGTGTTTACAGTCGTAGCTTCGATTCTTTCTCAGCTGCCCAACTTGAACTCCATTGCATGGAGTGTCTCTTGTTGGTGCCATTTCTGCTATTGGCTACTCCACATTGATCTGGGTTGTGTCTCTGGACAAGGGCAAGCTTCCCAATGTGTCTTATGACCCCTTGAAAGCCGACAAACAATACATCCATCTTTTTTATGTTCTTAATGCCCTTGGAATGATTGCCTTTGCCTTCAGAGGCCACAACCTTATACTTGAGATCCAGGTATGTTCATTAATCTCACAATTTCAATTGTATAGTTGTTTAATTAATTATCAAACCCTTTCTCTTCCTTAATAACAAAAAATTATTTTAGAACTCGACTCTCTGTTTTTTTTTAAATGAAAAATAGAATTTGTCGATGATAATTTGGTCTAGTCACACATAGATCCAAATTCAAATTGAATAAAAGTTATATATAAAAAAATTGAGACAGTGAAGACAAAATATTGAAGTTCATAGCATCTTATTCCCTTGATTCAATTTATTAGAAAATTAGCATATATTGGCCTTAATGTCAAACAAGTGGATATTTTTAAATTCTTTTCGTCCAAATCTTGTTAATTAGTGTTCCCATGTGAACGAATTATTTTAATTAGTGTAACCATGTGACAGATGAAACTTCAACTTGTGTTGAATATAGTTTTCGAGCAAATATAGCCAAATTATTAAAAAATTAAAATAAAATAGTTGTCTTTACTGATGATCATTTATGATATGTTGACTTTGACCAAATGATGTTGAAGCTGCAACTACAATAGAAAGCATCCATCACGCCGTCCAATGAAAAACATCCATCACGCGTGCCTATGTGGAGGGGTGTCCAAATCTCCTACACATTGGGCATACGGTCAAAAGTTATACCATAACCTAAACCAACGTTATATTGTCAAATTATTAATTCGGACTTCTATTTGAATGTTTGAACGTAGTTTGAATTAACATTTTGATAATATATAATATGTTAGATATATGATAAAAGAACATTTAATTGTGACAACACTAATATATTTTCTCATTCGCAGATACCGGCACAAGGAGGCGTGTTTCCTCCACATGACCGACATATATATATTGGAAACTTCAATGTTAATAGTCACATAAATGCATCATACCCTAGAACAACAACATTTTTGTTGTTGACAAATACAACAACATGATCATCTTGTTGCGTTTGGTGGAAGGTAGGATTAATTTATAATTTTTTAGACTATCATTTGTATAAACAAAAAATAATTCAATGATTTTAGGTTTCTATGGTGTGTGGAGCAATTTAAGTGAAACATGTTTTGTGAGGAGCAGATGCAAGGGAGCAATAAGAGCTTAATGACATGTTTACTAATCCGTAATTGAATTAGGAGGAATTGAATTGAGGAGGAGTTGGATTGAGGAGAATTAGATTCTGGATTCCTAATAAAGTTGTTTACTAAATCATATGGATTGAAGAAAGTTAAATTCTGTATTCTTATTGAAGTTGTTTACTAAACTATATGGAATTGGGGTAGGAGTAGTTCTAATTACTAAAATATCCTCGTAGTTGGGTTAAAGTAGATGGCATATTTGGAATTTTGAAAATTGTGTGAGGATATAATGGGTAAAAAAGATGAATTCCTAATGGGTTAATTCTCCAAGAATTAGAATACCACCTCCCACCCAAGAATTGAATTCCTCCAAAATTAGGGATTCAATTCCTAATTTTGTGTGGGCCCCACTTACTTTTCAATTTCTTCATGTGAAGTAAATGCAAGAATCCTCCATAAGTGGAATTCAATTCCTGATTAGAATTCCAATTCTTGATTAGTAAACACATCGTAAGTGCAAAATGAGTGCGACATAAGTGTGTCAAAATATTGAGCAAAGGGTGTGAGAGAAACATATTGTGAGGGTAAGTGTTCTAAGGGGGTTTCATTGGTAAATCAAAGTTGTAATCTATCTTTATTAGTGAAATTTCTTAGGGTGATCACCAAAGAAGATGACAATTTTGTAAATAATGGAACTGACAGAATTACTTTAATTATGACGTGGTTCATACATACATACGTTAATACGATAGTTTTTTTTTTTTTTTTTTTTTTTTTTTTTTTTTTTTTTTAAATTTAATTTTTTTTTTTTTTTTTTTTTTTTTCTTTTTCATTCAATATTTAATAAAATCTAATCTAAATACTTGGATAGGGATTCGAATTCTGCTGATGAGTGAGGAACAGATCAGTTTTAGCCAATTAGACTAAGTCCATGTCTATCAATGCGTCCAATTTTTAAACTTTCCTTTTATCTGTATACGTTGAAGACTACCACTGAAGTTCTATTTATCATGAAGACTTTTCTTTCTAACTGCCATTGAAGTTCTATTTATGTTTTCTTTTTCAGGTCAAATTATTTATGTTTTTCAACCATTAGTTTTTCAGAGGGCAATAGTATCAAAAGATTTGTGTAAACTCAAACACCCAATGAATATTTGTGTAAATCCCACTCTCCCAATATCTTGTACTCCAAAAATATATATATATATATGTGTCTCTGATGGGGAGATGGTATGTCAAACACGAACCTCCAACGAAACTACACCAACACTAGAAATATAGAACGAGCACTCACAATTTGCGGCTAAACTTAGCTGCGTTTTCTGAATAAATTCACTAATTCAATCTGACCAAATGGTCTACAAGAGAAAGGTTTAAATAACAACTAAATCCTAGGAATATAAGGAATTATAATTCTAGTACACTAAGGAAACCCAAAACAGAAGGAAAACATAAAAGGAAGTCAATCAGCAGTAGGAAAGGTCTCCTAATTTATTTTGGGATATAATCTTTAAGGTAATTAGGAGGTTTAACTGATCTCTTGGGCTTCCCTAGTTTGGCTTGGGATGCTCCCTGCATCAGACTCCTCGGGTTGGAAAGGACTCGACCTCGAGTCAAAATCTGGAGTTTCATTCTCACCATAGTAAGCTTGTAAGTCAGCGACGTTGAATGTAGGCGAGACACCAATGTCATTCGGCAACTCAAGCACATAAGCATTTTGACCAGCCCTTTTCAATATTTTGTATGGTCCACCACCTCTATCATGCAATTTACCATATTTTCCACGAGGGAATCTCTCCTTTCTTAAGTTGATCCACACTAAATCCCCTTCTTGGAACTCCTTGTAACGCCTATGTTTATCAGCACTTTCTTTATACTTGGTGTTGCTCTCTTTAAGTCGAAGGCTAACACGTTCATGGACCTTCTTGATATGATCAACCATGTCATTGGCATCCCCACTAAAACGATTCTCTACCGGCAAAGGAATTAAGAAAATTGGACTAGAAGGGTTGCAACCATAGACAGCTTCAAATGGGCTCATTCCAATGGTTCTATTTTTGACTGGTTATATGCAAATTCTGCCTGCGGTAGAACATCACTCCAGCCCGTTTTATTGCTACTAACCAAAGACCTCAATAAGTTACCAAGGGTCCTATTGACAACCTCTGTCTGACCATCCGTTTGGGGATGATGTGCACTGCTAAATTGGAGCCGGGTCCCCATCTTACACCACAAAGTCCTCCAAAAATGTCCCACAAACTTGGTGTCTCTATCTGATGTAATTGTAGTGGGATCCCATGCAATTTGACAATCTCCTGAAAATAAATATGGGCAATATTGCTAGCATCCATGGTTGTTTTACAAGGAACGAAATGGGCCATCTTCGAAAAGCGATCAACAACTACCATGACTGAATCAAATCCTTGTTTTGTCTTTGGAAGGCCAACAACGAAATCCATGCTAATGTCTTCCCACGGTGCCCGTGGCTCTGGCAAAGGAGTATAAAGCCCCGTGTTCTGACTACGACTCTTGGCCACGTGGCAAGTCCTACATCTTTGTACGTATCTCTCCACATCTCTTCGCAACTTGGGCCAATGAAATTTGTTCTCAACAAGATCAATTGTTTTGTCTCGCCCAAAGTGTCCTCCAAGGCCTCCCCCATGTTGCTCCTCAATTATCCATAACCGTAAAGAACAATCAGGAATGCATAATTTGCTCCCCTTGAATAAATATCCATCTTGAATATGGTAATCTTGTACTGAATTATTGTGCACACATTCGGACCAGATTTCACCAAATTCTTTGTCTCCTTTATATAACTCCTGCAATTGCTCAAAGCCCTCCACTCTAATTTGCATGACAGATAATAAGGCCACCTTGCGACTTAAAGCATCTGCTACTTTATTGTGGATTCCAGCCTTGTGTTTAATCACAAAATTGTACTCCTGCAATTCTTCCACCCATCTGGCATGTCTCCGATTCAGTTTGTGTTGCCCATTGATAAATCTCAATGCTTCATGATCATAGTAAAGGACAAATTCCTTGTAAATCAGATATTGCCTCCATTGTCTAAGAGATTACATAATGGCATAAAACTCAATATCATAAGTAGAGTAGCGTTGTCTAGTGTCATTGAGTTTTTCACTAAAGAAGGCAACTGGTCTCCCCTCCTGGCTAAGAACAGCTCCAATCCCAACTTTGGATGCATCACAATCTACCTCAAAAACCTTTTGGTAATCTGGTAGAATTAATAATGGGTGCTTCAGTCATAGCTTTCTTTATGGCTTGAAAGCTCTTCTCTGCAGTTTCAGTCCATTTGAAAATATTATGCTTCATACAATCAGTCACGGGCGCCATAATGGAGCTTAAATTTCTGATAAATCTTCGGTAGAATGAAGCTAAGCCATGGAAACTTCGCACCTCATGGATAGATTGTGGTATAGGCCACTCTTGTATTGCTTCAATTTTTTTTGTATCCATTTTAATACCTTCTGATGATATCACATACCCAAGAAAAATTAAGCTATCTGTCAAAAATTCACACTTCTTCAAATTGGCAAAGAGTTGCTGCTCCCGTAAAACTTCAAAGATTTGTCTCAAGTGCTCCATGTGTTGAACAGCATTATGACTATAAACCAGAATATCGTCAAAGTAAACAACTACAAACTTTCCAATAAAAGGATGAAATACCTGGTTCATGAGTCTCATAAATGTGCTAGGAGCATTTGTCAATCCGAATGGCATCACCAACCATTCAAATAAGCCATCCTGAGTTTTAAAGGCTGTCTTCCATTCGTCACCGGGCCTCATTCGTATTTGGTGGTATCCACTCCTTAAGTCTATTTTGGAAAATATTTTTGCTCCCAACAAGTGATCCAACATATCATCGAGACGATGAATTGGAAATCTGTACTTCACCGTGATCTTATTTATTGCCCGACTGTCGATGCACATACGCCAAGTCCCATCTTTTTTGGGCGCAAGCAATGCAGGTACTGCACACGGGCTCATGCTCTCTCAGATAACCCCTTTCTTCAACAATTCTGTCACTTGCCTATTTAGCTCCTCGTACTCTAATGGGCTCATCCGATAATGAGATTTATTTGGGAGAGTTGAACCTGGAATCAAATCTATGCGATGCTGGATATCTCGCATAGGAGGTAGCCCAGCAGGTAATTCTTCAGGAATAACATCATTGAATTCCTGCAAGAGAGGTGTTAATTCTTTAGGAAAATTAAGAACATCTGGATTTGACTCTTTCACCATCAACATGTACATATCACCACTCTCCTCCGCTTCTTTTAGGAATTCTCCTTTGGTTAGAAAGCTTCCAGCACCAATTTTCGTGGATTTGACATTAAATTCGGATTGGGAGGGACCTAAAATAACCTTCGTACCATCTTTGATGAAGGTATATGTATTTTTGTATCCGTCATGTGTGGCCTTGCGATCAAATTGCCAAGGTCTCCCCAATAGTATGTGGCATGCATCCATTAGAATTACATCACACCATTGAGAATCCTGATACTTTTGCCCAATGGAGAATGTCACTAGGCAGCGTTGATTCACCACGACTTCATTCCCTTTTTTGACCCAAGACAGCTTGTACGAGACTGGCTTCTTTTCAGTCTTCAAATTCAGTTTATCAACCATCTCCTGTGAAACAATGTTTTCACAATTACCACTATCAATAATAATACTACATACCTTTCCATGAGAGGTACACTTGGTATGGAATATATTATTCCGAAGCCAATTTGAGTTCTCCTCCACCTTGGCAGCATTATTATCCTTCGAATCACCAAGGACTCTCCATGGTCACTCCATGTGATCTCTTCTTCTTCATTCTCCCCATAATTATCAAATATAGGCAGCATCTCTTTTGACATACCGCTAGATTCGCCCAATTCCTCAACCAAACTTACAATTTTTCAGTTAGGACATTCAGAAGCAATATGTCCTATGCCAGAACATTTGAAACACTTGATCCCTTTCGGTTTGCTGGCAGTAAACTTCTCTGGTGCATTGGTCTTAGGTGCTTCATGCTTCCCTGGCTCAGAATTTGATGAGCCTTTAGTCATCCAAGAATTTTTTTGCTCAGAACCCTCTATTCCAACACGCCGTGACCGTGTCTTCATCTGTTTCTCTACTTGTATGGCTAACTTGAAGACATCATCATAACTCCAGTATTGCTGTAAGACCACCACATCATGAAGTTCTCTACGCATCCCTCCAAGATAACGTGCGACTGTGTGTTCTTCTTCTTCGACGAGTCCACACCTCATGGTTAAGAGATCGAATTCTTCAGTATATTCCTCAATAGTCCGATTTCCCTGTCGCAGATTATGAAGTTTCAGGAAGTTTGCTTGAAGGTAGTTTTCTGGCAAAAATTTTCTCTTTAGCTTTTTCTTCATTTTCTCCTAGCTTTTAATTTTGGATTTTCCGGTACGATCACGCCGAGTCTTTAGCTGCTCCCACCATGCAGAGGCATTGCTCTTCAATTTAATGGCTACGATCTTAACTTTCTTCTCGTCCGACACCTCTTTGTAGTCAAATATACGCTCAACAGTATTGAGCCAATCAACAAAGTCATCAGGTTGCATCTTTCGCTCGAACTCAGGTAAGTCTACTTTCATGTCGAAATTTCGACCATAATGATCCCGTCCCCTTTGCACACCTTCCATCGGCATGTTGTTGTAAAAGGGATTTTCGTCTCCCTCCCCGTCGGAACTATTAGTGTATAAGCTGTGAGCTAAGTAAAGTTAAAGTAAATAAGCCTTGTTTTAAATTGTGTATTCACTTAGTCTTAGATTATGAAAAGTGTAAGGCTGAGATTGTATTGTTGGTTGTGTGCATCCAGCTAAGTCTAACGGTTATGTACTCATGCCTTCAGTGCGTGTTTTTGGATATACTAAATATACACTCGCTCTCAGACTTTGAGAGTGAGCAGAGCATTTTTTCTGCAGTTTTGAATCTTTCTCTATTCTCTCAGTTTCTTCCTCTAATCTAATCTTCAATATAAACCCAGCTAAACACTCAAACTCTAACATGGCCTCAGAGCCTAGTTCGATCTGAAATCTGGGCGTAAACTGTGCGACGTTGCTGCAATCGAGCTGCACTCAAGCTCGTTCTGGTTCAGGTGAAATCGCTAAACCCCATCGATTCCGATTCCGATTTCGATTTGAGATTCGTATCATCTAAGCTAAGAGATGGCTGGATCTGGAAGTTCTGAGGTGAGAACTTCGATCTTCTCCGGTGAGAACTACGAGTTCTGGAGAATCAAGATGGTGACAATCTTTAAATCTCATGGGTTATGGAAATTAGTTGAAAAAGGGGGTTACGATCTCTGATTCAAAGAAGAAGACGGCTGAAGGAAGCGCAGAAGAGGAAGACGATGAGAAAACTGTGGCAGAATATATGCGAGATGCGAAAGCTCTGGGTATTATCCAGAATGCAGTCTCGGATCAAATATTCCCTCGAATTGCCAATGCTGATACAGCGAAGATGGCATGGGATCTGCTATATGGTGAATATCACGGTGGTGATCAGGTACGATCAGTTAAACTCCAAAATCTTAGACGTGAATTCGAGTATACTAGAATGCGTGATGATGAAACGTTATCTGGGTATCTTACACGGTTGAATGAACTGATTAACCAAATGAAGACGTTTGGTGAGGTATTGTCTAATGAAAGGCTTGTGCAAAAGGTTTTAATAAGTCTTAGCAAACCTTATGATCCCATTTGTCTTGTGATTGAGAATACAAAGTGTATAGACAAGGTTGATTTGCAGGAGGTTTTGGCAATTCTTAAGAGCCAAGAACAACGCTTTGATATGCACACTGTTGATGCTACTGATAAGGCTTTTGGCTCTTTTTCTGTGAATCCAAAAGGTCAGCAACAGCGGGGTAATTCTCAGTCAAGTGAATCTAAGAAAAACTGGAATGGAAAGGGCAAGAAGTGGGATTCAAAGCCTCAGTCCCAGCAAAGGTCATTTGCTAATCCTGCACAGAATTCAACTTCTGCAGGATCCATGAAACAAGATGCAGTCAAGCCACAGTGCAAGGTGTGCTCTAAGTTTCACTTTGGAGAATGTCGATACAAGGGGCAATCCAAATGTCATAACTGTGATAGGTTTGGGCATTGGGCTAGAGAATGCACAGCAGGCAAGGTTGTTCAGAAGGCAAACTGTGCTAATCAAGCAGAAGTAACAGGCAATCTGTTCTATGCTAACAGTGCAATTACTGAGGTCAAGGTGAATGGGAACTGGTACATTGATAGTGGTTGTAGCAACCACATGACTGGAAATGCTGAGCTTCTTATTGATGTAAGGACAAATGTCACTGGAAAAGTACAAATGCCCACTGGAAATCTGGTAGATGTTGCTGGAATAGGTTCACTTATGATTGATACAAATTCTGGCAGAAAATGCATCAAGGAAGTCATGTTTCTACCTAGTTTGAAAGAAAATCTGTTGAGTGTGGGACAGATGGATGAACATGGATATTATTTGCTATTTGGTGGAAGAGAGTGTTGTATCTTTGATGGTCCTTCACTTGATTGTCTGATTATCAAGGTTAAAATGAAAAATAATAGGTGCTACCCTCTGTCTTTAATGCAAACTGATCAAATTGCATTGAAGGCTAGTGTGACTGAATGTACCTGGATTTGGCACAAGAGACTAGGACACCTAAATCTTAGAAGCCTCAAGCAGCTTAGAGAAAACGAAATGGTGCCTGGTCTTCCACACCTTGAAGATGTTAATGGTGTGTGTGCTGGCTGTCAAATGGGAAAACAACACAGAGATTGGTTTCCAAAAGGACAAGCTTGGAGAGCTAAGAATCCTCTAGAATTGGTACACACAGATTTGTGTGGTCCCATGCAAAATGAATCAATTGCTGGGAATAAATACTTCATGTTGCTTATTGATGATCACACAAGAATGTCATGGGTTTATTTCCTAAGACATAAATCTGAGGCACTAATCTGTTTCATAAAGTTCAAAGCAATGGTGGAGTTACAATGTGGATTCAAAGTGAAATGCCTAAGGAGTGACAGAGGGGGAGAATTTCTCTCAACTGAATTCAGCAAGTTATTGGAATCTGAAGGCATGCAAAGACAGTTATCCATTGCTTATACTCCACAGCAAAATGGAGTAGTGGAGAGAAAGAATAGAACAGTTGTAGAGATGGCTAAGGCAATGCTTCATGATAAAAGCATGCCATACTTTCTGTGGGCAGAAGCTGTACATACAGCTGTTTATATTCTAAACAGATCACCTGCAAAAGCTCTTCATAACATAACTCCTTTTGAAGCCTATAGTGGGAGAAAACCAGGAATTGGTCACTTAAAGGTGTTTGGATCACTCTGTTATGTGCATGTACCACCTGAAAGAAGACAAAAGCTTGATGCAAAGTCTGTCAAAGGTGTGTTTGTGGGGTATGCAACCTGTGAGAAAGGGTACAGAGTATTTGATCCAAGCACTAAGAAGCTGATTTTGTCAAGGGATGTGATTTTTTATGAAACCAAGTCCTGGAACTGGAAGGAAACTTCAGAAAATTCTGTTGCTGTGACTTATATTCCAAATCAACCTGTAAATGGAATTGAAGTGACTTCACATGAGTTTATTAAAGTTGAGAGAAGTCCTTCTAGTCCTTGCATTTTCTCTCATACAAGAGAATGTCATTCATGAGCATGCAAATATCTCTCAGCCCTATGATCATACTCCATTGAAGTGGAGAAACATAAATGACATTCTAGCACAATGCAATCTCTGCATTGTGGAACCTGAAAAATATGAAGAGGCTGCACAGGATAAGGCTTGGATAAAAGCAATGGAAGAAGAGCTGTCCATGATTGAGAAAAATGAAACTTGGGAGCTTGTAGACAGACCAAGTGATAAGCAGGTTATTGGTGTGAAATGGGTGTTCAAAACCAAGTTGAATTTAGACGGCTCTGTACAAAAGAACAAGGCAAGGCTGGTTGCTAAAGGGTATGTGCAGAAACCGGGTGTTGACTATAATGAAACATTTGCTCCAGTTGCTAAACTGGATACAATCAGAACTCTGATTGCTCTTGCTGCACAAAGAAGCTGGAAGCTATTTCAATTAAGTCTGCTTTCTTAAATGGAATATTGCAGGAAGAAGTGTATGTTGATCAACTTGAAGGGTTTGTGATTAATGGCAAGGAAGATAAGGTCTACAAATTGTACAAGGCTCTTTATGGCTTGAAACAGGCGCCTAGGCCCTGGTATGGAGAGATTGACAGCTATTTTGCTAAGTGTGGGTTTGAGAAAAGCTTAAGTGAAGCAACCCTCTACACTAAGACAAGAGGAGAAAATGATATACTAATAGTCTCCATCTATGTGGATGACATAGTGTATACTGGAAACAACCAAGACATGCTGGATGAGTTCAAAGAAGATATGAAGGAGAAGTATGAGATGTCAGACTTGGGTCTTCTTCATCATTTTCTAGGAATGGGGGTGATTCAAACAGAATCTAGCATTTTCATTCATCAAAAGAAGTATGCTTCTTCCCTGTTGGATAAGTTTGGATTGAAAGAATGTAAATCTGTTTCTATTCCTCTTGTGGCTACTGAAAAGTTAAGTAAAGAAGATGGAAGTGGTGCTGCAAATGAAGAGAAATACAGAAAGCTTGTAGGCAGTTTATTGTATCTCACTGCTACAAGGCCAGATGTGATGTATGCAGCTAGCTTATTAGCTAGATATATGCATGGTCCTTCTAACAAGCATTATGGGATAGCTAAAAGAGTGCTCAGATATATCAAAGGAACATTGGACTACGGTTTGCATTATATGAAAGGCAAGAAGGCTGTTTTAGTTGGTTTCTATGATAGTGACTGGGGAGGATCACTAGATGACAGCAAGAGTACCTCAGGCTATGCTTTTTCCTTTGGCAGTGGAGTGTTCTCATGGGCCTCTATGAAACAAAATTGTGTTTCACTTTCCACTGCAGAGGCTGAGTATATAAGTGCTGCTGAAGCAACAACTCAAGCTATATGGCTCAGGTTTGTTCTTGAAGATTTTGGAGAGTTACAAGCTGAAGCAACTCCTTTGCAGTGTGACAATACATCTGCAATCTCAATAACTAAAAATCCTGTGTTTCACCAAAGGACTAAGCACATTGATAGAAGATATCACTTCATAAAGAATGCCTTGCAGCAGGGATTTGTTGATTTGGTATACTGTCCAACCAAAGAACAAGTTGCAGACATTTTTACCAAGGCCTTACCAAAAGAGAGATTCAACTATCTCATAGATAAGCTTGGAGTTGTATCAGCTCAAAGCTTAAAGGGGAGTATTAGTGTATAAGCTATGAGCTAAGTAAAGTTAAAGTAAATAAGCCTTGTTTTAAATTGTGTATTCACTTAGACTTAGATTATGACAAGTGTAAGGCTGAGATTGTATTGTTGGTTGTGTGCATCCAGCTAAGTCTAACGGTTATGTACTCATGCCTTCAGTGCGTGTTTTTGGATATACTAAATATACACTCGCTCTCAGACTTTGAGAGTGAGTAGAGCATTTTTTCTGCAGTTTTGAATCTTTCTCTATTCTCTCAGTTTCTTCCTCTAATCTAATCTTCAATATAAACCTAGCTAAACACTCAAACTCTAACACTCTCACCACCATGGCTTTGAGTCTCGATGCAAGCGACATGATCAGTGAGTTGTTGAATCATTCTTTTAATTTCATCCATGTCGTCTGTAGAGTTACGGCCCTCCATTCGGACACCACCCCAACCATGCCTATGATGAGCCATGAAGGCTTCTCTCCACCCACAAGAACCAAAGCGTTGATACCAAATTGATGGGGAGATGGTATCTCAAACACGAACCTCCAACGAAACTACACCAACACTAGAAATATAGAACGAGCACTCACAATTTGCGGCTAAACTTAGCAGTAGGAAAGGTCTCCTAATTTATTTTGGGATATAACCTTTAAAGTAATTAGGAGGTTTAACTGATCTCTTGGGCTTCCCTAGTTTGGCTTGGGATGCTCCTGCATCAGTCTCCCAATAGCTTGTCAGCCGAAAGTGTTGGGTAATTATTTCACTTCTACCCTTTTTTTCATTTTTTGTTTATTTTTTATATCTCTCTTGTGATTTAGATTTTCTTGGATTGGCCTCTGCAAGCAACTGCTTTTTTTTCTCTTTCATTCTAAACAAGCAGGCAACAAACCTTTGTAGCTCTCTCTCTCTCGCCTAACAGAATCCCGGGGGCAACTTAATTATCAATATCAGATTCTTTTTCTTCTTCAAGGAGAACCCCATTCATCTCAAATATCAGATTTGCTTTAATTATAGCTTCAATTATTTCTATTCGATTATAGATTGTCAAGGAGTTTTAGATGGCAATTTCGTAAATAATGGAAGTGACAGAGTTACTTTAGTATGACTTGGTAGTTACAATTTTTTTTGTTACATTGGAAGGAAAGAAACTCTTAGGATTTCAGACCTGGGTGTCAAACGAGGGAAAGGGGAGGCCACCATTGTGGACCTGATCTCGACTACTTTGGTAGTTACATTTAACCCATGCGTCCATTTTTTTAATTTAATTTTTTAATGCAAGTAATACTTTAATTTATATTTTCATGCGTCCACTGTGGCTTGTCTGCCACGTCTCGGATATTGTAATTTATATCAATATTTTGAAAGGCGAGGCGTAGATGCACGGCGTTTTAGTCACGCTATGTAAGGCGTAAGTCTTGAAGTAGTGAGGCGTAAGCCTTTCGAACATTAATTTATTTTAATAGGAAAAATTTATAAATAATACAACACAATTAAATTGTACTACTAATTCTTTACAAACTTTTAAATATATAATCAAATATAAGTACTAATTGTCATTTCGGCATAATAATCAATCTCAAAACATAAAATATTTATTCATATCAAAAGGAGAGAATTCTTGAAATTGATGGAGATTATTGAGTAATGGTAGAAATTAGGGTTGTACTATACAATATATATATATATATATAGGTCCATGTGTTAAAATATTAATTTAGAAAGAAAAAAAAAGGGTAAGTAGAATCGAATCTGCAATTGATATATACAATACACAGCATTATTAACTTAATATATTAATTTATAATATATATTAATTTCATTAGAAAAAAAGGAAAGAAACAACACTGAACGTGCGTTTCATTTAAGTAACCTCAGTTTTAAAAAGGCTGAAAGTGAAACGGCGTCGTTTTACAACCCTAATAAAAAATTTCACGCGGACTCTTCTTCTTCTTCCTCGCGCCGCCTCGTCCGTCTGGCCAGGCCTTGCAGCGCTTCATCACGTCTTCCCACGCCTCACCACGCTAAACGTGAAGCTTGCGGAACAGCCGACCGCCTCAGGCGATCTCTTGCTGCCTCGCTATGACGCGCGCGCCGACACGCGCGAAGGCATGCCTTTGAAAACACTGATTTATATATATACCATTTTCTTTTGTTGCCTTTGAAAACACTGATTTATATATATACCATTTTCTTTTGTTTGAATGCGTGCGTGATGCATGAAAGTTTCTTCGCGGAAAGTGCTTGGGTTATTTCTTCTCTACTTTTTTCAAGCTTTGATGATTTTGCTGGATTGTTTTTGTAACTTTGTGTACATATAGTCAACTCTGAACTAGTAGCAATTGTTTTGTAAAGCAACTGCTTTCTATTCTCTTTCTTTCTAAACTGCTTAATTAAACCCATCAGATTATCTTTCTTCTTCAATTTTTCATCTCAAATATCAGATTTGCTTTAATTATAGCCCCTGGTGCATTCAGAGAAACAGATATGGAATCCATTGAGTTCTTTCAAGTTTTCATCATAATCATCACACTCATCATAACATCTTCTTCTTCTTCCACTTCTTCTGTTGCTGCTGTTGATACTGATATCCCCCCTTTTCGAGAAAAGTATGATGTGTTTATTAGCTTCAGAGGTGAGGACACACGCGATGCTTTTACCAGCCATCTTCACAAGGAGTTACTTGGGAAGAAAATTGAGACCTACATGGATTACAGACTGGAGAAAGGAGACGACATTGGGCCTGCCCTTCTAGAAGCAATCGGTAAATCGAAAATTGCACTAGTCATTTTCTCAAAAGACTATGCTTCTTCCACTTGGTGTATGAAAGAACTTGTGCATATACTTGGATGCAAGAAAAGCCATAGACAGATTGTTATACCCATTTTTTATCGCATAGATCCATCACATGTACGAAAACAAAAGGGAACTTATGCAATTGGAGGGCTGCTTTGGAGACTTAAGAAACGTTTTAAGGTCAGTATGGATGAGGTGGCCAACTGGAGGGCTGCTTTGGAGGAAGCAGCCAATATTTCTGGGTTTCATGATTCAAGCAAAACAGGGTATACTAAATCTCTAGCTTGTATCAATTTCTACTTGTTATCATTTGATGCATACTTACTATTGTTCGTCTTTGATCATGATATTTGCCAGGACGGAGGCCGATTTTGTTGAGGAAATTGTCCAAGATGTTTTGACCAAATTGAATCGCGAATCATCAAGTGATTTAAAGGGTCTGGTTGGGATTCAAAGGAAAATTGAGGAAATTGAGTCGTTATTATGCTTGGATTCACCAGGTGTACTCTCTGTAGGTATTTGGGGCATGGGTGGTATTGGCAAGACCACCCTTGCTGATGCTGTATTTCACAAGCTGTCCTCTAAATTTGATGCTGCTTGTTTTCTTGCAAATGTCAGGGAGAAATCAGAACAAACGGGTGGATTAAATCAGTTGCGAAATGAACTTGTTCGTGAGATATTAAAGGACAGAGATACAAACATCGGCACTTTGTCTATAGGACCAACTTCTATTCGAGATAGGCTCAGCCGCACGAAGGCCTTCATTGTTATTGATGATGTGAATGATCCACGCCAACTAGAATTTCTTGTTGGATATCATGATCAGTTTTGTGACGGAAGTCGAATCATTATAACTGCTAGAGATAAAGGAGTACTTGAGCATAAAGTTGACACTGATAAGATATACAAGGTTCAGGGATTACATTTGGATGAAGCTCTTCAGCTCTTTCATTTGCATGCTTTCAGAAATATTGAGTCTCCAACAACAGATTATACTGAGTTGTCAACAGAGGTGGTAGAATATATTAAGGGTATTCCATTAGCTCTTAAAGTTTTGGGGTCCTCATTCCATCGTTACAAGAGCAAACGAGAGTGGGAAGATGAAATGAACAAATTGAAACGATCTCCAAACCCAAAAATCCTGGGAGTTTTGAGAATAAGTTACGATGGATTAGAAGAAAATGAGAAGGAGATATTTCTTGATATAGCATGTTTTCATAAAGACAGGAATATGAATAATGTCAATGGAATGTTAGATATCCGTGGTTTCTCACGGTCATCCGGAATTAAAGTTCTCATTGATATGTCTCTCATATCTATTTCAAAAAGGAACTCCATAGAGATGCATGATTTGGTGCAAGAAATGGGTAGGGCAATTGTTCGCGAACAATGTATTGAAGAACGCAGTAGGTTGTTCAGTGCTGAGGATGTCTATGATGTATTAACAAATAACAAGGTATTTTACATATTCACATTTACAATAGACTAGTCAGATTCCTCGGAATGCAGTTTTGATTAAACTTTTTATATTCACATTTGTACTTTGCTCTTGATTGTCAGGAAGCTGCAAGGGTTCAAGCCATATTCTTTGAAGAGCTAAACTTGAATCATGCAGACTTCAGAAAGTTATATAATCTAAAATTGCTAATTGCAGAAACTTACGATTTCGGCCGTGACATATTAGAAAATTTTTCTCTTCATCTTCCCAATTCTCTTAGTTATCTTCACTGGGTGGGATATCCTTTGACATCTTTGCCATCAAATTTTTCTCCTGAAAATCTTCTTGTGCTTCATATGCCGTTCAGTAAAGTTGGGGCGCAACTTTGGAATGAAGGCCAGGTATATTATATATGCTTATTTTAGTTCTTGAATAATATGTGATCTAGAAAGTAATAATATGCAAGCTAAGTTATTAATTCCCCCCTTTTTTTTATCTGTTCAAATTAAGTTATTAATTCTTTCCATTTCTTTTAATTTGTTACAGTGTCCTGTGAACTTAAAAGAGATCGATCTTGGTTACTGCGAACATCTCTCTGAAGTTCCAAATCTCTCTCGGAGTCTAAAAATTGAGCGTATAGATCTTGTTGGCTGTAAACGTTTGATTGAAATTCCTTTGTATTTTCAACATCTTCACAAGCTTACTTATCTTCGACTTGCTGGGTACCAGCATATCAAATATCTTCCGGCGATGCCCTGCAATGTATTCAAGGATTTTTCTCCTACAGCAATGACACCAGGTGCAATGTTGGCAACTCATTTCTAGCTCTCTCTCTTGCTTAATTAGATCCTCATCAATCTCCAATATCAGATTCTCTTTCTTCTATAACTAAATACGCACAAACATATATAAGGCTATTAATTATAGTTCATGTGCTTCAGATCTTTAACAGCTTCTTCTTCTTCTGTTGCTGCTGCAGATTCTGATGTGCTTATTAGTTTCAGAGGTGAGGACATACGCAATGCTTTTACCACCCATCTTCACGCGGCTTTACTTGAGAACAAAATTGAGGCCTACATGGATTACAGACTGAAGAAAGGAGACAACATTGTACGTTCCCTTAAAGAAGCAATGAAGAAATCAAAAAGTGCAGTAGTCATTTTCCCAAAAAGATATGCTTTTTCCAAATCGCGTTTGGAAGGACTTGTGCATGTAGTAGAATGCAAGAAAAGCTATGGACAAATTGTTATACCCATTTTTTACGGATGAGGTGGTTAACCGGAGGGATGCTTTGAAGGAAGCAGCCGATATGGCTGGGTTTCATTTTTCAAGCGAAACAGGGTATACTAAATATCTAACTTGTATCAATTTCTTTTTGTGATAATTTGATTCATATACTTACTATTGTTTGTCTTTCATAATGATATTTGCCAGGAGGATAGAGGCCGATTTTGTTGAGGAAGTTGTTCAATATGTTGTGACCAAATTTGTTGGGTTTTTAGAAGAACAATAGAGTGATTTTATTTATTGAACAATAGATGAGTACAAGGCTTTATAGAGGACTAGGCTTGTTGGCCTTCGACAACTAGAAACTGTTTACTAGGCTTATTGGCCTTTTCCTGGATCGTTTGTGCTTTTTTATCGTCAAAAGCAAAAGTTTGTACGTAAAGCGACAGTGCTCTTTCCCTTCTTCAGTGTATGAATGCTTGAATTTTTGTCCACCGACAGTGCTTGCCTAATTATTTCACTTGTCTTTTTCCTGGATCGTTTTGTAAAGCAACAGCTTTCTATTCTCTTTCCTTTTTTTTTATATTTTTATATATAATTGTTTAGAGATATTTAATCATATACTCATTTTTAGCATTAAAATTATAAATAAACCCTATACCATTTAATTTCTATAAACAAACCCAAAAAATGACAACTAGCCCTATTGAATTTAATTTTAATTATTAAATTACTTTGATGCCCCATTGAGTATTTTGGGCTTTTTATGAGGTTTTTGGATTGGATTGTTTTAAGAAATCAATGACAGTTTTGTAATTTAAAAGAAGTTAAAAGCCTTTTTGTTATGTTGTAAATGGGCTTTGGGTGTGTTTCTAAAGTCCATTTCATATAGTTTTTTTCTTTTTTTTTATAAATAATTTGGGCTCTTATATTGGGTATTATGGTGAATCTCCCTAAATTGAATTGCTATGTGTGTCTCAAAGTTTCAACTATGCGATTTCAAGTTTTTGTCAAGTGTTTAATACTGGCGTTATACATCTCTTTTGGCAGGATTCATACCTACGATTAAGTTTCTATACGTCTTTTGTCTTTATGCTATTCCTCACCCTTGTAAGTAGGGTTGGGCATTCAAACCGGTAACCCGGTCAAACCTCCCAAACCAAACCGATGGGTTGGGTCGGTTTGGTTTTTTTTCAATTATTTTTTGGTCATCGGTTTGAACCCAAACCAAACCGAAATATATGGTTCGGTGTATAGTTTGCAATATTCAAAACCACGGTTTAAACAAACCAAACCGAAGATATTAAAAAATATTATATATAATATTATTATAAGAAATATATATATAATACATAATTTCAATCTTTTCTTTTTTCTTCTCTCTCAATCTCTCTGTTTGTCTTGTTTTCATCAGTCCCTCTCAATCTTTTTTTTTTCTTCTCACTCTTCTTATATCTGTCTTCACTCCCTCTCCCCGTCTCCCTCTTCTTCTTCTTCTTCTTCTTCTTCTTCTCTCTCTCTCTTTTCTTTTTCTCCTATTCTTCTTCTTCTTCTTCTCCATCTCTCCCTCTTCTTTTTTTCTTCTTCTCCTCTCCATCGCTTTTATTTCTTCTCTCTCTCTCTCTCTTTCTCTCTCTCTCTCTCTCTCTAAGAAAGCCAAAAAACCGAAACCAAACCAAACCAAACCACCAAGTCCGGTTAACCAAAGTGGTTGGTTTTCATCAATGATGGTTTGGTTTCGGTTTTCAAAATAGCCAAACCGAAGCCTACAGTTTGATGTTCGGGTTGAGCCCAAAACCGAACCAACCCAAACCAAGCCCAGGCCTACTTGTAATTATCAAGTTGTCATTGTTAATGTATTTTTTTGTTTTTTTTTTTTTTTTTTTTTTTTTTTGCATTGTAATCTCCTGTCATTTGGAAAATAAGAACTCAGGGAGGAATACTATGTTGTAGGAGATGGAGAAGACGTCTAGTGTGGATCATTTGTGTATTCGGATCAGAGGAGGCCTTAGATTAGGAGTACAACAGGAGTGTTTCCAGTGGTCCAGGCTGGGTGGGGGAAGCCCAAAAATCATTTCCAACATGCCTGTTTTGCCTGGGCGGCTTGTGGGTCCCACAGAACCGGGATAGACTGAAGGCAAGGCTAGCCCAAGTTTTGCGGTGATGTCATTGCTGACGCCAAGCTGGTGTCAGCGCTCCAATTCAAATTTTTTTTTACCGTTGGCGCGTGCGTTGCAAGCGCCAACAGTAAAAAAAAAATTTGAATGCGCGAGCCTGCTTTTTGCCAAAGGCTAGAAGCCACGTGGCCACCTCTGGGCGCTCCAATCTATTTTTCTCCTCCAATCCAACAACAGTCAATGTTTTTGCAATAAAATTATGAAAATAAATTGAAATTTTTTTAAAAAAATACCTAAAAATTAATGAATTTTTTTATATTTTATTTTGTAAATACCAACCAATACTTTACACTTTTAACACCAAATCCTAATACATTTCTTCTCCTTCAACAATTATTCACTTTCTACTCAACATTTTATTCACTTTCAAATTTTAGTTTTCTTTATCATCTTATGGCTTCTTCTATCGAAACCGGAGAGGCATAGAGCATCAAGGAAGATGTTTAGTTGTGTGAGTGTTGGGTCCAAATTAGTCATTGTCGTGTCACGGGCAATGAGATGAAATTCTATCATATGTAGAGAAAAATTCATACCGAATTTTGTGAAAGATCGGGTTCGACCTGTACAGAAATGACATTGTCTAGTAGGTGGAAAATTCTCAATAAAGAGTTGGGGAAATAGAGAGATGCCTTGGCAAAAGCGAGGGACAACCATAGAAGCGGGGAAAATCATAGTAATGATGTAAATTATTTGTAATTTTCGTTTTATTAATTTTAATGTCCTATTTTTTTAAAAAAAATGTTTCTTGCATTTTCAATATTTTGTTAATATTTCTTGCATTTCTAATATTTTTTTAAATGTTTCTTGCATTTCCAATATTTTGTTCATATTTCTTCCATTGCCAATATTTTTTAATGTTTCTTGCATTTCCAATATTTAAAAATTAAAAAAAAAGATTATGCAAGCAAAAAAATGTGGTTTGGTGCTATTGGGTAAGGCAAAAAAACTTTCAACCATGACCAATGTTGGGAGGTGGTGAAGAATTGTTCGAGATTCTAAATTATTCCAATGGGTCAGACCGTTGTGTTGAACGAGACGCCACTCCATGATTCACCGGCATCGGATTCTTCTATGGATTCCCCGATGAGTCAAGACTCACCCATCCAAAAGGAGTAGAGGCCTATTGGGAGAAAGGCGGCGAAGTCGAAGAGAGGGAGTAATTATAGCAGTAATACATCTAAATTTTTGCAGGAAATTGCAAGGCTAAGGGCCATGAGAATTGAAATAGATATGACAACCCAAGAAGATGAGAGGGCAATTCAAGTAGAATATGTAAAAGAAGGGGAGTGTGTACGGAATGAAAACATTGAGAGGAAAGATCGGGAAACCTTGGCCATGGATACAAGCCATATGTCCCCTAAAACAAAACAAGTTTGGAAGCTAGAACGAAGGGATGTTATGAGAAGAAGACTTTTCCGTGACGATGGACCTAGCAGCACGGATTGGTTAAATGATCAAAACCATTAAGTTAGTTTGCTTGCCTTTTATTTCATTGTATTTTATTTAATTAGTTGTAATTCATGTATTTTATTTAATTAGTAGTAATTCTTAATTACTTGTAATGGTTTTCTTTGAGTGAATAACGAAAGCATTCAATAAAATACCTTTTTATTCAAAACATTCCATACATAAAAAAAACCACAACCAAAGCATAACTAAAAAACAAACCACAACCAAAGCATTAAAAAAAATAAAACCACAACTAAAGCATAACTAAAAATAAAACACAACCAAAGCATAATAAAATAAAAATAAAATAAAACATCTTCACTTCATTCACCGTCATTGCCTTTCACTGTCCATAAATGCTCTATCAACTCAACTTGACGTCGTTCATGAATATAAAACGATTGCATCTCCGTATATCAATCAATCATACGAGTCATGAAACGACTGTCCCTAACCAACAGTTCATGCTCCAATGGTTCTCCATTTGGCCCCATGGGTTTTTCATAAATTCTTGTCAAGGCCATGTTCATGGGATCTGGTTCGTACACATCTGCAATATCGTAATCATACACATCCTCCACAATCATGTTATGGAGGATGATGCATGTCATCATTATGCTCCTCAGCACCTTCTCATCAAACAGACGTGCCGCACCCCTAATAATAGCCCACCGGGCTTGGAGGATACCAAAACACCTCTCCTCATCTTTTCTGTAACCCTCTTGATAGGCAACAAAATAATTTTTGCTTCTCGGATCGGGGATGCGGAATTGATTTTACAAATGTGGTCCACCTCTGGTAAATGTCGTCTGCTAGATAATACCCATTCTGGTGGACGCTATTGTTGATTTCAGAGGTGATGTTCGAGGCTTCACCTCTTAGAATATTGTTGAACACTGGAGATTGACCTAGCACGTTCAAGTCGTTTTGAGATTCGACAACTCCTAAGAAGGCATGCCAAACCCATGTATCGAGTCCAGCAACGACTTCAAGGATGATACTTTTTTGCCCTTTCCTATTTCCATAAATAATATATATTAATTTTGCGCTCGCAAATTCATTTTTACAAAATAAACAAACGAAAAAATACATTTTAAATACATATATTTTATTCTTGCATGACAAAAACATTCGTCTCATGAAATGGATATGCGCGACGACGAATGTTTGTCGCGCAATATTGTTCGTCACACAAATGTTGGAGACACGAATTGCGTGACGAAAAAAAGATCGTCGCTCAAATAGTTGCGACACTAATCGCGTGATGAATATTATCCGTCGCGCAGTGTACTCGCGACGATCATGTTGTTGTCACGCAAAGGTTTGTGCGACGAATAATTGTGTCGTCCCTAAACCTTTTGTGCAGCGAAGGTTAACCATCGCTCTGTTTTATGTGACCAATACAAAATATTGGTCGCGCAAAGTCTTTCTTCACGGATTGTACGCGACGACTTTTCTGTCGCGCTAAAAATTGTGCGACTAAAAGTAACTTTGCGCGACGAAATCTTCTTCGTCGCGCAAATCGTAAAATGTAGTAATGAAAGAATTTACACATGAATATTCCCCATGTGGAAATTTGTACAAACAGCCAGAACCACAGGATCATAGTGTGCCTTACTGGGAAAAGCAATTTGGTACGAGGGTTGGCTCAGTTCCATGGGGCGATGCCAAAGAGGACTTGATAAATAAAGAAAATGTTCATGAGAATTGGGAAAATCCTTGAAAGCCTGCTCATCGGAGCAAAGCTGCATCCATGGGAGGAGGATGGGGCCACAGCACTTGGAAAAAGTGGTATGATAATTGCTTAAGTGATCAATGGAAGAATGGTTCGAAGAAGAAGTCTGATGCAAATGGCGGGAAGAATATGAAAATTGATCATTTGCAGCCTAAGAAACAACTCGGAAGATCTAATCTTGTTGATAACTGTTTGATTGCCTCTCATTTCATTTACGTAAAATGTATGAAGTTTGATATTAGCATTTACCTGTTACAACATATCTTCCCTATGATAACTGCATTCTATCACAGGAAATCACATTCTTAGAATCTTGCACATACAAAGTCAAATCTTTTTATGGACCAAGTTGAGTTTGAGCCCGCTCAGCATTGGAGTGCAAACATTCTAAAAGCTGACGAACACCATTCCGACAAGAATTCTCAAGAATGGTTATGAATTATGAAACTAATTCTTTTCGAATTTTGGTTCTTCCTTCTTCATATTCTTTTTTCCTGTCTTGTTTCTTTTGGGTTTTTAAAAGTCTAAAACTGGTGTTATCACTCCTTTGAACTTTTGATGGCAGCGAGACATTTTAAGCCACCAATTCTCATCAAATCTGACGGAGGAATTCATATCTATCTTCTTGGCATACTCTGTTGCAGACCATAACACGGAAGGATATTGAGTTACATGTTGTGGAGGTACCATCTGCCATCAAGTTGGAAAGTACATAAGGAACCAGTAAAAAAGGCCCAAAATGCTAATTTTACATACATATATATATAATTTTACATATATATGTTTATATATTTATATTATTTTAATTACCGCATCAGCGTATCATATCGTATCGGCATACTCGTATCCGTATTGGTGCAACATAGCCACTAGTTGTATGATTATTTGCTCATCTACTACCTAATTAGATGTTCCATCACATCAGATTTAACCATTCATCTTTCAATAATATAACTTTGAGATTATTTTTTTTGCGAGACAAAGATAACATTGAGATTAATAGTATAAAAGAATTTGTCTCTGGTATTTTCATCTGTGTGAGTAATTCCTTGGCTCTTTGCTAATGCAGAACCTCATTGCTACTCAACTTGGAGTTCAGAGGATCCCAGGCATTACCGATTTCAACACGAGAGGAACAAACATACGACCCTTTGCCAGATTTGGAGTTTTCGTTATTTTTTTTTTTCTAAGAAAAACAGTAGTTAGGTATCCATCTGCTGGTATATTTTTTGTCACCCTTTCATCCAGATGCGTAATGCTGCCTGGGTTTTGATGTGCTGTCTTTTCTATCTAAACCATAACACCAAAAGCTTTTGGTTATTGTCCTGTTCTGACCAGCCGTCTGGAGTTGGTGCAGATTTTGTGGATCTTGACTAATCATTGGCTACTTTTGACCGGTTCTGCTTCCCGTCTTTCATGGGGAATATTTATCAATGAGTTGAGCAGAGGCTATGGCCGGTCTCATCAATGGGTTTCAATCATGTCAAGCAGATCCGAAAGGCAAGCAGCAAATTCAAGTTCGATGATGGGTGCTGTTTACCTTCCTTTGGCTTGTGATGGCTAGCTTCAGTGATCTCTCCCTTCCCCTAAAGGGTTATCCAAGTATTGACGGTTCGATTGCATTGAGGAGGAGCAATTGTAAAGTTGTAAGATTAGAATGACCGTAAACATGCTTTCGCATCTATTACATTGCTGGCAATTATACTGTACTTCCAGAGGTTGTCGAAGCATCACTTGGCCCTCATATCATATGCATGACACTGCCATGATGATGGTGCACATAACAACGGTCATTCATGCCTGGTTGTTTACCAAGTCTTTTAATTAAAAATAAAGCATATTAACCCCATAAGGGAAGAACAAAATGTTGAGATAAAAAAACCATCTTTTACTCGAGACATTTTCTAAATGGATGGATTCTCGCTTCTTCAACCATAAGAATATAATAGGGAATGTGCTGCAAATTGCAATTCATTTGTTGAACACTCCTTTCTCTTTTTCTTTATTGTATGCAATCTCATCTCTCTAACCATGGAGATATTGGGCCACACGTAGAAGAAATCGAATTAGATATTGCATGAGATTTTTTTTCCTGAAGTTTGTTACTCTGCATTTGTCTACGAATATTACAGTTATTTAATCATATTTAAAATAAAAATAAAAATTCTAATTATTTGTTAAATTGTAATTAACATTTTATAAAATTCAACCTTTTACTTTAACTCCAAGGTACCATTAACTCTTCATTCTTTACTATTTCTAAGGACAAATGTTGATAGAAAAATAACCAGTATAATCGTCGCAAGTAAAAGCAGAAGGAATATGTCTCCCCTCGCGGCTTGGGCAAGTAGAAGGCCAGTGTTCACCTTGCTTCCCACAGATTGAACAATCCTTGAGAATTGCTTGTCCTTCACTTCGGCCACAACAGGAGCCTCTAAAGAGGCATCCACAAATCTTACAAATTACCTCTACACCGCTGCTGAGAGTTGCATTCTTTGGGAGATGATACCTATAAGGGCATAGTGGCGTATAGTGTTTACCCACTTTTAAACAATACTTACATCCACCTGTGTACAATTTGTAGATTCAATGTTAAATACAACAAAAGTAATGAAAATAATCTTTTGTTATTATTTTTTTTAAAAGACAATGAATGATGATGATAAAACCCAAAAATCAGTATTGTGAGCACATGACATAGAATAATAACAAATACATAGATTTTATGTCATGAGATGAATATATGTAAACATAGAAAGTTGCAGATACTTTTTTCTTTTTTGTCTCTAAAATCAAAAGCATACTAATAAGATTAGCAAGGAGGAGGGAGGTTATCTAATTTATTTTTTTCTTCTTTTTCTCTCTAAAATCAAACAGTCTATGGGGCCTAACCTAGTGTAAACTAGGTACAAGAAGCTACATTGACTTGCAAATTCAAACCCCCATGGGATCATGGTAGTGTGTTAGAAACTCACCTCTCCCTTATAGTTTAGACTATCTCTTGTAATTTTTTTTTTTAAAGTCAAAAGCATACCAATTTCTGCCATTAGTTCTTCAGCCGTTAGTTCTTCAGTCTCTAGTTCTTCATCCATTAGTTCTTCAGTCTTTGATTCTTCATCTTTGCTACCTGTTTGCATGCAATTACATTGTTAAATAAAAAAACTAAAAAGTAGAAAACGAATGGGTGATGATGTCAAAGCTATTTTCAACATGAAATAGAATAACAAAAATTACATAAATATTTTGTCATAAAATAGAGAAGCTGCAATGCAGTTTTTTTCTTTCTTGTCTCTAAATAAAAAAGCATGCCAACAGCAGGACTAGGAAAGAGGAGGCCATCCAATCTTTTTTTTTCCTTCTTTTTGTCTCTAAAATTGATAGGCCAACGAGATCTAGTCTATTGTATAAAGGGCCTTGATTCCCCATGATACCCTAGCTAGTACTATGTTTGAGAAACTCATCTCTAACTTGTACTTTAGTCTATCTCTTGTATTTACAAAATATATACATACCAGTACGAGTAGGACTAGGAGGGCCCCAGTGCAGAGAAAAATAAGTCTCAAGGTCTTCATCCAATATTGTAGTCTTTGGTTCTTCAACTTTTGTTATCTGTTTACATAAAATTAAATACTGTAAAAAAAAAAAAAAAAAAAAAAAAAAAAAAAAAAGATGATGCCAAAGAAGTTGGAAGGAATGGCATCTATGATCCCATCAATAAATAACTATATTATTAGATATTGGGTATCCATCATGCACACACCAAAATAATATTGGTTGGAAGTTGATTCAAAATTGTTGGATAATATATATCCTCTAATTACACCAACAAAAGTAAACCACACGAAACCCAAGCAATTCCAGATAATCTTCCTTACCAACTCCAGAAACAAAAATAAAGCATACCACGAACGCTAGGATGTAAGGTTAAAAAAGGGTAATTTTTCATACACAAAAGCTGAGGCGTAAAATTCAAATCCCAAGTAATTCAATTGCAGATAGTCTTGGACCTTGGTCATCCTTGAATTAAAAGAAAAAGAAAAAGCATACCGATTATTGGCGTATTGCAGTTGGAGGGAACCATAACTAGCGAGAAAAGGTCCCTTCGGCCGCCATCCTTATCGAGCACCTCTGACTGGGAATCCAATTTCAGGCACTCCAAAGATGTGACGTCGTGGTCCATGGCTGTGTATTATAGAGCTTGGGGTTTGGCTTCACCGTTGTGAGAGAAAAAAACGATGGGTGGTTTGGCTTTAGGGTTACTTACTTATTATATAGGTGTGAACCACAACTCTTTTTCAACTGACCATATTAATCAATAATTTTTTTTTCCTTTTTAACCTTGATTCGATGATAAATTATCATTAAAATAATAATAATAAAGTATTTTTATGATGCACGTATTAACAAATGTTTTTGTTTTTTATTTCTCTAATATTATATAAAGCAATTTTAATGTATTTTATGTGGTTTGTAATTTCTTGTTTAGCCCTTGTTCTTTTTTAGCTTGTAAATAATCTACTTAATCAGTACTTGCTAAAAATAAACAAATTTCAAGAAGGGGAAGGCAGGATTGAGGAGGAAGCAGGAAGCATTCAAGAATGCAACTTTTGGCTTCTCTCTCATCCTTGTCGTGATGTTTCCCAAAATCCTCCGCTTGGAGCTCCTGCCTGCCTTTTGGATATGTAAAGTTGGATCTTGACCAAATAGAGGTTTCTAAAAACCCCAAATTCTTATTATTATATTATTAATTTTGCATTAAAAAAAACCCCAAATTTATTCTATTGTTTCTTGCCATGTACGATTTGTTGTAATTCGGTGTCTTTGAACCTTTCTATTGTTTTATCCGAGTCTGACTTTTCTAGTGTTTTTTCAGTACAAGTAATTAAGAGAGGGAGTTTACACAAATATTAATCAGGTGAGTGGAAGTCAAAGCAGAGAGCTCAAACAATTGAGCTATACCTCATTGGTGACTTTTCTAGTTTAAGGCAATCTCTAATGGTGATTTGGGTTCGGGGGCTATGAATGAGCTCTTGCATTAGAGATGGATAATCAAAGCATTCACTTTTATCACAGCCTCATCACCCCGAACGCCAGCGAATGGGGTCCACCTTGACCGCTGCTCATCGCTTGATCTGATAATTCCACACCCAACTTCTGTGAGAGGTGGCAGTGCCGGCGACACTAACTTTCATTATATTCCAGGAGCCTCATTTTCTAAGTGCTTCTTGTGTTGACTAGTTGCTTGCTTCAGAGAAAAACAAACTACAAACGAAATATATATTCTTGTATTTTTTGTCAACTCAATCAACCTTCTCGTGTTAACTCCTTGAAAGATGAACAATTTTCTCAAATAATTTTTACCATTTCATGTTTCCCATCACAATTTAACATACGAGTTAGTACAATTTTCATTAAAGGTAGGATTTTGTCATGTTAAAAAAACACTTTATTTATTTTTAAATGAATTTGATGCAAGCTATATTAAGGGGGAGGGAGAGGTTTGAACACATGATCTCGGATAGAAGGATAACTACTATTAATCAGTTGAGCTACAACTTCTTTATAAAGCCTTTTATCTTAATAGTAATATGCACAGCTTGTATATGCAAGCTAGTTTAATTGGTCAATGCAGTGCGTAAGTCCTCTTACACGAGTTTAAATTATCATTTTCGTAAATTAAACGCTTTGTCATTTAAAAGAGAATATACAAAATTGGACAAAATTTGGATATGCCATTAAATTGCAAAGGATATCAAACTATATGGGTCAAATCGCTAGAATTGAAACTACATAAACCACAGTGAAAATCCAGCAATCTACAAAAACCAAATGTGACTTTTTTGCCTAATTTTTATAGTAGAATTATGAGTAAAAGCCCCAGAGCAGAAGAAAACAAATGAGCCGAACGGGTTACTACAAACTCACATGTTAGTCCACCAAAAAGAATCTAGCCCGCTTATTAATGGGTAGAAATCCATAAATAAATAAATAAAAATATAGACCGTTATTAAACGCACACACAAAAATTGTAGCCCGTTATCCTGGTGTAAAACTCAGAGCCTTCTGTCAACGGGTTAGAACCCAAAAATGCAGAGAGAGAGAGAGAGAGAGAGATTTAGGGTTTAGGGTTATTGTTTTAATGATAATTTATTATTGGATTAAGGTTGAAAAGGAAAAAAATAATATTGATTAACATGGTCGGTTGAAAAAGAGTTGTGGTTCACACAGTACGTAAAGCCAAACAACCCATCGTTTTTTTCTCTCACAACCGTAAAGCCAAACCCCAAGCGGACACAGCCATGGACCACGTAACATCTTCGGAGTGCCTGAAATTGGATTCCCAGTCGGAGGTGCTCGATAAAGACGGCGGCGGAAAGGACCTTTTCTCTCAAGTTATGGTCCCCCTCAACTGCAATACGCCAATAATTAGTATGCTTTTCCTTTTTCTTTTAATTCAAGGGTGACCAAGCCTATCAGCTTTTGTGGATGAACAATTATATATTTACCTTATAGGAATATAACTTATATCCTAGTGTTCCTGGCATTAATCTTTTTTGTTTTGTTTTTTGAGTTGGTGAGTAAGATTATCTGGAATTTGCTTGGCCTTTGTGTGGTTTGGAAAAAAGAAATTGTTGTTTTTATTTTACTTTTGTTGGTGTAATTCGAGGATAATCACTACTACGTTTTCCTATTTGCGCGACCGCATGTTGCGCGACGAAGAAGTATTCGTCGCGCAAGAGATCAATATGTGACGGAAAAACACAATCGTCGCGCAAAGTGTGAAAAAGATGCGCGACAAATTCAATTTGTCACGCAAGATAACTTTGCGCGACGCAAAAAACTCTCGTCGCGCAAAGGGAGGAAAAAAAAACGCGGGAAAGTTTTTATGGCGCCAAAACCTTGCGTGACAACAAAGTCGTCGCGCTAAATTGTTTTGCGCGACGAAAATCGCGAAAAGTTATATAACATCCGCCCAAATTTATCTCTGGCGACAAACACTTGCGCGACGACCATAATCGTCGCAAAAGAGATCTTTTGCGCGACGATAAGGACAGTCGTCGCGCAAGAGTTTGGGCTCATACCTTGCGCGACGGCTTCCTAATTTTGCGCGACAATAAAGGCGAGAACACTTTGCGCGACGAAAATCGTTGCGTTGCGCAAAACCTGGATGTCGGCACGAAGTTGCGGGACGGAAGAAATTTTTTGCGCGACGAAACGGGACATATGCGCGACGAAACTGGGATTTTGCGCGACGAAAGTGTCCTGTTTGCGCGACGGAGGTTTTCATTTTTTGCGCGACGAATTATGTCTTCGTCGAGCAAAACTCTTCTCCTTCATATGCTGGTTTCTGCCATTGCAGAGGCAGACTTCAAAAAAAAAACTCTGCTCTGCTCTGCCTGCCTCTGGATCTACTGCAGCTTCTGCTTATGCTAGGAGTTGACTACGGTTATTAGGTATGTTTTTGTAGTCGTTAGTTTGAAAGTATTAATTTAAATTAACACTAACGCAATTAATTTCGTTGTTTTTAGGGATAATTGTAATTTGCGATTGGTGGAAAACGATTGAGAAGGTATTTAATAATTTTAATATTTTTTGTTGTGAAATTATATTTATATTATGTTGTTAAATTGTCCGTTACGTAGCACAATGTGTTGTGATGTACGAAGTTAATTGAAATTAACTTCGTACTTTGTTTTTTATTGTATTAAAACTTAGTTTCCCGTTCGAGATTAGTTGGATTTCGTGCATGGATGCGTAATGCATGACTGCGGTCCAATTAATTCTTGAATTGTCCCATTATTTGGACAGTTTGGTAATGCATAGTGTTGTCACGTAATCTACGGCTACAGGACTAGGTTTCGATTGTGGAAATTTCGGTGTCATCTCGGTACGTTCTTCGGGTGGTACGTAGGTATTTATACCTATGCCCACCTCAAGAACTGTATCGAGATGCTGCTGAAATTCTTCCACGTCGAAATCTAATCTCATGTAGCCGTAGGTTACGTGACAGGACTATGCATTCCCGAATGGGATAGGACCCTTACCGGAGGCATAAGGTGACATTACAACTTCGTATGAAGTTTTTGTAATTGTTGTGTTGTGATTGTGGTTCCAGGAATTATGAGCAGACTGTGGATACAGAACCCGAATAGATGCGCAGACGAATACTTGGATGGAATCGAGGATTTCATTGAGTTTTCACGTAGACACAACCCGGGTGCAACTAGAATCCGGTGTCCTTGTAGGAGGTGTAACAACACATTGTGGGAGACAATTGAAAATGTTGGATTTCATTTAGTAAGGAATGGAATGATTGAGACATATAGCATTTGGAACCTTCACGGAGAACAATTAGACAATGCTTCGTCTTCAAATGCCATAAGAGTGGACAATGTTGAACCTATTGTGGATCCTAATGAACAAGTGATGGATATTATAAACGATGTTTTTCCATTTGCATCGACGAACATCAATCAGGAAGGGGAAGATGACGTGCCTACACCAATGGACAGTGCAGAGTTCGAACAATATGAAAAACTATTAAAAAATGCCAACCAAGAGTTATACCCAGGGTGCAAGAGCTTTTCCGTTCTCACGGCCATTGTGGAGCTAATGCACGGAAAAATAAAATATCGTATGTCGAACTTGTGTTTTGATTACTTTTTGGGGGTTTTCAAGAGAATGCTTCCAACGGACAATTGTTTGCCGAAAGACCATAAACACGCGCAGAAGGTGTTGAATGGTCTTGGATTGGGTTATGAAAAAATTCATGCTTGCAAAAATAATTGCATGTTATTCTACAAAGAGTATGAAACATTGGATACATGCCCTATATGCAATGAGTCGAGGTTCAAAATGACATCTCAGAATAGAACGACTAAGATCCCACAAAAAGTCATGCGTTATCTGCCTCTGAAACCTAGGCTTCAGCGATTGTATATGTCGACGCATACTGCCACAGACATGAGATGGCATAAGGAAAAACGGGTAGACGATGATGTGATGCGGCATCCTGCAGATGGGGAAGCATGGAAAGAGTTCGATCGAACGTTCCCTGACTTTGCTGCTGATCCTCGAAATGTTAGATTGGGACTTGCCACTGACGGATTCAATCCGTACGGGGTTCTAAACCAACACCACAGCACTTGGCCGATTTTCGTATTTTCATATAATTTGCCGCCTTGGAAATGCATGAAAAAAGAATACATGATGTTGACTGTTTTGATAACTGAGGATCCTGGCAGGTCAATCGATGTTTACTTAAGGCCGTTGGTTGATGAGCTCAAGGATTTATGGGAACGGTGTGCGCACGTACGATAAATCCACTGGGAAGATGTTCACTTTGCGGGCAACAGTGATGTGGACTGTTAATGATTTTCCCGCATATGCAATGGTTTCTGGGTGGAGCACAAAGGGTTATATGGCATGCCCTATGTGCAAGGAAGATGTAACTTCTAGTTGGCATGCCGGAAAAGTTTGTTATCTTGGTCATCGGAGATGGTTGCCATGGGACCACGAATGGCGGGAAAAGGATAAAGAGTTCGACGGGAACACAGAGCCTCGCCTTAGACCTAGAGAATGGTCTGGTGATGACATCTTGGAACAGCTTAACCGTTTGGATTTTGCTCCGTTCGGCAAAACAGTTAGTCGAACCAGACCTTCTACACATATGAACTGGACGCACAAGTCTATGTTCTTTGAGCTCCCATATTGGTCGAAACTAAAATTGAGACACAATCTCGACGTTATGCATGTTGAGAAAAATGTGTTTGACACTTTGATAGGTACGATTCTAGACATCGAGGGCAAGACAAAGGACACGATCAAAGCTCGTCTTGATTTGGAAAGAATGGGCATACGAAGAGGTTTATGGATGAACAGGGACGGTGATAAAGCTAGAAGGGATCTGGCATTTTTTTCCATGAAACCGAATGACAAAAAAGAATTTCTAAAGTTTGTATTGTCGGTAAAGTTTCCCGATGGGTATGCTTCTAATATCGCGCGTTGCGTGAATGTTGACGGGGGTAAATTTACTGGACTTAAAAGCCATGATTGCCATGTGTTTATGCAACGGTTACTTCCTGTGGGTATTCGACACCTATTGCCGGAAGATGTAGTGAAGCCGATCATGTTGTTGTCCAGATTTTTTTCCCAACTGACGGCAAAAACATTGCGAAAGACGGACATGCATCAATTGCGCCATGACATTGTCCAAGTCCTATGCAAGTTTGAGATGATATTCCCTCCAGCTTTCTTCACAAGTATGATCCACGTGATGGTTCATTTGCCAGAAGAGGCATTGCTTGCTGGTCCTGTCAACTATCGTTGGATGTATCCAATAGAAAGGTATATAATCCTCATCATTTGTTTATGCATCATTATCCAATTGAAAGGTATATTATCCTCATAATTTGTACCATATCGTTTTCTTTTCGCAGGCTGCTTGGAGAGCTGAAAAAAACTGTACGCAACAGGGCGAAGCCCGAAGGGTCAATTATAGAGGCTTGGGTTCAATATGAGTCGCTTACTTTCTGTGGAATGTATTTACAAGATGTGGACACAGCTTTCAATCGTCCTCAACGCAATAATGACGGAGGTGTGAGAAATGAGAAACTTTCTGTTTTTGCCCAAAGAGCACGACCATTTGGAGATCCTGTACGAGGAGAGTCGTTTTCCATAAATGACATGCAGGTAGCACATTGGTTCGTACTGAACAATTGTGATGAGATAATGGCATACTTAGATGAGCATGAAGAGATGATGAAGCGAGAACATCCATCACATTTGTATGCCACGAAACACCGTGAATTGTTTCCACAATGGTTTTTGAAAACTGTAAGTTAAAAGTGTTTTGTAATTGAGATATATATTGTATTATTTAATGTTCTCAAATTAACATGTGAATATTTTTGTATAATATTAGGTCAACAAGTTGAAATCATCGAATTCCCCCACTTACAGTGAAGAGTTATATAACTTGGCGTTCGGCCCAATTCGGGCTGAATTGTTCTCGGGTTGCCATGTTAACGGCATCAAGTTTTTAGGGGCTGCACGAGATGACAAGTTGTGTACGCAAAACAGCGGTGTCCATGTCCCAGGTGGAGGCGAAAGTACGGACATTGATTTCTATGGCAAACTCACAACGGTCGTGCAATTGCTTTACAAAGACCGATACCAAGTGATCATGTTTAAGTGTCGATGGTTTGATACAAACCCAAATAGGCAGGGAAGTGTTAAAATCGACCATGGCTTAATATCAGTGAACATTAACAGAACTTGGTATGATGACGACCCTTTCATTTTGGCAAACATGGCAAAACAGATTGTGTATCTAGATGACCCTAAAGCCGGGAGCGGTTGGAAAGTTGTTCAGCATATGGATCAGAGGAACGTGTATGCTATACCAGAACTAGACCCAACTGACAATGACGTCACTGACCACGACGTCACTGACCAACGTTTGGAGTCTTCCATGGAAAATGATGCAGAAACACTTCGAGATACAAATGTTATACAAGAACCATTTCAGGTTCAAGGAGTGTCTTCAATCGAAATACCGATTCAGTCAATTACAATTGACCTCGGTGATCTTCCGCGATATGATGTTTCAGTGGGCCCGAACTACGAAAGTGATGAGGAGGAGGATTGGGAAACCGAAAGTGATGATAGCGACGATAACGAAGGTTATTATAGTTCAGATGATGAATAATGCAATTTATTAGTGACTACCCATGTAAATAGTAAATTCAATTTTGTGTATTTTAATTATGGTAGTGTAAAGATGGCAATCACAAATTAAAATCAAGTTGCACACAATTTGAATTTGACTTTTTAATCACAAATTTAATCATATAATATATACATTGAATCTAACTATTTGAATTTAAGTGGTATTTATGAATATAAGAATTAGGGTTTTCTCTTGTTGGAGTTGAAACTATTGAAATTGAAAGAATACAAAAAATTGAAACAAGCATGAAAAATTTGAAAAATTAAAATCAAGAATTCATCTCTCTTCGCGATGTTCCACGCTTGGCTACAGCCCATGTGATTTTGTCCTTCTCTTTCTCAAGAGGTCAAACTTTGTCATTGCAAGTCATAAAGTTAATTAAAAACTTTTTTTTTAATAGGAGAAAGTTCATTACTCTATTATTAAATGAAGAAAACCCCCCTTTTTTAATAGGCAAGATATAATTTTTGCCTACTTCAAACAAGTTTCCAGGTTTTTAAATAATAGAAACTATTTTAAAAATACTTTTGAAAATTTAAAATATTTTTCAAGACCATAAAAGAATTAAATACTATATATTCAGTCATTTCATAAATAAATTTAAAAAATTTAAAACTAATTCTTCACAAAATAAATAATACTAAAAACAAAATACAAATTACAGAAATTGAATTAAACTAAAATATTTTGGTTTTCCGAGAGATTTGCGCGACGGAATTAATTTCTACGTCGCGCAAGTTGTCCACATTTCCCGCATTTCCCGTTAGGGTTTAGGATTTACGGATTTATTTATGGTAATCTTGCGCGACGAAATTAATTATCGTCGCGCGTAGCGCATTTGCGCTACGCAATTAATACCTTTGTCGTGCAAGATGTCGAAATTTTTGGCAGCTTAGGGTTTAGAGGTTCTGAGAATCTTGCGACGAAATGTCATGTCGTCGCGCAGGTGTCGTTAATTCGATGATTAAAATAGGGTTAAATGTTAAAATGGTCCCTGTGTTATAGTCATTTGGCAAATTTAGTCCCTGTGTTTTTAATTTGGCCAATTTAGTCCATGTGTTTTACTCCGTTAGCCAATATTGTCCATTCTGTCAAAACATCATTAAAAAATTCATTGACATTTTTATAAGTCATAAAAAAAATTATTAAGTTCAATTTACAAAATTAAAAAAATCTGAATACAAATATAAAAAAATCTGGAAACCTAACAACCTCTATGCCCTTCTTCTCTCATGCCGTCACCACCACCACACCCATCACTGCAACCACCATGAGCAGTCCCAACCATCACCTATTCTCTCTCTCTCTCTCTCCTCTCTCTCTCTCTCTCTCTCTCTCCACCCCACAGAATTTGTAATGCGCTTGAACGAATTCAGCACTGATGGATGCTTAAGCTGCATCATCATAGAAGGCACAAGACGAATTAAGTTCAAAGTCATACCAGAACAAATCGATATAATAAACTGTAAAGTTATTAAAAAATAATCATATATACCATCTAAGACCTGTAAGCATTATCAACATCATCTCAAACAACCTCAACATTGAAATCCTTATTGAGCTTCTTCTAGGGAGGTGAAGATGATTTCATGGCATCAAGCCAACTGTTGGACTAACATTATCGAGCTTTCCTTGCTTTTTCCTGGGGATGTATCTGTACTTGCCAGAGGAGAATGATGCTCCTTGCTGTGAATATGGCAACAAACTAGAATGGAGGCCTAGTCTTGATTTAGTTCTCGGTGGAGGCGGCATGAGAGAACGACATAGAGGCTGTTGGGTTTCCAGATTTTTTATTATGTAATTATATTTAATTTTGATATTTGTGTTCATAAATTTTATTTATTTGTAAACTGAACCCAATAATTTTTTATTAATTTTTAAAGCTTTAATGAATGTTTTAAGTTAATTTGACGAAATGGACAACATTGACTAACGGAATAGAACACAGGGATTAAATTGGTCAAATTAAAAACACGGGGATTAAATTGGCCACATGAGTAAAACACAGGGACCATTTTAGCATTTAAGCCATTAAAATATTACCTTGCGCGACGCCATTATTTTTGCTGTCGCGCAACACATCATTGCGCGACGAAATTTAGTTTTTCGTCGCGCAAGGTGTCCAAAATATAGGCGGCCCTTCGTAAAAAAATCGCGGTTTTTTTATTTTCGTTATCGTCTCCAGATTCAAACCCTAGCTCGAACCCTCTCAGACTTCGAACCCTAGCTCGAACCCTCTCAGACTTCGAACCCTAGCTCGAACCCTAAACTTCGATTTCGAACCCTCGAACCCTATCAGGTTTAAATCCCCGTTGAACCCTCTCACCCTCTCAGACTGAACCCTCTCGCCTCTTGCCCTCTGCTTCGAACCCTCTGACCTCGCACCCTCTCAGTTCCCTCCTTCGAACCCTCTCAATTCCCTCCTTCGAACCTTCGAACCCTCTCACACCCTCTGAGCTCTCTTATTCGAGCCCTCTCAGACCCTCTCTCATTCGATCCCTTTCGTCAAATTGCTCGATTCTCAGGCTGACTCTCGCATCTCAATATCAGGTATATCTCCTCTTCCTCTAATTGCTCTGGATCTGAATTTTGAATGAACAAAATTAGGGTTTTTTTTTGTCCTAATTAAAATTTGGGTTTCATGAAATTATTTAGGAATTCGTTTTTAATTGCGCTGTATTGTTTAGGTTCTGTTATTTGATGGAAATTAATTAGGGCTTTTGTAATAATTGGGTTGTTTTTAGGTTCTGTTGTTGGTTTGCATGTATTGTTTAGGTTTTGGTGGATGTGATTGTGAATGTTGATTAATTGGGGGATTGGGGCTTTGCTGGAAATTGGGACTTTTGCTGTTTAAGTGGCTGTTTTTAGGTTCTCTGTAGGTGATTCATTTGCTGCTTGGTGTCAGATTATGCATTCCGTGTTGCTGATTAGATGGATTGTTTTTAGGTTCTTTTTTCGGTGTTATGCTGTTCAGTTCTTGAATGATGATTAATTGGTTATGTTTCTGCTGCTTCAAGGTTATCATTGCTGGTTACATTTTGGTGCATAAATGGTAGAACGGTATTATGCTGGTTATAGTTTTGTTAAACTGCATGTATTGGTTGCTGCTATTAGTTGTACAATGTAGCAAACTTTTTCAGTTTTCTCTCTTATTACGGTTTTACGCATTTTCTGATGCACGAGCATGTATTAGGATAATTTGTTTTCCTATTAGTTTCATTTCTTGTTTAGGTTTTAATTTTGTTTGTCAATTGCGGTTTCTTATTAAACTAGGAACATGAATGCTTGGCTGGTTAATACATAAGCAAATAGATATGTAAATCTGTTATATTATTTAGATATGTAATATATATATATGCTTAGTCTGAAGGTTGGTTAGGATATGTTGTGTTCTTCAATTAGTTCTTGCTTGTTCCGTTGTGCAAATGTCAAACCTAATTAGAAGTCGTAAGGCGGTGTCGGCTGCACATAGTTCGCCTCCCCTGTCGCAGCCATCAGTTGCCACAGCTCCAGCAGAGATGGACCACTTTCCAGTTGGTCCAAGGGTGTCCGATGTGCCGACGTCATCAGCGTCGTCAGTGGCGCAACCTGTTAGCGCCAGGCGTCGTCATCGCCCACCCAGCACCTCTGACACCATATCGACAGACGCTTCTGCTGGGTCGGGGTCACAACCCGGTAAAGATTTCCTTCACCTCCAGTTCTTTTGGACCAATATTTTCTAGTTGCATATCTTATTTATTTAATGTTCATTTCATATTTCTTTGCAGCGAAGAAGAACACTCGGGGACCGTGTCGGCAGTTGAAGACGGCGAAGGTCACCCGGGTGACCAACAGTCGTATCAACATTGAATACGACGAGCGGCATCGGGCAGCCTCGACGGCGGAATTGCATAGCTCTTTGGCCCACGACATTGGTCATGTCGTTCGGACCCATTGCCCTATGCAATGGAAGTCTTGGAAGGTCATACCTGACGAGGTCAAGATGGAGGTGCGCGAACATTTGTCGGTATGTATCCTACATTTTATTTGTTTGTCCTTCAAATTTTATTTATTTATATGCCTGGTCTATAATGAATTTATTGCAAACGAACTACAACTTAGAGGACCTCGATGATGAGTCATTGGCGTACGTCAATAGACTTTTTGGTGAGAGGTACAAGCAGTGGAAGAGCGACTTGCACCACCATTTTCAGGCATTTGATGATCCGCAAGTCGCTCTTGAAGAGGGTTGCCCGACGGAGCTTGAGGGTCGGGAGGATAGTTGGGCGTGGCTCTGCGCTCATTTTCTGGCACCCGAATATGTGGTATTTTTATTTTTATATTAATTGTTCAAACTTATTACATGTTTCTTACTAATGTTTATTTAATTTTTTCTATTTCATTTCAATTTCAACTGATACGTTTATTTTTTGTGTAACAGAATAAGGCCACAGTAAATAAGGGCAATAGGAAGAAGAAGACTCTTCTCCACCATTCAGGTTCCAGGCCCTTCTCATATAGGATGGACGCACGACGACGGGTAATAATAAATTATTTTTATATCCAATTTTGAATATGTAATTAATATTAATTTTTATTTTTCGTACTAACATTTTTCTTGTCTTGTTCAATTCAGGCGGGGTCCAAATTCCCGGAGATCGACGTCTTTGGCGACGTTTATGTTCGACCTGGGAATGAGTTGGCCGAGTCCATTCATGTAAGTATTCTTTAATTTTAATTATTATATACGCATTCAAGTGTCATGGTTAATATATGAATGTTTTAATTCTGTAATTTTAATTAAACAGACGACGATGGTGGAGAGGAGCCAGTTGGTTCTTCAGGAGTCTGCCTCCCAACTTCCTCCCGATACTCCGCTCGAGTCTGTGCATCCTCCACAGGATGCGGGGTTTCAAATCTTGACGGAGACGTTGGATCAGACTCTCGGGAGGAGGCCGGGGACATATTGTCGAGGGATGGGGAATGCCCGGCGGCGGGAACCTATACCCCGTTCATCGTCGCAGTCAAACGAGGTGATTGCTTTGACAGCGACGGTGGCCGAGCTTAAGGGTCAGATGTCTATGATTCTAGAGTCCCTTGCTCGGTCAGGCATTCCAATCCCGCAGTTTGGTTCCTCCTCGACCTCCCAGCCCCCCCCAACCTGGCTACCAGACATCTACCCCTGCCAACAATGCCCAGACGTCCGAGCCGCATCTCGCAGACGACCACGTTGATTTTGGAACTTTATTCGATTAGTTTTTTATTTGTTATTACATTTTAACAATTTTTCTTGTAATTACATTTATATTATTTTATAACATTTCTTTTCTCTTCATTACATTTGTTTAATGCAATTTTCTTTTATTGAAAAAAAAATTAAACCAAAATTTAAATTTAAATTAACAAAATAAAAGAAACGGAAAATTAAATTTCAATAAAAAAATATTTATTTTTGCGCGACGAAAACTATTTGGTCACGCATATTAAAAATTAAAATTAAAATATTTTTATTTTTGCACGACGTAAAATATTTCTGTCGCGCATATTTTTTTGCGCGACGAATATTTTCCGTCGCTCAAAGATTGCGTAACGAAAACTTTTTCGTCGCTCTAACTTTTGCGCGACGAAAATTGCACGACAAAAATGTCCCGTCGCACAAATTTTGCGTAACGAATATATTTTCGTCGCACAAATGTTTGCGCGACGCAACATACTGCCGTCCCTGCACATTTTGAGCGACGAAGGCTAATCGTCGCGCAATTTTGCGCGACGAATGGAATTTTTGGTCGCGCAATGTCTTTCTTCAAGAACTTCGCGCGACGGATGCTGCGTGACGACATTTCCGTCGCGCTTAAGTTTTTGCGACTACATCCATCTTTGCGCGACGGAATTGTTTTCGTCGCGCAAACTGTAAAATGTAGTAGTGAATCCAAATTTTTGAATCAGTTTCATTATATATTTATTTTTGTGAATACAAAAGACAGTATAAACAAGATCGATCGAGTCATGCTTTTCATGAAAGGAACCCCTGAGGAGCCCAAAAGTAGATTTAGCAAAATGGCTGTTAAAATTTTAAAGAAACATATGGTTGAATTTGGAAGTTTCGATCTTCTGACGGATAATGAAGTCCTGGAAGGGATACAGAAGTATTCTAACTGGTCACTATTACCACAGATTTACTTCGAAGGGAGGGCTCGTGGTTTCTGTCACATAGGAACTTTAATGAAAGGTTGCCCAAGTGAAAGTACAAGAAAATATATTTTTTATTAGAATGCACAATAAAAAAGTTGTACAAGAGAAAACACTGAACTCTTGCAAAATGTGATTTTGATTTTGATGGAAGAAAAGATATTGAGGCTTGTGCAAGTTGCAAAATCCTTTCAATGTTTGAATCTGCTTGTTTTGTTCCTTTTCTTTGTTCCCTTTGATGATTTTGAATCCTTTTTTCTAGTCAATTGTATAATAGATTTATTTGGTTGTCTGTTTTGCCTCGTATGTAATTGTAAAAATTGTGTGTTAACTTCTCGTTGTTCATAAAATCATTCTGCTTGGTCTAAAAGAAAAATTAAAATAAGCTTTTATACTTAAAAGAACAATATATATGCATAAACTTAATTTCAAATGACCACGAAGTTACTAGGAGACTTAAGAAAAGCTCAAGGTTTCTCGTTCAACTGAGGAGCATGTCCTGTTATTAAAGAAAAAAGAAAACAAATGATGAAATAAATGAAATGGGTTATTACACTGACTAGTCTAAACAAAGCATTAGCATTCTTGCAGTTATTTAAAGGAGTGCACGCCCAATGCTACACATCTTGTAAATCTCTCATCACCTCCTGTGTTGGCTTACAAAACAAAATAGGAACTGGACCAAATTGCTCAATTAGAACCCACGGTAGAGCTTGGACTTCACGAGGCACATTATGTTGAAGATTTTGTTTTCTGATCTGCTCATATAGTTCATCAGGAATGCTATAAAAATGTACGAGTCGTATAACAAATCTTCTTCCTTGCTTTATGACAACATTATCCTTATATTCTTTTTGAAACTTTCTTTTGAATCCTTTGTGCACTTTCACATTAATGTCATGTGTAGGCTTGTAATCACACTTGGGGAAGAGAAAGAAAAATGATTTGGAAAGATGACCAGCTAAGGCATCGTAATGATCAAAAAGCGCTTCCAAAACTGATTTGTGATATAAATCATCAAAGCCTCTTTGTTTTACCTTAAACACACACAGATATCCACCGCTCCTGTCATCAAAAAGAGCTGCATATAATAAAGCCCTTGTCACAGTTTCTAACAATTCATTTGAACTTTGGACTTCCACATTGAAACTCTCGAAGTATTCACGAACTTTTTTGCCACCGGTTCCATTCGCAAATCCATAGCAATGTTTGGATTTGGTTTTCTTCACTGGTCCAGAAGAATTAACTTTATATACATGAGGAAGACCATCTGCATCCCATCCAACCATATAAACTGATCCCTGATATAATTCCAGTGTCGATTTTTGCCAACCATGAATATACTTATAGCCTATTTTTGGTGCATCATGGATGCCGTTAACTATTTCCGCATATGTGGTTAAGCAGTCCTCCACATAATTTAACATATTTTCACAATGTGTGGAATAACCTGCCATAGTTGCAAATACATTGCAACTCTTCATAAAACAAAATTTTTTTGCGTCCTCACGCACTATAGATCCTCTTATCCCATCAGATGTAGACCTTGTATCGACACCAACATATATTGCTTTACAATCTTTATTACAGATAACAACGATGTTTGTTGTGCCCCATCCCTTTATCTGGGTAAAAAAAGAAAATAACAACCAAAGGAGAGTACAGATGAATAAACCGATAGGAAGACATAAAACAAATCAAATCAAAAACCAAAGGAGAGCACAGATTTGGGGTTTTTGTGTTCATAAAATTTATAAGCTAAATTTAGATTGAATTCTCATGCAGATTAGGATAGATTTGGATTGAGAACGTATTCTATTGTTGAATGTTATTTAATTTTTTATTGATTTAAAAAATCACAAATAAGAGACCACAAAATCGAACAAGCCATGGTTCAAAATTTAACCAATAGGCCCAAGTTTCGAAAGAAAAATTCAGCTTCAACGGCTATACTTTACAGACAAAATTCGATTAATGAGGAGATCTCTCATTGCCTCGGCCGAAAGCGCGTGGCTTTGCTCGATGATGGTACTAAGTTGATGGGCTGGGAAGACGAAGGGATAGGAAATAATGTATTTTATTAATTTTCTTATATGAGTTAACAAAGTTTATAAGTTGGTTAATTAGATGGACGGATGACAAAAACATTAGTAGGGCACATAGATTTTGGACAAAAATATTAACTACAAAAAAACGTATGATAGATAGAAGAAGTAATGGAAAGTTTTATAAAAAAATTACCCACTACGTTAATTTAACCTTTATTATTTTATTTCATATTAATTAAGTTATCTTGTTTTAGAAGTCTAATTAATAGAGGATATTTCTTAGTACTTTGAAAGTTTCCGTAAATTATTTGGGGAAAAAAAGGTTTCCCTAAATTATGCCTCTACCTTTATATGTATATAATAGTCAGCCTTGTTTTTCTTTGTTTCCATCTCTCTCTTTGTTTTTGTGCGTTTAGGGTTTAGAATTTCAAAGACTTGGTCATCCATGGGTGGATCAGTGAAAGTTGTTCAATTCAAAGAGCTTGATAGCGTGGTCCGTCCCTTGAGGTGTGAGGCTTCGAAGCACATGGACGAGGTATTTGCCCACTTTTCATCTCTAACTGGGTTTTTTCTGGTGTGTCTGTGTGTGTTGGTGTTTTGTTTTTAATCTTCAATTGCTGATTAATATTGTAGGTTGAAGCTGAAGAACAGCCTAAGCCTTATTCGGTTTCTGATGTGCCGTACTCCTCTGCCTTCGTGAAGGTATGCTTTTTGGGTATAGTATATACATGTTATTCGTTGGTTGTGAGAATATATTGTTTTTACCTTTCAACGAAGTTCTGCGTTTAAATAAACAGGTTCTGTGAATATAGCAACTCAATTGAACTGATTAGTTAATTCCTAATCAGAGAACACACGTAGCAATTTAGTATCTTATTCCTCTTTCTCCTTTAGTTCAGGTTCTCAAAAACCAAACAGCACAATGATTTTTTTACACGTACATTTTGATGAACCATTGATAGATATTTAAAGTTCAAAAACAAATGAACACATTTAACCCAAATGAACTCAATATCATTATAGATATTGCTGTCTATTGCTTCACCAATTCTTAATCTCTAACAGCAGACTTCTCTATATTATTATTCACTTTGCATCAGCCAAAAAATAAGAACATATTAAAGAACAGACATCGCTGGAAATGCATGCAAGTATGAGTTGAGTGATGATTGGAAAAAGAATTTTGCTGCTGATAAACTTCTGTTGTTGGCTTGGGTTCTACTATTGTTCTGTATCTTGTTTTTCTCTTGGTCATTTTTTGTTTGTGTTTTCTATTGCCAGGATGGAAAGGTCGTTGATACATCACCTAGTTTGGCCACTAAAGTTGCTAGGGTTGTTGGGTCGGTTAAGGTTGGAGAACCTGTTGCTCCTGCCAGCCTTGTCACAGTTCAAGAGTTAGCGAAAGAAGCTGAATCTTCTGAGGGGCAAATTCAAGCTCAAAATGGCCTTGATGATGCCTTGAAAAGGCGACTGCAGAAGCTGATTGACTCTAATCGAGTCATGCTTTTCATGAAAGGAACCCCTGAGGAGCCCAAATGTAGATTTAGCAAGATGGCAGTTCAAATTTTAAAGAAACATAAGGTCGAATTTGGAAGTTTCGATCTTCTTACGGATAATGAAGTCATGGAAGGGATACAGAAGTATTCTAACTGGTCTCTATTACCACAGATTTACTTCCAAGGGAGGGCTCGTGGTTTCCGTCACATAGGAACTTTAATGAAAGGTTGCCCAAGTGAAAGCACAAGAAAAGATATTTTTTATTAGAATGCACAAGAGAAAACACTGAACTTTTGCCAAATGTGATTTTGATTTTGATATATTGAGGCATTTGAAATTTAAGGGTGTTTATTTGCCTGGCTAATTTCTGTTTCTTTTATGGTTTACTTTCTTTTTGAACAGTACACTTTGTCTTTTCCCAAAAAAAAAAAACAAACAAAAAAGGGGCAAGTGGCTTTTAGATATTAACCAATTGATCAATGGTAACGAATCTATTTCAATAATCCAACAAACAGTATTAATCGGAATTTCAAAAACATATTACTTTCATAAAAAGTAATGAAATCAAGTCCTTTCTCAATGAGGGGTGCTCACATAATTTCTTTCATCCCAATTTTTTGAGTCTATGAAATCAAGTCCTTTCTAAAAAGTCTTCTATTCAAAATGATGAGAATAGTTAAACGAAAGAATGTATCAGATTTATTTGAGTCTATGACTATGAGACTTGTAGGAAGGTCATTCATTGGTCAATACATATATGGTATGTAAAATCTACACACTTCTCAGAGTATCTATACCACCTTATGCTATATCCACCCCCTGAAATGGACACGTGGTATTGAATATATTTAAGAAAAAACAGACCAAAAAAGTTAACAAACTTTTCATCCCTTTCACACCAGAAATGAATATCCATGTGAGAGAAAAAAAAGGAGGAAATTGTTATTAACTTTTATAAAAATATATATATATATATATTTCATCATGTACTTTTTTATTACATTTTTTTCTATAACAAAGTGGAATGCAAAATAATATTTTTGAAGTGTCAATAACAATTTTTTTAAGGGAACAAAGAACAAGGTCAAAAACATAAGAAACAACAGAAAGATGGGGTTGTCGAAGAACATATACCACCCGAGTCATTCTATAGTGAGGGCCTTATGAGGCTCTATCTTTTTAAATACACCTATGAGAAAGAAATTGTTATATATCCTTACTGCTGAAATACTCAATACTGATTTCTTTCTTTGATCACTGTTATTCATCTTAATAATGAGTTTGGGTAAATTACTCAAATAGTCCTTAAACTTGTACGTGATTTACATTTTGGTCCATAAATTAAATTATTAGTCCAAATGGTACATAAACTCTATTTTAATTGCCCATTTGATCCAACCGTTACATTTTCTGTTAAATGTAACCAAATTTTAGGGGCAAATACGAATTTTCATAATTAACAAATAAAATAAGGTTAAAATAAATACAAAATTTGAAAATAATTGAAGAAAAAGAGAAGAAAATAATGAGACCCAACCCCTCCCTTTGATTTCTTCTCCCCCATTCCCCACAAACCTCTCCATTGAAGTCCACCACTTGCTGCTCCAAAGGCGTGAACTTGGCAGGTAGGTTGGAAGAGAAGAAGGTTCTGGAACGTAGGATGATGGTTCTAAAAGCTTCTGGAGGAACTTTTTGGTGGAGGGAGGGATTGGGTGGTGTTGTGGGTGTGGGGAAAGAGTTTGGGTAGTTTGGGAGATGAGGAGGTGAGGTGGAAGGAGAGGAGAGTGCACTTGGAGGGTGAGAACTTGACAATGGCTGTTATTTTGGGAGGTGAGGTTGGCGGGTGATGAGGTGAGGAGGAGGTGGTGGGTGGTTGTCTCTCAATAACAAAGGAAAATCCAAGGGGAGGGGGAGCTAAGGTTATGGGTTCATGGGGCCTAGGGTGGAGGGTAGTTGTTGGATGGGTTTGGGTGGAGTGGTTGTGGGATGGGTTTTTGGGGTGGAGCTTGAGGGTGGTGGCCATGGGGGAATGGAGAGAGAGAGAGAGAGAGAGAGAGAGAGAGAGAGAGAGAGAGAGAGAGAGAGAGAGAGAGAGAGAGAGAGAGTTTTTATTTATTTTTTAGTATTTATTTATTTGTAACATACGAAATGACCAGTTTGCCCTCATATTTAACAACAACATTGACAAAATGTAACGGTTGGATCAAATGGGCGATTAAAATAGAGTTTATGTATCATTTGGACTAATAATTTAATTTAGGGATCAAAATGTAAATCGCGTACAAGTTTGAGGACCATTTGAGTAATTTACCCTAATGAGTTGGAATTCGTTGTGAAACCTTAACTAGATTTGTACGCATGCATATTTCAAGAGGCTGGCTACTTCTCCACCGAATGTAATTTAGTTAACTCTAAGCTCTTTTAGATAATTTCGCTTAAGTCTTGCTCTGTTATTTTCACTCCTCCCAACCACCCTTACCACTATATTCTATGTTTTCATGCTTTCAGGGTTAGATCTCATAAGTTATTGTTGTCAAAATTGCAGGCATTTATTCACCCAATGCTTATCGTGGTTTTGCTCGCGAGCTCATCAAGGATTTGGAAAGAATCAGGTGGGTTAGCTTGTTGTAAGTCCGTTTAGGCAATGTTTCACTTGTTGACATTGTAGTTTTCACAAAATTTAATCATGCAATGCAGGAGGTATATGAACAGCAAAAAGAGTTGATTTTACTTGGAGGGTTGTTCTTGCAACTCTTGCTTTTGATATTAATGTAAACCATCCATATAAACCGCTAGTTGAGGTAATAAAGAAATTCAAAGTAGTTAAAAATGCCCTTGCTCAAGTAGCATGGAATTTTGTTAATGACAAGTATGGTTCTCTTAGTTCATATATCTTGCTTGTTCTTCTTGGCCTTTCTTCAATTTCTTCTTAAATTTGGAATGTGGCGTGCAGACTTAATATACATTTGTCTTTATTTGGAATGGTTGATGCCATCACTGTCATATGATATTTTGCATTGTAGTTCAGTGAAATTTTATACAAGTTCTGCATTGTAGTTTAAAACTACATTGCAGTTTTGGTAATTACAATTGGATTTTTGCTATTTCCTTAACCTTCAACCCCACCACACCAATTTAAGGAATAGAGGCTACCCATATGAGAAATTGGGTGGGCAAGAGAAGATGGAAACTGCAATGCAGAAAAAGGAAACTGCACTGCAAAAAAGAGAAACTGCATTGCAGAAAACGGAAACCTGCAATGCAAAAAACGAAACATGCAATGCAGAAAACAGAAACATGAATAACCTATTTTACATTCTAGGTGGTCTTTAGTCTGATTCCCCCTCTCCCAACATGTCTTGAATAAAAAAAATATATTGGTTTGTTTTGTTTAACTCTAGAGCTGAGCATTTGTATTGCAGTTTCTGTTTATGCATTGCAGTTTCTGCTTCTACATTGCATTTTGCATTGCAGTTTCTATTTTAGTACTTTCATCTTGGTTCCTCCATTTTGCTTCTATAAAATTAATTTTTGTTGTTGTTGATGTTTTCATGTTTGTTTTTGTTATATCTACATTGTATTTTTGTTGCAATTTCTGCTTTTATTTGCAGTTTTTGTGTGAATATGTGGTGAAATGATTGTTTTTTTTTTAAACCGTTGATTGTTTATATAAATATTGTATAACTAAATAAATATTACAAAATCAAGTTTGGTATAGTGGTTTGTAAGTGAGCCATCCTTCTTTGAAGGTTAAGGTTCAAGTCACTTCAATGACACAATTTGTTTTTTTCCTTTAAAGGTGAATAAAGGGCAACAGATTTGGTCCCATGTAGATGGTGGCAGGCCGGCAGTGGAGGTTAGCGGCTGCAGATGGCTGGAGGTGGCTAGCGGTGGGCGTCCGGAGGTGGTCGGTGGTGGCACCGGCAGGTGGTTGGCTGACGATGGCGGTTGGCTGGATATAGACATGTGGCATAGTATGCTTGCCTTAGAATGAATGGTAATGTGTGTAATTTTGATATTTTTTAATGATGTTTTTATAAAATTAGGTACCTACATTTTGGTCTTTGGTCTTATTCTAATTAGATGAAATTGTATTCCTATCTTCCAAATTAGTAAACTATATTGTGTTTTAAAACTAAACCTCCCTAAAATCAAAGGGATGAATCCAAACTCAACCAAATACACACTTGTGTCGCTTTCCTGCACGCTCAAGAATATATATAATACCTAAGATATTAATATAGGTAATAGACACGTAAAAAAATGTGGGTCCCCTGTGCGGTGGCACCACTTGCATACCCTAGGGCCACCCTTGATCACCACCCATGTATATATGTTTCTCTATATTAAAAAATTTGTGCATGAGGTCATCAACGTACCTACTTCGCATATTATATATAGCTTTAATTGAGGATTCCCTCAAATTAGCTTACTTGAGAGACACCCTTTTAGGGTCCACTTTGCATTTTATTTCACTAATTCAAATTTTTATGTTTTAGATAATCATTCAAACATCATACAAAAAAAAAAAAAAAAAAAAAACAATTGAATCCGATATCATTTGACCACTCAGTTGTGTTATTGAAATTTTAGTACTTTCTTGAAGCACCGTATTCATTGATTTTATAGGACACAATTGGATGTCGAAATGGTTTCCGATTTGTCCAATTTTTTGCAAGGATGATCTATGAATGTAAACTCAAAAAATAGATGGTTTGCATCATTGAAAAAAATTTATAGAGTACCTTAAAAAGCGTCTCTCAAATAAAATTATTTGAGAAATCCCTCAATAGAAGGGAATATATATATATATATATATATATAGATAGAATATTATATTATACAGAGTATATTAGGTTAAAATTTGTGGAAGCGGAAACATAATACCTCTAGAGTCTATGTGACCCATTCATACAAATTACAGTTTATATCAAAGCCAAAACTGTACGACTAGATATTACTAAAAATAAAAAGGGCAATTTTACATTAATTTAATTAAACCACACAAGCATTCCCGCAGACTCGCCTAAGTACAAACTCAAGAGTCAGATGCACAACTCCAAACAGAATCATGCTGCTACATCCAACTTTTCTGTATATTTTCCAAGATATTATCACATAAACTGATAAACGGGTACAAGTTAGAACAACCCTGGTTTAATGTATTTTACATATGAATAATTTAGTAACGGTTCGATGATGCTTTCCACCTCCAATTATTTACTAAATCATCCAAGCTCAGATCCCTTGTATCAAGGAGGTGCATATCACGATACCATCACTCGTAACTTTGTATAATCAGATCAACCATTACTGCTGCCAACCATACTGTTGATTGCGGTTTCCACCCATCATGTTTGAGCCCCGACCAGCAGTGGAGCCACCATATGGGCCATTTTGAGGATAGTTTGGACCACCTACTCCATAACCACTACCTCCACCCCGAGGACCTGCACCAGGCATGCCACTAGAACCATATGGCCCACCTCTCCCTTGTGTAGGATATGGGCCGCTACTGTACCCACCTCCACCCCCTTGACCACCCCTATTTGGATGGTTGTATCCACCACCAGGGTTTCCACCAGGTGGGTATCTGCTTGGCCCTCCAGAGGGCCCGCGGGGTTTCCCATAATGATGGCTAGGCCCTGCAGCAGCTGGGGGGTGAGAACCATGGATGGGCTGGCTAGGTCCAGGCCGCATTTGGGAATGTGCTTGGCCAGATTGCTGAATCGGTGGGAGGCGATTATGCTGTGGGTGCTGCAGTTTCTGACGTTTTGCATTTTCTTCATGTTGCCGTTGCTGCTGACGTTTTTTCTTTGTCTGGAACTCATGTGATGATTCATATTTTGGTAAACTGAGCCAAGAAGTGGTTTTAGTTAAATAAAATAACAAGTGGTGTTGATCACATGACCAAAAAAAAAATTTCTTAAAGAATAAAAATAAAAATGAAATGAAAGGATAGTAGTAGTACAAGGAACCAACCTCTTCGGATCACAAGGTAATGGATCAGTCCAGAAGTACTCAGCATCAAGAGCATCCTTAGCAGATATTCTCTATAATTAATTATTAAGAAAAAACAAAATGATAAACAGTATGTTAGAATCCCGCCTAAATACAGTAGCATTCATCATATAGGGACACTATGCCACATTTCTCTCCTTACAATGCAAAACCAGCTAGTATTACCATTGCTACATTTATGAAGGGGCGACTCATAGGACCAAGGATTAACTTAATAAATTACGAAAGATGACTGTTCTACAAGGTAAAAATAATTCATGCACACGTAAGAGGACAATTTTATCGGATATGTACACACCTGAGAAGGATCAAGTGTCAACATTCTCTCCAATAACTCCAAAGCATGGCGGTCAAAACTATAAAGCAAACAAAGAAAATTTAAGCTGAGATACAAGCCACAGGGCCCAAGGCTTATGCTTACCCTGTATGCTGATGACAGAACATGTGAATACAACAGTAGTAGGAAAATTACTTACTGTCTAAAAACCTCCCTGAGACGTCTCTTCATTGGCCTTGTTGGCTTGAAGTTGTTATACCAAGGAATCTTTGAAACTCCGGGCCAGTTGACCTCATCTGGAGCTCCACACAGCTCAAAAATTTTATTTAATTGTTCCGGCTACAATGATTAAAACAGAAAAAGAGGATTACATTGTTGCGATAAATTATTGAATATATTAATATTTTAGGTTGGAAAATTTTATACCTTGTACATATGCATGTTAAACAGTAACATATGCCCATGGGACTTCTTGGAAACCCAAGAGCATTAAGACAAACAGAGGACTCAAGATGGAGTCAAAATAGTCAAACTTCAGGAATAGTTAAAAGTCGGAGTTAGGGTTAGAAGACCAAACTAAAACAATCTCTTGACGCAGACTTGGGAATATGCTTCAGTTGTGTCTAGATAGTAACCAAACCTAGGAAGGGTTATAACTCAGAGATATGTATTATTGAACTCAAGTAGACACAAAGATAACGAACGACATCCAGAAGTCTTGGTGTGCTGGCAAAAGGACTTGGCAGATTAAAGAGCCAAAAAATTGTAAATGACCCAGGCTATTGGATTGAATCTGGTCAAATGGAACTTAGGAGGTCAACCCAAAGCTTACTAAGTACACCAGCTGTTTAAGAAATTCAAACTTCAGGAACACCTGTGTTATAGACAGTGGGTTCAATCAGAGAAAATCTTGATAGAAAGGGGCTTAGCTCTCAATGGATGGAGCTGGATGGTCAGTGGGTTCAACCCACCTCCCTCAGTTTAAGACACGAAGAATGCAACACCAGAAGCTCAGTTCATTTTTCATTTGGAGTTATATTCAAATTGCGTAATTTACGCATACTGAGACACATTCAAGCCTACACCTGCACCCACTTGGATTAAGGGGAGTGAGGCTTCCAGTAACTTGTAAATCTTAAGAACCTGTAAGAAAATTGAAGAACTTGTTAAGTGGTGGGTATGGGCTGGCTGGCAATGAGAAAATTGGCCACTAAGTTTGTACAGACTTTGGGTTGATCTGTATCCCATAAAACCTTACTTTGGATGAGTAACAAAAATCTGACAGAGAGGTTGGTGTGGATGTAAGCGAGTTACCAAACAATGTAGAAATCTTCGTGCTTTTATGTTTTTTTCTTTACAGCTGTATTTTAATTATGCAGAAAGTAGTGTCCTGATTGAATGTCAGTTGACTGGAAATGAATCCTGACCAACCTAGTGACTTACTAGACATGTGTTAGCATAAGTAAAAGTTAAACACTAGAGCTTGAACCTGCACTATTCCGCAGTCAAAGTGAACCCATACTTCAGTTAATACACTTTTTGACCTTTCCTGTCACTCTAGGACGCAATTGCAATTAGTTGCATGAAGATTATAATGTTTTCTTTCTAGTTCTCAATAAATTCATAGCAACATAAAATTCTTATAACTGCACAATGCAAAAGAAATTAAAATAAAATACCAAAAGGATGGTTAATTAATTAGATGACACAGACAACTACAACACATCCTAAATTGAAAACTACCTATTAAGCATAAAGAATGAAACTTACAAAAAGGGAGGCAAAAATATACTCTAAAATTATGGCCCTTTTTATGACATCCAAACCCACACTTCAGTTAGTACACTGTTTGATCTTTCAAAGTCAAACAGTCAACCAGTCACTCTAGGATGCACTTGCAATTATTAGCATGAAGATTATACTGTTTTCTTTCTAGTTCTCAATAAATTCATAGCAACAACATAAAATTCTTATAACTGCACAATGCAAAACAAATTAAAATAAAATACCAAAAGGATGGTTAATTAATTATATAACACAGAGAACTACAACACATCCTAAATTGTAAACTACCTATTAAGCATAAAGAATGAAATATACCGTAAAATTATGGCCCTTTTTACAACATAAATTCCGTATAACACATGGTGTTATTGTGAATCTATCTTTTGTGAATTCCTACCCAATTCTTTATCTTTCAAACTGTTCTAAAATAATCTTATTGGTCCTATTGTACATGCCTGATGAGAGCTTGTAGTGCAGAAAACATTTTACCTCATCTTTCCCGGGAAAGATTGGCTTGCCATGTAGAAGCTCAGCAAAGATACACCCAACCGACCACATATCTACAGCTGGGCCATACTTAGTAGCCCCAAGAAGCAATTCTGGAGGTCTGTTCAAACAAAGACAGATCACAAACTATACTTTCTGTTGTACAAAATTTTATTTCAGAAGAAAAGGAGCCAAAATTGAAAGATACAAAATCTCTAGAATCCATTCAAGGGAGTTCAATTTCACCTGTACCAAAGAGTAATAACACGATTTGTAAGATTGGCATTGTGATCGTTTGAAAATGAACGGGCGAGCCCAAAATCTGCAAGCTTCAGATTACCTTCATTGTCTATAAGAAGATTAGAGCCTGCAAGAAAAAAATAAAACATAATGTAGGCCTCATAAAATAAAATAAAATAAACTAGAAATGGTCATAGAATACTAGCGTTTATAAACCTTTAATATCACGGTGAAGTACTTGATTCACATGACAATAGTGAAGGCCCGTCAAAAGTTGTCTCATGTAGCACTGTAAGACAAACAGGTAAACAGATGGGAAGAGTGCTTCAAGTATCAAATAGTTGGTGATTAAGTACACTTTGCAATCTTGCTGTTTGTGATACCTTAATCTGAGGAACCGAAAATCTCATCCCAGGTCGATCAGCTAGGCCTGTCAAATCATGGTCCATGTATTCAAAGACCATATAGATGCCACCTTTATACTTGTTACCATCTGCAACTCCAAGAAAAACAGATTTAAGTTAGAAATTCCGTGATATCAAATCAGAGTAAAACAACGAAAAAAAATTGGCTAAATTAGACAAGCCAGATCTAAAGAAAAATGGTAGTGCTTGACCAGCTTTAAACCAATGAAGATGACAATAAACACAATACGCTAATGGTGATCACAACAACAGAGTACTTGCCTGGTCTACCTTGCTCATCCTTCTCTGGCCCTGTAAAACAATCCCCCAAATTATTGATAGCTAAAGAAAACTATAAAATGAAACTGTTCCAGGAAACAAAGAGTGCATTATATAAAAATTCCCACAGTTGTATACAGAGACATAAATATCTAATAGAAAGTATCACTACAATACCTGGAGATGTCACAATCTCTTTCAAATTGATGACATTCTCATGATGCAGCTTCTTTAGAATCTTGATTTCCCGTATGGCAGTTATGGGGAACTGGACGGAACACATTTCAAAGAAGTTTGCATATTTAGTAACTGATTACATATTAACATTAATCTGTCTTGATTGGGTACTGTACTGGAAATCCAGTTCTTCAGGAAATTAAAAAATTAAGGTATAAGTGAAGGGGCGGTGGCACCATTGTTCCTCTATGTAATCAAAATAACAAAGCTCGATGTGGTTAATAAAACTAAAAAGCATGACATACCCCCTCTCTCTCATTGTCCATTCGTATTTTCTTCAAAGCAACAATTTCTCCCGTCTTTATTTCTCTAGCCATGTAAACTTGACTGCAATTATTTGACAGCATCAGCAACCAAAACGTACAAAGAATGAGAATCCTCTTAACTTTGTAGGAGGACCAAAAAAAAAGCACGCATTAAAAAAGTTCTAGAATAAAGGGTTCCCTTAGGAAAGGATAAACAATAAACAAATTAAACTCTTAAATGAAGGTTAGTGAAGTTCAAATAAGAATATTTTGGTGGCACAATAGGATCCACGGATTTATGTCAAATTCGGTAAAACAATATGTGGCCTGATTATCTAATCAGAAAAGAAAAACGAAAGTAGGCCTCATTAAACATGAATGACAAGTATACACTGTTTAACTTATTATTTTGAATGATTGTATCCATGAAGCACTTGCATTCTTTATTATAACTTCTGTAAGGAGAACCAGTCTCATTATTTTCTTTATCAATGAAAGTATCCTTGAACCATTATTATCATGCACCTTTCTGTGCAAGTGCACCGTATATTGATGTTAAAAAATCACAACGCATTTGTTTTGGAAAAGGTTCTTTTTTTCCTAAGGGGGTTGATGTCCTCCAAGCTATACGTACAGACGACTGGACTCCTAAGAAGAGAGAGTGTAAGGTTAAGGAGGAAGGCAGGTTTGGGTGCCATATGACTCAACATTCAAGGTGCTGTTAAACAACTTTTAAGGTTAAACATTCATCTCAGTTTGGATACACTGCCTACATTTATGTTTCCTTCTAGAAGAGGCTCCAAGATTTTATATTAACAGAGGTGCTTGGAAAAAGGGAAGGAACTTGGGATACATAATAAATAAATAAATATGGGTCACCAAGGAATACAGAACCGCAAATGGCATCTATAATATACTGTCACTAAAGATGGTGCGAGGAGAAGCAGGCTTATACGGTATAGATTTCTTCAACCAAAAGTTGAAATGGGGAAAAATAATTTATTTTTGGGCCACTAAAGCTGTTGATTCATGCTATATTCTGACAAGTAAGATTTCAGTTCACTTCAGTGTTGAGATTAACATGAACAAGAAACATTAGGGTTAAACAGAGAGGTTTTACTATGCCTGTTGTGGAACAAACACAAGTCCAATATCTACTGCCTTGTAGACATTGTTTAACAATGTCTTCTACAACTTATTGAAAAAGGTAAAACGAGTTGGGAATTATGAAAAAACAAAGGGCTTGCCAAACGAAAAATATCTGTAGACACGTCCAGATGGTGATTTGTCTGTTAAGCCATGTGCTCTAATCAATACCTATTAGCACTTGTCCGGCAACTAGAGTGCCTTGTTAGTGATGTATCAAGTAGTAATTATCAAAAATAGAAAAAGAATGAACAAAAACCAAAAAGAAATATTGAGGTAATCCTTTATCAGCAATACATGCTAATCATTAAATTTATTTCATACATTCATCAAGACGTTGCAGTAGTAAATTCATAAAGAAAAAACAACTATTTCAGTTCCCCCTGAGGGTCAAAGTAAAATAACAACTCTGTTTAAATATTTGTTGTCGATAATCATACCCATATGAGACCTACAAAAAAAAAAATTGAGCAAATTGAAACATCAACTTCTAAGATTAAACTTCACTAACCAACATCATGTCATCTGACAAAACATCAAACAAGAAACAAAGAAAAAATGGGTGCCAAAATCCACAATATTTAAAAAAGTAAAAATACTACGACAGAAACTTCAAGTACTGATATGCATGGAATTGAACTAACCCATAGGTTCCCTCGCCAATTTGCTCCAATTTCTCGAAGCAGTCCACGCTTCTTGAACCCCATGAAGGCACCTCGTTGAGATTAAGCTGCCCAGGGGCTGCTATTGCCATTATTTCGCTTATTCTTCAGCAATCGATTATATCTTCAATTTAATACAATGGAATAATCAGAACACCATGCTAAAACAGAACAAAGAAAATGAAAGTCGCAGAGTTTTTCATCATCATACCTGAACGATATCAATCGTCAGAGAAAAGGCGAGGAAGCTACCAAATCCAATTGGTGCTTGTTAACACCTCCACCCTCTTCTTCTTTTGGGGTTCACAGACTCCAAGAATGCAGCACCGGGGCTTTTGCAGAACAACTGTACACTTTTCGAAATTGATAATTCTCCGTTCCAATCAGTTTTCTAGGGAAGTAAACAGAACGCAGACCAGCCCTCTTCTTCACACAGTAATTGGTTCAATCTCAGATTCACAAAGTGAAAAAACGGAAATATAAAGAGGACCCAATTTGAGAAGACGCAAAAGAAGGCGGCCCACTAGGGTTTAAGGTGCGTGCCGTTCACCACAGCCGAGGCCGATCGAGGTCTGGCGCTTTGACAGAAAAACCCTAGCTTCAGCTTGAGGGGCGCAGGGAAGGGCGACGGTAAAAGCTTTGTCTTGGTCCGTTTTCCAAACGTATATCCAAACTTCAATCAAATAAGCTCATCACAGCGACAAGAGTAATTTTTTTGGTGTAACACTAATGATCCTAGACTAAATAGAGAAATTGGAACTCCAATCATGCTACTTATGCCTACCACTTTCTAAAAAGTAGGAAAAGGAATTATAGTGATTCCCAATGATTTAATGTTTTTTTATTTTTAATATATTAAAAAATTAGGTATTAAATATAACAATCCTTATTAATTAGTATTTGAGAAAGAAGAGTAATACTACACTTATCACATTTTTATCTCATATTTCTATACCATATAATATAGCATGTACATATCATATGTCACATCAATTAAATCAATGAAGTGTATTTAATAAAGAAAGTTTAATTAATAATTTTTTTAACTGTTAATAAATCATAAAAGAAAAGAAAATATTAAATAATTTTAATTGATATGGTTGTCCACCTCATCTGCCACATATAGCTGATATGGAAATGTGGTAAGAGTAGCATTATTTTTTGAGAAATTATAGTTTTTTTTTTTTTTTATTTTTATTTTTTTGGCCAAAGAGGATGCCCAAATTCATTGGTCATGCCTAAATTAGAAAGGTAAAATTTACCTTTTTGTTTAAAAGCTTGGCCAAAATTAGATCTCATACTTCCCCTCTCTCAACTAGAAAACAAAAAAGTAACATTCCCAATTTCACAGTGACTTTCTATTACTGTAACAACCTTATCTCATCGTCATTCCTTTACGAAAGTTGCACACTATCACCTCCTCTATCATTTTCCCAAATTACCCAACTCAAACAGCCGGTGTTCGTGGTCAATTTTGGCTGGAACAATCCAGTTATGAGAGTGGATTTCATATTTTGGCTATGGGTTACACGTACCTCCCCTTGGTTACTCGTTAATTTACCCATATGTGGCGTTGGATTTTTCGGCATGTGGACTCACTTGAATATTGATTACTGTTACTTTACCCACACGTTGTGTTGGATTTTCCGACGTGTGGGCTCCCTTGGATACTGATTAATAGTTATTTTACAACACGTGGCGTTAGATTTTCCAGCATGTGATAAAGAATCCGGATACATTTGATATTGGTTATTTTACCCATACATAGCGTTTGATTTTCTAGCGTATGGGCTTACTTGGATACTGGTTACTGTTACTTTGCCACACGCGGTGTTGGATTTTCCGACGTGTGGTATTGATCTAGGCACCTTTGGTCTAGTGTGCCATAGGCCTTGACAAGAAGTCTGCGCGCATATGACATGATTTGGTTTGGCCACACATGGTGTTGGATTTTCAAGCACGTGTGCTGTAGAGCGGTATTTCCCCGGTTGGACAGCTCATCCCTAAACGTAGGGTAGTAAGTTGAAACCCTACAGGCTAGTCAAACAATCTCCGTGTTGTATTGTTTCCCCTGTACTAGTATTGGTGTGGTGGGTATACTTATGTATATATATATATATATATGTGTGTGTAAATATGTAAATTTCATTCTTATTTATTGGTGAGGATCCTTCCTTGCTGCTTGCACTTATGGGCATGTGTCTTGGAAAAGAGTGGTTTGGGAAAAGGAAAAAGGTCCAGTTTAAGGTTGTGTTATATGCTATATTATGGGATTATGAGATACATTGATTTTAAAGAATGGAATGTCAAGCATTTCAAGTATCTATTGGTAATTATTTTCATGAAAAATACTATAAATTCTTTGTTGTATAGTATTTTTCATAGTATTTTATAAAACATATAGGGTTATTTATGTTGAAAATAAAGTCTGTTGAACACTTTGTTTTCGTCCACTCACATCTTCTGTTTTACGCCCCCCAGGTTCTAGATATCTGAGGTCGAGACCAACATGTCGAGGCATTGCGGCTGTCCGCTCTGTAGAAACTATCCTTTACTTTTCTCTACCCTTAATCTTTCCCGGGTTGTAAACTAAATTCTTAATTGCTCTGCTTACTCATTTCGAGTTCGAGTAGGGGGTGTGAAGCTCGTTTCAATAGTCTTAACTGTGGTGTGTGCTTTAGCATTGTGTGTGCTGCCTATTGGAATATTTTCTTTTGTTGTTTGTAACACGTGGAAATTTTTGGTAAAATCCTTTTTTCAATGGAGGCTCTACCAAAATTTCAGCAAAAGTCGTTTTGTTTATCCCTTAGGCTAGGGCTTTAGGGCGTTTTAGTAAAGCAGGTCCAATATCGGGGTACGTGTCGAGGGGGAATACGAAGCCGGTCCTGTCAGGGGCTTTCAAAATTCAGGGATCCCTGTACCTGTCCTCAATTTGCCCTTGAAATGTCCCCCCATTTGGATCGGGGGCTCGAACTTGAGACCTCTTGTCTGCAGGTTAAGGCCTTTTTTCAATGAGTTAGTCCTTGTTGACTCAATTGAACTATTTTAATTAGATTGAGTTTGTGGAGCTTAAAAATATTGAATTGGGAAATAATTAAACTTCCTCTACACAGTAACAATAACGAGCACTGACTTAATCACAAGACACAAGAAGGATGTACCTTAACCAATCAAGAGATGAGTTTTTCTGCACAATCAAAACCATCAACTTATTCAAATTGTTATTTAACTGAAAGCAAGAAAGAAGTTTTAGGCAACCTAAACTGTAATACCCCGAAAAATTCAAAGTGAATTTTCATATTTTAGTGAAAAATAATATTATGGTGAAGAATGATTGTGTGTATTTTATTAAGTGATTTTGGATTGAGACTATTGAATTAAGTGTGTTTAATTTCAAGTTGGACAAAAATGCCCTTATGTAACATTTGGTGAATTTTTCAAAGGACATTTAAGACTTTGAAGTGAGACGATACTAATCGACTCAACGAATGCGTAGGAAATCATTTTTGAATTTTGGGCAAAAATGACTAAAATACCCCTATGTGTGAAAAATTGCCAAAATACTCTTGTAGGAAAAAAAAATTTAGAGAATCTAAAATGTGGAGGGCATCAGCCCACCCTCTTACCATTCTTCCCCTCTTGCCTCAAGCTTTCAAATCCACCGTTATGAAAGGATGAGTCACATAATCTAAAGTGGTGAGTCACCTAGCCTAAGATAATGGAGAGAGAGAGAGAGAGAGAGAGAAGAAGAAGAAGAAGAAGAAGAGAGGATAAAACTTGGAAATAAGCGAGATGGAGATTATTACTATTACACCCATGAGAGAATTAAGAAGAAAATGTCAGAGGTAGAAAAGAAACTGGTTAAGTGTTGAAAGCAATTGGAAGGATGAAAGGCTCGAGTGGAAATAGAAGGATTGGAAGGGCAATTCGGTAATCTAACTAGTCGGACGAGAGGTAGGGTTTCTTGATTTCTCAATGATTAGACTATATCACTTTTAATCTTGGTGTTTATATATAGTATTATAAATATGAATAGTATTGTTATTTTGCTCCATGAATAGTATTATTGATATTGCTTCATGGATATTATTTGATATTAGATGAGTATTATTATTCATGGGATTAAATTCCAAACAATTTTGTTATTATTTGTATTACTGTTTTGCAGAGATTGATAATATTTGAGTTACATTACATGTGCATCATAATTATGGCTGTGTATTGGGTCGATGTGTGTGTGTCGTTTGAGGTATATCTAAGGGGTGAGAGAAGGCCTTAAATATATCTGAGTGTAAAAAAAAAGTGGAATATATTTAGGTGACAGGAGCAGGGCTTGAATATATTAAGGTGATGGGAGTAGGGCCTCTAATGAAAAGTGAAAGTTGAGAAATTTGTAAATAAAAGAAAAATGGGTTAAAGGACGGATGGGCGCTAGTTCATATTTTAGGATATTCGGAGCCGCAGTGGTAAAACGCATGGTATGAGACATGCAAGCTTGTTGCCCTAAGGTATGAATTAGTGGGATTAAAAGGGAGTGAGTTCATGGCATCACCATATATGCAAATTTATATATCTGGTATGGTTGCATAATTTATGTATCTTGTGTTGTTTGATGCATGACACTTTAATTAATTATGATAGCTGACCTTAAGGGGTTTGATGGTACTCTATTGAGCATTATAACGCTCATATCCTAATAGATTATGCAGGATTCAAGACGAAGTTTGAGGAAGCGAGTTTCAACTAAGCTGCTAGGCTTTTGTTGTTGATTTGTGTAATTAATGTTTGTAAGTAGTCAACCATTTGATAAAGATCTTAGTGTATATTTAACTACGAGCTACTGCGATTCTAATTTTGTATTGTTAAGTAAATTTGTTTTATTTGTGGCTCTATTTCTCATCATATCATGGTTGTAGGATTTTATTCTTATGACTATGGTATGACTCACACCATGATTCGGGATTATTCATTATTTTCGAATCGGGTCATGACATAAACCTCGCTTCAACTATGGAATAGTATTAAGACAATAAAATCATCTCAAGGAATCAATCCAAATTTTAGAATTAATTCCATAATGTATGTCTTGATC